TAAGAGTTCACAGATTTCATAGCTGTTTCTCCTTGGATACTTTCTTAAGAGGTAGCAGTAAGAGAAAAAGTTGATTGTTAGAGAAGCTTGTTTAAACATCTTGCCTAAGGTCAGGCAAGGACATTAGCCTCTGTCTACTTGTATGAAAGTGATATTACCAACATCTGGGAAGTGCAACTTTTGACAAGTACTCATTGCAAAGATTGTGGAAATGTGAGCTGTCAACACAAAGGTACTTCTTTGAAGACTCCTCCTAGTTAGGCAAGGCCAGTCATTCCTCTATAAGCTTATGCAGTTCCTTGAGGTTTTTATCAGTCAAGGTAGTAGGTAATTTCAGGACTTTGAATGTCATATGTTTATGGGTTGTTTTGTTTTTCTTTTCTGGAACTAGTAGATCATTTATAAAAAAATACAAAAATATTAACTTTGTAAAGTAAGAGATGGAGCATGCAATAGATGTTTTTCTATTGCTGTGATAAAAGACCATGACCACAACAGTTTCTAAAAGAGCATGAGTTCCAGAGAGTTAGAGTCTGTGATGGAGAAGTGAAGGCATGGTTGAAGGCGGTTGGAACAGCAGCTAAGCGCTCACATCTTTTTTGTTGTTGTTGTTGATATTATTGAGCTATACATTTTTCTCTGCTCTCCTCCCTTCTTCTTTCCTCCCTTCAACCATCTCCCATGGTCCCCATGCTCCCAATTTACTCAGGAGATCTTGTCTTTTTCTACTCCCCATGTAGATTAGATCTATGTTAGATCTCTCTTAGTGTCCTCAAATTGCCTAGGTTCTCTGGGATTATGAATTGTAGACTGGTTTTCTTTGCTTTATGTCTAAAAGCCACTTATTAGTGAGTACATATGATATTTGTCTGTCGGGGTCTGGGTTACCTCACTCAGTATGATGGTTTCTAGATCCATCTATCTGCCCGCAAATTTTAAGATGTCATTTTTTTTTTTTGCTGTGTCATACTCCATTGTATATATGTACCACATTTTCTGTATTCATTCTTTGGTTGAGGGGCATTTAGGTTGTTTCCAGGTTCTAGCTATGACAAACAATGCTGCTATGAACATAGTTGAGTACATGTCCTTGTGGTATAATTGAGCATCCTTTGGATATATACCCAAAAGTGGTATTGCTGGGTTTTGAGGAAGGTTGCTTCCTAATTTTCTGAGAAATCACCATACTGATATCAAAAGGGTCTGTACCAATTTGCATTACCAACAGCAATGCAGAAGTGTTCCCTTTACCCCAAATCTCTCCAGCATAAGTTGCCATTGGTGTTTTTGATCCTGGCCATTCTTACAGGTATAAGATGGAATCTCAGAGTTGTTTTGATTTGCATTTCTCTGATGTCCAAGGATGTTGAGCATTTCCTTAAGTGTCTTTCAGCCATTTTAGGTTCCTCTGTTGAGAGTTCTCTGTTTAGGTCTATATTCCATTTTTTTATTGGCTTATTTGTTTTTTTTTAATGACCAATTTCTTGAGTTCTTTGTATATTTTGTAGATCAGCCCTCTGTCTGATGTGGGGTTGGTGCATGACACAGAGAGAGCACACTGGGAATAGCACAAGTCTTTTGAAACCTCAAAGTCCACTCCCCAGTGACACACTTCCTTCAATAAGTCCATACTTCCTAACCCTTCCCAACCAATTCCACCAACTGGGGATCAAATATTCAAACCTATGAACCTCTGGGGGCCATTCTCATTCAAACCACCAGAAAAGTTATATAGAAATTCTTGTTGAATTAGCAATTTTAATTATATTTCTCAGTTTATAGACCATGCATCAAAGTTGTAAAATAAATGTATTTGATACATTTCACTAGAAATCACTTCCTATGGAGAAAAATGAGCAATATATTGTTAATACTTTTTATTACACTTTTACAAAGCTTCTGTGTATGTAATCCTTAAGACAGACTGCTCTTGCTCTCTGTTTTATATTTTTGTCTAAAATAAAGGTTTAAGGCAAGTATGATAGCTGGATTAGAACTTATAATTCTAACATAATATGATATGCCAATGTAATGTAATATAGTATAAAATAGTTCTAACATCATACTCTGTCATGCTAAAAATTTTAAGTATTTTTCAAATTGTTCACATTAAGTTTTTTATGATTCTGTAATCATAAATGAAAAATGAAAAAATTGGGTGAGTTTTAATCTATATAGAATATACAATTTTTGTTTTCTTTCTTCTTCTCTCTATCTCCTTTCCTCCCTCCTCTCACTCTCTTTCTTCCTTTCTTTTGAGACATAATTTAATGTTGTGGTCCTCACTGGACTGAAATTCACTATGTAGCCCAAGATGACCTTAAACTTTATCAATCCTTCTTCCTCAGTCTCTCATGAACTTGAGTTACCTGAGCATGCTACTACACCTGGCTTTCCAAACATCAGCAGCCATGAGCTGGTTTGGCATATTTTATTTTATTTTTTTTTAATTTTTATTTTTTGGAAGTGCTACATTATGTCATAGTAGTTTCTTTAAAAAAAGGTTTAGAAATCTGTCAGTACGGAGGTTAATGTAATGTCTTGTACAGGGGTGGGCTGAAATAAGTGTTTTTCTGTCCAGAGACATTTTCTTTAAGTTCTCTGGAGTCTTAGATCTCCTCTGCTTTCAGTCACCTACTGATTTTTTGTTTTCTTTCCCCTCACCTTTAAATTTATCGCTAAATCATTTACATCTCTTTTTTACTAGGGAGTGTTGTTGATAGAGGTTTGCAGAACTTGTGGCCAGTACTTAGAATATCATCGCACTACAACTGCTCTACATGGCACACACCTAAATCCAGATGTCTTTCAACTTGAAACCCACATAGATTATGTCTTGGTCACTATTGACAATGAAACCCAGGGCCAGCAAGATGGCTTAGTTTGTAAAATGCTTGTCATGTAAGGACTTGAGTTTGGATCTGCAGCAACTTACATCAAAAGCTAGAACATTAGTACATGCCTATAATCCTAGCTCTATGGAGGCAAAGACAGGCAGATCTCCAGAGTTTGCTAGCCGTTTAGTTTTGATGACTTGGTGAGCTCCCAGTTCAGCTAGAGACCATGTCTCAAAGCAAAGGATGGAAAGCAATAGAGGAAGATACCTAACATCAACCCTTGACTTCTGCACTTACACTTACATGCACATGTTTGTGCGCCTATCCACACATACACCATTCAAGTCTAGCTGAGCATGGTGGTGCATACCTGTAGTTCTAGCTACTTGGTTGGCTGCAGCAAGGCCTGTCTGGTCTACAGCAAGTTAAAGCCTTTTTAGTGTGTGTTGTAATGTGAGCGGCGGGGCTGCGTCCCCATCACCCTGGCTGCCTGCTAGCTTATGCCCGAAATAACAACACACAAACTGTATTCTTTTAAACACTGCTTGGCCCTTTAGCTCTAGCCCTTACTGGCTAATTCTGATATCCCAATCAACCCATCTCTAATAATCTGTAAGACCGGGAAGATTCTAGCCTACGTCCATCTTGGGTTGGAGCTTCATCACGTGCGTCTGCCTGGGAGCTGGGCATGGCGTCTCTCTGCTCCAGAGAGCAGAGCTCTCGAGTCTCTGAGCTCACTTCCTCTTCCTCCCAGCATTCTGTTCTGTTTACTCCACCCACCTATGTTCTAAGCTTTGAGCCAAGCAGTTTGTTTATTACTTAACCAATGAAATCAACAGATTGATATGACACTCCCACATCAAGTGCGACCTTGTTTCCAGCTGTAAAAGGGGATTGGAAACTACTAAGCATTCAGGTCAGTGATTGTGTTTGCCTAGCATTAGTTCAGTCTTCAGCACTGCCATTACTGGAAGGAAGGAGGGCAGGAGGAAAGGAGAGAGTAAGGGGAGAGATGGAGGGAGGATTGATATGGAGATGGTTTTACATAAAATGAGAATATAAGTACAGATCAGAGAAGATATCAGTATGTATTCCTCAGCCAACTGGATCTAGCTTGTTCTACATTATGATATATACATATTAAATATTAAAATATTTTGTACTTTTCCTCAAGATTACCTGTCTGACTTAGGTCTAGATAAAAACTAGTTGAAGCTATAGTTTTAGGATTTTGTGGTAATTATCATACATTCTCATGGTATTGAGGCTACTTGAGCCAAATGTATTGCTAGTCAAATACCATTCTTATTAATCTTTATAAAATACTGTGTGCAAAATTTCAAATAACAATGTTTTTCAACTGTTAAAATAAGCAATAATTTTTTTCAAAGAAAATTGTAGATATGCAGTCTATGAATTACCTGTGACTTAAGGCCACACACTTATTTCTTATCTCCCCACTAGAATGGTTCCTGAAGGGTCTCTGGGATGTCCCCAAGGCTTTGCAGATGAGGAAAGCACAATGAGAGATTTAGATTGCGAATGCTGCCATAAAGAGATGACTGTGCTGTCGGATTACCATCCTAGGACTTTGAAAATAAACATTATATAAATTTTTACCCCAAATTACAGTTACTATATAAAGCAAAGCTAGGTTTTAATTTTGGTTATTTTTTCAGAGCACATTATTTATATAATTTGGGAACAGTAGTGGTACTGGAGCTAACCTACTTTTCTATTCTAATTTTAAAAGTGAGTGTCATTGCAGGCATGGTATATACCTGTAATCACAGTACTCAGCAGGACTAAGCAGAAGGACTGTGAGGTCAAGGCCAGGCTGGACTATGTAAATGACATGGTGCCTCTAACAAACTAACAACAACAACAAAAGGCAGATTTCATATAGCTCAGAGTTCTGTTTTGTTGTTTTGTTTGTTCTTTTTTGAAACAGTTCCCAGGTCTTACTGTATAACTAAGACTGACCTTGAATTTCTGATCTTCCTTTTCCTTCCAGTACTAGGCTGAAGACTTACACCACCATACCTTGCTTAAGATGCCTTTTTATAAATTAATTATAAGTGAAGTTATAATGTGATATGTTGTAAATATGGTTGTTAAGTGATTGATTTGTTAGCTTAAATGTCTTTCCATTTTGTCTTCTAGTTTGCCAGGGTTTGGATCCCTGATCCTGAGGAAGTGTGGAAGTCAGCAGAGTTGCTCAAAGATTATAAGCCTGGAGATAAAGTGCTGCTACTTCACCTTGAGGAAGGGAAGGTGAGAATTTTGCCTTCATTTCTTGTGTTTAGCCTGAAGTGATGGAGAGTGAAAGATAAAATCTTACTATAATTTCCTTAATCCCAATTATAGCACAAATATTGAATTATTTTAATATTATTATTTACTATTTTGATAAAATGATACTTTTTCTGCACTCTACATAGAGGCTAGTAAAAACAAGTCATGCTTTAAAACACCATCATTTTAGCTTCTACATTTATTGTGATTATCAAATTTGCTTTAATTTCTAATTTTAATACTAAAGAGGTACCTCTGCATCCATGTTTTATGTTTAGGAAAGCATTGCACTTAGTTCATAATAACTAAGTGCCTGTCTAAGATTTGATATTTGGGAAATATTTACCAAGGAGCTGTTGTATATGAAGCATTTTGTAGTCACCAGAAGACCTTACAAGCAGCCCTGTTGCTGACTAGCTGTATTCTGTGTCAGTGAACTCATCTTTGTTCCAAAGCTTTTAATCTGTCCAGTGCATTTGGCAGGCTGTGTCACACTTCTTCTTAAACAGAGCTTTGTGGCATTCATTTTCTTTAAAGAATTTATAGTCCCAGTGTTAAGTGCTCAACCTTATTTGGGGGCATCTATATTACCCTCTCCAAGGCTCAAAGAACATTGCAGAAGATGCGAGAGGATGAATATAGGAGCTGGAGGGTGTCAGGATGGGGGTGGGGTTTCTATAGAATGCTGTTTTCCTGACATGGCATGGCTGTTGCACCTTAAGCTCACAGCAGCTGTGACTGCCTACATAGGACTAGGCCCATTAGCATTGCAGCATGGATGGAGAAGGGTCTTATGAGTCCCCACTCCTCCCTGAAGAGTTACAGGTAGTAAATGATTTCTAGGGACGGGGAGTCATATTCCTCAGTGGTGCAGCCACTGGTAAGTTGCTCTTCCTTGAGTTAATAACCCCAACCCATGTTCATGCAGACAACCCTAATCAGATGCAATGGGATCTGTCCCTACCCACTTCTGATCCCTATCTCCCCATAGACATGAAAGTAGGAGGGAGTTTCTTGGGAAGAAGAAAGGACTCAGTGGAAGAGGGAGGGGATAATAAAAGGGAATAGGAGGGGGAATATGACCAAATTGTGTGTGTGTGTGTGTGTGTGTGTGTGTATGACTAAAATAATAAAACCTTTAGAAGAACTTTCTGTTTAAGTTAGGTACAGCGTCTCATTCCTGTATTCCTAGCATACAGGAGGCTGGGGCAGGAGAATTGCAAGTTTGAGTCCAGCTTGGTCTATATAATGAGGTATTGTTTCAATACATAGAACAAGGGATGGTGAGATGGCTCAGGAGATAAAGATCCTTGCCACAAAACCTGATGACTTGAGTTTAATCCTCAGGATCTGTATGATAGAAGGAGAAAACTAGTTCCAGAAACTTGTCCCCTGGCTTCCACCTGTGTGTCATGGTAGATGCATGTGTACATGTGTATGCCTCCTCCCATACATTAATAAATAAGTGTAATTTAAAAATTTAAAACAAAGTAAGAAAAATCATAATCTAGCCAGGGGAACTTGATATAACTACATGTAACGCTAAATAATTAGGAATTAGAATAGGGCAGCACTAGGATTCTCAAGACTTCTACTCTGTTTCCCTGTTGCTGTGATAAACGCCATGACTAAAACTAATTTGAGGAGGAAAGGTATTATTTCATCTTACAGCTTACATTCATTGTCAAGGGAAGCTGAGTGAGTAAGGAACTCAAGGCAGGGACTTGGAGACAAGAACTAAGCAGTGACCACGGAGGAATGATGCTTACTGGCTGGCGCTGGGAGACAGCATCACTGTCTAGAACAACCTGCTAAACTCCATTTACAGCATTTAGCCCTTTTCTAGTACAGAGTTCCAAAGATTTCATATTCCTTCAAAAACCCCACGTAGTCTCGTCTTCACAGCAACAGCCTGCTTTTTGGTTTCAACTTCTGTATTAATGGCCTTTCTGCTGCTGTGATAAAACACCGCAGCAGAAGCATCTTACAGAAGAAGAGTTTATTTGGACTTAGAGTCCAGAGGGATAAGAAGTCTGTTATGCTGGGAAAGTATGGCAGCAAGTGGCAGGTGTGGTGGGAGCAAGAAGCTGAGATCACATATTTTACTACAAGCATGAGGCAGAGAGATCAAACTAGAACTGGGGCAAGGCTGCATGTATACTCCCTAAGCCCATCCTATTGCATTCCTTCAGCAGGGCTACATCTCCACACCTCCCAGCACAGTGACCAACTGGGCACCAGGTATTTAAATGCCTGATCCTAAGGGGACATTTATCATTGAAACCACCGCAATGTTAAAACAAGTATATGTTTATTTTTCAAATGATTAACCCATGCATTGAGTACTTACTGAGTATCAAGCATGATTCTAACTCTTTTAAGGCAATTCATCTCTTAGGGTCCTTCTTGTTTCCTGGCTTCTCTGGAGTTGTGGCCTGTAGGCTGGTTATCCTTTTCTTTATGTCTGATATCCACTTAAGAGTAAGTACATACTATGTTTGTCTTTCTGGGTCTGGGTTAACTCACAGGAAACATGGAGGACTCTAAGAGATATACATGGATCCCCCAGAAAGGGGAAATAGAGAAGATCTCCTAAATAAATTGAGAGCAAGTGGTGTAGGGTAAAAGGGAGTGAGAAGGAGAGAAAGGGGAGGGGGGAGGAATATGTGAGGGATCGGGAAGGTTGGGAGAAGAATAGAGAAGGAGAGCAAGTGAAGAGATATCTTGATAGAGGGAGCTATTATGGGGTTAGCAAGAAACCTTCCATTAGGAAAATTCCCAGGAATCCACAAGCATGACCCAAGCTAAGAATATGAGCATTAGTGGAGAGGGTACCTAAACTGCCCTTCCCCCATAATCATATTGATGACTGCCTTAATTGTCATCGTAGAACCTTCATCTAATAGCTGACAGAAGCAGATGTAGAGATCCACAGCTAAGCACTGGGCTGAGCTCCTGGAGTCCAGTTACAGAGAGGGAGGAGTGATAATATAAGCAAAAAGGTCAAGACATGATGGGGAAGTTCACAGAAACAGCTGACCAGAGCCAGTGGGAGCTCACTGACTCTGGACTGACAGCTGGGGAACCTGCGTAAGACTGAACTAGGCCTTCTGAATGTGGGTGACAGTTGTGTGGTGTGAGCAATTTGTAGGGCAACTGGTAGTAGAACCAGTATTTATCCCTAGTTCATGATTTGGCTCTTTGGAGCCCATTCCATGTGGAGGGATACTTTGCTCAGCCTAGATACAGCGGGGAGGGCCTTGGTCCTGCATCAAATGATGTGTGTCAGACTTTGTTGACTCCCCATGGGAGGCCTCACCTTCTCTGAGGAGTGGAAGGGGTGTGGGGTAGGGGAAATGTGGGGGGAGCAAAAGGAGGGGAGGGAGAGGAAATTGGGATTGGTATGCAAAATAAAAAAGATTGTTTTAAAAAAATTTTAAAAGAAGGGGAACTTGCCTCAAAAAATTAAAAAAAAGACAAATGTAACATGAGGTCCTGCTAGTTGGGGTTTCTGTCCTGCCCACAGCCGGTAAGCCCCAAAGAAATTACACAGAGAGTCTATATTAATGATACACGGATTGGCCCATTAGCTCAGGCTTCTTATTAGCTCTTGTAGCTTATCTTAACCCATTATTCTTATCTGTGTTAGCCACATGGCTCAGTACCTTTTTCAGCAGGGCAGGTCACATCCTGCTTCTTAGGTGCTCTGGGAAGGACGGGGAGAAATAGGCTTCCTCCTTCCCAGAATTCTCCTGTTCTCCTCACCCCACCTCTACTTCCTGTCTGGTTGACCTGCCTATACTCCATGCCTGGCCAATCAGCATTTATTTAAAACACGATTGACCGAATATAGACAATTCTCCCACACCACTTTCCCCTCTTTTTTTTTTTTTAAACAAAGGAAAATATCCATAGTGCATTTTTTGGGAATGTGGGCATAGTATTTCAGGCTACTTCCGGCTGGTTGGGGGCGCTAATAATCTTATGGGGACCTAAAGGAAATTTAGAGTTATGATCAAGTCCTAACTGGAGTATCCTATGAGGCTTGATCATCTCAGGCAGCATCTTGAATCTGTTCTGGATGTAGAACTCTGACAGCTGGGCCATCTGTTCCTACTGGAGATTTCTCAGGTGGTCTTCCTTGATCAAACCTGATTTTTCTTAACTCAGAATGAATCCACAGTCTCTCATTTCCTGTGGAAACAAAAGCAAAACCTCTTCTCCAAAGTAACATACCTTTTGACTTCAATTTTGAAGTCGAGGTATTTTCAAAATACCTATCTTGGATTAATTCAGCAGCATTTATAAACAAATATCTTTTAGGAGCTGTTGCTCCTTCCTCAGCATTCAAACAATTCAAAGAGAGCATAATGACATACAGTATCAAGATTCTCTGTGTATTTTTCATCTTTACGTGGCTTTATTTAAACCTCTATTTCTTTTATTTTTACTTTTTGGCTTTTTGAGACAGGTTCTCTGTGTATCTTTATCCATTTAGCCCTAGAGAAAAATCACACAGAGGTCTCCATAAGATTATAAACTGATTGACCCATTAGCTCAGGCTTCTTAATTAGCTCTTGTAGCTTTATATTAACCCATTATTCTTATCTATGTTAGCCACATGGCTCAGTACCTTTTTCAGCAGCGCAGGTCATATCCTGGTGGACTGGGCAGGACTGGGGAGAATGGGCTTCCTCCTTCTCAGAATTCTCCTGTTCTCATTGCCCCACCTCTACTTCCTGTTTGGTTGACCCACCTATACTTCCTGCCTGGCTATTGGACCAAAAACAAAACCCAAAAGACAATTCATTTTTTTAAAGACAAGGTCTCACAATTGAGCACTGCCTAGCCCAGAACTCTCTTTACAGACCAGGCTGGATTGGATCTCATTGAGATTCACCTTTCTCTGCCTCTTCTGGTACTAAAGGTGTATATCACTGAACCCATGACAATTATTTTAATCTTTACAATAATACTATGAGTAGGGCTATTACTATTTCTATTTTATTTGGTTTTGTTATTGTTGTTTGGAGGTACGATTTCATGCCATTCAGGTAGGTACAGAGGAAAGGTAATTGAACCACATGGCAGAATGAAGATTAATAAAAAAAAACATGTTAAATTATAAGAGCTAGTTGGGAATAAAACCTGAGCTAAGGCCAAGTCTTCATAATTAATAATAAAATAATATAAAAACTCTTGATCTTCACTAGTATATGGAGAGTAATTAGTGTTTTAGAATACAAATAGTGAAGTTTGTGTTTCAGAGAAGGTACTATGGATATGATTTCAGGAAAACAGCTGAGACAAAGAGATTTGGTAGAGGATTAGACCAGATTAAGGAAGCCCTGAATGTCAAGCTACAGAATTACAGTATCCAACATTTATTATTTGTCTGCTTTATAGTATTAGGCGCTCTGTTAGACCTGTTGGCCTATATTTTCTAATGTCAGTTCACAGCTCTATAGGTTGTTAGGTTCAGAGGCATCAGATAGATTTGCCTGAAGTCAGTGTAATTAACAAAAACAAGTCATCAACCCTATAGTCATGCACACTGTCGTCCCAGTACTTGGGAAATAGAGTGGAGAATCAAAAGTTTGTAAGTTATTCTGAACTACTTAGGGCCAGCCTGGAATACATGAGATCCCGTGTTTCAAAAACAAAAAACAAACAAAAAGAGAAAAAAAAGAGGAGGAAGAGCAATTCTTAGAACAGGATGCAAGTAAGAAAAATAGACAAAGTCTCCCTGCAACTGACCAATTTCCTTTTTAGGAAATACAGTAGTTTAGGTCCTAGAATACAATAGAAAAAAACCCATGGTCTTTGCAATACTAGAGTGCACATTTATTTGATAATGACTAGTCATTTCAGAGAAGCAGATTATATCCATTCCAAGAGGGAATTTTTATAAATATGTTACAGATGACTTTTGCCTTGTTAGTGTCTTCTCTAATATCCCAGTTCCATTTTATTTTCCTATACTGACCAAATAATTGCACCATCCTTCTATGAAGACTGAGAAAAACATTCTTGGATGACCGTCTGCTGTTCTGGAACTATACGATGAATTTGTATTATCAAACTATGAAGATCATGAGCATATCTAAAGCCCCACATCCTCCAGGGTGTGATATCAGTCCATATTGTCACACTATCTAGACATAAACAGAAAAGATCAGTGAGGTTCCTGACCCCAAACATGCCATCGAAGGTGGGCAGGCAAGCAGAATGTAGTGAAGGGAATCTAAAGCACTCAGATTGGAGCAGTAAGGAAACAGAGGTGGACTGACAGAGCTAGTGCAGTGAGTAGTCAGCCACAGAAAAGGACCTCATCCCTGGAGGAGCTAACAGAGGGGAAAGGCACAAAGCTCCATGCCTTTCCTGTATGCTAATCCATTTCTACCTGATTTAAAATTTAACTTCTCAGTACATCTTCATTAGTAACAAACGAGTATGTTCCGCTATAATTGAACCCATCTTTTCTTCTTTTCACTTGGCCTATATTATTTGTCCCTAATATATAGTAAAGTGGCAGCTTTCATAATTGGTGTTGTCAAAAAGTCCCATATACCTATGATTTTATAATGCATAGTACTTCTTACATTTATTTTGACATTTAGTGTACATATTCATGTATGTGTATATATGTGTTCTTGCCATGATGCACATACACAGGTCAAAGGACAGGTTCAGGAGTTGCTTTCATTTCTCTATGTGGGGATCAAATTCAGGTCTTGTATGTATAAATATGTACACACAGTGTGGCACGTAATTTCAGGGAACTCTTGGGGTCCTTAGGGCTTCAGAAATCTTAGGGGTTCTCAGATTGTGCTAAGCATTGCTTCTTTAATTTTTTTCCAAAGTTTTTGAGCTGTTTTTGTTAAACCACCTTACAAATGAAAAACTTAGTTTAAATAATACACACAAAGCTACATAGAAGTTAAGTGTCAGTATTAGGTTTTGAACCCAGGTCAGGCTGACTTTAAAACTAAGTTCTTGACCTCTTATATCCTTTCCCATACATAGAATGAAGAGGAAGATGCGAACTCATCTAATGGTTGAAATTTTCTGGGTAAAAAATCTTTACACTCCAGCTGAGCAGTCGTGGTGGACACCTTTAATCCCAGCACTCGGGAGACAGAGGCAGGAGGATCTCTGTGATTTCAAGGCCAACCTGGTCTATACGAGCTAGTTCCAGGACAGGCTCCAAAGCTACAGAGAATCTCTGCCTTAAAAAAAAAATCTCCACACTCTGACTTCTTCCACTATATTAACAAAAACCATTTACAGTGGTGCTGGAGCGATGGTTTAGTGGGTAAGAGTATATATTGCTCTTCCAGAGGACCAGAGATTGGTTCCCTGCATTGGGCAGCTCATGCCTATAATTCCAATTCCAGGAAATCCAATGTCTAGTCTAGACAACTGCATCATGTACACACATACACCCTCACACACTACACACATGCATACATGCATAATTAAATATAAAAATAAAATTTTAAATTATTTGTGCAGATTTATGTCTGTTGGAAAAGAAACCACTCCTTATTGTTTGCCATTTTTACTAGTTTCTCTGTTAATAGAAAAATGATAGAAAATAAATACATTTAAAAGCCACGAGGCAAATCAGAAATAGGGAATAATCAAGTGCATAGGTCTGTTTCACGTTCATCATTATTGACCTAGATATTGCATCTCTGTCCTCAGGATTTGGAATACCGTCTAGATCCAAAGACCAAGGAGCTGCCTCACTTACGGAACCCTGACATACTTGTTGGAGAAAATGATCTCACGGCCCTCAGCTATCTTCATGAGCCTGCTGTGTTGCATAATCTCCGCGTTCGTTTCATCGATTCCAAACTTATTTATACATATTGTGGTAAGTGCTTTCCTGATGAGCTCTAAGCTTTCCTTTGGTGGATGTAGTAATGGAAATGCAGATGGGGAAAGCCAACTTGGTTGAATTTCTCATGCATACAAAATCACTTTGAAGTTATCAGAAGGATTTGCCAGTATCCAGTAGCTGGTTACAGTTCATGCCAGATAAAGTTACTTGTGAATTTACATGGTTTCACTCAACTTAAAAAGAACAAACAGGTCCAGTTTTTTGGACCATCCCCTCCCAGTCATGTCAGATGCTGAAATCACCAGTCCTTTTCATCTCGTAAAAACCTACTCCATGAAGAGTAGGTGTCCACAGACTGGTATTTGGTGCAGGTGGAGGTTAGTGCTACCTTTATCCTTACTTAGACACCCAGGACTGACATGTGACGAGTGTCTCTTTCCTGCAGTGCTATCAGCCAGCAGCCCAGCTCATGATGGTTTTCTCCAAAGTGAAGCTGGAACCTGTGGACATGGCTGCAGTTCTTCTCCTAGCCCCATCTGTCTTTGTTTTTCTCTTCTCTATTTTTTTTTTTGGTTTTTCGAGACAGGGTTTCTTTGTGGCTTTGGAGCCTGTCCTGGAACTAGCTCTGTAGACCAGGCTAGTCTCGAACTCACAGAGATCCGCCTGCCTCTGCCTCCCGAGTGCTGGGATTAAAGGCATGCGCCACCATTGCCCGACTTCTCTTCTCTATTTTGTTCATAGTTATTTCCTCCCACTTCTCTGGCACTTCTCCCTCATGATCTTCCCTCTCTCCTACTAATCATGGCTCTTCTGAGGTCCAGATCCAGGTGTTCACTCTTTCCCATGTGCTCATTGGCTTGCTGGCCCATGTCGTGTTTATCATGATTTCACTATTGTCTATTTAAGCAGGCACAGCCACTTTTTCCTCTCAAGAGAATTTGTCTTACATACCCTTAATGATAACCTTTCTTTCCCCCTCTTATTTAAATATATTTTCCTTGTTTTTCTTCAATTTATATTTTAAAATTTATTTTATATGTATGAGTGTTTGTCTGCATGTTTGTATGTGATATGTACACCACATGTATAACATATCAGGTGCCTGTGGAGGTCAGAAGAGGGTATTAGATGCCCTGGAACTGGAGTTATGGGTGGTGATGAACCACATGTGGTGCTGGGAGCCAAACCCAGGTCCTGTCCAAAAGCAGCTCTCTTAACTACTGAGCCCTCTCACCAGCCTTTCAATTTATTTATTTATTTATTTTCACATGTCATATTTTTCCATGTTTTTTTTCTTTTGAGACAGTATCTCATATAGCCCAGACTGTTCTGGAATGCATTATGTAGCTGAGGATAACCTTGAACTTCTGATTCTTCACCTATCTCCACTTTCTATGACACTTAGTAGTCTTCAGAATTCAGAATACTCAGTAATCTGTGGTGTGGAACAATGCTCATGTAGAATCACAGTGATTCTAGTATATGTTTTGTTGGTTTCTGTTTTCACTGTATGACTACCAGTGTGAGATTCTTCTAAAAGAAAACCCTTTGAATAAATCTCTGATTATTTCATTGGATAAATCTCTAGAAATGAGCGTGTGTGTGTCCATGCATTTTGGTGCTTGCAAAGTCTAGAAGGTCTGATTCCCAGGAGTTGGAGTTACAGGCAGTTGTGAGCTGCCTGACATGGGTGCTGGGACCTGAACTCAGATCCTCAGCAAGGTCAGCAAGTGCTCTTTACCCCTGAGCCATCTCCTCAGCCTGCAGTTTTTTAAAACTAAATATTAAAATATTTAAATTGTTTAAAACACTGTTATTTTTCTTTTTCCACAACGGAGATAGAACCCAGAGGTTTCTGAATGATTGACAAGTCCCCTGCTTCTGCGCCCCATCCCTATCCAGGTCACATTATTTTAAACAATCTAGCCCAGATTAGTTAGGATTATGTATAATAATTTAGAATGGCAATGACTGTGATATATTTTGACCTTTGAGCAATTCATTAGTTTAGTATGAACTGAATTGAAACAAGATTTTGTGTTGCTTCACTTTACCAAGCTTGATGTGCCCATTGGGATATCACTGATTTCATTTTCTTTCTCACCCTCTCCCCCATTCCCAGGAATAGTCCTAGTAGCTATAAATCCCTATGAACAGCTGCCTATTTATGGAGAAGATATTATTAATGCATATAGTGGCCAGAACATGGGTGACATGGATCCTCACATCTTTGCAGTAGCTGAAGAGGCTTATAAGCAAATGGCAAGGTTGGTAGGAACTTCTTTCATCATTTCATGGCTCTTCTTAGATAAGATAATTTATTCTTTGCTGTCATGGGTGTTTAAAGAAAATAAGAACTTGAAAATAATTACTGCCTAAGTAGCTTTGACCAATTTGTCTTAGATTGTTTGAACTATTTAATTAAATATTAAAATCTTACAATAATACACAGATTATATAGTTTGGTTTTAAGTTACCTTTGGAATCTCATCATGCTCTTATGACAAAGCAAGGACAGGTATTGTGTTTTATAGGTGAAAGAGTCAAAGTTTAGTAGTAACCGTAGTAAGAAGTGACTTGTCTAATGTCTCTCAGAAAAGGAACAGATGAACTAAAAGATCTATGAGCTAGAAAATAAATTATCTCTATGTAGCAAATACTGGCGGTGGTGGGGCACGCCTTTAATCCCAGAGGCAGAGGCAGAGGCAGGCGGATCTCTGTGAATTCGAGACCAGCCTGGTCTACAGAGCTAGTTCAGGACAGGCTCCAAAACCACAGAGAAACCCTGTCTCGAAAAACCAAAAAAAAAAAAAAATTATAATATGACATCAGTTATGTGTGTATAAAGAATATCTGCAAAATGTGTCTCATATGACCCACAGAGCCCTAAGAGTTTGAGGGCAGAGACTGGTGAATAAAGGTACATTCAGGGTAAGATCATACTCTGAATAGTAAGTGATATGTTGTAATGTGAAAGGATGAGTGCATAAAGAAGTTAATTTCTCTTGCTTACAAGGAGGAACTTGGTAAAATATGAAGTGGGAAACCCCCAAAGCAGTTTATAAAACAGAAAGGAAATTAACACTATAGAGGCCTTTATTTTCTCTTTTGAAACCAGTGTACATTTTGGGTTCAAACTGTGACAGAATTTTATAATTATTTCAATTTAAGAGCCCATAGAAGTTTTAATAATAATACTACTTCTAATAAGAGCTAAAGTTAACTGTCTGCTGTCTCCCTACATGGTATTGATTAGTTACTTTCAATTTGCTAACAAAATTTATCTTCACAACAACTTTTTGAGTTTGGTGTTGTTAGTAAATTAAAACTTCATTTTATAATTGGTAAAATTGTGGCTCAGAGAACTTGTATAATTTTTCTGAGGTTTCATCAATAGGAAGATCATTTTTTAAAATTCAGTTAGTCTGAGTAAAATATTAGTATATTAAATATAAAATTGCTAAATGAACTAGCAGTATATAATATGCTACATTTTGCCTGATACTTCTATAAAATGGTAATGATTATCCAAAGTTTAAAGCTTTTTTTTTTTTTTTTTTTTGAGACAGGGTTTCTCTGTAGCTTTGGAGCTTGTCCTGGAACTAGCTCTTGTAGATTAGGCTGGCCTTGAACTCACAGAGATCACCTGCCTCTGCCTCCCAATTGCTGGGATTAAAGGCACGCATCACCACTGCCCCCCCCCCAAAGTTTAAAGCTTGACATTGAGAAAATTCCATCTGTCAGTACATTTTTCCTCTAAGCTGAACATTGTCTACTAGTACTTGGTTTTTCTAGTTCTCGAGCTTTGCAGTACAATGCTGACACCACTCAGAACAGCCTGAGACCCACTAGTCAGAGAGGGGATCCCATGAGTTGCTGGACTCTAAAATTGATCTCTGAAGAATTTTTAATACTTAAAAAATTATACAACTTTTCAGAAAATACTTTCTTTGGCTCAAGGGATCAAAGCAAGAGTGTTGCATATGCTCAGTCCATTCTCAACCCCAGTACTGTTCTTTAATCTGAAAGCAGGGTTCTTTCATCATTGTGGTGGCAACCCTCAAATGTCAGCAGATTCAGCTTGCTTCCTGGCATTCTCCTCATCCCACATGATATTTCCCGTGAGTCAATCAGTATGATTTCTTTCTTTCTTTTTTTCTGAGACAGGGTTTCTGTGTTTAGCAGACTTAGATGTCCTGGAGGTAGTTCTTATAGACCAGGCTGGCCTCGAACTCACAGAGTGCTGGAATTAAAGAGGGGTGCCACCACCGCCCGGTCATTAGTATGATTTCTTAATTGAAGGTTGTGGTTTTTCTTTACCTAATTTTCTCTTATAGATACTTTGAAAATATGCTTCAGTTAGAGTTAGGATATTTATCACTTGTATTAATGAATCTGCATCCACAAAATCTACAGTCACCAAACAGGGTATGTCTGCTTTGGCTTAGTCAGGAATCAGTGCTGGAGGATCATTTCTTATTTTTTTTTCCTTACCAGATAAACATGCCATCTTTCCCAGATGTGAATCTTGGTGTTTCATATCAGCACTGTTTGTACAAACCCCTTAGATTTTAGGAAAGATACAATTCATCATTACTGACAGAAATTTTATAATCACAATTCAAAAACCAGCCAGTATCCTGGACATGATGTGCAGCAAACTAGATAAAAGTTCCACCCCACAAACAAAGCCTAGTAAAGAATAAAAGTAAATAAATAGGGCTTATGTTTGTCACCTATCGATAGGGTGATTGATTAAATGGGAGTGTTATTATAGCAGTGTTAACTTTCCTGACTTTGGTCCTTATAAATTGGTAAGAACAAAGCTCTTCTTAGGAACCATATTGTGAACCATATTGTGGTAGGAAGATACATGTTTACAGTCCATACTCAAAATGCTGCAGAAATTATTAGATTGAGAGAAATAGAGAAACATAGTAAGTGGACAGCTCCTGGCTCTGAGGCAAACATAAGCAGGAATTCATTTTACTGTGCATGGAGTTTTCTACAAGTTTGAAATCACAACAAAGTAATTTTACAATAACAAAACAGAGCAAGCTAAAGTAAAACTCAGGAGATGGGGTAGGTTAATCAGTGAACTGAGTGAGAAATGACAATTCAGTTTAGAATATTAATGAGGATGGCGAGAAGAAATAGGTATATATTCTAAATATAATTTTAAGATGGAACTGGGAAAAAACTGGCTGATACAGGGTAAAAGAGAAGCAGGAGTCAGAATAATAACAAGAATTTGTTCTGAGAGCTAGAAGGTGAGCAATTCCCTTTCTAGAGATGAAGAGGTTACAGGAAGAGTGGATCATGTGTACATGGTAGGGGTGAAGAGGTGGGTTTACATCTTAGTTTATTTTTTTAATCCACATATATGAGTATTTTACCTGCATGTATATATGTGTATCATGTTAGTGCAGCACCTGAGGAGGCCAGAAAAGGGCCTGGTACAAGTGCCTTTTCCTGTGGAGCCATCGTGCTAGGGGTTTTAGTTAGAAATGATCACGCCCCATCTCCATTTTAAACATGCTCCTTAGAGAGCACTGCCCGTATTGTCAGACTCTTCCTTTAATGGGCCTGTTGACTTCCAGAGGAGAAAAGATGAGTGGAGTTGGGGTCTTTGTTTCTCTTGTATTCCTTTCCTCACATTCTTACTTGTCTTTTCTCATCTTAAAGCTGTTTATTTGTGTGTAGTGTGTGGTGTGATGTGTGGTGTGTGGGGTGTGTGTGTGTTAGCAGAGAGGAAAACTTGCGGGAGTCAGTTCTCTTTCCATGTGAATTTCAAGGATGGAGTTCAGTTAATCAGTCTTAGTACTGAGCCAACCGACTTTGACTTCTGAGCCATCTCACTGGGCCCTGATTGTTCTCCTTTACCAAAATCACAGTGTTATTCTATTAAAGCATCAAAAATTAGTTTGGTTTTCTTAAAGCCATGTGGTGTGGTATCATCTTAATCTTATATATTTCCTGTCCTTTCTGAGTCATAGAGCAATGTTCCTAAGTTTCACTTATAGTTTTGAATGAATAAAAAGTTAATACTGTCAAATTAACCTTGAAATAATTTTTAAAAAAGAGCTATCTGTACTAGTTGCTTCTAATAGCCATAGAACTTAAATCTCAGGATCTTCGTTTAATCAACTATAAGATGGAACAGTTTCACAAATGGTCTAGCTTGACCGTTATAATGTTCTGTAAAATGTATTTGTTATCCTTATATATGATAGGAAAATGCATGGGCATTTTCCTTCTTTTTTGGGAAGGACAGACCAGGATAAGGAGTGACAAAGCAAAGCACAAGGAGCCTACTCTAGACCTCCCTATACCTCTGGAGTTAGGCTGTAACAATCCACTGTCTAGATATACTAGTCATCAACTTTGGGCAAACTAACTCCTCTGTTGTTTTCTTCAAAGAGGACAAGAGAGTGTCTGTCCTTATTCTTCCAGGATTTAAAATTATCCTGGCTGATAAGTACAGAAGCACTTTGAAAAATATGAAGTAGAATTCAAATTCAAGCTCTTCCTTTCATTATTGTGAAGCACCATCTCTTTAGTCTTCTTCCATCCATTTAGACATGTCATCTGCTTTTGTTACTTCTGACTTTATTACCAGGCCTTTCTCTCATTTCGTTATGTGGTTTCTGAATGTTCTTGTGTTCTGAGGTTCATTGGCTAAGTGGGAAATGACTCTTATGGGTGATGAAATCTCTCCTGTTAACACCAGTGACTCAACTACCATGTGGTGCCAAGTATCCTAGTTATATAACAGGCTTGGTGTAATGCATGCTACCTTACAAGGATAATTTTATACAGATGCTTTGTGACTTTCAGTCAGTACATCCTAAGTTAGGTTTGGTACCACCTGTGTATATGCCATGTGTTATAATATTAGTATACAATAGCTCCCAAGGTTTATGTGTTGAAGATTTGGTACTATTATTGAGAGACAATTGGATAATGCACTAACTTCTTCAGTGAGTTAATCTATTAAGTTCCACGTTGAATACACTACTATGAAGTACAACCTGGCTAGAGGAAATAGGCTGCTGGGAATATGTCTTTTAAGGGTTTCTCTCATCCCTTCCGCCTGCTCAGCTTTGTCTGCTTCCTGGCTGCCATGAGGTGAGCAGCTTTGCTTTTGCTTTCTTGTTCTGTACCGTGATTCGCGGTACAGTCAACAGACCCAAGTGAACGTGGACTAAAATACAAAAAAAAACCAAAAATCTTTCCTCCCTGCATCAGTTACTTGTATTGTTGCTGTAACAAGGTACTTGACAAAAGCAATTTAAGGAGCGAAGGAATTATTTCGGCTCACAGTTTAAGGGTCAAGTCCTTCATGGCCGAAAGTCACAGCAGAAGAAATGAGGCAGCCAACATCAGTCAGGAAACAGAGATAAATGCTGATGATCAGCTCATTTTCTTCTAGGACCCCAGCCCCTGGAGTTGTATTGCCACATTTACTTATTTAACCAAATTAAGGTAATCCCTTTACAGACATAGCCAGTGATTCTAAATCTGACCAATTTAACAATCAAGTTTAAACATCATGGCGTTACCCATTGTCAATTTGATATCCAAACATAGTGCTTTAAAAGCATAATCTTTACTTCTTATCCCTTTGGCTCATGGCTGTCTCATAATGTAAAGTGCGATCAGTCAAATTCTAAAGTCTCTATAGTATTTGTCAGTCCCAACACTGTTTAAAAATTCTAAGTCCAAGTCTCATCTGAGACTCAAAGCAATTTCTTAACTACAAACTCCTATAAAATATAAAACAAGTTATATACTTTCAGCATACTTTATTGTGGCATGAAGTAGTCATTCATGGTCACTTCATTCTGACATTCTGGCAGCTTTCCTTAATCAATGACTCATGGTCTCACGTCCCCAATATCCTGGGTCTCCATTGCAACTTAGGCTTCATCTTCACACAACAGCAAAAAATAATAGTATTCTATTACTGTATCTTCAGACATGAGTGTGTTGACATTTTTTAAAATGAAATTAGCCAACAAAGTAAATTCTTACCTGGTTCTGTAGGTGATTGGTAGGAATAGGAGCTTTTGGGTGATTCTACTTTACAGATCATTAGCAGATAGACAATTTGAAATATTTCAAGTGATTATAAATAGCTTTAATTAAGAACCTTTTTCTAAATTCTTTTGTTGTGGATCCAGCATTCCCTTTTTTATTCTTTTCTTTTCTTTTCTTTTTTTTTTTTTTTTTTGAGACAGGGTTTTTCTGTAGCTTTGGCGCCTATCCTGGAACTAGCTCCTTGTAGACTAAGCTGTCCTCCAACTCACAGAGATTTGCCTGCCTCAGTCTCCTGAGTGCTGTGATTAAAGGCGTGCGTCATCATTGCCTGACTTCCCCTTTTGTTCTATGGTAGCTGACAACAATATTATAAATCCCAGTGAAAATCTCCATGAATAAAATACTGTGAGATACATGGAAAATTCAGAATGCCTTTAACACAGAGTTGTCCTTAGTTATATGATTCTTTTAAGTTAATGGTATACCCTTCTTTTCTGTCCTTGTGTATAGATGGTCATTATGAAATACTATATTTCTTAATATTGTTTCAAATAAATACATTTATTTGTTTCAGATATGTTTATATGTTTCAAATAAATATATTTGCTTCTACATTGTTGTGTATATGAACTAGCAGAAGTTCACTCTGCCTCATGGGAAGAAAGGATCAGAAGTAATCACATTCAGAAGTAGACGCACTGGCAGTCACTCTTATTTGTTTTATAGGGATGAACGAAATCAATCCATCATTGTAAGCGGAGAGTCGGGTGCAGGAAAAACTGTCTCAGCTAAGTATGCCATGCGATACTTTGCAACTGTAAGTGGTTCTGCCAGTGAGGCCAATGTTGAGGAAAAGGTCTTGGCCTCCAACCCCATCATGGAGGTAAGAGCAACATTCTCAACCTTTGTTCTATAGTCTCTGGTTAAGCAATGAGCTGAAAACTTGATTGTTATTGTCATGTCAGAAAGTCTAAGGTTTCCAGTCACTATAGCTAAGGAAATACTTTCCTGTGTTTTAGTAAGAGATCTGGTAAAAGTGAAAATTTTGCAAGGTGGGTATTTCAAGTAAACCCTAGGTATAGAGGAATTCACATTACTCTATAATGCTTCCTTTGAACTTTCAGAAAGAATTCTGCCTATAATACTAGGCAGCACTTCTTCATACGTATTGTTCCTTGTACAGAGGGTAAGGTTACTCATTTTCTCCCAGTCCTGAGTACTTGTTTATACTCCTTCCAAATCAGGGTTTGCTCTCACTCAAACATGAGTGAGTTCTATTATCATTTTACCCACATTATATTTTTTGTGCTTAGTTCAACCTCTTCAGCTACTAATTTTAATTGTTTCCAAAATCTAGATTATAGACATAAACCATTATCACATGAGCACTTTTACTTTTTTTAAAAAAGGAAAGTGTTGCAGGCAGTAATGGTGTACACTTTTAATCCTAGCACTCAGGAGGCAGAGACAGGTGGATCTCTGTGAGTTTGAGACCATCCTGGTCTACTCTCTGGATATGATGGCTCATGACTTATCCCAGAATTAGGAAAGCTTAAGGGAAGAAGATCACCATAAGCTGGAGGCCAGCCTGGGCAGCAGACCGAGACCCTCCTCAGAAAACCAAACCAAAGCAAAGTCAAGGACATATACAAAGTAGAAATGCCTGTGCCAAAGACAAGATGGCCAAATGTATGACAATTTTATCTTTAAAGATTTGTAGATGAAGAGAACTCCAGAAAGTTATTGCTCTGAAAATTGAAAAATAGATTTCATTAAGTAGAAAGAAATCAGGACAGGCAGAAACAAATCCTTCCTGTCAAAATCACATGGGTATGATTTTATCCCTGTCTTTTTCCTCTGTCAAGTTCTTGTTATCACCCAAACACAGATGGAGCTAAAATTGACCTGATGCGCCTTGGTAGAAGTGGTTTTTGCAGTAATCTGACTAGAGGTAACTGTGCCTGGTTTGCAGTGCTGTGTGTAATGTCTGTAAAATGAATGCTGTGACCTCTGTCTATATGGCTGCCCATTAGAGCAGCGCACTCACCTTCCTGGATGACCTAGACAAGATATTCTGAGGAAGCCGAAAGACCTCCAAAGCTAGGTGTGCTGCAGGAAGAAGGAGGAAGAGGTGTGTGTTGTAACATGGGCATGGAGGAGCAGGTGGCTGTGCCAAAGGAAAGCAGTAAAATTTAAAATTAAGAGTTTGAAAGTATTTAGCTCTGTATATAGTAGTGGATGCTACTGGTGTTAATATTGAAGCCATATATTTTGTGGAGCCAGTTTTTAACTTGAGTTAAAAATAACAGGGCTTAGCTTGGGCTTTTATTCATTTTCCCCAGTGCAACAGATTTCTAGTATTTGACAGAGTCCTAAGACATCCTAGTTCCTAATCTTAGACTATTAAAAAATCTTGATTGTCATAGCTTTAGGAAATCCCATGTCTACTAGGCTGGATCATCCAAAACTAGAATTTGAGTTTGTCTTGGGAATACATCCCTGAGGGAGTCTCCTCTGTGTGTTGCTTGTATTGGTTAATGAATAAAGAAACTACCTTGGCCTGATAGGGCAGAATGACCTTTTTAGAATATGCCAAGGGCTGTTTCCTACCTCTTTCAAAAATCAGCTGTATCTTTTGTTGTAGTGGTTTTCAGTACACATTTGAGTTTTGTTAGTAAAAATAACATTAATTTGAAAATGGGCACAAGGCTGCTCAGCTCCGAAATAATCACACAGAAACTATATTATTTAAAACACTGCTAGACCCATTAGCTCTAGCTTCTTATTCGCTAACACTTATATCTTAGTTTAACCTGTTTCTAGTAATCTGTATGTCGCCACGTGGCTATGGCTAACCTGGCCAAGTTCCCAGTGTCTGTCTTCAGTGGGGCTACATGGCTTCTCCTAAAGTCCACCTTCTTCCTTCCAGCATTCAGTTTAGTCCCCCCCCCGCAAGTTCTGCCTTAGTATAAGTCAAAAGCAGGTTTTTTTTTTTTAATTAACCAATGGTATTCACAGCATACAGAGGGGAATCCACATCAGATACTCTTTTTAGTAAAATGCAATTATGAGGAATTTACCTTGTTTGCTGAGATGAGCAAAAAAGAAAAAGGTTCTCTTTCTGTATTACTGTTTACATATTTGCATTTACATCAAGAAGATTTTCCTTGATAAAGGATTGTTGAGGGATGTAATTCAGTGGTAGTCAGCTTCATTACAAGTCCCTGGGCTCAGTTCCCAATACCATATACAAAAAGTAGAGAATTTTCACGCCTAGAGATATAGCCCAGAGTACTTACTGCTCTTACCAGGTATGGTGGCTCATGACTGTGATCTAAGCACTTGGAGACTGAGGCAGAAGTACTAAGAGTGCTTGGTGCTCTTGCGGAGGGTCTGGGTTTGATTTCCAGCACTCACATACTGGTTTACAAGCACCTGTAATTCCTGTTCCAAAGGATATAACACCTTCTGTTCTCCTCTGGCACCAGGCACGCATGTGTTGCATGTACGTATAAAATAAAAATAAATTTTTTTTGAAGAAGAGAATTTTTAGCAGCTGAGAAGTTGTTCTCATTTAAAAGGCTGAAATAGATATGGGAGGCAGAAGTTGTAGCACATCACCTGTAATCCCAGGAGGTAGAGGCAAGAAGATCAAGAATTCGAGCTGATTCTTGGCTGCATGGTTAGTTTGAGACCAATCTGGACTACATAGACCTTGTCTCAAAAAACAAGATAAATAAATAATAAACAGTTTTGATGATTCATATCTATAATTTCAATGCTCAGGAGGTTAAGGCAAAAGGATTACCATGAGTCACAGTACAGCCTGGGCTAAATAGTGAGTTACAAACTAGCCAGGACTACATAGCAAGATCTTCCCTCAAATTAAAATCTTAAACATATATGCACCAAAAATAGAGGTACCTGATTTCCTAAAAGAGACACTCTTTGATATGAAACACAGATTGACCATACCACGTAAGTGATTTCTACTCTCACCAATATACAGGTCATTGGAAACAAAGAAGCTAACTACCAGGAAACTTTGGCGGTAAACTGACATCATAAATCAAACAGACCTAACAGATATCTACTTAACATTCCACCCAAACATTAAAGAATACACATTATGCTTAGCATCTCATAGAACTTTCTCCAATATCAATCACATATTAGAAAAAACAAATCTAAACAAATACAGGAAAGTTGAAATAATGTTCTTCATTCTTTTTGACTATAGTGGAATAAAGCTGGATATCAACAGCAAAAGGAAGTACATAAATTGCACACTCATGAATGATAATTGAATTAAAGTAGAAATCAAGAAGGAAATTTAAAAATTCTTAGAATTGAGTGAAAATGAAAATACAACGTGCCAAATATCTGTGATTTTGATACAAAGGACTCTCAAGAGGAAAGATTTCATCATCTAGTATCTGTATCAATAACATAAGATGTCAAAGTAATAATTTAAGGATACACTTGAAAGCCTTGGAAAAACAAGCACAAACAACTCCCAAAAGAGTAGTTGGGAAAAGATAATCAAAATCAGGGCTGAAATGAATGAAAGAGAAATGAAGAAAAATGATACAAAGAATTGATAAAATGACGATTGTTCCTTCGAAAAGGTTAATAAACCGTCACCCAAATTAAGTTAAAGAGAGCACAAATCCAAATTAATAAAATTAGGTATAGAAATGGAGATATTACAATAGATACTGGGGAAATTCAGAGAATCATAAGTACATTTTTAAAAACATATTACACAAAACTTGAAAAATTCTATAAAAAATTAATTTCTAGATATATATGGCTTACCAAACTATATCAAGATGAAGTTAATAATTTAAATAGACCTGTAACCTTCAATGAGATAGAAACAGTAATTTAAATACTCCCAAATTTTAAAAAAGTTCAAGACCAGATGGATTCAGGACAAAATTCTTCCAGACCTTCAAAGAAGAAACAAATTATTTAGTATAATAGAAAATGAAGAAACATTTATAAATTCTTTTTACAAAGCCAATATTACTCTGATACAACCTTAACAAAGACTTCACAAAAAAGAAAACTATAGGTCAGAATCTCTGATAGATATGGTTGTGAAAATTCTCAATATAATGTTTGCAAACTCAATTCAAGAACACATCAAAAAGATTATCCTCCATGATCAAGTTCACTTGGTCCCAGAAAAGCAGGGATGGTTCAACTGAACCACAGCCATAACCTTTCTATAGTATAGCAATTTCTTGTTGATTGAAATGAAAATAACAGAATCTTGTGGATATAGTACTTAGAAGACAGAAGAAGAAACATATCATATGATACAGGCAAAAGACATATCTTCCCATATCAAGACCAAAGGTTAGAATCATGTGTTATTCTTTACAATTTTTATTTTATGCATCTAATTCTTGGCCTGCATGTGTATGTATGTGCACCACATCCTTGCCTGGTGCTTACAGAAGGCAGAGGGCATCAGATCCTTTGGGACTGGAGTTAGAAAGTTGTGTGCTACCATGTGGGTGCTGGAAATCAAACCTGGTTCCTCTGGAAGAGCAGCTAGTGCTCTTAACCACTAAACCCTCTCTCCAGTTCCCCAAACTTTTAATTTTTTAAATTTATTGTTGGTTAGCATATAGCATGGCAAGCTTCCTTATGGCATTTTCATGCATAATTATCTTAGGTTGAGCTCCTGCTCCTCTGACACATACCTGCTTCCTCCTGTCTTCCTGTTCCTGCCACTTATACTATCCATCCCCAATATTTCTCTTCTTACTTTCATAAGCTCATCTATCTCTCTGGGTGTGGTAGTGCTTCTCAGAGAGATTATACTCTGCCACCCACGCCTTCAAAGTGAGTTTAGTTGCTGTATCTTCTATTTGTTGTTCTATGTTTAAATGTTTTACTGACAGTCAAAAAGTTCTGCTTTAGCCCTAACCTACCCTTTTCTCACAGTATGTAGCATTGTTTTATTAAGTTGTCAGTCTGGTATGAGAAATGGCCAATAGATGCAGGTTGTGGAATAAAAACTGTAGACCACATTCCCCCAACTGCCTTAGATACAGATATGAAATTGCATAGGGCATGGCTTGGTAAGCACTCATTGATATCATTGATAGTGCTACTTTTGCTATAGGTGTCTACTTTTTGACAGTCTATATCCTTTCAACTGAAAATTCTGTCTTTATTATTAATCTCCTTTTCTAAATAAAACATCAAGAAGATGTATGGAATAGTAAGTTTTTTTTATGATGTCAAGGAAGGTGAACTAAGTTACAGTTGATCAGAGTGCAGAAAATAAATGACTCTGCAGTACTGAGCCCTAAATGGGACATCTGTATTTACTTTCTTCCCCTAAATATTCAGGGACATCACAAAAGAAGGGGCAGAAAGATTGCAAGAGCCAAAGAACAGGGAGAGCTGCCATAAAACGGTGTCTTCTGGACGTAGCAGGGCCTTGGGCTTTCAGCAGCTGTGGCTGCCTGCAGGAGGTTGGTACAAGGTAGAGCAAGTCAAAATCTCAGCAAGGACGGCAGAGGGATTCATGAAGCCCCACCCTAGTTGATGGCTGCCAAGGGATGGAGACTCAGTTTCCTTCATGGGCGTGGCTCCTGGTAGATTGTCCATGCTTTAGTGGGTGATGTCACACCCATGAACATATGGGCAGCACTGATCAGATTCAGACTGTTTAGAAAAAGAACATTTTAATTTTTTTCTTTTCAATGTGCCTTTGTTTTTTTTGAGTATAGCACCATACCCAATAATTAATCACTAAACAGTTCATAAAATTTTCTCCTGTGGAACACTTTAGAAAGTTACTCTAAAACACCCCGGGAAAATCAATCTACATTGATACTTTGTAGCTCTCCAACTAGTATCCATGATAGTTCATTTCATAAAGCTATAATTTAAAAAGGAGATAAATCTGAAGCAATATAAAATATATTTTTACAATCTGTCTGCATTTGTTTACGCCGTTACAATCTACAACAAAATTTTAAGCCATAACAGCCTTTTTATATTTTAAAAACCTTGCATTACAAGTAAATACCAACTAACCATTTTTTAAGGAGGGGAAAAAAGAAAGAAGAAATGGCCATGTGGCTTTTGCCCTTTGTTCTATTATGCTTTCCATTGTCAAGTAAGTTTAATATTTCTAAGTTTTTAGAAGATAGAAATGAATTTTGAAACTTCATGGCTAGAATATGTCTCCTGTTGTTGTGAAATGTCCAAATATATGACGGCTTATTTTTTGTAACAAAAAAAAAGAATTTAAAAATTTTAAATATCTTGTTGCAATCTTTCTGGTGTTCTCTGTGGTCAGTAGTTGATTATCTTTTGAGGGCACTGCAGCACTTCCATTTGTCTGGGATGTCAAATGGCTCAAAAATGTGAGAAAATAGAGTGTCATATCCACATACTCTGGATATGAGTGCTTTAAAAAACATTCTTCCTGGACTGTGGAGCTGATCTTGAATGTGAAGCACCCATCAAAGGAGTCATATAGTTGATAGAGCAGGCATCTTGGTTTGTTCTTCAAACATTTTAAGATTTACTTATTTTTCTTTTACATGCATGGGTATTTACCATAAATGTATATATTTGCACCAAGTATATACATTTTCCTTGGAGGCCAGAAGACAAGATCTGATTCCCTGGAACTGGAGTTTTCAATGTGGGTGCTAGAAGTTGAATCCAGGTCCTCTGCAAAAGCAGCTAGTTCTCCTAACCTCCATGCCCCCTCTCCAGCCCCAGGTGCCCCATTTCAGACACAAACTTACAAAGTGTGTCTATATTCTGAGGCCCTTAGTTCACAAATCAATGACTTCACAAGATATGCCAAGTTTTTCTCATGCCATGGATGCCACCTCTCAGATCTCATGAGCCTGCATGCCGTAGACAACCAGAGTCACATCACTGCCTTCCTGGATGACTTCAGCCTGCGGCAGATGGACATAGTATAGTACTATGAGAACCTGCTTCACTACTGCCCTATAAAATACTACTTAGGTTAAAAAATGTACATGGATTTTTTTTTTGATCCTTTATCATAACAGAATTGCCCCATCTTGGATGGGGATTCTGGGTATGACTATCCTCATCCCCTCGGCAGTGGGCAAAACAAACTTTAGGACTCAGAGGATAATAGAGAGCCCTGAGGCTGATGCAGTCCTGTAGCCCCATGGTGAGGCTCCCTCAGTGGAAAAGATCCGCAGAGCTATAGGCACCTTTGGCTGCTTCATTCACAGTCTGATCAAAGGCAGAGAAATATAATCTGTAAACTGAATTTCAGCAATGCAGTGTCTTCAGTGAGCAGTTCCTTTTCCAAACCCTTGTCCTCACAATGTGCTGTTAAAAGCAGTTTTCACATTTGACTCAAATGACAGTACCTTAAAGATCTCCATTAAAAACAGCATCTTCACCAACGACTATTGAAGTAGGGTCTTTGACCAATGATTTATCCAAGACTCTTGTCACTGAATGAGAGGTTTATTTTCTGAGTTTTTTTTTTTATAGAACTTTGGGTATTAAATACAACACCCCCCCACACACACACAGACACACACCTCACAGTTTGTAATTTCTGAGTAAATGTCTGTTTAGTTAAATTATTCTAAGCTATATTAATCCCTCTGTGATTTACTAGGAAGAGAGTTTCCAATCATTCTTATTCTTTTTATAAAATGCATTAAAAATGTTAATTCAAATTCTAATAGTATCCTCATTGCTGATACAAATTATACTATCTTTCATCTGTTTGAGACAGTGATGATACATTTTCTTTGATTGGTCAAAGAATCAAATATACTGACTCTTGTGACTAGGGTCTTACTATTTTTATCCCTGATATTTTTTCTCTCTCTTAACATTCTTTACTCTTCTCACATCTATCTCTTCATTGTGGGTTTGATACATTAGTCCTAACAAACTTTGTACAAGGGAAAATATTAATCTTACATGAAATAAAGTTATTAAGTGTTAAATATATATATATATGTATATATATTATGTGAATGCTTGTTTCTATTTTGCCTTAAAAGAGAAATTTACAGAAGCATATCACTTTCTATTAACTTACAAAGCAGACATATGTCGTTAAGAATTTAAGGTTATGTATAACATTTAGTAGAACGTTACATTCTCAGTATTTGGTTGAAGATATTTTACAAGTTAGATAAAGCCATCAAAACCAGTGCTGGGGTGAGATGGCACTCAGTTGGAAGAATGACTGCCTAACATGAACCAAGCCATGTGCACATGCCTGTAGTCCTAGTACTCTACAGGTGTGGCAGAAGGATCAAGAGTTCAAGGTCATCCTCAGCTACACAGCAAGTTCTGGATAAACCTGGACTGCATGAGAAGTCTTTAAAACAAGCAAACAAAGAAGCCGGGCATTGGTGGCACACGCCTTTAATCCCAGCACTTGGGAGGCAGAGGCAAGTGGATCTCTGTGAGTTTGAGGCCAGCCTGGTCTACAAGTGCTAGTTCCAGGACAGCTAGGAATGTTCACAGAGAAACTCTGTCTCAAAAACAAAACAAAACAACCCAAAAAAACAAGCAAACAAAACAACACCCCCCTCAAACAGTAGCAACAAACATTTGGGGTCTGGAGATGTGGTTCATGGATGCAGTGCTTGCCCTGCAAGCATGCAAATCAGACATTAGGTCCTAAGTACCTGCATTAAAAAGCTGGGTTTGGTGACCTGTCTGTAATCCTAGTGCTTAGGAGGTAGAGACAGGGTCCCTAGGGCAAGCTGGGTAGCTTTGGGTTCTGTGAGAAACCCTACTTCGGTAAATAAAGTGGACAGTGGTCAAGGAAAGCACCTGATGTTTTCCTCTGGGCTTTATTCCCACATGTACAGTACAACTGCACATGTGTACTTGTACACATACACACATTCACAGTATATATCGGAAAGCTTCATTTTTTACTTCTGGTTTCTGAAAATGGCATTCAAATTGAGTGAGGAAAGCCAGGTGCATTTACACATGCCTATTATCCACACACACACACACACTTGGAAGTAGAAGCAGGAGAGTAAGAAGTTTAAAGCATCCTCAGCTTCATAAGGAGCTCATGGCCAGTCTGGGATATATGAGATGCTGCCTCAAAATGTTATCAATCAGTAGAATGGGTAATACTAATCCCTGCTAATAAGCAGTCTCATTTGACCTCTGTTGCTATAGGATGAGATGATAAAACCGTCTAGTTCCAAAGATATCTTTTATACCAGCGTTTCCAGGGAAATTTTCCTTTGTCTTAATGATTTCATTTACATAAGAGAGTCTTCTGACTTTTTGATGGCTAATGACGATATGCTGCATGAAAATCTCACCTCTGTTGCATCAGTCCTGCTACTTCTGAAATTCATTTCTGTGATATGACAAGAAAAACTATTGGAATCTACCTGTGTAGTTGGAAGGCAAAGCAGACCCTTATGTTGTTTACAAGGGCAGAATTGTTTCTCTTATTAAAAGACTCAGTTAGTTTTTGATCCTACTGCACGTACTGGCTTTGTGGGAGCCTAGGCAGTTTGGATGCTCACCTTAGGAGACCTGGATAGAGGTGGGCAGTCCTTGGGCTTCCCACAGGTCAGGGAACCCTGATTGCTCTTCGAGCAGATGAGGGAGGGGGACTTGATCGGGGGAGGGGGAGGGAAATGGGAAGCGGTTGTGGGGACGAGGCAGAAATCCTTAATAAATAAATAAATTTAAATAAAAAAAAACACCAGAAAACCACTGGAAAAAAAAAGACTCAGTTAGAACTAAGGGTTATATTCTATTCCTTCTCTCTATGAATAAGATTTGTAAATGATATACATTCTCCTCCTAAAATCTTGTTTTCTCTCTTGCTTCTCAGTCAATTGGAAATGCTAAAACGACCAGGAATGATAATAGCAGCCGGTTTGGGAAATATATTGAAATTGGTTTTGACAAGAGATATCGAATCATCGGTGCCAATATGAGAACTTACCTTTTAGAGAAATCCAGAGTGGTATTCCAGGTAAGGTGTATGTGCACACACATTCAAATACTTGTGTTGATTTTTGGATTATTATATAATTGCTATGTTAAGTTTTCTTGGGGAGAGGGAAACAAGCAACCCAGAGAGAACACCAAAGACAGAATAAAATAACTATTTTATGGAAGTTTAATTCGATGAATCAGTTAATTTGTTATGCTTATTTATATACATGATTGACCCCAAAGGAGCTGTATCACTATGAAGTCCCATCCCATTATGGATGACAACCTCATGGAAACTGCATCATAGAGCCTCCCTTTCGGTTAACCTTTCATTTTTTACATATCCTAACATCTTGCAAGATCATTTACACTGGGGGAGAACAGAGCAGAAAGTAATTGCTTCAAATCTAGCTGAAGCTCCTGTGACTTCACCTTGCCTTTTCTACTAGTCTATATTACAGCTTCCTCACTATTACTTAAGAGCTAGGGGTTCTGTTGAATTCGTTTCCATGGCTATGAGAGGTAACATAATCTCTTTCCCAAGATAATGGTCATTTTACACCCAAGGAAAAAGCCGCACTAAGCCGGGTGGTGGTGGCGCACGCCTTTAATCCCAGCACTCGGGAGGCAGAGGCAGGTGGATCTCTGTGAGTTCGAGACCAGCCTGGTCTACAAGAGCTAGTTCCAGGACAGGGTCCAAAGCTACAGAGAAACCCTGTCTCAAAAAACCAAAAACAAACAAACAAAAAAAAAAAGCCGTACTATACCAATTATAAAGCCCTTGTTTGCCAGTACGCTATACCTCATTTCTCAGTGCTCTTGAGCTTAGTCTCACAGCATTACTAGAAAAGGCACTTGGATAGAAACATATAAAATGATTCCTGCCAGAGGTAGAGGACTACTTCTTTAAACTAATTGTTCTTGAGAATGGGCACTGATTTAGGTTTATTGTTTCATATTTTATTAACTTTTTAAGTTACCGTACAAAATAATGGACTCCATTATAACATTTGTGTATGTACATATAATTGCTCCAGACCACTCTTGTGCCCTTCTTTTTTTCTTGCTGATCTGCTTTCTCTCTCACACCGTGTCTTCCTGATTTCGTTCATAGACATATATGTATACATGTCTATCTGAATATATCTTAAAGCTAGATTCTGCATGTGAAAGAAGGCATGTTTTGTCTTGTTTACTCTCACCCCCTGCTTTAGACAGTATTCCTCATCATAGTCTCTATTCTACTTTCATGTTGTGTGCTCATGTTGTCTCATGTGTGCGTTATACATTTATGTTTAAATTATATTCTATTTGTAAAAGAAAATGTGTGTTGTTTATCTTTCTGAGTCTGGTGAGTGGTTTTGACTTTCTTACAGATATTATTGAAAAACTCAGTTGAGACAAGGCATTATTTAGTCTTGTCTCTTATATTTCCCAATTGACAAAGAAAGCATTGATCTATGTCTTCAAAGAATTTCAACTCAGCTCAAGAAAAACACAATATCCCTGTCCTCTTTACTTTTTTTTTATTCTTAGGATATAACATTGAGGAGAAAAGTGATGTTACAGGGAAATTGAGAGGGGGGTTTCTTTGAGTTCTTAGTCTTAATAAAATAATTTAAAAATCCATTCAGATGCTTGAGGATAATTTTACTAAAGTTTGAAAGTAAAACAACAATAGAGGAAGGCTCAAAATCCCAGCAGCCACCAAAAAAAGGGAAGACAGAAAAGTCAGGCCTTTTAAGCTAGGCATGGAGGGCAGACAAGGCCTAGAACATCAGGAAAAACATACTTAGGAGGGCTGAGTCTCATCTGAGTTCAGAGGTACCCATTTCCTGGCTCTTATACCCTAGAGCAAAGGATTGCATAGGGACACATGGTTAGAAATAGAAATAGCTCATTAAGAAAGGAAAAGTATCCAAGGAATGGAAGTGGGCTAATGAGCTGAAGAAAGAACCCAACAAATACTGGGCCATGCGGCCTGGATCCATTATAGATGATTTACATAATACCAGTTCCAAGTTCAAATAGGCAGAGCTTCTTGTGCACATGCTCTTTGGAAGAAGCCAGTAGTAAGGAAGGGCTTCCAGCTCTCTTTTGCAGACTGGCATTCCTTCTGTTAACCCTGATGTTTCAGCCCAGTCCCTGTTCTACCAGTCAGAGCTCAAAGAAAGCTGCCATAGCCAAGTTGTAAACTGCCATCAAATCACAGCTGAATATTCGTACAGAATTTTTGTTGACACTTGTATTGTTGTTTCTTTCTGATGGAAAGACGTGTGTTATACCCTTGCAGCACTAGCAGGTGTACACTCTCACATTGTAGGCACATGAGGATGTAGATTATCATCAGAAAATGTCAGTATGTGGCTCCTGGTGACCCACTGCACACATCATACCGAGACCCAGAGTTTCAGTGACCCATGTGCTGGATGCCACATCAGCAAAGCTGAAATACTCTGCACAGCAGGATCTGGTCTTCTGTTGCCAAAGTCTGTTTTGGCTTTGAAATTGTCTTGTATATGCCGAGGCATGATTTGGGGAAGCCAGGAACCCTGACTTTGCCTGATTAAATACTTAATCTTAAATTATAATGCTTGATATGCATAAAGTTATAAATAAATACTTGATATGTATAGTAAGGCAGTAACCACCCTCCTTTAAAGTTACAAACAACAGTGTTATTCCACACATTAAAAAATAATGTATAGTGAGAAGAAAGAATGGGAGAAATGTAGATGGGTTAAGTCCTTGTAGAAATATGTAGGAATATGGGACTGGAAAGATGGCTCAGAGGTTAGGAGAGGACCTGATTTCAAATCCCATTACCTGTATCAGTGTCTAACAACTGTCTGTGACTCCAGTCTCAGGAGATTCAGCACTCTTCTCTGGCTTTCACGTACACTGCACACATGTGGTGCACAAACAGACATGCAGGCAAAACACCTGTAGACATAAACTAAAAATTAATTTTTTTTAAAAAAAGAAATATATCGGACTGTGAGCAAGCGTAAGAGAGATGGAAATTGACCTTGGTCAGTAAGTTGACCAGTGATAAGACTGCCTAATAAAGAATTTGACAAAGCTCAATCTTTATCTATAGGTGTGGTAGTAAGTCTAGCAGTTCCCCAGTCTTCAGGAGTATAGAATATTGAGAATGTTTGTTTTATCAAATGAATCACAGTCAAAATAAGCTATCCTGTACAAAGATGACCACAGCGTTTCTGCAGGCCCACCTGATTTTCTAGTTTCTGTGTGCTGAACCACCTGATCTCTTGCCTAGTCATGCTTGTGGTCATTGGTATGTTTGTTCAGTGTCCTGTATTCCTTCAGTAGTCATAACCCCTTTAGGCTTCAGAACTCCCCTTAACTTTATTAACTTTAATTTTTATTCAGATGGATGTACTCCAAAATTTAAGAATATGTTGATTGGATTTTAGTATTCAGCTTCATATGTGCAGTAAGTTTTGCAACTATTCTCTAGATGTGTATGTAGAAAAAAAACTAAGGAAATACTAAATATTGATCTTACATTATAAATTTTTTTATTTTATCAAATTATTGTTGATAGGAAAATATGCTATATATGTTACATAATTCAAAGTATATAATATATAAACACATATAGAGAATACAGTACATTCATGGACTTACTGCAGTCATAGGAGATCAGTATCTCTAAAGTATGGCAAAGATGAGATTATTCTCTTTTAGTCAAAGTGTTAGGAATACCACAAATCTAGAAGTTATTAGTAGAAAATAATGGTGAGCTTTGCGAAAAAATAACATTTTAGCTTCCCCCCAATCACCAATGTTTAATGATTGTGGCCATCTATCAAGAAATTCCCTAATTCAGAAAGCATTACTAAGTGAGGCACAGTAGTGCAGGCCTCTTGAGAGACTGAATCAGAAGACTCACAAGTTCAAGACCTGTCTGTTCTACAGAGCAGTTCAGAGCCAGACAGGGCATTTAGTGAGACTATTGAGACTGTCTCAAAATAAAAAGTTAAAATCTACTTGAGATACGGTGCGGTGGTAGGGAACACTTTCCTAGCATGTTTGAAGCCTTGAGTTTAAGAACACCAAAAACCCTTTAAAAAAAAAAGTCCTGCTGCCTGGTATTTTATACTGAATATGACTAACACTTTTATCCTTACTTATTTTTTATTCTTCAAGAGATAAAGCCTCACTGTTTGCCCTGCCTGGTTTCAATTTTTATGCCATCCTCCTACTTTGTAGATGTAGCATAGGGCTGGAGAGATGGCTCAGTGGTTAAGAGCATTGCCTGCTCTTCCAAAGGTCCTGAGTTCAATTCCCAGCAACCACATGGTGGTTCACAACCATCTGTAATGAGATCTGGTGCCCTCTTCTGGCCTGCGGGCATATACGTGTATACATAATAAATAAATTAATAAAAAATTATAGATGTAGCATAAATTATAAGAGTTAATTATTTAAATCAGTATTAGAAAATGTGGGGAATTGCTGAGATGGTTAAATATTAAAATTATGTGTTATGGTAGGTTTTCCTGGTTTTTATATTAAGATGTCACAATTGAAAGCTCTTCTTACTTCAAAGGCAGAAGAGGAGAGAAACTACCATATCTTCTATCAGCTCTGTGCGTCAGCGAAGTTACCGGAGTTTAAAATGCTGCGGTTAGGTACGGGTATGATACTAGATGGACATGCTTTTCTGTGAAATTTTGAGTTCTCAAGCTTGTCAAAAAATCTTACTTCATACTAAAATATTTATGAATGAAAAGATTCTTGAAGGTCTACAGCTGGCTTTAGGGTGGGTGGGTTGAGTGGCCATATCAGGGACAGGATTGCCTGTAGCAGTGGGTTGGGGTAGGTGAGGAGTAGATGGGGTTCAGCGTTCTAACCTCCCTTCTTTTATACATGCTTGAAAACTGCTTTCATGAAAGAGTTTGAGGAAACATATTCTAGCATTTTGTTTGGAAAAAAATCCAAAGAAAAATATAATTTACTTCACCCATTAACATAAAATCTATAAGCATTTTAGTTTTGGATCTTATATTAGTATGTGAGTTTAGACTGGGCAGACTCCAAATCCTGTATATCAGTGCTGTCACTGCCTCTAATTCAGCATATGTGTAAGGGTGGAAGTCCAAGCCTCTCTTCATAAAAGAAAAACCTTTACCTTCCTCCACTGCAGGAAATGCAGATAGTTTTCATTACACGAAGCAAGGAGGCAGCCCTATGATTGAAGGAGTGGATGATGCGAAGGAGATGGCGCACACCAGGCAGGCCTGCTCTCTGCTGGGTAATGGCATTTCATTCTTTAACTTACACGTGATGGTCATTTTGAATCAAGTAACTTTTGTTTGGAATATTGGTTTGGCTTTATGCTGGGAGATTTCACATATATGGAACTTGTTCAGACAAATGGGCCTGTGGTTTCTTAGAACAGCTTTAGGATTAGATAGTGGTAACAGTTGCTCAACCTTGTTAATTTAATGAAGATTATTTTGAATTGCACTTTAAGAACATATTTCAGTATTAGGAGAGGTAAGATTAACTTTTAGATTAAATTTTTACAAAAATCTAGGGTTTGAAACTAAATGAAGTGGGTTTTTTTATAACAGACTTAATTCACTTTTATTTTCCTTGTATAAAAACCCTTATGTGGTGGCCACAGCTGGAGCCTGGGTCCTCTGAACGGAGACTCTGGTGTGGGTTTTCACAAGATGGTCAGTGAATTCCTGATAAGGAGACTTGGTGAACACAGTCTCTTTCCAGAGGTCGGGAGTCAGGTAGCTGTAGGTCTTGGAGATGGCATCAAAGGTGGCCTTGGCAAAGTTGCCCAGGGTGGCAGTGCAGCCCCTGGCTGATGTGTAGCAGTCATCAATGCCAGCCATCATCAGTAGCTTCTTGGGCACAGGAGACTAAACCAGTGCCTCTTGGGGCAGGGATGAGACGCACCTGCACAGAACCTCTGCGGCCTGTCACTTTGCAAGGAACAGTGTGGGGCTTGCCAATCTTGTTCCCCCAGGAGCCAATGGTGGATGACGCCGCCGGTGCAGCGGGAGGGCCCGGAGGACCAGGGAGCCCAGGATTAGGAGGCCCTGGCGGCTTCCTCTGAGGATTAGGCAGTGGTCTGAGGGGCCTCAGCCCTGGTCAAGGCCATGGCTGAGGCTGAGGCCACGGGGCTCACGGAGGTAAAGCTGAAGACAAGGAGTGGATTCCCGTCACCAAGCTGGGCCGCCTGGTTAAGGACATGAAAATCAAGTCCCTAGAGGAGATCTACCTGTTCTCCCTGCCCATTAAGGAGTCCGAGATGATTGACTTTTTCCTGGGAGCTTCCCTAAAGGATGAGGTTCTGAAGATCATGCCAGTGCAGAAGCAGACTAGGGCAGACCAGAGGACCAGGTTCCAGGCTTTCTTAGCTATTGGGAACTACAATGGTCACGTAGGTCTCAGTGTCAAGTGCTCCAAGGAGGTAGCCACTGCCATCCAAGGGGCCATCATTTTGACCAAGCTTTCCATTGTCCCTGTGTGGAGAGGGTTGTTTTTTTTTTTTATAAACTCACATTTTGTGGGTTTTGTTCGTTGGTTGTTTTGGGGGCTTGCTTATTTTTGTTCTTCTGTTTTTGTTTGTTGATAATTTTTGGAGATAGGTTTTCACCATGTAGCTCCTGGTCTTTGACTTTTGATCCTCTTGCCTTGGCCTCTTGAGTACTGGGATGGAGGGCATGTGTCACAATGCCCAGTGCAGTTTTGCTTTTGTTATTTTTCTTGTTATTTTCAGGGCATGGTGAGAGAACACATGTATTTTAGTGTTTTCCTTTTGTTGCTGCTCTTTGATAAAAGAGTTTTTAAGTCTCGATTGTTTGAGAATTTCATACATGCACATAGTGTTGTTATTCCAGTGTTTTTGAAACAGATGCCATTTTTCTCTCTGTGATTTGAAAGTGTTAAGTCCACTTATGAATCAATTAATACTATGAACTATACAACTTTTTTTTTTTTTTTTGATTTTTGAGACAGGGTTTCTCTGTAGCTTTTGGTTCCTGTCCTGGAACTAGCTCTTCTAGACCAGGCTGGCCTCGAACTCACAGAGATCCGCCTTCCTCTGCCTCCCGAGTGCTGGGATTAAAGGCGTGCGCCACCACCGCCTGGCCAGAACTATACAATTTTTAAAGGTGTCCTTTTCCCCCATATTTTTATGAAACCTCAGAAAAGAAGTAACTCAATTATTATATTTGGTATTTAGAGACATACCATCAAGCAAGGGAGCTTAGGTCTTGAACCACTGTGGGACTTGCTAAAAATGAAGACTCTCATACCACTTCACAAAAGCTGTGGGTTCAGAATGTGCATTTTAGCAAGGCCTGCCAGTGCTCCACGAACACATTGTGAGAACACTGCTCTCCTTAAAAATTTTAAAAGAACAGTTCAATGCTGGGTGTGGTAGCACATGCCCTTTATTCCAGCACACAAGAGGCAGAGAGGCTAAAGAATCTCTGTGTTCACAGCCACCTGATCTACAGAGTGAGTTTCAGGATAGCTAGGGCTACAAAGAGTAAATCCTGTCTCAGAAAAGCCTAAAAAGGAAGGAAGGGAGGGAGGGAGGAAGGAGAAGAAGGAAAGAAGGAAGATAGGAAGATAGGAGATAGCAAAACATTCATCATAAGGTTAATCTCAATTGCCTTATAGAAAAAATGTTTTGAAAATAATTTTACTACTTTTACTTATATAATTATGTTTAATATTCTAGAACTTCTTATCTTCACTGAAAAAATGAAACCAGATCTGGTAAAAGCTAGAACGTATCCAGCTTTCTAATCTCATCATATCATTTAGGTCCTGTTCCAAAGCTGTGTTTGGACTTTTACTCATTAACTTTGAATATAAAACTATAAAATACTTCTGATCTTGAAATCTCTTTGATTTCTAATTAATCTATACTTGAAGTATTTTAATAATCCAACTTAAATCAGCCTTATTAGGCTACAATATGCATTTTCAGTAGGGATAAATAGTAGCAATAATATTAATAAAGTATTTATATATCTAAGATGTGACAGTAATGCTCACTTTTAAAATACGTAATGTGTCCCAGGTATACTCTGTGAATTATCTCATTTAATGTTAAAAACACTCTTTGAAGAATTATCTCCTTATCTCAAATAAGAAAACCAAAGCATAGATGGATGAAGTTTTCTGTCTGTGGAGGTGGCAGGTTGATTTCAGTGCCAGGACATAAGACCAGATCAGGCATACTCCATAACCTACAATGTGAATCTGCCTGGTTTATTACTGTCAGCAAAGTTAAAAGTTTTGCTTTTGTGACTATGTATATAATATGCACATCTGGCAATATTTAAGAATTAATACTAGAGTTAAAATATTCTCTTATAATTACTATTTTGCTATTCTGCCATAAATCACTTGTTTATTTGCTATATTCCAGGAATAAGTGAATCTTATCAAATGGGAATTTTTCGGATACTTGCTGGCATCCTTCACTTAGGCAATGTTGGATTTGCATCTCGAGATTCAGACAGCTGCACAATACCTGTAAGTTCACAAGCTTAACGTGATGGCAGGCTGTCCGTTAGTTTTGTTTTATTGCTGGGGATAGAACCCAGGGCTTTGCACATGCTAGGTAAGTCATGTATCTGTGGCATGCCCCGTGTGGGGCTCTTTGCACATGCTAGGTAAGTAATGCATCTGTGGCATGCCCCGTGTGGGGCTCTTTGCACATGCTACGTAAGTATGCATCTGTGGCATGCCCCACGTGGGCCTCTTTGAATGCTTCTTATATCTTGCTGATGGAAGATGAGTGATGCTGATGTCCATATGACAGAAATTTTGCTAAATTTTGTTACTTCCCTTTTCAGGACTTATTCTTTGATTGATCGTGCCATAGGCAATAACACATTCTCTTTTGGCAGCCCAAGCATGAGCCACTTATCACCTTCTGTGACCTCATGGGTGTGGATTATGAAGAGATGTGTCACTGGCTCTGCCACCGAAAGCTGGCTACTGCCACAGAGACATATATCAAGCCCATCTCCAAGCTTCAGGCCACAAATGCCCGAGATGCTTTAGCAAAGCACATCTATGCAAAACTCTTCAGCTGGATTGTGGATCACGTCAACCAGGCTCTCCATTCTGCTGTCAAGCAGCACTCTTTCATTGGCGTGCTGGATATTTATGGGTGAGTGCATTTGGCTTATTGCCCTACCCTGCTGGAAAGCAGTTGTTTGTCGGGAGTGTTTTGTAACTCTGAGCACTATTTAATTTTGTTTTCTACTGGAGAAGAAAGGAAATCCTACTTATGATCATTCAGAAGTGTCTTTGATGATGGAAATATAATGATGCTAAAAAATAATTAAGCCCTACTTAAACAACAATTAGCTCAACTCCAGTCCTACTTGCTAATCTAATAGGTAGAGTTAATTGATTTCAGACTCTCGTATGATTAATTATTGATTTTCTGAAAATATAATTTCATTTCTAGTTGCCTTCTCTGGTTACACTTCTGTAATTGTTGAAACTTTTTTTGGCAGCTAATTTTTCACCCTCTGATTCAGTTTTACAAAAGCACCTATAGCATTACTATTTCTATCCCCTGTCTCTGCGGATAGAAATTTTGATGTATAAACTGAGAGGAACGGTAGTCTTAGCATAGTTCTGCTGTTCTGTACTGGAGGGTGAATGAGCCTCAAACACCCAAAGCTGCACATCCATAGGCAGGGCCATACAAGGGAAGCTTTGTCTCAGCCAGTGCCCATCATGTTGTGTCTTAGCAGCAACCTTTATCTGATATGTAAAGAAGATGTGATAGTGTTAAGGAGCTTCTCATTTCCTCTTCCAAGTATGCTTATTTTCAATATTTTTAAAAGCTATTTATTCTTTTTCTTTCCTTCCTACCTTACTTTTTTGGTGTTACAGATTTGAAACTTTTGAGATAAATAGTTTTGAACAGTTTTGCATAAATTATGCAAATGAAAAACTGCAGCAACAATTCAACATGGTAAGAATTTTCTTTCTTGAATAAAATTTTGCTATAGATTTTTCTTTTGAATTCTTAGTCTTTGTTAGAAACTTGGTCTGTAAAATAAACTCCTGAACTATAATTATTATGTGGGTTTAGAATAGTGAAACTGCCAAGGAACTGAGCATTACAAATTGATGTAATATTAAAAACAGTTTGTCAGTTATCACTTATCTAGAATAGTGAGCATTTGGGCAGATAATCTGAATGAGAGTGGGAAGTTGGGCAGGCACTAACATTGAGTCTTTCTGTGTGCTGTTTGGAAGCCAACAATATGTGGAGTTAGAACTACATTAACCACCATTTACTGTGTTACCAAGATGTCAAAATTTTACAAATTCTCTTTTCAGTGGGGAAAATTCTTCACTGAGGCAACGGCAATGGGCATATTTTGGAAGTGGCCCTTATTGGCTAGCCTCCTGCCTCTGCATTCTGAGTACTGGGTACATTCAAGTACTGACTTGCCACCACCTCACCACCCACTTCAAACAAAATGTTTTATTTTTGTCTGAAATGAATGATAAATTTCTCTCAAAATAATCTGTACATAAATTGTCATAACAGTGTAAAACAGAAAATGTGCTTGAAAAAACGTCCTTTTTATTTTCAGAGAGAACAAATTTATATTAGGTAAAGTTAGAAATGACATGGTTCATTTTTAGGTCTTGTTGAGTCGTTAAAAAGAAAAGTTTCAACTGTGATAGAATACTGTGTTATGTTTAAGCGCTACTTGTTTTCAAATTTTATTTTCTATGATATGGAAACTTTTTCATATATATGTATTCAGCAGTATGTATATATTGCTAAGGACCAATAAATGGGGAAAACAAAGACAAAATAAAGTTTTAAATTGAGAAGTCAAAAAAAGCTGATGAACATAATCTTTTAAAATATGAAATAAGTATTAATAAGCAACAAAGAAAATTAAAATTTTTTGCATAGAGACAGATTGGGGTTTTGCACATTTGGGACTGAAGTTTTTAAGTATATGACATTGTCGAATATTGTAAGTACTTTGATACACAAACCATCTTTGTTTAGCAAGTAAAGCTGTTTGTTGCAGTGAAATAATGTAGAAGAGATCTTAAAAATGCTAAAGTTTTCCATAATAACAGGACCAGTTTTTCACCAGTTATGGATAGTTGTAAACTATCTGTGAGTACTGGGAACTGAACCCAGCTCATCTACAAGAGCAACAAGTGCTCTTAAACACTGAGCCATCTCTCCAGTCCCAAATCCTTAGTTCTTAATGATGCCCTGTTTACCACTTTATTAATAGTAATTAAAAAAACAGAAGAAGTTTGTTAATTTGAATTATATATATATACATACACACATACATGCATATATCTTTTAGACCAAGGTTCAATTCTACAAATAAGCTAAGATGATATTGTCATAAGTGTAAAATAGAGTGGGGAAGAAAGAGAGAGAGAGAGAGAGAGAGAGAGAGAGAGGTTGTCAAAAATCTCTGTGTCACCTTTGGATTCTAAAACTTAGGGGTCCTAGAAAATAAGTATTTTTAGGTCACATCCACAAAAAGCTACTTTTTCTAGAAAACAAAATGGCAAGAAAGAGTGAGGCAAAGGATCCAGAAGAAATAAAGAAAACTTTAAAATGCAGTAGTGGTCATTAGCATCTGTAAAAAGTGGAAGCTGTGTTGTCAGCCAACTTGGCTGAAGCAGAGGTGGTGGTTTGATTATTCTGCCTTCCTAGATCAGTTAGCTTCTGTTTATATTCAGAACTTCATCACAAGCTTTTCCCCAGGGAAACCTACCCGAACACCCATCCCCAAACTAGGTGAGGATGTTTGTTATTCTCCTTTGTAACATCATTAGCATTTGTAATTTTATTGTATAATTTAGCATGTGTAATTCTTTGTGACTATTTGATTTCTCCAGTTCTCTCCCCATTCACAAGTGCAGCATCCATGTCTGTGTTGTTGACCACATGCAGAGGCTGACACATGGTATAGACTCAGTAGCTAAGCTGATTAAAGAGTAGGTGGAGATAAGAAGTAGTGGTGTGCATGGTGCCTGGAGCTTTAGCAGAGGTTCAGCGCATTGGTAGTGCTTGTAGCTGCTTGCGGTATTCAGTGTACATTCCAGAAATGTGAGCCCTAGATTCCCTGTCTGAGAAAATCAAGGTAGATATTCAAGGACAACTGTCATCTAATTCTGAGGCATCTATACTTCTAAACTTGAAAAAATTATTTTTTGCAGTGAAATCACTGCCTGGCTGTTCAGTAACCTGGAAAGCATTCATTCTGCATAGCTGATCAATGCCAACTGAGGCATTCCTGTACTCATGTTACCATTTCTGTGCAATAAGTTCAGGAAAAAGTTACATAGTTTTGGAAATGTGCATTTAAAAAAACCACAAGGACTAGTGTATTTATCTGCTATCCAAATCAGTTATAGGTGTAGTGTGGTGATACAAGCCTGTAATCCCAGCAGTTGGGAGCCTTAGCCAGAGTACAAATTCAAAGCTGACCTGGGCTTCATAGAGTCTCAGGCTAACCTGGTCTACATATTGAGACCCTGTCCCAAACAAAACAAAAATTAAAAAAAAATTTACATGCTTAGATTTATTTGTTCTTGATGAATACTTACAGCTGAGGTTTTCTGTACATGATTTCAGTCACGCTTCTCCACGATGCTGTTGTTGCTGGAAGCCATGAGCTATCTCATTATGTGGGTTTCCTTGGTATTCTGTAGACACATGCTTCTTTATTACTTTCTTTATGGTAGTGACTTTTGTTTTCTCTTTATTTCAGCATGTCTTCAAGTTGGAACAGGAGGAATACATGAAGGAACAAATTCCATGGACACTCATAGATTTTTATGATAATCAGCCTTGTATCAATCTTATAGAATCTAAACTGGGAATTCTAGATTTGCTGGATGAGGAGTGTAAGGTGATTATGATTTTCTGGAGTACTTAAGCCTGTCAGAATAGGTGCATCAGGCTACACGGCAGCTACGTGCAAGCAGAGACTCTTCAGTTTAACATGAGATACTGTTGTGACAAGTCAGGGGTCACACTTCCATTCTGAAGAAACACTAGACACTAGACCCCAAAGGTTCTTTTAAATTCGTAAATCTTTGATGTTTTTATTAGCAGTAGTATATATTGAAAGAAATACAAGAAATTGCACAAAAATTATTTTGAATTATAGTTCTAAATAGCTATAAGTTTTGAATATTGGCTAGTTGTCTTTGCTACTGACATAAATAAATAGTCTTTAACGTTAACATTTATAGATGTAGCATGTTAGAAAGTCACTGGATCCTTCACTTTATTATTGAATGACCTTAGGTGAATCTATCTTTTTTCTTAATCTTTTTTCCTTTAGTTTATCTACAATAAACCGCAGCCTATCATGTGTTGACCCTCATATGAAGCCATACTTAGTGTGTTTAAAATAGATGTATGGCTGCTGAGATGACTCAGTGGGTTAAAATGCTTGCCGGATAGATCTGACAACCTGAGTTTGATCCCCAGATCCAACAGTGTAAGGCTATGGCATGAACTTGCCCTCAAATACACAATAGTAATAAATTAAAAACTGTGCTTTTTACAAAGGCATGCATATGGTAGAAAAATATTCTTTCTTACTTGAGATTAAAAATATGAAAGCAAAGCAAAAATGATATCCTGAAGTTACTTTAAATTTGGTACCTTTCTTTTGTTGAAACTAACTTAATATTACATTAATATTTTAATGTAATTAAATTAAAATTAAATCGGTATATATTTGATGAAAGGCAAGAATTCATGCAACATATTTTAGAGGAAAGTAGAATCATAAATGTGTATGCCTTTTGACTTAAGAGTTTAGCCTATAAGTATACTTGTAAATATATAAATGTATATATGTATAAGGAATATGACAGTTGTCATAACAAAAAGTTAATAACAACCTAAGTAAGAAGGGAAAATGCAAGGAGTATATGGAATGAGCCCATTCATTACATGTCTTAAAAACAGGAAAAAAAATAGTTTCTAGAAATGACAAGAAGAGACTACCAATTCATACCTTTCTGGATTAAGTTAATATTTCACTGTGTATAAATGTTACCTCCGTTTAACAAAACAAAAAAGTATGCCTAATAGTTGTATTTCATTTTTAACTTGTAAAGCCTTTATTGTGTTAATGCATTAAATATTGATTTGATGATTCCTGGTATAGGCAAATGCTCACTCAGATGTGCTGCATCAGCCCAATGAAGGGCTCGGCCATGCCTTCGTTGGTGGCTCACTTGTGCTGATGAGAAGGGAAAATGAGCTCTTAAGTTGAACATAGGAACTGGCCTCTTGTTGCTGATATAGCAGAAGACCCTTAGTGCTCAGTCATTTCTCTTTCTTTTTTCTCCCCAAGATGCCTAAAGGCACAGATGATACATGGGCCCAAAAGCTGTACAACACACATTTGAACAAATGTGCTCTCTTTGAGAAGCCTCGTATGTCAAACAAAGCTTTTATCATCAAACATTTTGCTGACAAAGTAAGGAAACCTTTTGTCTTTTTTCCTTTTTAATACTTTATGTTAAATTATAATAAAAATCAGTAGTCAAGTATTGTTTTTCCTTTGCAGTGCTTGCTTTCTTTAAGGTCATTTCAGGAAAAGCAACAGTGCTGGGTTCTTGGTTTTTTCTTCTTTTTAACTTCAGTTGGATTATATATTAAATAAATACGGGTCAAAAGTCTTTTGCCTGAAATTTTGAAATTCAAGAAACTGAGAACTGCAAGTGTTTTTGTAACTCATTTAGCAGTCAAACCTGATCTCTGGCTTGAGCTAGCATGAGATATGTTTATGATTTTTAAGCCCACTTAAGGTGTTTAAGTATGGAGATATTAATGTTTACGTAATGTAGGGTCTAGATGGCTTTATTAAACTTTTCTGATATTTAGAATGGTCTGTATACATACTACATCTCTAAATACATGAAAATTCTATGAAAGCATGGTGATATGTTCTTCATACGCTCTACAGTTCACTGAGCAGTCAGAGATCCTGTGACTAGTTTGCATTTCAAGGAAGTTGTGGGATAGGCAGTGTTGTGAGAGTTTGGAGGCCTCTTCATGAAGAGTTTTCTGTTGTCTAGTCCTGACTTGAAACCTTTGAATGACTAAGGTGATCTAAGGAGTATAGGAGGTGGAGCCCCTTTTGTGCAGATGATTGAAGTTGTATGGTTTTCAAAGAAAAGGAATTAATTCTCAAATAGTCCCACTTTACCAAATTATACAATATTTGCCCATCTTCTCCCTCTGTCCATCATCAGTTGTTGACTCTTCCCATACTCTCTCCTCTTAATCTTTTCTCTCTTCAGAGCAATGGTCCTCAATCTGCTATGACCCTTTAATACAGCTCCTCATGTTGTGGAGTCCCCCAACTGTAAAATTGTTTTTGTTGCTACTTCATAACTGTAATTTTGCTACTGTTATGAATTGTATTATGAATTATCTGTTTTCTAATGGTCTTAGGTGACACCTATGGAAGAGTACTTTGACCCCCAAAGGGGTTGTGACCCACAGTTTGAGAACCACTGCCTCTAAGGACCACTTCTGCTTGATGCAGGTGGTGTTCTAGCTTAGAAGATATGCTGAGTCAGCCTGGGAAGTATTCTGTTTTCCATGGGGGAGAGCAGCTTACAAGTCTGCTTACCCATGAACTGACAGATCATTTTGATCATTTATAGTAGTCATTGCCCCTCTTATCTAGGAAATTGGTATTTGTATACTTTTACCAAAATTACATATTTCTTCTTATATTCTGCTATTTTTGTTTTTTATTTTAAAAAGTTAACATATAGGATAATGGATTTTTATATTTTGAGACAAGGTCTGTGTAGCTAACGCTGGTCTTAAACTTACTGTGTAGTTGAGGCCAACCTCGAATTCCTAATCTTCGTGCTTCTACCTAATAGTTGCTGGAAGTATTGGTGTGTGCTATGGATTTCATTTTATCCTTTTTTTCTTAAATACTTTGTTCTTAATTGTTCCCCTCCTCTAGCCCTTTCCACTGTTTCTGCCCTCCTCCTGTGATCACATTCCATATCCCATGGCTACAGTTCTGCCTTCAGGTCACATTGGTTCCATTGTCTTTTATTTTCCCCACTGAGAGCTCTTTTTTTCCTGTTATACTCCCTTTTCTAGTTTTACGACCTACATTCATATCTGTGTACATGCACACATACAATACACATTGAAGTCTAGTATCTACATATGAGAGAAGACTTGAAATGTTCATCTTTCTGGGTTTGACCTACTTCATTTAACATAACAATTTTCAGTTCTATCAGTTTTCCTACAAATATCATGATTTCATGACGTTTTATTTTTTTTATTGTGGCTGGATAAAATTCCATTTTGTGTGTGTGTGTGTGTGTGTGTGTGTGTACACCACATTTTCTTTACCCACTCATCTGTTGATGGGCATTAAGACTGGTTCCATTTTTTAGCTGTTATGAATAATGCAACAATAAGCATGGATGTGTAGGAAGCTCTCTAATAGTGCTTGGAGTCCTTTGTGCATATCTTGTCAGGTTTGCAGTAGTGAATTACCATACTTTTCCTAGGAATGGTACTGATCTCTTACAAAAGACTGATAATACCGCTTGCTGAGAGCTAGTCATAGAGCGCAGGCAAATAAATCTGCTTTTGTTGATGATGGCAGCATCTATTCAAAAGTGTTATCAGTTAAGGAGATTTTTTTTTCATGTGATTTCAGGTGGAGTACCAGTGTGAAGGCTTTCTTGAAAAGAATAAAGACACTGTTTTTGAAGAACAAATTAATGTCCTTAAATCAAGCAAGGTAACCATGGATAGACTTACTCTTATCAGGATATGTTCTATAAAATGTTAATTGCTTTAGCATCAGTCTTTTAATATTAATAATGATTTTCTAACAAATTTTAATCAAAATTTTAATTTATCAAATATATAACACTTACTTAATATGTGTCTGGTCCTGTACTGAGTACCTTTCAAATGTTGACACATGTGATTCTTACAGTGAGATGCTATTACATTACTCTCCTTTACAGATGAGGAGGTGAGTTGTACGTACTTAGGACTGGTAAGTTCCCAAGTTAGGTTAAGCTCATGCTGTCTTGCTTAGAACCTGCTTCCAACCACTCTTCCACATGGTCTTTCAGCTTTAAGTCCATGTCTCCACAGTAGCTTTACTCTCCTGTGCCATTGTGCAGAACTTAGAGAAGAGGGTTTTTCTGCTTCATCATTTTGAAGGGATTTGTTATAAATGTGGCCTATTACACTACATCTAAGTGGAGATCAGCTCTGGGTCATGATGGCTGTAATTTGAGATGTGACCCAAAGTGTTTCAATTATTTTTTCATAAGAACAAATACTAGAGCCACCTCTTTAACTAGGAAAAAGAATATTCCAGATGGCAAAGAAGTATGATTAGTTAAGTTGGTCTGTACCACCACCTGCTGACCTTTTTCTGGAAAGGATGGGAGAGGGGCACACAGTCAGCCTAAGGGAGCAAACCAGGAAGTCAGTCACTTGATGCTGCAATACTCACTTCAAAAGTAAGTGTTCAAGTGGACCTTATAGATTACTGATGGCACTTTTGTTTTTCTCGCCTATTTTAAGAGAATCCTCTTAACATCTGTTAAATAGTATATAAATAATAGGATTCTTATTTTTTAAAAAATAACTTTTTATAGTCAATTATGTTAATAATATAAAGATCACATTAAGACCAAATCCTAGTTTTAACCCTCAGAGATAAGTCAGATATTCATGGAAAAATCAGATTTGTTTTTTTTTAACCCTTAACAAGTGTTGAGTATTAATGCTTTCTTAACTTATAAGATTGATGTTCAAGGCAAACTTTTTTAGAGTAACAATCATTAAGTGTGATTCAAAGGTCTTTGTCACTTTATTCTATAATGTAAGCATGACATTTTGTTGTTAATACTTTGTCAAAATAATTTAGCTTAAATAAAACATGGGTTCTCATTCTAGATGTACCCATAATCAACTCTTTCTTTATTCTTAATTTTCTGTTTGGCTAGTGGGTCCTTAATCATCAGAGGGTAGCAGCATATTCGAAGAGTCATTGAGAAGAGCCAGTCTGTATACTATTATTGCAGTTGAAGTGGGGATAGTTTATGATTTTCATGTAAGTTCGAAGGCCTTTCTTATTCCCAGTCTTTGTAGCATTTCAACCAAGAGACCTGAACTTTATTTTCTCTATGAACCTGGTATAAAGAGGTGTAATACAATACCAGTCTGTTCTCTTGAAAGGACCATTTTGCTGATATTTGTACTATGTGCTTTGAACTGAAGTTTTGGTGACAAGAACAATGTAAAATCCATTTGTGTCTACTTTAGATATGTTTGATTAAATTGTCAACTAGAGATAGCCAGGTAGAATTGTCATGTGGGAAGTGAGGAATGAAGCAGGTCACAGGGAAAGGCAGAGAGGTGGTAGAAATGCTGTGGGCTTCAGAACTTGGTGCCTTTTAAAGCGATGAGACTTGGAGAGAGCATGGAGATAAAAACTCCTAGAGCTGAAGCCAGATGTTCCAATTAACAGGCAGCCAGAAGAGGCACCAGAAACAAAATCCAAGAAAAACAGCCTCTGAAGAATACATTATAGAACAGTTTCTGATGCAATAATTCTAAGTGTATGCTGTTAGTGCACATGTGTGCACATGTGTACACACACACGGGGACACTCATGTTCAAGTGTATGAGTATGTGTGTGAAGGAAGGAGGACAATATCAAGCTGTCCTTAGGAACACTGTCTACTTCTTTTGAGACATTGTCTTTCATTGACTTGGAGCTCAGCAGTAAAGATAGAGTGAGGTGACCAGTGAACCCCAGGAATTCTCCTGTTTTCTCCTCACTATTAGGATTACAGCCGTGTGCCACCTTGCCCAACTTTTTATGTAGCTGGTGGATTTCAAACTTAGCAAGACAAACACTTTACCAATTGAGTCATCCCCCCAGCTTTGTTTGAGTTTGCTATTGTTTGCCTGTTAAGACAGGACATCATTTAGTCCAGGCTGTCCTCAAAGCATGTAGATGGGAAGTTGAGGCTGGCTTTGAACTCTGAACCACCTCCATTTACCTCCTAAGTCATAAAACTACAGACACATGACCTTGTTTTTCAGTGAAAGTGATCTATCTCATAGAAAAAAATTTTCCTAGATAATCTGAGATTAGTAAATAATTAATTGGTGGTTACAAGCGTGACTTGAATTATGCAAATGATTAATTTTATTTATATAAAATAAAACAGTGTTAGATGTGTCCATATAGCAAGATGTTGCTGTAGACTAGTTTCAGGTCTCCTTTGTTTCATAAATTTTCATCCAACTACATTGACTGGTATCCACTCACTTATTAAAGGTGAAGCAGAGACAGGCAGATCTCTGAGTTTGAGATCAGCCTGATCTACAGAGCTAGTTCCTATGGTAACATAGTGAGATCCCCCATCTCAAAAAACAAATGAGTATGATAATTGCACTAAAGTTTTAAATTTCTTGAAGTCAAATATAAATACACATAGGATAATAACAAGGTTTTCTCCTTTGTTATACAATCCAAATTATTTTCTTAAAATTATTAATTCATTAATTTTTGCCTACCAATAGTAAAAGCTTATTCATAGCACCTTTCTGCTGAAACCCTTGGGCGTTCTGAGTTAGTGCTTACAACTCCAGCCACCCACATACCTGGCCTAGTCCTTTGTTTCTGCTACATAAACCCCCTTGTAGAACTGAGGTAATAAACTTAGTCTTTTGGTTAATATTTTCTCATAATTATATTCAAAACTACTTGTATGTTTAACTGACATTTCCTTTGGGATTAGTTAGATCTTCAAGTCTATACATAATTGTTTGAGTTTCTTTATAGAATTATTTTTTTCCAGCATATATTTGTGACATTTATATGTCCCCTCTCTTATATTTTTTTTGCTCCTAACACAGAAATTATTTCTGTGAGTCTGACTATAACTATATACAACCATAAATGTTTATTAGAAGTATCTGTAATGCGTCTTCTACATAGGCTTATTTTCCATTTAGGGTTTAGGGTATGAACTTTTGTTATTTTGGTTTAGTCTTTTAGATAGTGTCTTATTTGGTCTTGAAGTCACTTCCTTTATAAGTCTGGCCTGGAACTCATGAGCTTCCTCCCTCTGTCTCCCAAGAGCTGGGATTTTAGCTGTGTTGCACTTGGTTCTAGAGTACAATTTTCTTTACTATTTTTTGACTTAGTTTAAGATGCTACCAGAACTATTTCAAGATGATGAGAAGGCCATCAGTCCTACCTCTGCAACCTCTTCAGGGCGCACTCGAGTGCCTGTAAAGCCTACCAAGAGCCGACCTGGCCAGATGGCCAAGGAACACAAGAAAACAGTGGGACACCAGGTGAGTTCAGGAGCTGCTGCTACCAACCTCCTTCCCTTCAGCTTCCACAACCTTGTGAAGAAAGGTCAGTGTTTTTGCTGTGCAAACAATACTGTCCAGTTAGATTTTACCCACTCCACACTCATAACTGCATCAGCCTTTCCAAAAATAATTTTCTATGTCTCGGTTCCTCTAGTGCATATAATGTCTCAGACCACTGCTATCTTTGTTTTGTTATTGGTGACCCATGTCCTCAATGATGCTTTCTTTCTGTTTGTCCTTCTGCCTGTTCTCTGCTTATTTTTTATATAATATTAAGAAATCTGCAGCTTTTTTTGAGCAGAGTTCATGCCTTATATAAGTCACATATAGTGGAGCTCACAACAGGAAGCTACAGAGAAAGGAGTAGAAGAAAGGTACATGCATATTTAGAATAAACATGTAGAGTTCAGACAAATGTAAGCAAAAGCCCTAGAACTTTTGTTTAATAACTGCCCCCTGTGAAGATGACTTTATAGCTTGCAAAATCACCTCTATTTATGTCAAAGGAGGAGAATTTTAAATTGTCGTTGGCCTCAAACAAAACTTTAATTTTTAAAATCTTTTTCATGCAGTTTCGAAACTCCCTTCACCTGCTTATGGAAACCCTCAACGCCACGACTCCTCACTATGTACGCTGCATTAAGCCTAATGATTTCAAGTTTCCATTCACGTAAGTCAAACTGAAATGAGGAGAAATATTTCTAGGGAAAATCTTCATGTCTTGTATAGGGAATCTACTATTCGATCAAATTCTCAGGTTTGTTTCCTTTTGGGAATATGAAAACAAATTAACAGTTAACTCTCTAAGGATTTGAAAATTTGAGGCCAACTAGTTATTTCTGATTCTGTTTTGACTTTATCTCTGTTGGAGATATTTCTGGGCTTTTTGTTAATTTTTACATTAGTTTAAAAGCAGGGCTGGCTAAATGAACGCTTCTTTTGCCAAGGCTGCTGCTCTTTAACTGTTGGAGCCAGAGAACATATCAAAATCTCATCCTACTTCACATACCAAGTCAGAGGTAAAAATGAATCTTTCTGGAGATGATTTCAAAATATAGATATTTCTCTAACTTTAAAAGTAACACATGTATGTTATTGAGATGGTTTTCAGGAAGGTAGTAGAGAGGCAAGTAGTGTAAATTGTCACATGTGCTGGATGAGTTAGCATTCCCTCTTTCCCTGTGTGTGTGAGAGAGAGAGACAGAGACACTGAGATTAACAAGGTAGGGTCTCAGGCTATAATTGCTATTTCAACTCCACTCCTAATATCATTGATTGTGGACAGTTTCTAGATTAGTATTTAAAAAGCTGCATTATTGATTGAATGACTGCAGAGTATCTGATGTTACAGATGATCCATAATCTGTTTAAATCATTTAGGTTGTTACAGCTATTTTTTTAAAAAAATGCTTTAATAAAACACAATTATCACTTTCTTCCCTTCAGTCCCTCCCTGTTACTCTTCTTGAAACCCCTCCTATTTCAGATAACAATTTCTGTCAAGTATTTTTGCCAAAAATTTCTTCATCTCCTTAGGTTGACATAAGTCTAGAAGAATTTGTGGGCTAAGGATCAAGTGTATGATTTGATCATTATGCATATTTATTGAAATATCGTATTTTACCCCATAAATAGCAGAAATATCATGCCAAATACGCTTTTTAAATGTATTTTTGAAAGACCAGCCATGAGGCTATAGAGATGGCTCGACTGTTAAGAGTACTGCTCTTCCAGGGTACCTGGGTTTGACTCCCAGCACCCATATGACAGTTCCCAACCATACTTTAAGTCATTTAACACCCTCTTTTGTCCTCTGAGCACCAGATATTCAAGAGTTGTACAGATCTACATTCAGCTAAACATTATATATATACATATATATGTATATATATATATGCATATAAAATAAAAGTAAGTAGGTAGATTAAAAAAATAAAAAGACACCTGATGGTGGTGGCACACACCTTTAATCCCAGCACTCTGGAGGCAGAGGCAGGCAGAGCTCTGTGAGTTCGAGACCAGCCTGGTCTGCAGGGGGAGTTCCAGCACAGGCTCCAAAGCTGCAGAGAAACCCTGTCTCAGAAAAAAAAAATCCATGAATGAATGAACAAAGAAAGAAAGAAAGGAAAGAAAGAAAGAAAGAAAGAAAGAAAGAAAAGTCTAACTATATAGACTCAAAGTTGCAGCTCTTATTCTACAGTGTATGAGTGAATGTCTGGATGGTCTTGCTGGACCAATGCTGAGAGCTTACATTTTGATCAACAAGCATAAGACAGAGAGAGACAGGGAAAGCTAGCTGGGAATGGGAAGAGGTTTTGAAACCCCAGCGATACCTTCACCAACAAAGTCACACACCTCCTAATCCTTCCTAGGCATTTCCACTAAATGGGGATCAAGTCTTCAAATATATGAGCCTATGGAGGCCATTCTCATTCAAACCATCATGCTTAGGATAAAATAAATGTGAAATGTAATAAATAAATACATTTTTATTGCTTTACTAATACCAATGTTTCGTATGTTCACAGTAAGTGGCTTGTAGAAAAAAAATGAAGTTGTTGCTTTTGGGGGGTGTTTTTTGTTTATTTGTTTTTGTTTATCGAGACAGGGTTTCTTTGTGTGGTTCTGGCTATCCTGAAACTCACTCTTTAAACCAGGCTGTCCTCAAACTCACAGAGATCTACCTGCCTCTGTGTAGTTGTTTTTAAAATAACTGAATGGGGCATGTTTAATTTGTGTTTCAGTTTCATCAGTCTTTACCCCAGGGGTGGTCTATGTACTGAGCTAATGAAATGGGAGGATTTTCAGTCAGGCTAAGCCATAATTGCACACTCATTACAAGATGGGCAAAGTGAGAGAAAATTCTGTCTTCTTTCTTTTTAGTATGCACTGTGGACTTTCTTATGACACTCTAGTATATGAACCAGAGGAACTATCTACAGCTCTTTATTTTTACTGCAAAATGTTTCTTCTCTACTCTTTCATAGAGTTTTTCATTTTGGTCACTGTTCCAGATTTTGAATGCTTTCTTTTCTAGTTCATCTACTTGCCTTTTGACAGAAGAATTTAACCCTTGACAGCCTGGGTCTTTGTGGGCTAACAGCTTTTGTTTCTCCATGCAGATTTGATGAGAAGAGGGCAGTACAGCAACTGAGAGCATGTGGTGTCCTGGAGACCATCCGAATCAGTGCAGCAGGTTTTCCCTCACGGTGAGCCCACAGTCTTCAATGTAAGGGAGCTTTATGGAAGCAGTTCTTGCTTGAATCTTTAAGCTGTTATGGGCTTCTGTTCTAGGTGGACTTATCAAGAGTTTTTCAGCCGGTATCGGGTCCTAATGAAGCAGAAAGATGTGCTGGGAGACAGAAAACAAACATGCAAGAATGTATTAGAGAAACTGATATTGGTGAGAATGATTTTTACTTAATTGTTGCTGAAAGGTATTGTCCAGAGGCTTTATCATTCTGAACTGTAAAATCCCTGCAAACTTCACGTTAAATATCATAACCCACATTATTAGATTGCTTAAGTAGGAAAACACCTGACATAGAGTTCAAGTGAGACTCACTGTATTTACTATGCTAGGAGTAATGTGGATGCTGATAGCCAACACCAGAAAACTGTTTTGAAAAAGGTTGGACTTAGACTTGAGACACAGCCCTTTTAGATAGTTTGATCATTGTCAACAAAAATGTTCTTAGTATTTAGTTATGCACGATACCAGATATAATTAAGGAAAAGAGCCCATTTTTATTTTAAAGATGAGTAAAGATGCATTTTAACGATGAGCATGCAGATAATTATTTCTACCTCAAATATTGAGTGAGGGCTCGAGATTTGGCTCAGTAAAAGTGCATACTAGACTCCAGACCCATGTAGGGTGGCCCACACCCAACTGTAACGTTAGTTCCCAAAGGAGCCAGCACCTCTGTCTTCTTAGATGCTTACATTTTCATTCACAGAGACACACATGTATGCATGAGTGCATGTATGTATATATTTATATATATATACATATATATTACTAAAAATCTTAATATTTAAAAAAATGACAAAAATAGAGAGGAAGATATTAAAGGAAGGCAAAATTATATCCAATTGTGAGAAAGAAGAATAATTATATGAAGTGTGGGATTTAAGTCAGGATCTGAAGAATACGTATGTTTGGTTAAAAATGAAATAAGCTATTAAAAAGTAGGGGAAAAAAAACCAAGATTTGCTGAAGTGGCTGGAGAAATGCTTAAGAGCTCTTGCTGCTGTGGCGTAAGATCGTGTTCAGTTCCCAGCACCCACATTGCTGGCTTGCAACTGTAACTCCAGCTCCAGGAGACCCAGCGCCCCCTTCTTACTTAAGTGGGCACTGAACACACACAACATACACTCATAGAGACACATGAAAAATAAATCTTTAGGGCTGGAGACATGGCTCTGCAGTTAAAGCACTTGCTGTTTCTGCAGAAGACCTAGGTTTTGTTTCCAGCACCCACATGGTAGCTCACAATCGTTCTTCAAGTTCCAAGGGATGCAGCACCTTCTTTTGGACTCTACAGACACTAGCCATGCATGTAGTGGGCATTCTGTGCAAGCAAGCCACGGATACACATAAAACATTTTTAAAATGAAACAGTAAGGTAGCCTTTTACAGAGTAAGAGTTGTGTATGAGACAGTAGAGAATTATATAGATAGATGATGGTGCTATAGACAGTTCCATGACAGTCAAAGAAACTCTCAAACTATTTTGTGTAGTCACCTGGAGGGCTTGCCTGATACAGATTGCTGGCCTCCACCCCTAGAATTTCTGATTCAGTAGGTCTGGGATGGACCAAACAATTTAACACCCTTTCCCCCACACTTTATTTTTTTTTTTCTGTTCTAGTGATACAACCCAGGACTTTGCATATACTAGGCAAATGCTTTACCACTGAACTAAATCCCTTATAATTTGTATATTTAACAGTTTCCCAGGCCCTCACAGGACACATAGAAAATCTCTAACCTGAGTCTTGATGAGTTTGAGACTTATGAAAAGATGTTCAAAAATTAATTTTACTTGTGCCTCACTATGAAGTAGTCATAATTACTATCTATTAATTAAATGTAAAACTTCTTTAATAATTTTTCCCCCTTTGAGAGAACTAAGGATCCCATCCCTCCCTAAGGATGTAATGCTTTTTAATATTTCTTGGAGTTTTTTGAGTTTGGCCCAACTCTTTTCTAATTTGGGTTCAGATGGGAATGTGGAACAAAAAGCTGAGACAATCATGCACCTGCCTCCTCACCCAGACCACTCAAGGCCTGGATCCAGTGGAGGCAGAGGTAGTAGCTAAGGTATGATGGACAGTGGGAGAGGACCTAGTTAGGGTTTCCATGCAAATGTTAGTGAATAATTTTAGACTTCTCAGATATATGTTACAGTCTCTATATTTTTTTTTTTTTTTTGGTTTTTCGAGACAGGGTTTCTCTGTGGTTTTGGAGCCTGTCCTGGAACTAGCTCTTGTAGACCAGGCTGGTCTCGAACTCACAGAGATCCGCCTGCCTCTGCCTCCCGAGTGCTGGGATTAAAGGCGTGCGCCACCACCGCCCGGCTCAGTCTCTAATTTTTTAACTTCATGTTTAAAGGGATATATATGTGCTTACAACAGAAATTGAGTTTCTCTATTTTTGCTTAGAATTCCAACACAGTAGTGATTATTATATGTAAATTGCGCTGTTCTTTTGATATGAAAATGGTTAATGATTTGCATGCTTACATCTGAGGTGAATCACATGAATATCTCTGTCTACAGCTCTGCTTATGCATAAAAGCCAATGCAATATTAATAAAAGAAATTGGCAATCTGTAGATGGTTTTTAACACATTTATGAGGTTGTATTTGTTTTTAGACACTGTTGAAGCCACATGGTAACTATTTAGATGCATACCCTTAACATGAGCACAGGGATTTGGAGGGATTGGCTGGTGGTTTGTTTTTGTTTTTTTTTTTAACTTTTTTATTTTCTGTGCTTTCTTCCTGCCTTATTCTTCACACTGGTTTGTTTGTTTCTTCAGCTGCTCCTGGATTATGCAGTCTGATGTAATCTTACAGCAGTCAGTCAAAGGGAGCACCTCCATTTCCTTAAGATGTTTAAAATTCAAACAAGCAGATAATAGCTACATAGAACCCACTGCCAGTTTTGGGCCCAGATATTAATTCCAGGTAGAATAATTCTGGAAAATAACTCTTAGGCTACCATTTTCTCTAAAATCCTTTCTATTTACGTAACTTAAATAGGATAAAAAAAAATCTGGTTCTGTTAGTTCATTGAGATGTAACCCAGGTTTTAGATAATAGATTCATTCTTTTACTAATTCTGCTTCTAGATTTTCCCCATCTTTAATTTGTTTTATAAAATCAGTGTTTCTGTTTATATTTTTCTCTCTAAAATAGGACAAGGACAAATACCAGTTTGGTAAGACAAAGATCTTTTTCCGTGCTGGTCAAGTTGCCTATCTAGAAAAATTGAGGGCTGACAAACTGAGGGCTGCCTGCATCCGGATCCAGAAGACCATCCGTGGGTGGCTGCTAAGGAAGAAATATTTGTGCATGCAGAGGGCAGCCATCACAGTGCAGCGATACGTGCGGGGCTATCAGGCTCGATGGTAAGTCTCCTTATGGCCTCGTGGACCTCGGCTAATTCATGGTCCATTCAGAACGAATCTGAATGACTACCCTCCCTGAGAAGTTAGCATCTCACTCGTTATTAATTTCAAAGTACAACAAACTAACTTAAAAGACAATTAAAAAAATAGAATTTCACGTAGACTTGGAATAATTCAGATTTGAATTGCTACCAACTTAGAATTTGTATCTCTTTTGCTAAAACATGGAAGTTGAAGAAAGTGTGTGTAAATTAAAATAACTATGAATATGAGACAGTTAATCTGACTCTATTGAGGAGCAATTAACAGAAAAGTCCTAACAAATAGTTATATTTCAGTATACATATACAAACAGTTTTAATTTTATGAAGTCTTTTTTAAGTTTATGTGACAATATGGAACATCCTGCTTTTCAAAATTAGGGAAGCCTCAATGAAAAAGTACTTCAGAAGCTGCACATTCTGAACATGTGTGAGTAACTATAAATGCTTATTTGTCATGAATATTAGAACAACCACCAGTGAGGTCTGCTTAGGATACCTAAGACATTGACATTGATGTTTTGCGGTCTTGATGACTGACAATACACCACTATTTTCTTTGACCAGCTATGCTAAGTTCCTACGCAGAACCAAGGCAGCAACCACCATTCAAAAGTACTGGCGCATGTATGTGGTTCGCAGGAAGTACAAGATTCGACGAGCTGCTACTATTGTTCTTCAGTCTTATTTGAGAGGCTATTTGGCAAGAAATAGATATCGCAAGGTAAGGTGCTGTTTTCAAGTTTGTTCATACATTCCAGTAATCATATTTTCTGTCTATACAAAAGCCATGTGGAGACAACACAATTGAAAAGTATGCTAGTATTGAGTAATTAGATATACTTGTTAACAAGACAATAGAAAATATACTTCCTATTTCCATTTGTTTGAAAATTTGTAAAATTAAAAAAGTAAAGTGAAATAGAAACCACCAATTTGGTTGCTAAAAACAACAGGACTTATTTTCTCAGCTTTTTGGAGGCCAAAAATCCAAAACCACTGGGCTGTAATCAAGGTATCAGCAGTACCACATTCTCCAAAAGCCCAAAGACAGAATATATTCCTTGTCCCTTCCTGTGGTGGCTTACACTCCTGTGCCTGTATTCATCTCTGCTCTATCCTTGTATCATTTATCCCTTACTAAAAATCATGGGGCTGGTTAGATCCCCAGACTTCACATTGTGGAAGGAAAGAGTCAACTCCCACATATGCTCCCCCAAATAATTGGTTTTTTAAAGGTAGTTTTTAAATTATGGTAGTATTTAAGTCCCACTTTTATAATCCAGGATAATATCCCCATCTCAAGATCCTTAACCTGGTCACATCTGTTCTCCAAATAAAATCACAACTATAAGTTCCAAGGATTAGGACAATATGTAGACAGCTACAGAGAGGTAAACTACACAAATAGGTTAAATATATGACACGTAGACAGAATAAGAAAAGCTTAGGAGAATTTATCATGGTGAAAAGGAAATAACTATAATATCTGTATGGTTAAAATTACATTAACTGGAATATGGTACATTTTGATACTCTGTGTGTACGTGCATGCGTGTTTGTGTGTTTTGCAGGCTTGTCATTGTGTGGGTATGCAAGTTATACATACCTATGTTGAGACCAGAACAGGATTTTGGTTGTCTTTCTTATTACCCTGAAACAGAATCTCTCACTGAACCTGAAGCCAGTAAACTCCCAAGATCAACTCATCTCCACCTCTCAGTGCTAGGGCTATAGCGGCATGTATCCATCTCAGCTTTTCATGTGGGTTCTGGGAATTCATACTTAGGTCCTCATGTTTGTGTAGCAAACAATTCTTACCCACTAAGCCATCTCACAAGCCCAACAAATAATCTTTTTTTTTTTTTTGCATGAGGCACTGGGGTTGAATTCAAGGCTTCATGCACACTAACCATGCATCTTCTACTGACAAGTACTGTTTCTATCTTAGAATCGTTACTGTCCTCTGTAGATCACAGATCTCATGGATCTGCTTTAAATCATGTACTTGGTTTTGAGTGTGTGCATACATGTGTGCCATTGTGTCAGTGCGGGTGTCAGAGGACAACTTAGAGGATTGATTCTTTCCATCTTGTGGGTTCCAGGGGAAAAACTTTTCTAAAAATTGTTCACATTGTCTCTGCTTAATGGTCTTCAGTGACAAGAAATCTTTCTCATAAGGCAACCCTTTTCTTCTAAGTTATATTAAAGTTTAAGAAACTGTCATGACTTTAAAAAAGTAAAAGTAAGATTACTTTCTTTTACATTTCCGTGTGTTTAGCTTTCCTTTTAAAGCATGTGCCTTTACCTTGACATCCATAACAGATTACTGCTGCATTGGAAACAACAATGGAGGAAATCATACTAGAATGATACACCTCAAATGTGGCAGACAAGAGCAACAACGTTAGGCTGAGGCAGGTGGCACATGCCTTTAACCCCAGCACTCAACTGGCAGAAGCAGGTGGACCTTCATGGGTCCAATGCCAGCCTGGTCTACATAATGAATTCTAGGCTAACCAGAGCTACCCAGAAATATACTGTTTCAAACAAACAAAGAGAATGTCACCTTCTGAGTTTCAGGAGTGTGGTCAGTAAGTCATAAATAACCATTCGCTAACTCAGGTGTCAGCTTCTCAGCCAGCTTACTGGCCATGCCCATGACCTCAAGTCCAGGCCCAATGCATAGTGAAGCAGTGTAGTGGGACAATCTTTTATTTTAATAGCACATAGTTCATAAAGTACCTGATTCTTAGTTTTATAAGGCCTTTTACAAGCAGAAATCCTACACCAATAAGGAACTGATGCAGTTTTTGTGTTCTTTGTAGAATTTTTCCTTTTTGCAATCTGGTATTTTTTATTTAAACTGCTTCCAATTCCATGTATTGTTTATAGTTGTGTGTATGTATAATAAAATGTAACTAGAAAAGTGGACATTGAAAGATGATTTGATCAGAGAGTCTGGTTTTATCCCATGCTTATTCAGTCCCAGTCCAGCTGGCCTTGGTGAGCTCCCCCAATAGATCAGCCCCATTGTCACAGTGAGTGGGTGCACCCCTCGTGGTCCTGACTTCCTTGCTCATGTTCTCCCTCCGGACTGCTCATCAGACTCGAGAGGGAGGGGAGAGGAGTAGGGGGAGGGGGAGAGGAGTGGAAGGAGGGGGAGGGAAATGGAAGGCGGGGAGGAGGTGGAAATTTTTTCAACAAAAAAATAAATAAATAAAAAATTAAAAAAAAGGAAAGATGATTTGAGAAATATATTGATATATAATCCACATAAAACCGTTGTTGTTTCAATATTTTGTCCTCTCTAAGTGTGGACTCTCAGTTTGACATACATAGGAGCATAGAGTTGAACTTTTGAGTCTAGTCTAGAGACTCAGGTTATCTCCCTTTTCCTGCAGATACTTCGTGAGCATAAAGCAGTCATCATTCAGAAACGTGTTCGTGGCTGGCTGGCTCGTACACATTATAAGAGAACCATGCAAGCCATCATCTACCTTCAGTGCTGTTTCCGGCGGATGATGGCCAAGCGTGAGCTGAAGAAACTGAAAATTGAGGCTCGCTCTGTGGAACGCTACAAGAAGCTCCATATTGGCATGGAAAACAAGATTATGCAGCTGCAGCGCAAAGTGGATGAGCAGGTGTGTTTTTAAAGAGGCCCTAAAGCTAGATAGAGCACAGCTGGAGACCCACAGGGTCGCTTTTAGTGGCCTTTCTTCTGGACTGACCCTGAAGGAAAGGAACAGACAGGGACTTAGTTTTTAAAACACCCTACTCCAAAACTGTGTGATCATGAGCCATATTATAATTTATACTTTGCAGAATTCTTCCTTCCCTGCCTCTCATTTGTATGTGTGTCTTCTCTGACAGCTGTTGGGCACGGCAGTCGCCAGAGAAGCAGGAGGATGTACAGGCTTCAGAGAGAAAGTGCTCTTGCTTAGCAGTAGTTACTAAGTGGTATTTTAGTACATGCAAATGATCTAAAGGTAATTAAGAATATGTAAGACATAAAGAAGGGAAGCTACAGAGAAACCCTGTCTTGAAAACAAAACAAAACAAAAAAGACAGCAAGGAGAGATGGGTCAAAATGAAGTAGGATTCATCAGAAAGGTTTATGAAATGAGAGGAATTTTAAGATTTTTATCTACTTTATCATTCTTATTCATCTTCTCCCTTGCACATAAGCTTATTTTTTGTATTAGCCCCAAGTTCTGACCTGTGGTAGACAGATACTGTCACTGAGCTAAAAATCTCAAGCCTTAAGATAAATGTAGTGGCTTAAATCTGTATTACGGGTATGCAGGAAGCTGAGACGGGAGAACTGCCTCAAAGTCAAGACTACCCTAGCGTACAGTGTGAGATTATGTCTCAAAAACAACAAATAGATACAATAAGTACAATATTGTGTATATGTATACATATCTCCACATTTTTTTTTTCCAAAGAGAGGCCTTATTGAATAGAACGGGCTGGCCTTAAAGTTGTAGTCCTACCTCTGCCTAACAGGTAGATGAAATTACAGGTTTGTGTTCTCACACTTAGGTTTAGTACATGATTTTTAATATTATTCGAAGGTAGTTTCAAACAACAAGTATCCATCCAGTCCCTTGTTTTGAATTAATTATTATTTACTTACTTTAACTTTATGTGTATTGGTATTTTGTCTGCATGTTTGTCTGTGAACCATGTAAGAAGGCCAAAGGTCAGATTTCCTGAAACTGGAGTTACAGATAGTTGTGAGCCCCAGTGTGGGTGCTGAAAATTGAACCAGATCTGAAAGAGCAGCCAGTGCCCTTTACCAGCAAGCCATCTCTTCATCTCCTTCCCTTATTTCTAGACTAAAAACTAGGAAACTGTGGGACTGGAAGGATATATCAGCTGTTAAGAGCACCAGCTGTATTCCAGAAGTCCTCTGAGTTCAATTCCCAGCACCTACATGGTGGCTCACAACCATCTATAACTATAGTCCCATGGGTCCCAATGTCCCCTTCTGGTGTGCAAATGTATATACAGACAAAAAGGACATAAATAAATCTTCTTTAAAAATTACAAACATAAGAATTCACTGCAAAACTCTATGATTATGAGAAAATCATATTTATGTTGCATATCATATAAATCAGAATTAATTGTTCTGTGGTGTTATTCATTTGTATGATGAAGAAGCCATTGTTTAGATTATGAAAAGTGCTGAGCAGGTAGGAACTATAATGCCATATCATTTTCTACTTGCACTAAGGAAATGTGTTGTTACTATGTTCTGATGCTCAATATTGTTGAGTTGTTTTGGGTTTTGTGGGTTTGGGAGGGCTCTTTGTTGTTGTTGTTGTTTGAGACAGGTTCTCACTGTTTTAGCTCTGGCTATCCTGGAACTTACTGTTTAGATCAGGCCAGCTTTGAACTCACAGAGATCCAGCTGTCTCTGCCTACTAATTGCTAGGATTAAAGGAGTGTATCACTACACCTAGCTTAATGTCATTTTCAATGCAGGGTATATTATGATCATTTTTGTATAGCAAATTTGGCCAGATCCTATCTCAATGCTGTAATGATGTCATAAGAATTTATAAGAATGGTATAACATGCCTTTAATCTCAGTACCGCAGAGGCAGAGATAGAGGCAGGTGGCTCTCTTATGAGTTTGAAACCAGCCTGGTCTCCATAGTGAGTTACAGGCCAGCCAAGGCTGCATATAAGACCCTGTCTCGGTAAAAAGGAATTCATAGCTGGACTTGGTTGTGCACACCTATAAATCTGAGACAGAGGATCATGAGTTCTAGGCTTTTGAGTTACACAAGTTCTGGAGCAGTTGTACTAAATAGTAAGACCCAATCTCAAAACAAATAAAAGGAAAATCCTAAAAGAATGTAATTAACCAGCCAGGCGTTGGTGGCGCACACCTTTAATCCCAGCACTCGGGAGGCAGAGGCAGGTGGATCTCTGTGAGTTCGAGACCAGCCTGGTCTACAGAGCTAGTTCCAGGACAGGCTCCAAAGCCACAGAGAAACCCTGTCTCGAAAAACCAAAAAAAAAAAAAAAAAAAAAGAATGTAATTAACCAAAGCCTGGAAGAATCTGACTAATCACTATGGTTTTCTTACTGCATATATTTGGTCATTCATATTATAAGTATTTACTTATTGTTACTTACGTTTGTATTTAAAGAATAAAGACTACAAATGCCTCATGGAGAAACTGACCAATCTGGAAGGAGTATACAACTCTGAGACTGAAAAACTACGAAATGATGTAGAACGTCTTCAGTTAAGTGAGGAGGAAGCTAAGGTTGCCACTGGGCGGGTCCTCAGTCTGCAGGAAGAAATTGCCAAGCTCCGCAAAGACCTGGAACAAACTCGATCAGAGAAAAAATCCATTGAAGAACGAGCAGATAAATACAAACAAGAAACTGAGCAGGTACAAAACGGCATTCTTATCCCAGTGCCCCTTGCACAGAGTAAATGCTGTCATCCTGGCCTGGTTCATGTGACACTATATTAATTTTAATCAAAGAATAACACAAATTTCAGAGGTTTATAGATTATACTAATGTTTCCCAAACATCTCTGCCCCATAATCAACAAGTAGGCTGTAGTCTTGAGGTAAAAACTAGTGGAAACAGAAACAAAACCCAATGAAATTGATGTCTATGTACTGTTATAGATACCCGTTCCTGTAACAAGATGCCTCAGATTAGGTAATTTATAAAGATTAGAGGCTTATATAGCCATATTCTGGAGGCTAAGAAGTCCAAGAGTGTGGTACCAGCCTCTGGTGAAGATTTTATGATTACATCATATATCCGGTATCACATGGCAAAGAAGAACAAGTGTGCAACTTTTATATAGCAAAACCACTCCCTCAGTAATACATTAATCCATAAATAGGTTATCCTATTCATAAGGGCACAGTTTTTATTACCCAGTTGTCTCCCTGAGGTCCCACCTCCAGATATTAACAGTGAATTTAAGGATGTTAAGAAAAGACAGTCATATCATAACATTTATTACAGACTTTTTCAGTGTGGACTTCATGAGATGCAGACTCCTTATTCTTGGTAAGGGATGCTGTGATTCTCAGGCAGATCAGAGAACTGTTAGTACCTGAATTTATAGTAGGAATTCCCATGAATACCTGTGTTAAACTATGTTAAGTCCAAGTTGGAAAAATCTAGACAGGAGCTGCTGAGCAGATGAAATTCCCAAATGTTCAGTCTCATCCATGCTTCCATGCTATGAATTTAACTTACATTAAAACTTGTTGGGCATGGGAAAATGCAGGGCTTCTAAGAAGTGGTAACGAAGTGTATTTAAACATTTCTAAAAGACCCTTACAACTGGGCTTCCTGAGAGGTAGTAATTGATTTGAATGAGTCCACAAGGATCACCTTCTCTAGAGGAAAATGGGTGAGTTGTCAGCTGCAACTGAATAATCCTCACTTGTTTCTTCTGTGCTGGATTCTGAACAGGGACTCATTCTTTTCAGGAAGAGCTTAGCTGAACTGCAGGCAAAATTGTGTAGCCAGTACAACTGCTACCCCATCATTCATGGTGCTCATAGTCCATAGAATTCCTCCTGCATCTGAGTGAGACCCACTCTATACATAGAAATGCAGTGCCACTGTGCAGTATCCTTTGTCGTGGCAACTTTGTTCTTGCATAATTCAAATATGCATTTTAAAGGATACCCTTGAGCATTTAAGATCTCTTTTCTTCTTCAGTCTCTGAAAGCTTTCAAGATTCCTCTGGGAAGATGGCTTTCTTTTTTCTTTCTTTCTTTCTGTGTGTGTGTGTGTGTGTGTGTGTGTGTGTGTGTGTGTGTTTTGCTGGAGATTCATTCTCTTAAAACCCCATTACCCTCTCAAAAAGGAAGGCAAGGTCCAAGATAGACTGATAAGAGAGATCCAAACAGTCAAACTTCAGGGCTCCTATGGCCCAAACATTGGTTTCTCTGCTGTCCCAAATTGTGGTAAAAAGTGGTGGATACCAGTCCAAGTAGAATGATAAGAAAAGGTCCTAAATAAAGCTGACTCAAGCAGCCGTGAGACCACTGAATCTTTTCTCTCTGTGTTCAGGCCTGACAAAGGTGTCTTTTTCTTCCGGATTGGTTTCCCCAAAGTTAATGGAATCATTTGGGCAAAAGCCTGAACATCTAACAGCTTCACCAGGCTAGGCTCTACCACTAGACCTGATTGATATATCAGTTAAAGTGACAGATAATGATGAAAAGCACAGAGAAGATACTCTGTGAGGAACAAATAAGGGGTCCCACCTTTGCTTTTGTTTTTTTAATTGTAGTAAAATATATACTTTAATAACCTACTAACTAATTTCTCTTGAGACAAGGTCTTACTATGTAGCCCTAGCTGGCCTGAATTTACTGTTAGACCAAGCCTGCCTCAAACTCATAGAGATCTGACTGCCTCTGCTTCCTAGGTGCTCAGATTTTAGGCATGTGTCACCATGCCTGGCCCCATTTCCATAATTTCTTAAAGCATGCTATTATAAGGAAATAAATACATCAGTATTTATCTAAGGTCATTATTTATTTAAGCATGAAATTTAAAAAAAGGTCAGTTCTTTTTTTTTTTTTAATAATTTTTTTTATTAAGAAAAGAAGAAAAAAAACATAAACAAAAAACAAGTTTCCACCTCCTCCCAGCCTCCCATTTCCCTCCCCCTCCTCCCATCCTTCTCCCCCTCCTCCCACCCTTCTACCCCTCCCCCCACTCCTCTCCCCCTCCCTCTCCAGTCCACAGAGCAGTCCAGGTTCCCTGCCCTGTGGTAAGTCCTAGGTCCTCCCCCCTCCGTCCATATCTAGGAAGGTGAACATCCAAACTGGCTAGGCTTCCACAAAGCCAGCACATTAAGTAGGATCAAAACCCCGTGCCATTGTCCTTGGCGTCTCATCAGCCCTCATTGTTCGCCATGTTCAGAGAGTCCGGTTTTATCCCATGCTTTTTCGGTCACAGTCCAGCTGGCCTTGGTGAGCTCCCAGTAGATCAGCTCCACTGTCTCAGTGGGTGGGTGCACGCCTCGTGGTCCCGACTTCTTTGCTCATGTTCTCCCTCCTTCTGCTCCTCATTGGGACCTTGGGAGCTCAGTCCAGTGCTCCAGTGTGGGTCTCTGTCTCTGTCTCCATCCATCACCAGATGAAGGTTCTATGATGATATGCAAGATATTCGTCAGTATTGTTCTCGGATAGGGTCATTTCAGGTTCCCAATCCTCAGCTACCCAAGGAACTAACTGGGAACCTCATGTTGGGCACTTGGGAGCCCCTCTAGGGTCAAATCTCTTGCTCACCCTAAAGTGGTTCCCTTAACTAAGAATTGTGGTTCCGTGCTCCCCTATCCACCTTTCCTTTATCCCAATTCTCCTGATTCCCCAAGTCCCCCCTCCTTCCCTTCTACCTTTTCTCTCCCCATCTCCCCTTACCCCCATCCCACCCCACCCCCAAGATCCTAATTTTCTCCCCGGCAATTGGGTCTACTTCCCTTAGCCAAGAGGATAACTATATGTTTTTCCTTGGGTTCACCTTCTTACTTAGCTTCTTTAGGTTCACCTATTGTAGACTCCGTGGCCCTAATTTATGGCTAGAAACCAATTATGAGCGAGTACATCCCATGTTCATCTTTTTGGGTCTGGGACACCTCACTCAGGATAGTGTTTTCTATTTCCATCCATTTGCCTGCAAAGTTCGAGAAGTCATTGTTTTTTACCGCAGCGTAGTACTCTAGCGTGTATATATTCCATACTTTCTTCATCCATTCTTCCATTGAAGGGCATCTAGGTTGTTTCCAGGTTCTGGCTATTACAAATAATACTGCTATGAACATAGTTGAACAAATGCTTTTGTCATATGATAGAGCATCTCTTGGGTATATTCCCAGGAGTGGTATTGCTGGGTCCAGGGGTAAGTTGATCCCGAATTTCCTGAGAAACCGAAACACTGACTTCCACAGTGGTTGCACAAGATGGCATTCCCACCAGCAATGGATGAGGGTACCCGTTCCTCCACAGCCTCTCCAGCAAAGGTTATTCTTGGTGTTTTTGACTTTAGCCATTCTGACAGGTGTAAGATGATATCTCAAAGTTGTTTTGATTTGCATTTCCCTGATTGCTAAGGAAGTTGAGCACGACTTTAAGTGTCTTTTGGCCATTTGAACTTCCTCTGCTGAGAATTCTCTGTTCAGTTCAGTGCCCCATTTTTTAATTGGGTTAATTAGCATTTTAAAGTCTAGTTTCTTGAGTTCTTTATATATTTTGGAGATCAGACCTTTGTCTGTTGTGGGGTTGGTGAAGATCTTCTCCCAATCAGTAGGTTGCCTTTGTGTCTTATTGACTATGTCCTTTGCTTTACAGAAGCTTCTCAGTTTAAGTAGGTCCCATTTATTCAATGTTGCCCTTAATGTCTGTGCTTCTGGGGTTATACATAGGAAGCGATCTCCTGTGCCCAGCTCCTGTAGGGTACTTCCCACTTTCTCTTCTATCAGGTTCAGTGTGTTCGGGCTGATATTGAGGTCTTTAATCCATTTGGACTTGAGTTTTGTGCACGGTGATAGATAAGGGTCTGTTTTCATTCTTCTACAAGATGACATCCAGTTGTGCCAGCACCATTTGTTGAAGATGCTTTCTTTCTTCCATTTTATACTTTTAGCTCCTTTATCGAAAATCAGGTGTTCATAGGTTTGTGGGATAAAATCCGGGTCTTCTATACGATTCCATTGGTCGACTTCTCTGTTTTTATGCCAGTACCACACTGTTTTCATTACTGTAGCTCTGTAATAGAGTTTGAAGTCAGGGATGGTAATGCCTCCAGAAGATCCTTTATTGTATAGGATTGTTTTGGCTATCCTGGGTTTTTTGTTTTTCCATATAAAGTTGATTATTGTCCTCTCCAGATCTGTGAAGAATTTTGATGGGATCTTGATGGGGATTGCATTGAATCTATAAATAGCCTTTGGTAGAATTGCCATTTTTACTATGTTGATCCTCCCAATCCAAGAGCAAGGGAGGTCCATCCATTTTTTGGTATCCTCTTCAATTTCTTTCTTCAATGCCTTAAAGTTCTTGTCAAATAGATCTTTCACTTCCTTGGTTAGATGTACCCCAAGATATTTTATGCTGTTTTTGGCTATTGTGAATGGTGAAGCTTCTCTGATTTCCCTCTCTGCTTCCATATCCTTTGTGTATAAGAGGGCGACTGATTTTTTGGAGTTGATCTTGTATCCTGCCACATTACTAAAACTGTTTATCAGCTGTAGGAGTTCTTTGGTGGAGTTTTTGGGGTCGCTTATGTACACTATCATATCATCTGCAAATAACGAAAGTTTAACTTCTTCCTTTCCAATTCGAATCCCCTTGATTCCATTATGTTGTCTTGTTGCTATTGCTAGAACTTCAAGCACTATATTGAAGTTCTTAAAAAATTCTTTGAAGTTATGACATAGAAAATTCTTCCTAAAAAGATATAAAAGAGAGTATATCAGAAAGCCTTTAGTGAATTCCTAAAGCTAAAATGCTTTCACACAGACACTCAAGGGGAAACAAAGGCACCACATCTTTCCATAATTAAACAAATGCAACACACTTTACACAGTTAAAGTAGTATTCCGCAGCATAAACAAATGTAGCACATCTTTGCTTGGCTAAAGTAATATTCTACAACACTATCCTGTGAATTGACTAAATGTACCCATATTTATAAAAAGGAGAGAACATGAAGTTGGAAGAAAATTGTAAGGAATGGGATCCAATAAGACTAGCAGGGTGTGAATATGGTGAAAATTCATTGTATACATATATGAAAGTCTCAGAATAAATGAAAAAGATTTTATTTTTAAAAGAATTCATGGGTTCAGAGAGATGTCTGAGCTATTAAGTTTGTCTTTTGCCATTCCAGAGGACCAGAGTTTAGTTTGTAGCCTATACATCTGTGATTCCAGCTCTGTGGGGTCCAGTACTCTCTTCTGGCTGTGGATACACACACACACACACACAAACACACACACACACACACACGGCATACACTTACATATACACATAAATTTTTTTAAAGACTCATATCTTCAATTTCTTTAATCTGCCCATTTTGAATTGTGGTATTCTGATGGTACAATGAGAAGGTGTTTGATGGCTAATCTTAGTTGTCAATTTGACACACTGAAAAGATGGAATTTCAAAGAATTGCCCCTAGCAAAATTTTCTTGGGCATGACTGAGGGGTGTTTTCTCCATTGCTAATTGTCGTGGGAAGGCCCAGCCCACTGTAATTGGTATACTCCCTAGGCATGTGGGCCTGGGCTATATAAGAAAGACAGCTGAGCATGAGCCTAGGAGCAAAACTTAATTCTGGTTTCTTCTTCAAACTCCTGCCTTAGCTCCCCCTGGTGATGGACAGTGATCTGGACGTGTAAGATGAAATAAACCCTTTCCTTTATCACAGCAACAGAATCAAAATAGAACAAGGTGGTATCACTATTCTGGGAACAGGTGTTTTCTAGATGCTAGTCAGGTGCTAAGTGTTTATCATACAGAGTAAAACAAACACCATCACCATCCTGTTCCTCCAGGATATGTCTAGTCTATGGGAGAAAACAAATAATAAACCATTCATAAGGATGGTAAAGAGGCAAATACAGAGCTTTGCAACAACTCAGAGAAAAGGTCTCTAATGGAGATGGTTTTGAAGAAGTGAATTTGAGACATGTGACAGGTGACAGGATGTAACTAAGTGAAGACAGGAGGCACAGAGACTGTTGTGGGACTTCTCGGTGTACTACAACCAGAATCTCAGTTTGGCGTTTCATTTTATAGCTGGTGTCTACTTTGAAGGAAGAAAACACTTTGCTCAAACAGGAAAAGGAGACCCTCAATCACCTCATTGTGGAGCAAGCTAAGGAAATGACAGGTAAGGTTTATGTGGGTTTAGCCTAGCATACAACAACCAATTTCAAACCTAAGTTTTATAAGTTTGATATTATGTTACCATTTACACAGTATTACTTAGAGCTGAATTTTTTTTAAGTTTTGGCTGTCATCTACATTTACAACAAGACTCTCAAATATTTTACTAAAATTAATGAATTTATAAAGTTGATCTCTGGGCTGGCTCTATGTACTAATATAAAGTTATTCAGTAATATAATATGTATCTCTTAAAAATTTATGTGTATGAGTTTTAATTATAGGATTCTTACTGATTTAATAAGAATTCTTGAGCTAATTTGTGGGTAGATAGTTTATGTGTTTTTTTATCCACACACACATACATGCATGCATTTGTTTCTTTGAGTCCGGACTGGCTTTGAATCTGCGGTCTACCTGCTTCACCCTTTCAAATGTGCCTCCACACTCAGCTCTTTGCATATTTTCAAACTGATATAATTTGAAATATTTGTAGGAACAGTGCAATAATTTGGTACATGTGTGTGTATAATGATCAAATCAAGGTATTTCATCTTCTCAAAATTTGTCATTTGTACTTGTGGGGAACCTTCCCACTCTCCTGCTCAGCGGTACTTTGGAACCTTTATACAGCTTTTCTCCTGGCTTTCCCAGTGCCCAGTGACCATTTTTTTTATACTCTTTTCTATCAGTTCAATTTTTTTTAAAAGCATCTTTATTGATTGAGAATATATACTGTTTGTCTTTCTGATCCTTTCTGATCACTTAATTTTTATTTATATTTTACTAAAATAATGAATGTCATCCTTTTAAGTTCAATTCTCTTTGCTACCAAACTAAACATGAGAAGTAATTTTTAAGATAAAGAACAAGTAAATATGTACATTTATTCTATTTATTGATTGTAGGGTTGATTAAAATGGTCATAAATAAAAGGAACCCATCAGATTGGCCTATGGGCATGGAGCATTCTCTTGATTGCTAACTGCTGTAGGCGGGCCCAGCCCACTGTGGGTGGTACCATCCCTAGTGATGGATTGTGGGCTGTGTAAACAAAGGGAGCCAAATGTGAGCCCTTAAGCAAGCCAGTAAGCAACATTCACCCAGTGTTTCTGCTTCATTTCCTACCTCTAAGTTCCTGCTTGAGCTCTTGTCCTGGTTTGTTTCAAAGATGGACTGTTCCATACTTTCTTCATCCATTCTTCCATTGAAGGGCATCTAGGTTGTTTCCAGGTTCTGGCTATTACAAACAATGCTGCTATGAACATTGTTGAGCATATACTTTTGTTGTATGGTAGGGCATCTCTTGGGTATATTCCCAAGAGTGGTATTGCTGGGTCCAGGGGTAGGTTGATCCCGAATTTCCTGAGAAACTGCCACACTGATTTCCAAAGTGGTTGCACAAGTTTGCATTCCCACCAGCAATGGATGAGTGTACCCCTTATTCCACAACCTCTCCAGCAAAGGCTGTCATGGGTGTTTTTGATTTTAGCCATTCTGACAGGTGTAAGATGGTATCTTAAAGTTGTCTTGATTTGCATTTCCCTGATCGCTAAGGAAGTTGAGCATGACCTTAAGTGTCTTTTGGCCATTTGAACTTCTTCTGTTGAGAATTCTCTGTTCAGCTCAGTGCCCCATTTGCCTAGGCTGTTTGGATGTTCACCTTACTAGACCTGGAAGGAAGTGGGAGGTCCGGGGGAGTTGATTGGGGGAGGGGGAGGGAAATGGGAGGCTGCGGCAGGGGAGGAGACAGAAATCTTTAATAAATAAATAATTAATTAAAAAAGAAACAAAGATGGACTGTAACTTGTAAGCTAAATAAAACTCTTTCCTTTCCATGTAGGTTTTAGTCAGTGTTTAATCACAGTAACAAATGGAGGCATTCTGAAAGTCATCCAGAGTAAAGATTAGAGTGATAGCAAGGGTTGAACTGGAAGTTTCCCCTTAAGACCATGGTGATAGAGCCCTCTGTACTTTCCCTCACATAATTTCTTCCCTCCAATTAAAGAGGATATAGAGGAACAAGAGGACATCCTGGGATTAATAACCTTAACGAAAAAACAAGGTGATAACAAGAAGCCAGAATAAAATGTTAAAATGGGACAAAAGAAAATAGTATGAAAGGATGTTTCTAGAATGCAGGTTGTCAGGGAAGGATCCAGAATGATGAAAACATTTCTACAGAAATACACGGTGTTTTTTTTTTGTTGTTGTTGTTTTTTTTTTTTTTTTCGAGACACGGTTTCTCTGTAGCTTTGGAGCCTGCCCTGGAGCTAGCTCTTGTAGACCAGGCTGGTCTCAAACTCCCAGAGATCCGCCTGCCTCTGCCTCCCGAGTGCTGGGATTAAAGGCGTGCGCCACCACCGCCCGGCGTGTATAAAACTTTTGTCTCTGTTTGCCAACCTTGGGGAATCAATGTCTCTCATGTCATTAGATAAACACACACATGTATGAAACTGACTAAAACCCAAGTGTCTGGGTACACCTGTGAGCTAGCTACTGGCAGAAAAGGCAGAGTGAGGTAGGTTCCTTAAGTAACACATGCCAGATGGCAAAGAAGTAAACAGCACAGTCAGCAGCGCCTAAGCAGTCATCTAGTTAGAAATGGAGGGGTAATAGGATGACAGGATTTGATGTGCTCGAGGGTTGTATGATAGAACCATGGGACTGAGCTACACAGACTGACTATCGTATAGCAGGACAAGTTCTGTAAAAGTCACCATTCTCTTGAAGAATAACTTTTTGAATCATTATTTAGCCAAAAGAATTTATGAGTAAGGTGGCTCATTTCCAGGCCTAAAAGCCTAAATTCAGTCCCTGGGTCACATGGTATGTGAATATCCCCATGAGTAGTGATCCTCTGGCTTCCACATGTAATTGTATGTGTGTGCTCTGACACACACACACAAAGTATTTTATTGTATTTTATGAATATCCTAAAACAACACTTGGAATTAAAAAATATATATGCCAATACTTACATGAATAACCTAAGAGAGTGCTATACAACTATATTATGTATATATTTATGTGTATATGTATATATATGTGTGTGTGTATATATATATATATATATATATATATATATATATATATATATTGCTTACTAGACCAGTATGTTGTGGAAGTTTATCCAGAATTTCTTGTAATCTGGGTGTGGTGTTGTACACCCATAATCCCAGCACTGAGACAATTGAAGCAGGATGGACTGCATAGTTCTAATGCCAGGTTAGGCAGGGCTATATAGCAAGACTGTCTTAAACAGCAAACAAAGAGGAACATGTTGTAACCAGTGCATGAACTAGTGGGACCAGAGCTATAGTTCATGGAGAGCCCATAGATGAGAGTTGTCATGTATAAGCATAAGTGATTTAGTTGGGGTCATGCTTCTTTCTTTTCCTGCACTCACAAACTGCTCTCCCAGGGCTAGAAGTTCAGTTCCACCAAGAGAAACTGGAAGTCAGCACACCTGTTTACATTCTTGAATTCTGTGGAGTCGCCTTTGTATACATATCCCCCTTCCAGTTTTGCAGGGAGGGGGTGTTTTTGTTCTGTTTAGTTCTAAAAAAAAAAGTTTATTATAATATAGAAGCAGATTCCTAGGCAATATTTAATTCTTAGTTGAGTAAAAGGTGCAATGCTGGAATCTAGATGATAAATAATAATGGGATTGCTATTATCCTTGGAACAAAGGACAGCTATTTTTTTAAAAACTGATTTCTTTTTTTTTTTTTTTTGTTTTTCGAGACAGGGTTTCTCTGTGGTTTTGGAGCCTGTCCTGGAACTAGCTCTTGTAGACCAGGCTGGTCTCGAACTCACAGAGATCCGCCTGCCTCTGCCTCCCAAGTGCTGGGATTAAAGGCGTGCGCCACCACCGCCCGGCCAAAAACTGATTTCTTAATCTCATTTGTGACCAAGTGCCCTAACCAGGGGCTTTTGCTTTTAGCCCCTGAGTTGCTTCTGTTATTCTTTGACTTCTGCTGGAAGGCCTAGCTTCCTCATCTGTCTCTTTGGGATGTTTCAAGAGCTTTCTCTTGCCACCTCTGTGGCCTGACATGTCACCTGTCACCTTTTTCCCAGGCCTTGATCCTCTATATCCTCTTATTTATTTCAGAAACTATGGAGAGAAAGCTAGTAGAAGAGACAAAACAGCTGGAGCTTGACCTAAATGATGAAAGGCTGAGGTATCAGAACCTTCTGAATGAGTTTAGTCGTCTGGAGGAGCGCTATGATGACCTCAAGGAGGAGATGACCCTGATGCTGGTGAGTCCAACACTTCTTTTTTTTAAAGAGTCTTTCTATGTAACCCAGGCTAGCCTTAGACTCATGATTCTTCAATTTTCTACCTCCTGAAGATTACAGGCATGGTCCTTCATACCTGGCATCTGCTTTTTATTTTTAAAATTTATTTATTGGGAGCTGGAGAGATGGCTCAGAGGTTAAGAGGACTGACTACTCTTCCAGAGGTCCTGAGTTCAATTCCCAGCAACGACATGGTGGCTTACGGCCATCTATAATGAGATCTGGTGCCCTCTTCTGGCATGCAAGCATACATGGAAGGAATGTTGTATACATAATAAATAAATCTTTAAAAAAATAAAATAAAATTTATTTATTTATTAAGTATACAGTGTTCTGCCTGCATGCCAGAAGAAGGCAGCACATCCCACCATAGACGACTGTGACCCACCATGTTGTTGCTGGGAACTGAACTCAGGACCTCTGGAAGAGCAGCCAATGATCTTAACCTTTGAGCCATCTTTCCAGCCTCCATTCTTCTTTACTTTTTTAAGATGAGAATATTTAGTCATGTAAGTTATATATAAAAGAAACATAGGATGCATTCAATATGCTACTTATATCTATCACCTAGTTCTCAAATAGTCAAAGTATCTCTGTTTTCTCTCCTATCCACTACCTTCCCCACTTCATGGATTATATTATTTAAAGCAATCCCAGAAGTGATGCAGTTTATCCAAAAGTACTTCAATAGAGTCAGATACTTAGAGATAGGGCTATAAGGCTCCTTTGAGTCCCCTCTGTGCTTTAGGTACAGTTGGCTGGCCCACTCCACATTTTCATTCCCTCTGAGTTTTCTGAACACTGACTGATATGGTATCTTGTGCCCTAAAAGTATCCCCCAGACCCCCTGAATCATCATGGTCATGATTCAGGGATCTTCAGTGAACTCTGCAATCACCTAGCTTACCTGCTTTGTACTGTCTTATTCTCACTGCTTATTCCACAGAGTTGTGTTGTGTGTAAAAGTGACAGAAATTACAGTCACATATTTAACTCCTACTTATTTTTTAACCGCTTATACTTTATTACCATGTAATGGATGGTTATGTCTGTCATTCAGTGTATTTTATGAATTTTCTGGTAACTTTTATTTTATTACAACACTAAAAGCATTGCTTGAACTGAGTAACTCAAAACTTTAAAAAACAAACAAACAAAAAAACAAAGAGCCTTGAAGAAGCCCTATTGATAGAGCCCTTGCTTAGCATGGTTCTAAAGGCCTGTGTACCATTCTCAGAACTCATATAGGGTGTGGTAGCTCATGCCTGTAATCCAGTCCTCAGGAGGTAGAGGCAGGAGGATCAGAAATTCTAAGTCATCATTAGCTACATAGTGAGTTCAAAGTTAAACTGTTCTACATGAGACCCTGGGGACTCTGCTAATAGTCAAAGGTCATCTGCATTTGGCCCTTTGGTTTCATAACAGTTCTTACCAAGCTGTCATGCCTTTCTCATTGGGGAGATCACCCCTTATAAGAATTTGGTTAAAACCCTTGAACATTTGACCATCAGTGCAAATTACTGAGTAGAGACTGCAATGAAGACATTGTGGATGCTGTTTCCAGTGTATAGTTTTATTATGTTAAATGAATTGTATTTGGGTTATTTACCTCACAGAATGTGCCTAAGCCAGGACACAAGAGAACAGACTCTACCCACAGCAGTAATGAGTCTGAATACACCTTCAGCTCTGAATTTGCAGAAACTGAAGACATTGCACCAAGGACAGAGGTACATTTTTCTGTCACTAAAAGTAAGATGTACATGGTTCTTTTGATAGGCAACATTTCTAATAATTGGCTTATATATTCTTAATCAGTTGTATGTATACATACCTATTGTACATGGTTTTGCAATGTATATACTAATTTTTTGTTTGTTTTGGTGGTAGAATTGAACCAAGAACTTTATATGTGACAAGCATTTGCTCTGTCTCTGAGCAGCATCCCGAGTCCCACATTACTCTTTCAGTGTTAAGTTTTGTAGCAGTAGTTACAGCTGTCTCCATCACGGTTGCACACAAGCAGTTTCTGCAGCAACTCAGCTGTTGGCTGCACTTGCCCTGGAGCTCTCACAGCATCTATGGGGCTGCTGTGTGTTGGTTTGAAAGGATTGCTTTTTCCTGATTCTTTTTTTTTTTTTTTTTGGTTTTTTCGAGACAGGGTTTCTCTGTGGTTTTGGAGCCTGTCCTGGAACTAGCTCTTATAGACCAGGCTGGTCTTGAACTCACAGAGATCTGCCTGCCTCTGCCTCCCGAGTGCTGGGATTAAAGGCGTGCGCCACCACCGCCCGGCGCTTTTTCCTGATTCTATAGGCTGTTGGAGTCCTGCTTTATTCCTGAGCTTCCTCACAGTTTCCATCCTGGGAAAAGGGCTACCACAACTTTCTCAGCTGTGGTAGGATAATTTCAAAATTAAATTCAAACCAGTGGTGGTAATTTTATTAATTAATTTTATTATCTTTTCATCAGTTGTGAGACTACTATTATTTTTAAGGTCAATATCAAAGTTTGACTGGCTTGGGTGACAAAATCCTTGCTAAAAAAGGAAAGGAAAATAAGACCCCACAACTCCTCTCATCCTGATGGTCCACTCCTCCTCCTATCGCATGTGGTTCAGAAAAGGCAAATGACCTTGCTATAAATAAATATGCCACTGGGACTACGGACATCATCTGAGCACTCTGAAGTGATTACCATTCATTACACCTCAAGTTATTTTGTATTTGGCAAGCGTTATTTTCTGTGCCCTACCTTTTCCTATTCTCATATTCCTATCTGGAGAAGTTTGTTTTCACCTCACAATCAGTGGATTCTGTATATAGCATTAACTGATAACTGAAAATTACCCCATCCTATTTTAATATGATTCCCTTTTAAATGTCCATTCAAAGCCCAAAGGGATGATTTCCAGTTAATAACATTTTAAATATCAAGAGTGAAGTACTATCTATGATCGTTTATAGAATGGAGGATTCTGTTGCAGTTTTTGAAAGTTAAAGTTTCAAGAATATATGCATCACTAATAAATGAACAGATGTTAAGATATTTGAATGAAATGTTTAAGTATTTGTAGATGTTTTTGGTGGGCCAACACAATAGCTCATTGGGTAAAGTACTTAATGTATAGCCTAATGCCCTGACTTCAAGCCCCAGAACCTAATCTGGAAGAAGAGAACCAATTCCTACAAGTTGTTCTGTGACCTCCATACATGTACCATTTAACCTTATGAAAAGCCAAAGAATAAAATTTAAAACAGCATTGAAACGCCACCTTTGGACAATCAACTGAGATGAAAACTTTTTGTTGAGTCATAGCAGTCACTATTGTCCCGGGAATGATTGTAGTTGTTGAAGTAAGTAGAAGTTGCCCCAGTCCACCAGACTTCCAAGTATTATCTTCAGATACTATGTTCTTAGATGTGTATTTTAGAAATTAGAAACCATCTCATTGCCCATCAGGAAGACAATGACTAAACTGGGGGTTCACCTTGCTCTACAATTAGACAGATAACTGGAAACAATTAGAGCAAGCGCCTTTGCTTGCTGAGTTGTCCCCCCAGCTGTGTAGACTTAATTCTTAAACAGATTTGCTACATTTTAATAAACGCACACAGCTTTCCACAGGCTTATTTATATATTCCACCAATATAGTATGAGACACAGTTGCTAATATAGGACATTATTAACTTTGAAATGCCGCCTTTGGGTTATCTGCCAGTCAGGTAAGAGAGAAGTAATGCCTCACGATCGTTTAACTCACGTTTCTATAATTATTAGCTAGGATGAACATGTTTTTTGTTTTGTTCTACATTTTTTCTGTGAGTTTGACTGTTTTACTACTGAACTGTTTTCACTTTGTCTTGTGAGTCCTCTGTCTTTTACTTGATTCGTATGATCTCTGGGTTTTAGGAGCCAAGTGAGAAGAAGGTGCCTCTAGACATGTCATTGTTCCTTAAGCTCCAGAAGCGTGTCACAGAGCTGGAACAGGAGAAGCAAATAATGCAGGATGAGCTGGACCGAAAGGAAGAGCAGATGTTCCGCAGCAAGGCAAAGGTGAGCAGCAATAGCCTGTTCCAGGGCCGCGGGCAGCCCAGGCAGATTGTCCTGTGTCTTTCTGTAGCCCCTGAGTTACTTAGCTATGCAGCACTCGCTGAAGCTGTGAAGGCTTTGACACATCACTGCTTTTTGTATACAGCTAAGTGTTCTAATAGTCAAAATTTGACAATTAAAATACAAAAGCTTTTAGTTTATTTTTCTCCCCAGGAAGAAGAAAGACCACCAATTAGAGGTGCAGAACTGGAATATGAATCCCTCAAGGTATTGAAAATTTCATCCCAAGACTTTGACTACTTTGTTTTGACAAGAGAGCTGCTAAGAACTTGTCTTTTCCTCTGAGAACATCCTTAGCTAAATCTAGCTAAATCTTATCTGGGCACTAGTTCTAGCCTCTGTTCTTTCATTTTACAAACCATTTCATCTAAGTAGGACTTCACTCTGAACAGGAGGTAGCAGCCCTGCAAGCTACAGTAGTAAAGATTATGAACTCTAGAGTCAAGCTCCCTCTCTTCTCCACCATAAAAATCTGAGGCTGAGGGACAGACTAAAAGCATAGGGTAGCAGTCTGCTCCTAAAACATCCCTGCCTCACATAAATATAGGTAAATGAAAGTGTTTTCTGTAGTATGAGTGAAGCCCAGATTGACACAGCTTTGGTGAGTGGTTCCCAAAGTCTGGCCCTCTATTAACATAATCAATACTGGCTGGTTCCTTGTTGGAAGTACAGAATTCTCAGACCTCACGCCATTAGACATAAAGTCATGATCCTGTAATTGGGGTTTAGAAATATGTGTTTCAACAGGAACTCCAACTGGCTGTGATGCATGTTAAAGTTTGGGGCACATTGTGTCAGAGCCTCAGTATTAAAATAAAGACATTGTCTTGGTTCTGTCCCAGAAATGAGCAATGCAAAACTGATTTCCAGGATTCAAAGAGAGCACTACTGAGAATTTCAGTCATTGGGAATATCCTGACCAGTTGTATGCTTGGTTTTACCCTTTATCTGCATAGTTTTACATTTACCTGCAAACAAAACCTGGGTTGCCCAGGATTAGGACTCAGCAGTCTTCATCTCAGAGTATTCCGTGAGCAGGTCGTAGTAAATTTGCTTCTGGAATTGGAGTTGGTGATACAAACTCTAATTTACATTGCTCGGCTCCCACTAATATCACACTTACCTAATCTGGGCCATCCCTAAGAGTGGAGACTGATGTTCTTTCTATTAGAATTATTCTATCACTTAGGGGTTAGTTTTCCGATGGAAAGATGAAAATGACAGCAGTAAATGTCTTAGTTGGGGTTTTTATTGCTGTGAAGAGATACCATGACAATGACTACTCTTATAAAGGAAAACATTTAATTGGGGCTAGCTTACAGTTCAGAGGTTTGGTCCATTGTCATCATGGTGGGAAGGATGGTGACGTGTAGGCATACATGGTTCTGGAGAGGTAGCTGAGAGTTCTACATCCAGATGTGAAGACAACAGAAAAAGATTATGACACACTGATTATACTTGAGTATCTGAGACCTCAAAGCCCACCCCATTGACATACTTCCTCTAACAAGGCCACTCCTACTCCAGCACAACCACACCTCCCAATAGTAGCAGTCCCTATGAGCCTGTGGGGCCATTTTTATTCAAACCACCATAGTAAACTTGACTATCTTTTCATTCAGCGTCAAGAACTGGAGTCAGAAAACAAAAAACTGAAAAATGAGCTGAACGAGTTACGCAAAGCCCTCAGTGAGAAGAGTGCCCCAGAAGTGACTGCACCAGGTGCTCCTGCCTACCGTGTCCTCATGGAACAGTTGACCTCTGTGAGTGAGGAGCTTGATGTTCGAAAGGAAGAGGTTCTCATCTTGCGGTCTCAGCTGGTGAGCCAGAAAGAAGCCATCCAACCCAAGGTAAGCATGCATATATGTTGAGTACGAAGCATGGTGACTGGCTTTCATTTCTTCCAGTTTGTAAAGAAACAAACACTTAAGAGTAGTTGCAAAAAGCCACTGTGTTCCTAGGTGTCTTTCAAAGTTTAGTTTCCCACAAAGAATATCACAGTCTAAAGAGAGCCAGCTCCTAGATCACCCAGGATTTGAAAGAAATCCATGGTGTCAGCAGTACACTAAGACTTCTTTATCTGAAGGAGTTAGGGAAAAAAGACACTCAAGCATTCACTTGATGGCTTCCTTTTTTTAATTATCTCATGCTGTTGTTCCTCTTATGATGTTCCTCTTTGTTCTCCATAGCTATATATATACCCAACAAAATCTTTCAAGCAATACAGGAGTTATATTTGAAAATCATAATCCATTTCTTAAGTAGATGATAAAAACAGAGTCATCTCGACAACTCACACACAATAAATCTAAACAACTTGTCACAGAGCAAGGAAGGAGCATTTTTTTCTTAGCTCCTTAATTGGCAGACTGTAACTTGCAGCAGCAAAGAAAGAATCAGTCATTTTGTTATCTATCTAGAGAGGTAGTCTATAAAGGAGTTATAAACCTTAAACTACTGAGGAGCCTAAGAAAATAAGGTAATTATGTACTGTAACCCACACTTCTGCGTGTATAAACATTTTGAACTAACAATCTGCGATCAGTAATAGTGAAAGCCAGGCTTTCTCAGACTCAGAGAGTGCCTTTTTAGAAGATAGAGGTGTGTTGTCATGTCTTTGATTCAGGCCCAGGATTACCATAAGTCTTTTAATATCAGTTCAATAGCCATTCTCCAAGGTATAGGACACTAAAAGCATTTTAAATCTTAAAATATATTTACTGTCCCATGTGTAACTTTAGACCATACAAGAGAAAACTTGTAACTCTTTCTCAGGGCTATGAAGTAAATTATTTTTTGTAGCCCTGACCAGCCAGAACTTCTCGTCCCATGGTGTTTCTGAACAAAAGCTGTAATTAATTATTGTTCCAGTTTATCAGTCAGACCCAGCAAATAAAGCGTGTGCAGCCATTAGGTTGCTTTGCACTTTTGATCCTGGCTCAACAAATAAGACAGTTGGCTATATGTCCTTGTAAATTTGCTTTTCTGGGAATAATTTATCTTTAAAACCATTAGCAAGGCATCTGGTCTAATCTAAAGCTACTTTGAAGTTTTATATCAGCTGATAAAACTCAGCTTTCTTGACAACTGGGGCAAATTCATCTGTTTTCATAATCATCAGCCTGAGCTGAAGTCTAAAACATCTCCTAGGGAGAAGTTCATAGGCCTTGACTGTGTAGTATTTTTTTGTATTCATGTTTATTCATCAAAACTCTGTAAAAACTAACATTATTAATATCAATTAGACAATACAGCTTCAGGAGGGGTCATCTTGACAAGAGATGAAAATGCCCAGAAGATTAGGATGTATTCATGAGATAAGCACACTATGATATACTATGATTTGATTTGATAGGATATGATATGGATAGGGAAATTTGAAGTAGCGATTATGAAGTTATAGATTGAAGCAAAAGATATTCTGGAATCTCTAGCCTTATGACCTGGTCTAATAAAGTTTCCCATCAGAGAGTTTTCCTTATACTTGGCTGACACCTTGAATATTAATTACCACCTGCTGTTCTAATGTTAATACTCACAGCAAAATGATGTTTTTAAAAAATTACTTTTGTAGTAATCCTGCCTCAGTATATTCTGAACTAAAGTAAAATACATTAAATATAATAATATACATATTATTTTGGTACAAAGAAGCATTAAGTCTAGCTAAAATTACTTGTTAAAATTGGTCTGCATAAGTAGAAATGTAACAAAATGGTTAGAAATGAAATCAGTTCATGGAAATTACACTCCCAGGTGTAAACAGAGACTGTGTGCTCCTTTCCCAGCTACTTAGACCCAAATAATCACACAAAAACTATATTAGTTATAACACTGTTTGGCCAATGGCTTAGACATATTTCTAGCTAGCTCTTACATCTTAAATTAACCCATTTCTATTAATCTTGTATTTCTATTAATCTATTAGCCTTGTATCACTACAAGGCTGTGGTCTACCAGTAAGGTTCTGGCATTTTTCTCCTTTGGCAGCTACATGGCATCTCCCTGACTCTGCCTTCTTTCTCTTTTGTTTTTCTGCTTAGCTCTATTCTGCCCTGCCATAGGCCAAAGCAGCTTCTTTATTAATCAATGGTAATAAAATATATTCACAGCATGCAGAGTGAATCCCATATCATCCAGGAGTTCCCTTTAATAGGGAGAAGGTAGGAAGGGCTGTGTTCATGGAGTAAACAGAAAGTGTTCTATACTGTTATCTTTCTTGGCTCAGTCTCATCTGGTTCCAAGGCTTGAACAGACTAGCCTTGAGAAAGAAAGCCCTGTATGCCTTCTTGACAAAGACTAAATCAGTATTCTCTCCTCTCTCAGCAAATGGATAGTCTCTCTTTTTCTTTTTAAATTTATAGATAATTGTGTGGGGGTGTATATATATATATTGTGGAGTACATTAGATAGTTTCATAAGAAACTTTAGTGGAAATGAAAAGATTGGAAAATAAAAACGAAGCAAAGGTCATAAATACAACCTCACTAATAGAGCACATAGTTTGGTAACATACCTGCCATCTTATTAAGTTCACATAGTTCATGTGACAACTGTTCTGTGATAATGGTCTGGCTCTATCTCTATACAGTCCCTGCTTGCTCAGCTCCCAGTCTCCTTGTTACACACCTTGGCTGTTCTGGAGGAGTATGCAGTATACTGAAACCTTCCAGACACCCAATGCCTTTTGTAATTCTGGGTTCCTCAATTTCTTATTATTAAGCCAATGGTGAACAGCACACAGTGAGCTAGAGTGTAAGTCATCCCAGCCAGCTCTTGTTTGTCTGTTCTACCTCCAAAGAGCTCTGAGAAACTTTCCCTGGACAATTAGCCTCCCAAAGAGACTTTCCCTGGACAATTAGCCTCCCAAAGGCCACTACTTGAACTCCTCAAAGACCTAGTATGAAATCTCACCCAGATAAATCAACAGCAGAATCATTCTTTCATACACCCAAGCATTTTACAGCCAGGAATATTTAAAAACAAAACGACTCAGAAAAGAAGTTAAGCATTAGTAATAGGAGTTCCAGCCAGGTGGTGGTGGCACCTTTAATCGCAGCATTAGGGAGGCAGAGGCAGGTAGATCTTTGTGAGTTCGAGACCTGTTAGTTCTGGTCTACAGAGCGAATTTCAGAACAGTCAAGGCTACACAGAGAAACCCAGTCTCAAAAAATAAAAAGTTAAAAGGAAAAAAAAAAGGAACTCCTATTTCCTACACATATATTAATGTCAGCCTTATGACAGTTTTGTGAATGCTAATTCATTACAGTTAGTTTTACAAGAAACAACTCACAGCTTTTAAATTAACTCTTGTTAATTCAGTGAAAGTATCTATTCATGAAGCTAAAGATTTATTGTTTCTACATTTTTGTGCTTGCCAACATGTGATTTTTCAGGATGACAAGGTAATTGTATATATTTTTAATATTTAATAAGTACTTCTGTTTAATCCTAACATTGACTTGCAGGTCTCCTAACATCGACTTGCAGGTCTCTTTAATTTATGTAGTTCGTGTTTTGTGACCAGGTCGTTTTATTTTATGTTGTTTTTTAAGATTTATTTGTTTATTATTTGTGTCTGTGTGATTATGTGGAAATGAATGCCAGAATAGGGCATTGTGTGTCCTCTTCTATCATTCTCCATCTGTTCCTCTGAGGTAGTGATTCTCTCAAACCTGGAGCTTTCATTTCCTCACCGAGGCTAGAAGCCAATAAGCCAAGTAATGCCCTGGCTCCATCCCCTCAGAACTTGGGTAACAGACATGTATGGAATGTCTAGCTTATTACATGGGTGCTGAGATCTGAACTCAGGTCCTCATGATTGAGAATCAAACACTCTTAAGTGCTGATACATCTCTCCAACCCTCTCTGCCTTTTTGCCTTAGGATCTTATATAGCCTACGTTAGCCTCAAACTCACTGTATCGTTGAGGATGTCTTTGAACTCCTGGTTATCCTGCCTCCACTTCCTGAGTGTTCTGAGTACCGTTATAAGCTGCCATGCCCCACTTCCTTTTTACTTACTAATTTCCTGACTTCTTCCTATACGAAGTCACTAGGAGAAACTGTGGATGTCAGATGGATCTCCAGGACTTGTAATTCACAGTCATCTCTGTGACTCGCTGCTGTAATTCTGGTGTCATGCACAAGTTGGGGAGGAAAAACCCTTATCTTAGAGACAGTTCTTCTGGGCACACATCGTACCAAATCTAACAAGGTTGAGGAGAAATGGAAGAGCTGAGCATGAATTCTTTACTGCTACTTTTCCCTCCCTAAGGGCAACGCCCATAGCTAGAATGAAAAGTAGCTCCTGTGAAGGTGCAGAGTTGAATCTCTCGACTCTCTTGGTTTCTGCTGTTGAGCAATACTGGGTGCTTCATGTATGGTGCAACCTTCTTAGAACTTGGAGCCGTTGCATGTGGGAAACACACAGAACACTGAGTCAAAAACTTCTCAGTGCTAAAGTGTAAATCTGAGTCCGTCTCCCAAATACCATATTCTAGCCAAGACAGGCAGAATTAAGAAAGAACCAGCTACTTGTTCCCCAGGATATCAGCAAATGGAGTCACTCATCTTTTCTTGTCTTCATACTAGCCGAATAGATCAAGTGACCTAATTTATCAGAATTTTAAAAACACTCCAGAAAAGTCCTAAGATAGTCAAGTACAGTGTATCATTATTTGATATAAAAACTTGAGCCATTGTGAATTTTATTTATAGGGCTTAAAAATGAGAATAAGAAATAGATTTTTCTTTCAGGGAAAGAGGAAAATTAAATTAGCAAATATATACTCTTTATAAAATAAAGCTAAAGAAATGTTTATTTGGGACCAGAATGTAGCTCAACTGGTTAAATGCTTACCTAACACATACAGAACTCTGGGTTTGATCTGTAACACTCCATAAACTGTGCTGGCTCAGTGGTACATACCAATGATCCCAGCACTGAGGAAGATGTGGCAAAAAGACCAGAAGTTCAAGGTCATCCTCAGATACCTAGAAAGTTTAAGGACAGCCTGGGCATGAGCCACCACACCTAGCTTAGAGAAAAAACATTGATTGAAAGATCAGACATGTTTTTAGACAAAGAGAATGACCTTTGTAGTGTGCTAAAGTTGTTATTCTTTAGAGGCAATAAATTAGTAATTTGATTTAGTGTTTTGGGGGTGTTATATGCACACACGTGCACAAAAAAGAGAAAGAGAGAGTTGCATGTGTCTGTATAAGCATACACATGAATGTCAGTTGATAACTTATGGAAGTAAATTATTTCCACCATGTGGATTCTAGAGATTGAACTCAGGTTATCAGGCTAAGTGGCAAGTGCTCTTACCCACTAAGCCCTGAAATGAAAAGAATATGTTATATGTGATCCACAGTTACGGAGTTGAGCCTTCATGTGGATTTGTGTCATTTCTCCCTTCAGAATACAATGACAGATTCCACAATACTTTTGGAAGATGTACAGAAAATGAAAGACAAAGGTGAAATAGCACAAGCATATATTGGTTTGAAAGAAACAAACAGGTAAGTTCATCCTTTCATCCACCTTGGTTTAACTGTATTAATCTGAGTGTTCAAGTCAGCTTCTTGTTCAGGAAGTCAGTGTGCTAATTCATTGCTTTATTAGACATCAGCCAATCTTTAAGAAGAACCTAAGGTTTCTGATGTAAATCAACTTAACATCCCTTTCATAATATCAGATAATTGTTGGTGATTGGTGTCAAAGGAAATGTTATTCACATTATGAGAAGATATGTTTATATCAAGGGCCTTGACCTTAAGCTGCCTGAAGAAGAAAACCTATTGCTCAGTTTGGACTGTCCTGGGTAGATCCTTTTCTAGTAAGGGTGTTGTTCAAGATGGTTATTTGAAGGTTTGTAGAGATAACTACAGTGTTCAATAGCTGAAATGTAGCATGAAGAGAAGTTAAGATGTGTGTGCCTAGAATTCCATCGGCGGTAGCCATAGAGCTCTAGAGGGTGCCACAACTTTGAGAATGGGAGAGTGAAGACTCATAGCTACAATTGTCAGCATCACTGCCAACCTCATTTCTGAACAGAGATTTAATATCATTGTACTCTAAACAGAAAAAATTACACACTGGACCATTTTGAGAGAGCATGACCAGTGGTGAAAGACAGTTCTGGAGTCTTCTAGGTATCTTGATCACAGTTCCAGGATTGGCTTGCATAAATACCCACAAATTAAATATATATGCCTTACAAAACATAAATTACTTCTTTATTTGTTGGCAACGGTACAAAGGTACCTTTTCAAAGGTATGTAGTTAAATGTAAATTTAATTTATGAATTAGTTGTGATCTTTTATATTTAAGAATATCTTATTAGTCTGGCTGTGGTGGCACACGTCTTTAATCCTAGAACTCAGGAAGCAGAGGCAGGTGGATCTCTGTAAGTTCAAGGTCAGCCCGTTCTACATAGTGAGTTCTATATAGTGAGTTCCAGGACAGCCAAGGCTACAGAGAAAAACCCTGTCTCAAAACAAAACAGAATATCTTGTTATAAGTAAGAGTATATGCTGTCTATGTAATCCACTCAGCTATTCAGTCACTAGGTCAGGAATGTTTCTACCCCATGCCAACACTATGTTACATTGTGGGATACAGCAGAAGACAAGTAACTGCCATCCCTTCCCACAGAGGTGATAGGCTCCTTAGATAAAGGACTGAGAATGTTTGCATTTTAGTCTAAAGATATTAGAAAGAATTGAAGTATTTTAAATAGAAGAATAATTGTAATGGAATAAGATTGAAAGCACAAAACCAGTTAAGAGGCTTTGCTGTAGTGCAGTGACTGAGCATGGTGACTCAAGGTTGGTTGATGACAGTTAGGATTGAAAGAAGCGGGGAAATGTGGAAAGATATGCGTAAAGATGAGGTCAGTAAACCCTGTGGAATGTTGGGTGTGTGAGAGGGTTTAGGGAAGCTTGCAGTTTCTGCTGTGGGGACTCAGATGGATGTGCTGATGCCATTTCATGATTATGAAACCAGGATGGAGTGATGAGTGGATTTATATACATTGAATTTTAGCAGACAAGAAGGAATTCAGGGAGAGAAATTCTACTAGGCAATAGAGTTATATATAATAGATCTATAATCAAGACACGTGGTCTGAGATAAAAATTTTGAAGTCATAAGAATACAATAAAATAATCGAAACCTCAAAAATAGCTAACTTTAGAGACAGAGAAATGGTAGATTGAAAACAGAATTCACTCAGATTCATGTTGCAAACATAGCAACAAAAGTGTATCAAGATTAAGATCCTGGCCTCTGAAATCACATGGCACTGGACTCAAATGCTTCTTACCAGCTGTTAATTCAACATGGGTGATGGGAAGAACAGATGAGGTAGTGAAAGAATGAAGAACAGCATCTGACATTTAACACATCCTCAAAATATATTATTTACACCCTTGGTAGGAAAAATGTTACCAACTAAATGTTGTCTATAAACTAAGATTTTAATAAGAGACGATAGATAAACCTCTGATATAAAGGTAGTTTCTCCAGATCTTAAATTTAATTTTACCCAAAATTTAAAATTATATCAAAAGCTGAGAACTTTGGATACATTCTTATGTTATTTGTACAATAATTTTTATAAAAGTTTACATGGGGAATCAGATTATGCTGAAATAAATTTATATCAAGATAACTGAAGGGCTGGAGAGATGGCTCAGAGGTTAAGAGCATTGCCTGCTCTTCCAAAGGTCCTGAGTTCAATTCCCAGCAACCACATGGTGGCTCACAACCATCTGTAATGGGGTCTGGTGCCCTCTTCTGGCCTGCAGGCATACACACAGACAGAATATTGTATACATAACAAATAAATAAATATTTTTTTTAAAAAAGATAACTGAAAATTTCATTTTGAAATAGATTATGAAAATTGTCACATGAAGATATACCTAGAGTTTTCATTTTATGCATGTGTTATGGTTAGCCTTAATGAAATGCTTGATGTGTAAGATCATATGGCTAGCCTCATAAAACATTAGAAATTAAATGTCTCATCTTCTAGTCATTTCATTTTTTCATTTATTTGTGATAACGACTTCTTGCCCATTTTTTAATTAACCAAAGTAATTTGTGATAATATAAAGTCATTTGTAATTACTAAAAATGGTCCTATCCATTTAGTAAATACTGAAATATCATGTGCTTTTCTTGACCACCATCATCTCATTTCCATCCTGTGTCCCTTTGTGTTTTGCATTGTGTTCTTTTACATGGAAGATCATCTACTATGGATTACCAGGAGTTGAATGAGGATGGAGAGCTCTGGCTGGTTTATGAAGGGTTAAAACAAGCCAACAGGTTATATCTGTCTCCTCAGAATGGAATGTTATTAACTTGTTTTTCTTACTAACAGTGACTTACAACTTTGACTACTGTGTGTCTTGTGCATTTACTATCTTCCTGAGACAATTAGTCTCAATAAAACTTAGACTCTGCAGCCAAATACCTACTTTTAAATTGTCTCTACTAACAGATACTGTTAAGGCTAACGTTGATTATAGGTGAATACAAATTGCTTCATGTATGCCACAGTGCTGTCAGGAGTGAAGATCTAAACATTGTGAATCTCTCTAGGATTTGAGGAAAACAAGACTTTAAATTGGAGCATGGCCACTAATACTTGTTACCTGGACAGTAACTTATCTGTAATAAATGTCAATCTGGGATACACATTCCTGTAACAAATGTGGCCACTTTCTCATTATTGTGATGCTGCCTAAAAGTGTTGTCAAGTACCTGATTCAACATTCTCTGTTATTATGAGATTCAAAGCCAAATAAGGATAACCATCTGAGATCAGCAATTTACTTCCAGGAAAAAAAAAAAAAACAGAATTCACTGTGTCTTTCTCTAACACATTTATCTGCCCTAATGCTGTCTGTGTCTTAAAAATCTCACAAAAATTCCATTATCATGATTATAATTTAAAATCATTACACTGTTAAATGGGCTATGCTTGTTCTGCTTTGTTCTAACCGTAACCATCAGTACTGATAACAAAGGAAATAGGGATTAAATGTCTTTCTCTTCATGTTAGTTACTACTTGACTATAACTTTGTCCAAAAGCAATATCTTGTTAGGATTCTGTTAGATATGTAATCTCATGGGGAGAGAGATGACAGTTCTGTCTAGACACACACACACACACACACACACACACACACACACACACTTACAGAACTACTAGATTCCATTGGATAAATCTATGGATCTCCAAGTAGTGCACCAGCCTGTCTTGGATAAGTGGACAATATTAAAAACATGATCCTGGTTCCACCTTTGCCTGAAATCAATGGCTGTGCCTTTTTAAAGGTCTTTTTCATTAGATTGGGAATGTATAACCTTGCCTTTTACATTGCAACTATTTATCTATCTGTCTGTCTATTTATTTATGGCAATGATGCTGTCTTTGCCAACTTAGAGGAGAACTTCATACAATTCAAAGATGCAGATGTGACACATGGATTCCCATTTCTGGCATTTGAGTTTTATGACATTACTGGAGTCAGGAATTGCACAGATGCTAGAGAGTATCTGCTTTTCTTATTCTTGCAAAGGAACATGTAGCTTCACACCCTTTAGAGGTGTCCTGTCCTCTACAAACTTGTGTGGCCTCTCTGCAGGCTCTTGGAATCCCAGCTACAGTCGCAGAAGAGGAGCCATGAGAATGAAGCCGAGGCCCTCCGTGGGGAAATCCAGAGCCTAAAGGAAGAAAACAACCGGCAACAGCAGCTACTGGCCCAGAACCTGCAGCTGCCCCCTGAGGCCCGCATTGAAGCCAGCCTGCAGCATGAGATCACACGGCTGACCAATGAAAACCTGGTAAGAAGAGTAGCAGTGTCCCAGTCTGCTGTATGTTCTTTTTGGACAAGCACAGCTTTTCCTTGTTGGGAATGACACTCTTCTGTCTCTAATAGAGACAAAAAGGAAAATATTAATGTGTTGATAGAAATGAATCAAAATAATGAAATTGCACCCAACTGTTTCTCACAACAGTCTATTGGACAGTTGAGCCCTCTCAGACCTTACTTGCAGTGTTTGGAAGAAAGTCTCCTGGCTACTTGCTAGGCTTTGAATACCAGAAAGATATGGCTACAGATTATTTTCCTTTGATCCCAAGCATCCAGTGAGGATGCCATCCAGCCCGTCTAGCAGACAAGCCAAGGAAGGGTCTTGGTTGAACTAAGCATGGGCTATGGGTGGAGCTTCTAAAACAGGACGGAGGGACTAGTATTGAGCTTGGCACATTTTATTCTTTTAAGCAGAACTTGTACAGTAATAAAGAGGGCACTTTTGCCTTTCCCCTTACCAGATTCTGAATGCTGAAATGGACTCCAAGACTTCTCCTTTTTTCTTATTCCTTTAAAAAAAAAATTGCCAAGAAAAAAATTATTTTCTACAGTATTTCTCTCTCCATCACATTATAACCTTGATTATATATCTGAAATTTTTAAATCTGTGTAAATTTTACAGATATATTTATTGCATAAAAGTCATTGAAAGATCATAATTACAATTTTTACATAAAATCTGTTCTTTAGTGACATGAAAAAACCTTTTAAGATCTATACTAAAAGTGTTTCAGTTTCGTTGAAGGTCTAATTCCCATCAGCGATAACTGACAACACAGATAGGTCTCTGCTACCAAATGTTCACCCATGTTTTATCTAGATTAGGAAAAAATCAGAGTAATTTCTTTCCAGTCTGTCTTATGTATGAAGCTCCATGGTAGGAATGTGGGGCAGGGGATGAGGATGATGTCTGAGCTCTTTCAGCGTGACTGAACCTATTACTCAATGGGGAAATCTACTGAGTCACAAAGTGTTCTTTAAAAGTTGTGTTTTACTCTGTTGCTTAAATAACTAACAATGCTTTTGATGATTACAAATTGACAAATGTATGGAATAATATTGATTGATCAGTGTACAGACTCTTTGCTTCTGAATCATTGTCTTAAAATGTTAGATGTTCTGTGAAATGGGTTTGTTTCTGGTGGTAGATTCTCAGTTTGTTCACTACGTTAATCAAGTGTTGCCCTTACAGCTTGTCTGTAACATTCTTGGCAAATTTTGTACCCAATGTAGAAATGATCAAGCCCTATACTCTAAATAGAAGACTCTAATTAGTTTTAGGCTACCCTTTGCAGATCAGCTGCTTGTACCATTATACTGACTGCTAATTCAAAGAATATTATCAAACTCAAGGCTCTCTCAGGCTACTTAGAGTTTCTTAGTCTTAATTATGCATTTTTTTAGGATGTACTTGAGCAGAATATTAAGGCAACAGTATATCTGGGTTTGGTGCTTCTGAAGTTTTGCCTTGCATGCCACCCCCCACACACACACATACTCACAACATGCCAATACATATAGGAATGGCTTTCGTTCTCCTCTAGTGCACAGGTCTCACAGGCCTCCCTCATGCTGCCTCTCACCAGTCCCACCAGTTCCAAATGGTAGTGGGGTGCTAACAGCACTTCTGCCTTTTTTTATTTTGTTGCATTCCTTGCCCTTGCTGCTCTTCTGGTTACTGAGCAGGGTTGGGAGAGTCACAAATAAGGGAGGAGTAAAGGGCTGGGGACTAGAATTTCAGTCTTCTCTGGGTACCACAGTCTCCTGTTCTATTGACTTGCTGAATGACAACATTTGGCCATCACCTATTTCCAGTGGTCATGCAAAATAGATCTGTAAATATGAAACTCAGCTATACTAAAAAAAAAAAAAAGAACATGGTATGGTAGGTGGCAAATTGAAAGTATATATAGTTTCATTACCTGTGCTTTAAAGTTTTTTAAGTTAATTTTTCTGAGAGGTAGCATTCCCTCAAAGACTCAAGAAACAAATATCCATTGTACCTGTTTTTTCAGTATTTTGAGGAATTATATGCAGATGACCCTAAGAAGTATCAATCATATCGGATTTCACTTTACAAAAGGATGATTGTATGTAAACCGCAGTGCTTTTCCGTTGTCTTCTGCTACTTCTAGCCTTCTCTAACTGAAGAGCACACTGCTGCCTGCCGCTGCCCAGGAGGTCTCTTCAAAAATCCTCTTCCCTCAACCTCCACAACTCTCTTTAGCCAGTGTGGCATCTCTTTCAGTGTCCCGTGTCCACTGTGTGTTTGGTTTGTTGGTAACCCCAGGCTTACAGTGTGATGGAAGCATAACCCAGCACTGGAAATGTTAGTTATTCCCTTTGAATCAGTAATCCATCCAAATCTACTCTTGCACAAGCTGGAGAACGAGCCAGTGTTTCAAGTGTTGTTCTTCTCTATAATTTAGTGACAAGCACCAGCCATCGCCACTGATTCATGGTCCTTCTAAGCTTTCTTAGTCTGGTGCTGTCTACTTCCCTCCTAGTTGCTGAGTTTATAACTGCCTGTCCTTTGAGAGAATTCTTTACTAATTAGAGCCAGTAGTCACAGATGTCTTACTTTGTCTGCATGTTCAGGTTTTCTTTCTCTCATTTTTTTGCATTAGGCATGCAAAGTTATAGGTGTTTATTTTTTTTCCATTTGTTTGTTTTTTTGAGACAGATTTTATGTGTTGTAGCCCTGATTGTCCTGGAGCTCTGTAGACCAGGCTGGCCTCAAACTCACAGAGATCCACCTGCCTCTGCCTCCCAAATGCTCGGATTAAAGGTGTGGGCAACCATCCTGAGGCAGCTTTTTTCCCCCCAAAGAAAGACTCTCACTTCATAACCCAGGCTGGCCTTGAATTCTCTCTCAGAATTCCAGGTACTTGAGTTATGATCATGCACCTTAATGCCATGTAGCAAAGGTTCTTTATCATTTTCCTTAATTTTTTGTTGTTTGGTTTGGTTTTTGAGACAGTGTTGCTCTATAACTCTAGTTAGCCTTGAATTCAGAAATCCACCCACTATTGCCTCCTGAGTGCTGGGACCAAAGGTATGTGCCACAACATCTGACTTAGCTTACTTTTAGTTTCCCCAAGCTTCTTCATGTTTCTTAGACATTAAGGCTAAGTTTATAGCTGGTAAATGCTAACAGTGCTTTACACATGGAGTGTCAGCTTCGCATAAGTGCCGCCATCCTCAAATCTCCCACAGAACTTTTGTGCACTCATCAAGACTCAATTTTGCTCAGTCCCCCTTCAAAAGTGACTATGTAGCTGTGAGTTGTTGCCCGTAGGCATCTGCTGGAAGACTTCCATCACGCTGTAAAGGAACTTAGAGCAGTTGTGTTTCAGTTGCCGTCACTGTAGCTGCACCTCCCTTGTCTGCCAGTTTGAGCCAGGTGGTGGCTCCACCAGTGAGCTCTTCTGCAGCTTTTATGTAAACTAACAGTGTGTTGCCGTGGTTGTGTTTGTGCTCCCTTTGTGCCTGTACCAAGCCTGTTTTGATCTTTCTGATAAAATTCTCATTTTGATCTTAGGATTTGATGGAACAACTTGAAAAACAGGATAAAACTGTCCGGAAACTGAAAAAACAACTGAAAGTCTTTGCCAAAAAAATTGGTGAACTTGAAGGTACTTAAACATATTTTTACAGTATTTCTCAAATTTTATTTCCTCTTGCTAGTCTTAATCTCCCTCAGATAAACTGAGAATTTTTAGAGAAATAACCAAGATGACTTTTAACAGTCCTTACCTCTGTGGAGTGGAAATTTCTACTTCTACATGTGGGGATAATTTTCATGGTTATATAACAGTAAGTTACGAAGGGAGAAAATTCATTCAGCAGACATCAACAAACATCTGATATGTCAGATACTGCCCTAGTCAGTATAGCATGTGCTTAGGAGCAAGGGTTCTAGAGACGACTTCTTAATTCAGATCCTGTCTCTTCTATTTCCTAGTCTCAGAATATTTGCAAATTGCTGAACCTCTCTGTGTCTCAGTTTTCTCACATTCTCACTGGGAATGATGATGTTATCTATCGAACGTGGTTTGTAAGAACTGAGTGTGGTAATGTGGGTGACACATCAACAATAGTAATGGTAAATGCTACCCACACCTGCTTGCTAGCACTAGAGCTACAAAAGGAATGTGCTAGAGTCTATCCTTAAAGAGCTCATGATCTAATAGAAGGAAGAAAGTGAATCAGGAAATAGGAATTATAATTATAAAGAAATATAATTTTAAAAATATAATTATTTCTATATGAAATAGATAAGCTCCTTGAGAAAAAAACTCAATATAAACATACTAGCCTTGTCTTATATTGTCCATTCAGTAAGTTTTATTGAATGCTTCTTAGATGCTGTACACAGTTGCAGGTGCTGGAGGCCTAGCTGTGAAGACCAAAGCAGATGCTCAGTCCATTCTGAAACCATATCACTGTTCAAGGCATTTTAGAGACAGAATTTCAAAGATGATATTCCCTTTAAATCTTTGCAAGCTATTACCATTTTGGTCACCAGTGATATGTTCATCCTAACATCTATCATATTCTCTAGTTGTCATCTTTATGATCCTCATATGACAAAAAAGGGTAGAGTCCCCACCACTTGAGATATTCAAGAGAATCTATCCCAGTGAACTCTGTGTTTGCTTTTTCTCACTCCATCACACTATATTATAACTGTTCTGTCTGACTGCCGGTGTCCTGGCCAAGCCCTGCTCATTCTTTGGGATGAAAGGCACATGGCATATCATCAGAAGCATCCTGATCCCACCATAGACCACATGACCCTGCCTGTTTGGTTTATACTTTCTGTGGTTTTTCACTGTCATATTTTTAGCAGTGTTTCTGTTTGAATTACTCATTTCTATGGTAGACCAAGAACATTCTGAGCATGGAAATCGCCTCTTATTTCTTATAGTTACAAGGAACACAATGTCTGATCTATGATAGAGCATAGTACCATGGGTGCTAACTTTGAAAGAGGGTATTGCTCTCTTTAATGTACTGATATTGAAATGTTTGTTTAGATGTCAGAAAGATTACTTTATAGCCATGTATTTCCTAAAAACCTTTAGTATTACACATAATTCATATATTACTTTGAAACTAGCCGGGCGGTGGTGGCGCACACCTTTAACCAGCACTTGGGAGGCAGAGGCAGGTGGATCTCTGTGAGTTCAAGGCCACCCTGGTCTACAGAGCAAGTTCTAGGATAGCCAGGGCTGTTAGACAGAGAAACTCTGTCTCTAAAAACAAAACAACAATTAAAAAAAAAAAACTTTTGAAACTGTAGCAGTTGGGGAGATACTGTGCATGTAAAGCACTTTCCATAAAACTATGAGGACTGGATCCCCAAAACCTGCATAAAAGGTTGTCAGGCATGGCAGCTGCCTGTAGTCCTAGTTTTAAAGAGACAGAAACAAGGAATATGCAGAACAAGCTTGCTAGCTAGACAAGCTGAAACAACAAGCTTTGGGTTCAGGAAAAGACCCCACTTCAGTGCATCAGGTAGAAATAGATGCCTAATGTAACCTTAGGCCTCCACATACATACATGTGCATCCAGGTGCATGAATATACACATGAACATGCACACATACCATACATACAAATATAAGAAGAAAATCGTCTGAAACTCCAGGTCTATACACGTTGTCTAGGGTTTTTGTCCTGCCCAGTTTCCACAATTGTTAAGTGCCAGGAAATCACACAGAGGTCTACATTAATCATAAACTGATTGGCCCATTAGCTCAGCCTTCTTATTAACTCTTATAACTTATATTAGCTCATTATTCTTGTCTATGTTAGCCATGTGGCTCAGTACCTTATTTGGTGAGGCAGCCACATCTTGCTTCTTCTGTGGCTGGGTCAGGACTGCCAACTAGGATTTTCTTCTTCCCAGAATTCTCCTGTTCTCATTGACCCGCCTCTACTTCCTGACTGGTTGTCCCACCTACACTTCCTGCCTGGCTACTGGCCAATCAGCATTTATTTAAAATATCATTGACATAATACAGACCATTGTGCCAAACCATATACATATGAGCTATAATATTCATTGGCAATACTTAAGAAGTCTAGGATTTTTTTTTCAGAGAACCATCTTCACTGAACTAGACATTATGCTAAGACAGCAGAGTATTTGCTCTTAAAATACTGTTTTAAGGGTATTGACCTGTGAGGTCAGTAAACTAGAGGCTCTTTGCCAACGTTAGTGAATGTGAATAAATATAAAAGCCGTTGTTATTTCACATTTTAAATCACTTTTCTTTAATTGTGAGGTAAACTCAACCTTTGAAATGTAATTGAAGAGAGAAGTTAAAATATTCCAAAATGCTATTCATTTTTGGCCATCTTAACTTTTCAGTTAAACTATCCTGAAAGCCAAGCAAAAAATAACATTTGTGTTAGCAGCTCATGGGTTAAACAAGAAAAGACTTATTTATTCTTAATGAAGTTTATATTTTGAGTTAAATGATTTATATCTAGAGGCTAAAATGAAATAGGTACTACATAACAAGCTCTTCTGACACTTCTCTCTTCCTCTCCACATGTGTTTTATACCAGAGTTTTTGTGCAGCAACGCCCTTCTAATAATCAAAAGTTATTTGTCTTTCTTTAAATGTGTTCAAACATATTTAAATCTTTTGCTTTAATTTAAAATGGCAAGACTCCTGCCTCTCCTGTGGGCTATATTTAATTAAGGACTTTTTTAAAAAGCAAACTTTAAAAAAAATGCCAACATGTATAATTTTTTGCAGAAATTATACAGCTAGGTAGAGAGTCTTTTCAAAATCTGATCTACATGGTGCTCTGTTTCAATTCAGGAGTGGGTGTTACATCTTGGCTTTCATTAAAAAAAAAAGACCTGAAAGTATTCTAGAAACCAGTAACTTTTGATATAAGACAAACAAAATCCTCGAAACTACAGTGACATACCTGATACCCTGCCTGTTGGGTCGTAGGTCTATTACCTCAACTTTCTGATTTCCCTGTTTTATTACCAGAATTTTCTACTTGTAAGAAATTGTCTGACAACAGGATTAAATCTGAGATTAAGATCTTTGTGGTACTTTTGAGAGAAAAGGCAATTTTTTAGAGACTCTTTTGAATTGCTCTCCTTTTCCTTTGGGTCTGTAAGAATCTAGAACATGAAACTAGAGATTGCTGCAGGTTCCAGAAGAATGCCAGTCCGTATTGCAGCCCCAGGCTAAGTGATTACTGACTCAGTCTGTCTGTGCTGCTCAGGCTGGGAAATTCATAAGCAATGAAAATACATTTTTCATGGAGAGTTATTTCTCAGAGGGATAGAGGTTCAAGAAGATATCTGTAGGTTCAGTGTCTGGGGAAGGCCTGGTTTCTGCTTTCCGGGTGGTAGCTCTCCAAAGAGACATCATCTGTTCGCACATGACTGAAATAAGCAGAAGAAAGGTTAGCCTTATGAGGGAGACCCTTAAAAACCTGATTTTAGGCATTTTTACATCAGTTTGTGCTAATAAACACTGTCTTATCAACTATCTTGATGTGGTTTGAATTCGAGATAATGGTAAATTTTAAATAAACGCTCTTGCTTTAAATGACTAAATATTGGATTCTTAGAACAAGCATGTGCTCTACTGTCCCTTTAGGATGTTTCTCTTCTGTTTGAGAGGTTTGTTTGTTCGCTTGCTTGCTTTTGAGACAGGATCTCGTGTAGCTGAGGCTGACCTCAAACTGGCTATATAGCTGAGGCTGGCCCAGTATGCTTGATCCACCTGACTCTTTCCCAAGTGCTGGGATTACAGACATGTTCTGCCATTCCCACCTTGTTTTTCCATTCTGCAAACAGGAGCTTGACTATGTTTAACTACTTTTGGTTGGTAAGGATTCATTAGCAAATCTGCTAAATTGCATATGCTGGGGACTTTTTTGTTGTGCTGTGGATACTTGATCTTATTGTAAAGTAAACCTGATACAAAACAAACAAAAACCCTTGCCAGTTTCTGGGTAGCTTTTTCATATTACTACTTGTGTATCAGCCTCTGTGGCTGTTGGAGTAGAATTATCCTTTAATATTGCTATTTACACAGTTTCAGCAGAGAAAAATATTTTAAGGGGGGGACTAAATGACAGCGATAAGGAGCTTCAGTTCCACTCTATTTTACAAGAGCATGGAGCCCTCGCAGCCCTTGTACCTGACAAAATCTCTCTCCTCGCTTTGTTTCTCCTGAAGTGGGTCAGATGGAGAACATCTCTCCAGGACAGATCATTGATGAGCCTATCCGGCCAGTCAATATTCCCCGGAAAGAGAAGGATTTCCAAGGAATGCTGGAGTACAAAAGGGAGGATGAGCAGAAGCTTGTGAAGAACCTGATTCTAGGCAAGTGTTTTCTATGTGGGTAAGATTCCTTCCAGCCAGGCCAGTGCTGGAAAGGCTAGTCACTGGGTTTGAAACTGATTTGATAGTCTTTAAAATTATTTTCTTGACTGGCAAGGTGACTCAGCGGGGAATGGTGATTGCTGTCAAGCCTGATGGTTGGGTTTGGTTCCCAGGACCCCCACTGTAAAAGATTGGTATCACTCAGGAGCTTCAAGACCAAGGTCTCAGCACAAAGGAGCTTTATTTGCCCTAGAGTGAGAGAGCACAGGGAATAAGAGACAAATGGGAGATAAAGGACGAGGGAGAAGAAGAGGGAACAAGGGAGAGAGGGAAGGGATCTTTGTCCCAAAGGGATAAAGGGGAGACAGATGTTGCACATAGGAAAATGGCGGTTTATAACGATAAAAGAGGAAACCCTGTGTTAGGTTGAGGTGTTTAGTTTTAATTGGGCATGTTAATTAGGTGAGCCAAAGTGGGCTTTTGATTGTTGGGCTTCAATACTTTGATAGCTAGACCTTGGTGGTCAGCCTCAGAAGGAGGAAGTGGCCAAATAAGGGAATAGACCTTGGTGGGTAGCTTTAGGAGTGTCATCTAACGGGTTTTTTTTTTTTAGCAAGGCAGAGTAAATGGGGTAATGGCAAGGCCTGCCAGAGCCATGCCCGCCATGCTCGAGCTGGCCAGAGTCCCTTCACCTATGGTGGAAGGAGAAGGCAGAGTCCTGAAAGCTGTTCTTTGACTTCCACAAACATTGTGTCGTAGGCCCTCACACAGCACACACAAAACAAATAAATGTTTCAAAAAAAAATAAGCTCTAAAATTTCTTTTTGGAGACAGTGGTCCCGTTGTAGCTATGCTTATCTGAAACTCCCAGGAGTTATCTATCATCCAGTTTCAGCTTTCTGAGCAGCGAAGGCCATAGATGTAAGCCACTGGCAGGTCCAGCTCTGGAGTTTTCTGGGTCATCATTTCATCCTGCGCTGGAGTGCTGTGGTAGAGTCCTTACTGATAATTAACTATCAGAGTGGGAAAGCCTGTGTCTAGGATCCAACTGTAAGCCTCTCAGTTCTGGCTTCATGTTAAGATCACTTGTGAATTTTGGTTTGGTTTGGTTTTAAGACAAGATCTCATCGTGTATAGCCCAGGCTGACCTAAAACTTGATATGTAGCCAAAGCTAACCTAGAATTCACAGTACTCCAGTCTCTTCCTCCCGAGTACTAAGGCCTATGTGTATTTCCACTACAAACAGTATGTGGGGATTGTGTTTGAGGGGGGAGGGGAATTAAACCCAGAACCACATGAACAGTAGACAGATACTGAGCCATATTCTCAGCCCACTTAAGAAGCTCTTAAAAAGTGTTGATAACCCCCTGCCCCAAATTAAGTAAATTGAAATTTCTATGGAAAAGAGTTTACTAGTACTATTCTGGAAACGTCTCAGGGATTCCCAAGTGTAACCACAGTTGGATGCCACTGTTGTAAGTCATTTAAGTTTTTAAATTTTTGTTTTCATTCCCTAGAAATGTTTATGAATTACTGTATTTAGTACAATTCAATAATATGGAAGAAAAAATATAATTAAGGAAAAAGATCCAGCAAAGTACGGAAAAGATGGGAGTGTTGAAAAGGGAATGGAAGAGGCATTTGGGAGGGGCATACAGCTTTGAGGGTGAGCCTCTAAGAAGAATTATGAAGGAGTAAAATAAGGAACGGATGCATGAACCCCTGAGTAGTAGTGAACTGAAATCTTCAGCCTTTACATTTCTCTCCTCCCAGCTACCATGGTGACAGCAGTGGGGTTGACAGTCACACTAATGTAGCACTCCTCAGCTTTGTGGTGCTCAGCTTAGTCCTATATATAGGCTCAGAAGCGCTTCAGCTTCCACATGATCTTCATTTAGCAGAAACATTTCAGGGGCTGGTAGATTAAAGGGTAAAAAGAATAGAGAGTAAAGACTAAATAGTGAGTGTACAGTTTCATATAAGATTGTCATTAAACACTCTTTGATGGGGTGTTCTGTGCACAGTGGCTAAACAGAATAAGGAACAAGTTGTGCTTCTGAGGAAAGAACATCAGAGACATGAATCCTGGGTGGGAGTCATGGAATGTGCCACAGACAGCAAGGAGGGTTGTTTGGAGCAGAGTGAGCTGAGCACGGGGAAGGACGGGGCTAGGTAGTGTGGAGCACAACTCAGGTTTGGAATTTTATAAGTGAGCAAGAAGCTCTTGGAAGAATTCTCAGAACAAAAGTGGCATGATCTAACATGCATTTTCTCAAGTAAATAGCTGTAGATACTTGGAAATTATCTGAGAATAGGGGGTGAATTTATTCCAGCAGCCCTAAAAGAGGTGATAATGCCCTCAACTGCAAAGTAGCTAGTAGAAGTAGATAGATTCTAGCTGTATTTTTTAGGGTGCACTAGCAAGATTAATAAATTGGGTAGATGGTGTGAGAAAAGTAAGGAATTTTAAAAATGGTGAGGTTTGTGACCTGAGAAGCTGAAGATGGGGAGAGGTCCATAGAGAGCAGATACCATGAGGAATGGAGAACTTGGCTTGGGAGAGGCTTGACTTGATGTGCCTGAGCAGAGACGGCAGGAAGAAGTCGATAAACAAGACTGGACTTCAAGGGGAAAGTCAGGGCAGAATATATGAACTGCATATAGATATGTGCCCATAGTCAATAATTCCACTAATGAGCTGTTAAAATACTGAAAGGTTTGGGGGTGTTGATGACTTGCCCTGAATGACTGAGCTCTTACTCAACTATGCTTTTCTCTCCCACAAAACATTCCTTACAAAGACTCCCAGGGTTACATAATTTTTTTCTCCTTTTTCTTTATTCAGAATTGAAGCCACGTGGTGTGGCTGTCAATTTGATTCCAGGGTTACCAGCATATATCTTATTTATGTGTGTGCGACATGCTGATTACCTGAACGATGATCAGAAAGTAAGATCATTGCTGACATCAACAATTAACAGCATCAAAAAAGTCTTGAAGGTCAGTTCCACGTTCCACAGTTCTCATGGTTGTTAGTGATGACAGTCTGTGCACTGTTTCTCTTTTAGACTTGGTACAGTTGCTAATTACAAACCCTTTTCAGTCTTACCACAAACTGCTATTGTAGGAAACCGTCTATATAACTTTCTGGGCTAGCTACTTTCTCATCACTGTTACCCAGTACCGGACAGGGACTCTTAAAAGAAGGAACAATAATTTTGAGGGACTCAGAGCTTAAGGAGGTATAAGCTCATCACAGAGGAACACTAAGCAAAGACTAATTCAGAAATGGGGTTGGACTATAATTGTCAAGGCTGCCCCTTTTCCTCCAGTTAACCCTTATTTCCTAAGGATTCCACAGCCTCTCAAAAGCTACCACTAGCTGGGGACCTGTGGTAAATATGACAGTTTATATGCCTTCTTTCAGAACAGGTTCAGATTGGACAGTAATCAAGATGAATTTGACATTTATTGCATTTTAATTGTGGAGCAAAGTGACAGCAATAGTCTGCTTTAGATTTTATTGAAAACAAATTTAAAATGTTTAACAGAAGACAGGCATGGTGGCATACATCTTGAGGATCCCTGTGACTTCAAGGTTAGCCTGCCCTTACAAAGCAAATTCCAGGCCAGTCAAGTCTACACTGTAAGACCCTGACTCAATGATAAATAAATAAAATGTTCAAATGTTTAGTGGAAACCAATTATATACATGCATGTTAATATGTGGTCCATATATATGTAGAATATGATGTTGATGTTGAGATAAATGTCAAGTTCAGTAATATGTAGTTTATTATAATAAAAAAGATGACTGCTATGACATTAATTTTTTTTCTTTCAACTTCTATTCCCCTGTTCTCCAATTCATCCCACAAACTGTCTTGTTACCTACAATCCCTGTGAAGACAACACGGAGATGCTAGTCAGAGACAAAAAAGCTTGGGAAAGACAGTAGCATTAACAATGGAGGAGCAGCCTGTTAACTTAGTGGCCACTACTTACCTTATGTAATCCTCCTAGTGACTCCAGAGAGACACTCTTACTTTTAGCTCAGTATTTCTGTGAGGAATGAAGATGTGATCCAGGCACTTTGCCTTCTGATTATTCAGCTTAACAGAGCATCGATGATGAAGATCTCTTGCATCTAAATTGGCCTTTTAAATTTTTATTGTAAAATCCCTCCCCTCAGGGCTCAGGGAACCCTGCAGAAGAGGAATCAGAAAGAGTATAAGAGCCAGAGAGGATGTTGGACACACACACAAAAAACCAAGGCCCTCTAATTTAACATGACAAAGCTCTTATAAACTCAGAGACTGAGACAGCATTTCTCCTCTGAGAACATATGGCTTCTACTTTAGTGTTTCATGGGATTCCTGAGTGTTTGAATGAGTGAATAACTTTGTTTCTTGTGCCTTCTCTTAGGCTCTTTTTCTTTTGTTTGTTTTGTCTAATTCCAATGTGTTTTGTTTTTTTTTAATCTTATTTTATTATTATTCCTTAGGAATCTGTTTTCTAATAAGAGACAGAATGGGCTGGGATCTGGATGAGAGATGAGGTGGGGGAGGAACTAGGAGGAGTAGAGGGAGGGGAACCATAATCAGAATATATTATGAGAGGGGGGAATCTATTTTCAATAAAAGGGAAAAAAGAAAACAAAAAAGTGTAAAGTATGCAGAATATAAACTTTGACGTCTTACTCTTTATTAGTGTTAATATATACTGACACTGCTGTTCAGCCATCACCACAGTCCCTCTGACTGTCTCGTCCTCCTTCCTAACACTGCACCATTCCACAGCAGCTCCCAGCGCTGTGGCCTCTGACAAGTGCTGCTTCCCCACTTCTGTAGCAAAGTTATTCTCTGTCATCTCTTCTACAGTGATTAGCAAAGTGTGGGGTTTCTAAAGACTCTTCTTTAAAATTCATGATGTTTTTCTAAATATAACTCATTTAATTTGGGGCATATTGATGCCAAGCAGACTATGTGTTTACTATTTCTTAAGTCAACTCATACACAGATTTTTAAAACTTTCCCCCCTTTCTCAACCTAATCGTAAGATCCATTCATCTAGTTTGACTAATCATCATACCATATTAGCTAATGATTTTTGTGATTTTAGGAGAGTGTTTACCACAGCATAATAACAGTCTTGGCATTCTGCTTTAATGTGCATTGCCTCAAATGTGTTTGCCCTGCATCCCTGCATCCCTGGTCTGATCTTAGCAGTGTTTTGACACAGGCTCTAAAGCATATTGATAATCTATACAGTTTTTAGCTCACAGATAATTTTACCTAATAAGTAGAAAAGAAAACTGAGAATAATTCTGAACTTGTCTAATTTTCTTTGTAAGTCATAATGACATTAATTCAATATCTAATTTTGGTGTACAGTTTACTCATTATCAAAATACTATTTTGAGATAACTAGTAGAGAAGTGCAATTGGTTTTAAATGCTTTAAGGTCCCCAAAACGTGTATTTTTAAGTAGCACAGAGTGTTTTACTTTAACAGGACAGAGCAGACCCATCTTGTTCATATGGCAAGAAGCTGTTTTAGTGGAGTAAATTTGTTCATGAAGCCCTCTCTTTAATCACCTTCTCCTTTTGTCTGGTTGTTTTTGTTTGTTTGCTTGGTTTTGCTTTCTGATGATGCTAAGAGTACTGGTAATGTGGGTACAATTACAGGATTTCTGTTAGGCCCTTAAGAGACTTTGCAGCTAGACTTATTCAGTCATCAGCAAAGACAGCCAGTGACTCTGTCCTATGGAACAGCCTTGACTAATGTTGCCTTCCCGTCTACACAGATGTTCTCTGCCAGCTCCCCCAGCACCACCATGGGAGTAGATAGAATCCACGTCTGTGGAAGAGTTAAAGTTCTTAGTCAAACCTGTATGCAAGCCACATGATGATTGTCTATGTGTGGAAATATCATAACATTTTATTTAATTCTGGCAATATTCTTTTTTTTTTTTGAGGGGTTTGCGATGGAGTTTCTCTGTATGACAATTCTGGCTGTCCTGGAACTTCTTTTGTAGACCAGATTGGCCTTGAATTCTCAGAGATCTACCTGCCTCTGCCTCCTGAGTGCTAGGGTTAAAGGTGTGTGCCACCACTGCCTGGATATAATTCTGGCAATGTTCTTAAAGCTAGGTTTTTTCAAAGTAGAGGCCTGAACTCAGTTCTGCTGTTTCAGCTAGAAATACTAAATTTGGCTAAAAAATACAAAATATCTTCTAGGATTTCTTTCTTAAAGTCATTTCAGAATAATATTCTCCAAATCTTAAGGTTTTTAATGTGTTTTATGCATATTTAAGGATGTAAATTTTATTATCTAAAAGAAATGATCCTGTAAGAAATTAACCATTCCTCATAGCATAACCTGATCTAGATACACTTGTACTATATAAAGTGACAACCAGGATCAAAGACAAATGTTCTATAGTTTCTAGAAATCTAGGCTGTGCTCTACCAGTAAGAAATATATATCATTTTAAACCAGGTATGGTGGCATATTTGGGTGATAGAGGTAGGAGGATCAGGATTGAAGGCTAGCGTCAGCTATATAGTGAATCTGAGGCCAGATTAGGCTACATTAAACCAAAGATAGGTAGGTAGAGAAAGGGTAGGGGGAGGATACATAGATACAAATATATCTTTGTGTGTGTATGTGTGTGCGCACGCATGCATCCACTTGAGCACAGTTCTACATGGCAGCCAGTAAACAACCTCCAATGTTCCCCAGGAGTACCACCTACCTTGTTTTTTGAGACAGGGCTTCTCACTGGGACCTGGAACTCACTGATTGGGCTAGGCTGATTAGAGTATGCCTCAGGAAGTCTCCCATCTGCTTCCCCGGTACTGGGACTACAAGTTACTACCTCCAGTCTTCTGTGCGTGCTGGGGATCAATCTCAGGTCCTCATGCTTATTCTCTAAACACTTTACAGACCCAGCCCCCATACCATTTTTAAAAAAGAACTTCTAAGATAAAACCGTAGGTATTTAATGCTAGGCATCTACCCCAGGTAACTATTTTAATGTTTCTTATGCAAAAATTAGGTAAACATTGATGATTCTTTAACTTTCTGTGTCTGAACTAGTATTAAAGGTTCATTCACAAACTTGTAGCCATCTGCACTGTGCCTACTCTTTGACCTTTGAGAAACACTTCCAGTGCCAGCGTCTCTTTGAAGCATGAGACTTTGCTTCTCCCTGTACTCCTCCCGTGATGGTTAAGAGCCAGCCAGCTCCCCTGTCTACTCAGTGTGGGACTTCCTCCATCTCTGGTTCACTGCCCACAAAATTCATTGTGACGAAAGTTTTAATCCAAGCTTCATTTGAGGGTGGCAAGCTCTTTTTCATGTTCATCATTATAGAACTTACTATATATCCTTTGTGCCTCTGGCTCTTTCTGATTTCTTTCATTAATCCCAACAGTGTGAGTCAGTCTGGGTTCACTGTGAACTGAACCTTTTTCTGCACAAAGAGGCAGCTAAGATAGCTGAGTGGGAATACTTGTCAGAAGGCAAGAACAGTAACGTTTGTTACCAGGGGACTTGTTTGGATTCTGCTGACAATGGTGTGAACTAACGTGTGCTTTACTGGTGTGGTACTTTATGATGGTTCGTGAAAGAAGCGGGCCTTCTGTGTCTGCCCACCTTTTTCCTAAGGATAGGAAAATTTAGACTTATTTTCTCTTACAGAAAAGAGGTGATGATTTTGAAACTGTCTCCTTCTGGCTCTCTAACACATGCCGATTTTTGCACTGTTTGAAGCAATATAGTGGAGAAGAGGTAAGAAAACCATGGTGGTAAAAACAGCGTGCTGTACTTTCTCTGACCTTTTAAAGGGAAAGTTTAAAAAAACATTTGAATCATGTTAATTTTCAAACCCCTAAGCAAATGACTTGGAAATGTACTGCTTCAGTGATTCTTGCTGTCTTCTGGTGAGCTGAGCAATGATGTAGTTTCTTCCTTCCTCGCATTTGAGAAACATGGCAAAAACAAATCAAGCATCAGTCAAATGAGTAATTACCAGAGCTGTGACTCTGCATCTACATAACTTGGAGACCTATGGCAGGCAGAGAAGCTTAGTCAGTAGCAATCTCTAGCACCCGGAGCAAAGGACTGTCATACAAAATGACAGGCTTTTCGGAAACAAGCAGGACACCCAAGAAGGTGGGGCTGAGAGAACAGAATCCTGAGAAAGGCGGTGAAGGAGGTCCTGGATGCAGTGTCATTCAGGAAGCAGCTCCATCGTTAGGCAGGGCTGCTGAGCAGTGTGCTTACATGCAAAGTGTCTGGAAGAAGTGCTGCCCATCTGGGGAATTCTCCATTTACACCAGTGCTACTGAAAGACCTTTCTAAGATCTAACTGAAATCATTGTATAGATTCCACAAGTTAGACGAAAATGACAAAGTTCATTTATTTTCTAATCCAGAAAAATACTGGTACAAGAAGATTATGCATATATATTCCTCTGGGTGTGGTGTATATGAATAGGACTGTATTTAAAGAGTACTTTCAGTTATTTATTTAGTGTTTACTGTTTTATTAATGAAGTATGTTTTTTTTCTTAAATTAAATCCCCCCATCTTAAGTATAGATTGTCAAGATCATTTATTATTCAAAACTTTAAGTGGAAGAGGTTGATGACCAGAGTAAAAACAGTATTGAGAATGAATATCCTGGCACTGGGCGTGAAGGTGCTGAGCAAATTGCAGAGTGAGTTGGGCAGAGGCACTTGGAGACAGTGAGGTGGACAGAGAGACACTTAGAGTCAGTGAGGTGACAGAGGCACTGGCTTCCTGTGCACCCCTAACACTGTGTTGATTCTAGGGCTTCATGAAACACAACACATCTCGCCAGAATGAACACTGCCTCACCAATTTTGACCTTGCCGAATATCGGCAAGTGCTAAGCGACTTGGCCATTCAGATCTACCAGCAGCTTGTGAGAGTGTTAGAGAACATCCTTCAGCCGATGATAGGTAAGACCAGTGTTCCTGAGCATCATGTGTGCTCGCCAACAAGTGAGGCCAGTGGGACATGTGTCAGGCATGTATTCCTGTGGAAAACATAAAATAGTGTGTACAACAGAAATCCCTGTCTCCACATGACGGAAGCACTAGAATCTGTGTTTAAGTCTTCTCTCTGAAGACTTAGCTGTGCCTTATTTCTAGCAATAGACTTTGTCCTTGTGTCCAGTTGTCAAAAAGACTTTGGACTTCTAACTACAGTGGCACTACTGCACAGAGACTCCTGGGGGAGACCAAGGAGGCTGGGATGGGTTTTCACAAATGGTTTTGGTATAGGGTTTGTGAGGAGCTGAGTTTAGCACAAGGGAATAAATAAAAACAACCAAGGTATCGTGATTACTTTCAAGGGCCTCCCAGGTAAGGGGGATGGACATCTCAGAGTGGGTATCTCAGAGTCGGCTGAGCTTTCTAAGGAGGCATAAACCAGACACAGAGAAAGAGGTACAAAAACAGAGACTAAGTCTGGAGAAATCAAGGCGTTCCAAAGTCTCACTGCAGTTGTGAGGATCGGGGGAAGCTCAGCTCTCCAATCCCCACACCACCGGCTCTAGCAGGTCTTATTCTCCAAGACTGCTTCCCAAGGTCACACCTTTCTTACTGTCTTCTTGTTATTGTTTTGTTCTTGGTGTTGTTTGGATTTGTGGTTTTTAATATCTGAGATCAAATACAAAGAACACGTATTTAACCACTCTCAAAACTTCTCAGATACCACATGCCAGTGCAGTCTCAAAAGCTGCTGCTTCTTTTAGAAAATACAGCAGTAAGGTTACTTAATACTGGAAAAAACTTACTACTTCATTAAAGTTTAAATCCAAAGGCGAATTCTTGGAGCCATTCCTTCTCCCACCATCTTCATTCTCACATCATTTCCTAAAGTGTGTGGGGGGGGCATATACATGTACACCTCCCTCTGAATCCTCTTAATAATTGAAATACTTCTACAGTCTCAGGCATGCTAGAGCATGAAACAATTCAGGGTGTATCCGGGGTGAAGCCCACAGGACTCAGAAAGCGAACCTCCAGTATCGCAGACGAGGGCACCTACACGCTGGACTCCATCCTACGTCAGCTCAACTCCTTCCATTCAGTCATGTGTCAGCATGGCATGGACCCAGAGCTAATCAAGCAGGTGGTCAAGCAGATGTTCTACATTGTGGGTGCCATCACCCTAAACAACCTCCTCCTGCGCAAGGACATGTGCTCTTGGAGCAAAGGCATGCAAATCAGGTGAGCAAACACCAACAGGTGTCACTGCCCCGCTTGCCTCTTGAGGGCTGATGACTTGTTTCCAAGCAGTGCACCCATGGCCCAGCATGTGAGAACGACTGGCGTGGAGCCAGTTCTCTGACCTGGGGGGGTTCTCCTGCTCAGGAGGAAACCCTGCTCCTCTGTTAAGCCACCTTGTTTGTAGGAGTGTACAAAAGGCACAACAACAACAGACTTTTGTTTTCTCTTTTTTATTTGTTTTCACTGTACAGTAAGGAAATATTAGGGAAAACTTTCTAGTTTTCGGTGGTTGCTCTTAGAAATATCTTTCCATATTAGGAATATGAATGAGAATAGGTACAATAGGGGCTGGAGATATGGCTCAGTGGTTAAGAGCACTTACTGCTCTTGCATAGGACCCAGGTAAGGTTCCAGCACCTATGTGGTGATTCACAACTATCTGTAATTCCAGTTCTAGGAGATACAACTCCTTCTTCAGGACTCTGTGCATAGTGTGTACATGTACATATATCCAACCAAACTCATACACTTAAAAACAACTAATTAAAAAAGGTTTAAGTTGAAGAAAAGTAATAGATCCGAAGAGATAATTTACTAACAGGTGAATTTGAAGAAAAACTATACTCTATTTTTAAATTATAGTTTTTTGTGTTAGAGAAAAAGTCTCACTGTGTGACTCAGCTGGTTTGGGGCTCACAACCCTGCTTCAGCCAGGAATGCAGGCACGCACCACCCATGCCCAGCAGCAACTAAATTTTATACCCGCTGCTCATCATTGTCTCGTTGTAACATGACTGAATCGGGGAGGCAAATAGTTATTCTGTGCAGCCGGTATGTTCCCCGAGAAAGAGAAAGGGGGTTTTCTACAACATCCATCTGTAGTTACTAGTAGCAAACTTTAGTGTTGTATATTGACCGCTCTTCTCCACACTTCACTTTAAGGGATGACCTCCATTCAGGGATTCTAACTTTTCACGAAGCTATGCATCCTTTTTTAAACGACGGGCCTCGTGTAGCCAGGCTGATCTCAAACTCACAGTGTAGTCGATGATAACTGTGAACTCCTCATTTTCTCGCCTCTACCTCCCAAGTGCCAAGATTACAGACATGTGCTATCACAGCCAACTGAAGCCACTCATCTTAATATCATAATTCCTCCTTCTGTCTGAATTCTGACTATGTGTCGGTCTGCCTTAACTGTAGTTTGAAATCTGCCATTAGATAGCTGAGCATATAAACCCTAGCATCTGGGTAATTTCCTTATCTCTCCAGTTTGGACTCCATCTCTTCCCAAGGGCTTTCTTCCCCTTTTCTTCTCCTATCTCTAGGCTTTCTCAGGCCACTGTTCCCATTGTCAAGGCCCTTTCTTAGAGAAGCTTGGGTCCAAAGCATATATTAGGTATCTGGTTATTCAGCCAATCAATTTGGAGTCTTAAGTAAGGCAGAGTGCATGAAGAATTGAGAGACTTATCCTGCAAAGGGAACCTATGTCTGAAATTGCAGGAGAAGCCAGAAAGTCCATTCTAGTCAGCTGTTTAGTAAGTGCAGAGTCATGTGCTCTATTCAGTTTTGTTTATTAGCAAGTCTAATAACTTTTCCTCTGGTGACTTTGTTTCCATCTTCAGTAAAGAGTTGCAGTCTCTTGTCATTCATTCTTACATAATTACAATTATAAGCCTCATGACTTTATAATGATAAATGTTAAAGCACAGATGATTAGATTTTAGAAAATTGAACAAAAATACTACCTGTCATTTTAACTGACAAGGCTACATACACAAAATTAAGACACTTATGACAGCATTCAGAAAATTTGCATTTTCTCTTTTATTCTTTCTTACACTTTCTCTTTTTATTTTTGGCGTAGGTACAATGTCAGTCAATTGGAAGAATGGCTACGTGACAAGAATCTAATGAACAGTGGGGCCAAAGAGACTCTGGAACCTCTCATTCAGGCTGCTCAACTTTTGCAAGTGAAAAAGAAAACCGATGATGATGCTGAAGCCATCTGCTCCATGTGCAATGCTCTGACCACTGCCCAGGTACTACAGCCTCCTAAGGAGGCACACCATAGCAACTGTCACAGAGGAATTCAGAGAAGGCAGGCCTGGCCGTTGCTCTCCTCTCTGCACTGACTTACTCCTTTGACAAGAAGATACATAACTGTAAATCTGAAAGAGAGGAGATTTTATTATCAATTAATACATTTCAATACTACTAATAGGCATCTACAGAATATTCAGCAAAGAGTGGGTACCTAGTACTCTGTGTGATATACTCAGCCTTGAGAGACAGCCTGGAATAAAACGATGTCCTGTGGGGCATATATTCTGTGGAGCTCCAATTCATGAAGTTATTTCTCTGTTATTTAATAATTAATGGAGCTTTATATTTTTCTATTTGGATCCAATAATGTGGCTCAGGTAGTAAAGGCACTTACTATCAAGTCTAATGACCTGAGCTTGATCCCTGAAACCCACATGGTAGAAGAGAGCCAGCTCCCAAGGGCCGCCCTCTGACTGTCCACATAGTAGAAGAGAGCCAGCTCCCAAGGGCCACCCTCTGACCACACATGCATGCTCTGCACTGCCCACATGTGCACACACATGCTCAAAGCATTTCTTACTCTCAGTTTTTCAAGTGATTAATTCCCACCACACGGTATCATACTTGTAGGGGAAAATACTTCACTTAAGAATGAAAAATCTCCACCTTCATGAGCTTATAGTTCAATGGGAAAACAGAAATGCATGAAGCTGACACTGTCATAAAACCTCTAACAGACACTGCTCTTCTGCTTAAAAAGAAGCACTGGGGGAGATGACAGCCTTTTTCTGAGCAGTGCTGCTCCGCAGCATTAACCTTGGATGGGAACAGGATAGGAAGGTTATCAGAGGAAACAGCAACAGCTGGAAGAAGGCATCCAAAGAGCCTGCTGTTCTCTTTGCCTGGTGTTTCCTGCACTGAATCTTTGTCTTCCCAGTGCTGAGCACTGCAGCTGTGGCCAGTGTAATTCACTGTTCTCAGGGAAGACAGTCAGAACCACTGTCTGTAAAGGAACAGTGGGGAAACCCAGTTTATACCTGTTTCCTGTCCTCCAGCTTTTAAAGAATGTGCTCTGGAACTTAAATATTTCAACTTTAGTATATGCCCCAAGCATTAGGTAGACCTAGAATCCAGTTATCTCTTTGATTTACCTGGCAGATTTTAGTGAACAGTTCTTCTCTTAACAGCTCTAACCCTTGCTTCTGAATGCCCAATTCCTGAGTCCAGTGTGTCACTCACAGACTGGTCACTATTCCTGCCTCTTATTCCATGTCTCTGGTGCTTACCATACACTTTGCCTATAGGTCAGCATTGCCCTGTACTTAACCTTCTGTTTAACTAATTTAAATGTAAATAACTACATGTGGCTGTGATGTCTAGTGTGTTAGCACAGCTTTAAATAACAGCTTGAAAGTGAGGCCAGCAAGGTGGTACAGTCTCTAATCCCAGCACCTGGAAGCTGATACAAGTGGATAACAAACTCAAGTCCAGCTCAGGCTGCAGTTGGGATATGATTATATATCTGTGCGCGCGCACACGCACACACACACACACACACACACACACGTCTCCTTCCCTCTCCAGCCCACCCCAGGTAAAACTAAGAGGTCCTTCCCACTCATTAGATCATGAAGAGCCAGCCTGTTTGTGAAATATGCCAAAAGCTTTACCCTTTATCTCTCCAGATCGTCAAGGTATTGAACCTGTACACCCCTGTTAATGAGTTTGAAGAAAGGGTCTCTGTCTCATTCATCCGCACTATACAGGTAAGGGGCTTGTTCTTTCTCACTGTTTCACCCCAGGCTCACTCCAGTGGAGTATTTACCATGTTTTGGAGGGATAATGTGTTCTTATCTTTACTTTTCCATTTTACTTATTTTGCAGGACATTGACTTTTTATATAAGATTATAGTCAATAAATATTTTTAAGCAAAGATTAACATTTTTATTAAAGTTTTTTTTTTTAGTAGAAATTTCAATAGAAAAAGTATCTTACAAATTGGAAGTACTAACACCCTGCTTGTCCTTTTTCTTAATCTTAGATGCGGTTACGAGACAGGAAAGATTCTCCACAGCTGCTCATGGATGCTAAACACATCTTTCCTGTCACATTTCCCTTTAACCCATCCTCCCTGGCCCTAGAAACCATCCAGATCCCAGCCAGCCTAGGCTTGGGCTTCATTGCACGGGTCTGAAGTGCTGTCCAGGCAAAGACAGAGAACGCATTTCTCCTCTGAATAAGAACAGTCGTTTCCATTGAGCTACTGAAAATACACTTTTAAAGAAAAAGTACTGATTATCTCTAAAAGAAGATGTTATTAACTGGAAGTTTCCCTAGAATCCTTTCACTTGGGAGGAGACACTCCCATGTTACCTTTAAACCAGCGTTCATTCTTCACCAGTTGAGTTTGCATACAGATGGATGCTATCAGGGAGAAATGAGAAGAAGGGTAAAAGGTGTGTGTCTTCAGCTGACAGCGTTTTTTTTAAACCTTTAGTGCTGCATTTAAGTGACATAGAAAAATACAATTCCATACGGATGAACTGTTGTTAGCAAGGCACAAACAAAGAACTGAAAGAGAAATCACTACTGAATACATATCATACAATCATGTTGATATTGTCAAACTGGATCAAAAAATAAACTGGCAATATGTAAAGTAATTGCCTAAGTAACTTCCTTGTTTGTGTCATTAAGGTACAGCGATATTAAAGATGCTGGCTTGCTAGGTAGCATAGTTGCTTTTTGTACTGTAGCTTACCAAGCATCTTAAATTACTGCTACGTGCTGTCCCCTGATGATAGTCTTATTAGGCACTGCACAACCAGCTTCTCTTTCTTCACTGTTTACAATTCAACCAGATCAGTTTTAACAGGGTTATATACAATTATCTACAGGTTCATCTGCACAAGGAGCAGACACTGGAAGTTGTGTAGTGATAGGACAAGATGTTTGATGTTTAGGTAGTGTTAGAGTGGTTGGGATGTCCGTGCTGATCAGGATTGCATATGCAATTATTGATATGCAAATTAATTTTACCTGTGTGGATATCATCATATCATGGTATAGTGTTCTGTAAAATTACTTATTTTTAGTTCCCAAATCTTATTCTTGCCATGCATATATTCAACATTAACTGGTCCTATTTTTAATTTATTAAGTGTTAGCCTCAGTCACTATCTTGAAAGGACTATCAGAATATTTATGATTCAGATCTTGAAACTTTGATTATCCTATAAGTTATTCAAAAAAGACATATAATAAATCATTATAATTCAGGGGGTATAGGTGTTGCATCCTCTAAAAGTGTTTTCAGATATCACTAAATACTTTTAAAAACATCATATTATAAATACAGTAAGAAGATTTATGTAAGAAATATAAGAAGATTATTAAATTTTATAGAGGATTTGGTTCAGTAAGACCTAGATTCTGTAAACCTTCATTATGAAAGTCTAATTAAACATAGTCTCCACTTTTTTTCCTGGAAGTCTTATATAATAAATCCTTTGAGTTATGTAAGAACAAATTCTTAGTTTTTATTCCTCTGGTTCTTAGTTACATCATCAATTTATATAGTTTAACTGTAAGATGGTCGGTAACAATGACATTTAAATATGTGCAATATTATTGATGAGAACTAAACAGTTTCAAGTCAATGATAAATACTGTTATTAAACAGCAGTTATTGTCCATTATCTTACTGGAGCCTGAATGTCCTTGTTTATAAAATAAGAGGGTTGGGTAACTGGTTGTTCCAGCCACTTCCCCATTTACAGTTCCCTCATGCTTGGTTCCTAGGGCAAGGGGTCACAGTTACTCAGTCCATCCTGTTGTAAAGACCAGTGTTTAGTGCCTGTCGGTTCCCTGGGTTAACACAGTAAGTAACAAGTTTACGTAGCCACAACTTTTTCTTAACGTACATCATTTAGGTACTTTAGGAAAATCCTAATGTATTTGTGTTACTTGAAAGTCACGTAGTTTAGTGATTTTTGTTACATGATGAACTGCTTTGTCATTTGAAGGATTTTATTGAACCCAGGGCCCCATGTATGTTAAATAAGTCCTCTGTCACTGAGCTGCAGTCTCAGCCCTTCATCAGTTCTAGTACATTTATTTACTTGCAGAACCTAAAACACTAATTCAACCAGATTCAATTTTTGTGGGTTTTCTGTATTGTTTCAGTGAGCAGTTAATGCTTAAAGCAGCTTCATTCGTGCCGTGTGTCATACAGCTAGAGGGGGCAGCAGGTGGAAGAGCTGCTCAGCAAACAGAGCCATGTGTAGGCTGTCTTCCCTCAGCCCTGGCAGTCCTCCCACACCCTGCTCCCAGCTTAATCCTGTGTAGGACGCAACTGTTGTGCACCCTGAGTTTTGTCTTCAAGATCGTGCTACCACTGTCCCTGGAGCCCTTTATTTCCTTACTCCAGACATTGTGTCCTACAGTTCCTGGCACTTTTTCTCTGCTGTCAAGAACTGAAACTCCTGCTCCGTAGCTATTCCTACTCTGCAGTTTCTCCTGTTTCAGTGATAATGGCTCAGAGTTTCTATGATTCCAGGCTCCAGCTCTTTGAAGCTGCTTCAGAACCCCAGATGGGGATCTGAAGTAACGCCTCTTGTTTATCTGGAAAAGAATACTTAATAACCAGGGAACCTCAAAACCTGGTAAGTGACTGTGTGCACTTTGTTAAGGAAGCACCAGGTTTCTGCCGACTAGGTAGGGTAACCTTCATTCTGTCATCTGTGCCCTCACCTAGCTTCAAACACACACCCAGCTTTTCCTCTGCCTGTCACACTTTCCTGCTTCTTCCCTCGGTCTAATTTACGAGCCAGATGGTTTTCTGTGGCGCTGGCCGGCATGCATGGGACTTACCTTTTGGTGTCTGTGCACACACCTTTCTGTTCTCGTTTCTGTACTCCTTATTATTATCACTAATTGGCTCTTCCATCATTCCTCTGTGACACACTTGGACTCCAAAGAAGGAGCTCTTGGAAGGCACAACAGCACAGCACCCCTTCTCTTGGTAGCCCCTGCCAGAACCACCCACTTTCCCTGCCGCACGTGCAGCTTACACCCGTGGGATCCAAGGTGAGAAGAAGCAGTTTCCCCTCCCTTCCTGCAGCTTTTCTTAGCCCAAGGCTTGAGTCTGCCTTCAAGTAACTCCAAAGCAGGAAAGATAAGCATGAAACAAGATTCAGAAAGGACAAGTTGATGGTTCCTTTAGAAGCTTTGAACATTCCTCATAACCTGGCACTGCTTTGAAAGCAAATATACAGAACTGTAATCCAAAGCCAAGTGATAGAAATTAGGTTAGAGGACTTGCTTTGTTACTGATCCATTTCAGTAGATAGACTCTTAATGGGTGAGCAAGCGTGTGCAATACACATATTCTTTCAGAGTGTATACAGGAGGCTGTGAAAAGCAGTGTCTTGATTGTTGTGAGAAATTACTTTTCTGACAATTCTAGGAAAGAGGAGCTACTGCCATCCTGAGAGCTCCACAGAGTTCCTTCTCTCACACCCACAGCCGCCAGCTGAGAGGTTTCAGGAGGTCTTGTCGAGGGTTAAAGAGCGAATGTCCATGTGTGCTAGAACCCGTATGCATGTGCTTCACGCCAGCACTCTTCTCTCTTACCTCACTCCCTCACAGCGTCAACAGGAGACAGCTCCCACAGTCAATGTGAGGGACAATTCGGATCAATGGTGTGCTCAGTGACTTGCCTAGGGTGGCACTGTCCTCCAGATGCTGGGGTGCCCTGGGCTAGTGAGGGCCCTCTTCTTCTCTACTGGTACGTGGAAAGAGAAAAATGATGGGCACCAGCTTGCTTCTGTGGAGGCCGGTGCACAGTACTTGTAACGCCAACTGTGACAAGGCTTGCCCTTTGACATAATCAGTGCTAGTTGACAGGGTACGGGCTCTCAAACTAGAGACTGTCCAAACTAAGAGGGCAGGGAGCAGTAAAAAGCTCAGATGTGAAGAGGCAAGGCAGGCCACTCCACAGCCCTGAGGTTTCCCTGTGAGAGCCCCTGACTAAGCGGCACAGCCTACAGAGAACTCTCCTGTAGTTTCAGTCTGCTGTCTTGTCTAGGGGAGCCCAGGACACTAAGGACTTCCCTCCCTGGGGCTGTCCACCATTGGCAAGTCACTGTAAGCTTGGAAGTGCCCCCAGCACGCTGCCAGGGAGACGCCGGAGCTGGCTGTGGGCATGCGTGCTGGAGGCCACAAGCATTGTGCTAGTGCTTTGTAACTGTTCTCAGACTGTGCTGTGAGGGCCGCCTTAACCCTTGCCCCGTCCCTATTAGAGCTGCCTTAAGTTCCCCAGAACTTGTCCTCAGTGAGGGATATCTTGCCATGTTTCTTGAGGTTTTGTGAGGATTTGGATTGGATGTGGCTTCCTACCACTGATTCCTTTCTCTCCTTCCTGCATCTCCTGCCACCTGTCATTTCCAAACGGAGATTGGGATTTATGAAGCAACCAATAAAATGTTAGCTTTCCAAGTGTTTCTGGGCTAGTGCAGCTCCTCACGACAGTAAGGAAACAAGCTCATGTGGAGGAAGCAGGACGGACGTCAGAGTATCCGTGGGGTCTCAATAGATCAGAAACCGAAAGATGCCATGTCAAACATCTCCCAAATGCATTTTATACATTTTTTATTTTATAATTTGGTCTAGCTGAAAATGTTCATTAGCTTAATGTAATGGATAAAATTAGACTCATAACATATCTGTAAACAATTAACATATCCTTGGCATTGTCATATTGCTTGGAATAGTTGAGAAAGTTTTGGGTTTGCTTTTGAAGGTTGAAATTGTCATATATAATTTAATGTTTGGAAAATTAATGCATTCCTGTGTATTTTCCAGAGTCAGTAGTTTCAATAACTTACTGTTATTATGTGCTATAAAATCTTAGCATAAGTCACATGAGCCATTATTTTTCCTGCAAACAGTGATTTTTTTCCTTTAAATGTGATTATGTGTTGTGGTTTATAATCCCTAAATATGTTCCTTTGTGGATTTCTGAAGTAGTATTGATTTTCTTGTGTTCTTGGAAAGTTTAAATTGTTCCAGCAGTATTGCACAGATGAGTTCATGACATTTAACATACTGCATTTTTATTGTAACTGTTTATAACTTAGTGTGAAATAGACCTGCCTTGGAAATACAGTGAAATGGGACATTGCAGTTTTCAAAACTGTTTTTTTTCCTCGAATCTGGAGAAAGAATTTTTTTGATCTACACAGTTAATCTCTGCAAAGTGATTAGGTGAGGAAGCAGAAATGCTGAAAGGTGAGAGGTGTTACCAAGCCTCTCCAGAGAGTCTCACAGGAAAGCTTATAGAATGTTAACAATTCACCTCATTATCAACAAAGCCTTGGAAACATGAGTTTCTCACTGGATATCACCTAATGCTAAAAGGAAAGCCAAAACAATATCAGAATGACATTTTCTGCTCTGAATTTGTAGTTGTCTAAAGTTGTACTTAGTATGTATCTGTTGTTAGCTCTGTATTCTCCTAGCTGCTGTAGAAAAATGTTGAAATAAAGATAAGGATATAAAGAAGTTTTGTCCATGTCTATAAATCCACTTCACATTTTAAAACAACAAACAAACTGTTATTCTGAAGATTAATAAATGTATAATCTCTTCAAATGAGAATCTCAAAGGGTCTTAGAAATGGAAAGGTCGGTGAGTCTATACTAGAAAACAGTGATGTGTGAACTGCCAGACCACATGAGCAGATCAACCAGCTGAGGAACAGTGGCTTCTTTTCTTCAAGGGAAAGGCATGCCTGAGTTTCCTTGGATCCTCTGACAGAAAAATAGAGCCTAGGCATTTGGAAATGGATATGGAGTTTTCAAAAGTCTAAACAAGATTTGTGTCACAAGTTCAGCTTTTAATAGAGTAGAAGAGACAGATACACAGAGTGGGATGGGAATCAAAGGGGGTGTGGACTACTCCATTGGAGCGGGAACAGTCTGTGATTGGCTCGTTCTCATCTTTAGTCATGATGTGAAAGCATGAGTAGTAAGTTCTACAACAGATGGTGTCCCCGTCACATCGCGGTAAGTTGGTTCATTAGACTCCTTTAGCAAGGACTTTCCTGTTGGGAGCGCTAAGCAGGCCCTAGACATGCAGCAGAGGGACCATATTCATCCACTAGCGCAGGAGAATCCATGCTCTGTGTACATCAAAAGTTACGAAAACAGGAAAAGTTGATATGTGCTAACAGTTTCTCTTTCTAAATAGATTAGAACTCAATCAAGGTTTTCTCTCCAAAGTGAAACCATCTCACTATGGTATTTTATGATCATTAGAATTCTTTTCTGGGATACAGGATAGAAGTCAAACTAGCTTGACCCCAAAGGGAATCCATTTCCTGACATAAATGAGTTGGAATGTATCTAGGTGCCCAGTCATTGACCTTGGGGATAAACACATTACTTTCCTCTATTTTGGCTTCATTCTTAGCCAGGGTCTCTCCAAGTGGTGACAGAGCCCCCAGAAGCACAGCTCTGTCATCCAGCCTCTTTGTTAGCATTATCAGCAACACGTCAGAATGGAGTCTCATTGACTGGTTTGAATTCTGTTTTTCTTTTTTTGTTGTTTTTTGTTTGTTTGTTTGTTTTTTAAGACAGGGTTTCACTCTGTAATCCTGGCTGTCCTGGAACTCCATCTGTAGACCAGGCTGGCCTCAAACTCCCAGAGATCTGCCTGCTTCTGCCTCCCAAATTCTGGGATTAAAGGTATATGCCACCACCACCTGACTCTGCATCCATTCTTAATACCTGTACCTAGGGGAATAGAGCCTAGCCAGCCTGAGCCACACCCCAGCACTGACCCTTGAGTCACCACCGAAACCGGGTGAGTGTGAATGCAGTGTGGGGCCAAGACAAGGATGGGAAACAGTTAACCAGAAGTGATAGCATCTGCTCGCAGGAGAGAAGAGAGCAGTGGCCGCATGAGCCCCAAAGGTATGCTTCCTTCCTCAAAGCTTGGGGCTGCTGGGCTTGTGACCTTACCACTGAGCGTACAGAGATGGGCAAGTTTGGCGCTGAGCAGTTGGAGGATTCTGACATGGCATTGACCACCCAGAGCAAGACCTGGGAATCCATGCAGTTGTCCCCTCAGCACGGTCTGCCATGCTGCTGAAACCATAGCAGGGGCATTGTGGCGGAAACATAGAAACCTGCCTTGTGAGCTTCTAGCATGATGCCAACCTCTCTGGGTGGGCCAGGCATTGGAGTTCAAAGAAAACAGGCGAGGTGAGGGTCAAAGGAGAACTCAAGTCCTGAGGCACCCTGACCTGGGGAACTAATGAAGGGAGTGGGGCTGGAACAAGGGTTAAGATATTCCAGAGGCCTGAGGCAGGAGAGCGGCAAATCCGAGTTTAACCAGAGCTACATGATCAGTAGAGAGTGTAGTTTGTGTGGAAAACAGCTCTTGTTCTGTCCCTCAGTGCAGAAGGCCTGGGATTCCATCCCAGCACTAGGGGAAAGGGGGGGGGGGGGCGGGGTGAATGAGTGCACTGAGACCGATAAGGAAAGCATGAATTACTCATGAGCCCTATGTATGTGGTAAGCAATTGTATTTTGAAACATCAGCAAAGTTACCACTGAGGAAACAAAATACCAAGTTCATCTCAGAAATAGTAAAGTTATGAAAGTCTGTCTTACCAAGAAACTTTAATGAATTTGAGAATTCAGCTCATGTTAACCTATTGGGAAGAGAGAGAGAGAGAGAGAGAGAGAGAGAGAGAGAGAGAGGAGAAGGAGGAGGAGGAAGAGGAGGAGGAGGAGGAGGAAGAAGAAGAAGAAGAAGAAGAAGAAGAAGAAGAAGAAGAAGAAGAAGAAAGAAGAAGAAGAAAGAAGAAGAAAGAAGAGCTGGGTGATAGCGAAGATTCAGGCTCTAGCCCAGGAACATGTAAAGATCTAGGCCCTCTTTTACATACACCCCACCCCAGGTTGTTAAAGTCAGGATTCTAAGTTGGATGGCGAACACTGTATAAAGATGGGACTCCTTCGTGTGAAGAGAAGCCTGTGTGGTAGAGGCCAGAGGACAACATCAGGTGTCTCCTTCAATCACATCTTACCTTCTTTAGGAGCCAGGAGGAATTTATTCATTCATATAGTTTGGCTGCCCAATGAGCTCCTGGGATAAGTGTGTATGTGGGTCCTGGGAACTGAACTTGGGTCCACTTACTTGAGCTACAAGACATTTTACTGACTTAGCCATCTCCCCACCCACAGCCTCAGGCAAACAGAAGAGATGAAGGCAAAGGGGTGGAGAAGGAGTTAGATTAGAAGTGAGACAGACCACATTATCCCTGCAAAGCCAAGTCATTCTTAACACTAAATATTTCTCAACAGTAGACTGTAAGAGTTATACTTCTGGCCCAGCAGCATCAAGAGCTCTATGAACCCCCTGCCTGTGGAAACTGGTGACAAAATTTTTTTAAAAATCAAACAAACAAAAAAACAGGCCTTCTAAACTGGGCAGTGGTGGCACACACCTTTAATCCCAGCACTCTGGAGGCAGAGGCAGGTGGATCTCTGAGTTTGAGGCCAGCCTGGTCTACAAAGTGAGTTCCAGGACAGGCCAGGACTGCACAGAGAAACTATCTTGAAAAACACAAAACAAAATGAAAAGAAAGGGAAAAAGAAAATAGACAAACAGAAATAAAAGAAGGATGGAGGAAGAAAGGAAGGAAAGAAAACATGCTAAATTTAGATGAGTGGTATATATGATTGTATATATTAATTACTTTTCCAATTGCTGGCTAGTTTTTATGTCAACTTGACAAAACCTAGAGTCACTTTGGAAGAGAGAGTCTTAATAGAGAAAATGCCCCTAACAGATTGGCCTGTGGGCAAGGCAATGGTGCTTTTTTTATCTCTTGATAATTGATGTGGGAGGGCTCAGCTCTATGGACCATGCCTCCCCTGGGCTAGTGGTCCTAGGTACTATATAGAAGACTGAGCAAGCCAGTAAGCCGCGTTCATGCATGGCCTCTGCTTTAATTCCTACCTCCAGGTTCCTGCTTTGAGTTCCTTTGTTTCTTCCTGACTTCTCTGGATGATGGACTGTAATTATCTAATCTTTGAGGTGAAATAAACTTCCAAGTTGCTTTTGGTAATGGTGCTTAATCACAGCAACAGAAACCCAAAGACATTGTAATAAAATACCATCACCAAAGCAATTTATAAAAAGGAGGGGTGTTTGTTTTTGTTTTTTGTTTGTTTGTTTGTTTTTGAGCTTTCAGATCTAGAAGGTCATCATGGCAGCTTAGGTCTCAGTGAAGAGCTCACATCTTGAACAACAAGCAGGCAGCAGAATTCTAGGAACAAATTTGAATGATGTATATCTTTAAACTCTCAAAACCTGCCTGCCCCCACCTTGTGACATACTTCCTAACAAGGCCATGCCTCCTACCCCTTCACAAACAGCACCAAGTACTCAAATACCTGAGATTATGGGGACAACTCTCTCTCTCTCTCTCTCTCTCTCTCTCTCTCTCTCTCTCTCTCTCTCTCTCACACACACACACACACACACACACACACACCACACACACACACACACACACACACACACACAAATTTCCTAATTCAACAAGGTATAAGCTTGACTGTAGCATTTTGTGGCCAAGAACATGGGGTTTCATCTGCCCCAGCTCCCAAGTGGAGTGAGCCCTTTCTGGGAACAGCCAGGAGTCAGCATTTCTCATCTGGCCTTCAGCTATGTGTTGGTGGAGCTAAGCTTCAAGTGCACACAGCCAAGAGGAGGGCACTCCCTCCTACCCTGTCCCAACTCAGGGTCCCCCATACTCTACTGCTGAGAATACTGGGTCCTCAGTCACCCTTAGCTGGGCTTGCAAGATAGTGGTTTCCTGTGGAGAACGCCTGCCCAGGAGACTTGTCCGTTACTGACATGTACCCAACCTTGAACTCTAAAGCAAAGACCTCTCTCAGTGACAAAGGACTATTATCCCCACCCCATCTCCAGAGCCTTGGCTCTGAGGTTTTGCTGGGAATGATGCAGATCATAAAAGTTTTTTTTCCAAAGGAACTGACTTTATTTGCAGGTGTTTAAGAGAAGTTTAAGCCAAAACATGGTGGAGGTTAAAGAAAACGGAAACCTGTTAGGCTGGCTGGAGACAGACTGAAGAGTAGGCCCCTGGCTTTCTGTGAACCAACTGGAGAAGAGTCTGTGAGGAGTCTGTGCGATCACATAAATGCCAAACGTTGACCTTAAAATTTTCTATCCTTTCAAAGGAGCCCAAAACTGATTGGACGTTTTTCCAGTGTGGGAAGCAATTTGTGCTTATGGCTACGCTAAAAACAGCAGGGCAATTGGAGCCATTAGTGACATATAACAGCTGATTGTGTTCAGGGAAGAGACACAGTGCCAAGACCCCTGCCAGGCTGACAGCGGGCACAGACAGGCTACAGATGTCGGGAAGGTGGAAACAGTCATTGAAATAACCTGTCTAAATACTGAAAAACAGTAAGTCCAGTTGATAAACAGTGAGGAGGAACAGTACCAGAACTACTACAATATATCTCTAAAACCATTCAACATTTCAAAACTTGTGAAGAGATATGAAGGTGTGGCTCACGCCATGGTTTGAGTGTGAGGTGTCCCCCGTGGCTCTGCACAGTGGGTTGGCACTGTAGAAAGAGTGGACACAGATTTGCTATCTGACCCAGGTAAGAGAAACATTCTCACTTCCAAGGCAGGATTGTATTGCAAAGCCCTTTCTCATGTAGGGCTCCGCCCATCCCTGAGCATGCTCAGTCAAGGACTACATGTCTCTGAGCATGTTCCGTTTAAGATTAAGGAGCAGGCATGTCCAACCCGTATCCTACCAGGAGAGCTGAAATGTAGCCCAACACAAAATCATAAAATTATACATTACATTTTTTTGTAACTAACTTAATCGAAGGTTGGATGTGCCTGGGGGAATGCGTCTGAGCTTGGTTAGCCCATACCACAAAGTCTTATCTAAAAATAAAGGACAGTCTTTCTTTCTTTCTTTTTTTTTTTAGATTTATTTATTTATTATGTATACAGTATTCTCAGTATTCTGTCTACAGGCCAGAAGAGGGCACCAGATCTCATTACAGATGGTTGTTAGCCACCATGTGGTTGCTGGGAACTGAACTCAGGACCTTTGGAGTGATGGCTCAGAGGTTAAGAGCACTGGCTGCTCTTCCAGAGGTCCTGAGTTCAATTCCCAGCAACCACATGGTGGCTCACAACCATCTGTACTGACATCTGGCGCCCTCCTCTGGCATGTGGGCAGAGGCAGAATGTTGTATACATAATAAATAAATAAATCTTTAAAAATAATTATTAAAAATAAAGGACATTTTGAAGGTGTATTCTAACAAGAATCTGCCCTTACAGGTGCCCACCTCACTGAGCAGACAACGTTTCCTCGGTTACAGGCTTGAGCCTCAGCAGGGCTCCCAGAAGAAGTGGGAGGAACCTTAGGAGGCAGGGCCTAGCTAAAGAAATAGCACAACAGGGGTGGGATTGCTACTTCTGAAAGGTTCAAATTGCGCCCTTTCTTTCTGCTTCCCGTCCACGCTGAGGTAAGATGCTTGCTCCGCCTACCCGTGCTCCTGCTTCCCTGAGATGTTCAGCCTCCCTTTGGGCAACAGAGCCAACCAACTGCAGGTGGAAACCACTGAACCTGTGAGCCAAGGTAATTCGTTCTTCCTTTCAAATTTCCTCATTTAGATAGTTGTAGTAGAGTGTAAAACGAACACACATTAATATGCTCCATTACAGGCAGAGGCAGGTGAGTTCAAGGGCAGCCTGGTCTACATAGTGAATTCCAGAACAGCAAGGGCTACATAGAGAGGCCCCATTTTTAAGAAAAAGCACTCCATTGGAGCTACAACTGACAGGAAAAGAGTGTGAGACAAAAATATGGTGAAATGCCAACAATAGAGAAAATATGGTAGCACTTAGTATCCACCCGCCTCTGCCTCCCAGGAACTGGGATTACAGGTGTGAGCTATCTGTCGTACGTGGTTCTCAAGATTCTTCTAATTTTATTCAGTTTTTTGTTTATTTTTGAGACAGTGCCTACACGGAGCATATAAATTTGAATCCCTATCAGAATAACTAAAACAGTTATTCAAGAAATAAGATTAGGGCTGGAGAGAAGGCTTGGTTGTTAAGAGCACTGGCTGAGGACCTTGGTTCAACTCCCAGCACCCACATGGCAGCTCACAACTATTTGTAACTCCATTTCCTGGGGATCCAACAGCCTCTCCTGACCTCCGTGGGTACCAGGGACATACGTGGTGCACAGACATATGTGCAGGCAAAATACCTATACACACAAAATAATTTTTTAAAGAAATATTATTTATTATTATGAGAGAGAGAGAGAGAGAGAGAGAGAGAGAGAGAGAGAGAGAACATGCATACATATTGTGGCGGGCATGTGGAGGTCACAGGAAAACATTCTGGTGTTGGTTCTCTCCGTCCATCAGCAAGGTTTCAGGGATGGTGCTCTAGCCATCAGGCTTAGTGGCGAGTTCCTCACCCACGGAGCCACCTCACTGCTCCAAAACTGACAGCTTTAAACGGTTTATTAGAAAAGAAGCATGCCTCAAGTCAATAACATAACATGTTCATTCACCTTAGAACCTGCTGGGAAAAAACAAGCCAAACCCAAGGCAAACAGAATGAAGGAACTGGTAAGGAAGAAGCAAAGTTTTATAGAAAAACTAATGAGCGTATATAAACACAACTAACAAAATTTTAATCAAGTTGACTAAACAATATGAGAAATATAAATTACCAAAAGCAGGAATGAAAGAGGGAGCGTCTTCCTCAGCAAAGCCAGGATGAGAAGGAGGCAAATGAGAATCTTGGAGTGCCGAGACTCAGGCCCCAATGCTGAGCAGGACCTGAGGGTGAACAGGCGACCTTAGGCTTTGCCCCCTCAGGGCCTCATCTGGAATCAGGAGTGGAGCAGAGCGCCACCTACAGGTCTGTTCCAGCAAAGTAGATAAAGTAGACAAATTCCCAGAAAGACAAAGTATGAAAATCCTAAGACCTAGGGAATCAGAATTGATTTCCAAGTAAAGAAAGTGAAGAGGTGAATAAGGATCTTATAAAGAACGATCTAGGGGTTGCACTTCAAGTTTCATCAAATATTTCCAGAAGAAATGATACAAACCCTTCACAGACTGATAAAATAGACACACACACTTCCTGATTCTAGAGGACAAACACACCACAGGAAAGGCTGCCGCACCCCTTACAAGGACAGTCACAGAACCCCTAACAAAACCCACACACCAAACCAGCAACAAATAGTGAAAACCACATAACCCAGCCAAGTGGGGCTTATTCCACTATTTAAACATAGTTGAATGTTTAAAAAAAATCAACCACCAGGTTCTGTGCTATTGTCTTAGAGTTCCTATTACTATGAAGAGACATCAAGACCACAGCAACTCATAAATGAAACATTTAATTGGGGTAACTCAGTTACAGTTTCAGAGATTCAGTCCATTATCATCATGACAGGGAGCATGGCTGCTTGGCCGTGTGAGGGCAGATGTGATGCTGGAGTTGAGAGTGCCTACTCTTACAGACCACAGGAAGTCGGCTATCTCGCTGAGTGGTATCCCAAGCATAGGAAACCTCAATGCTCACCCCCCACAGTGACACACTTCCTCCAACAAGGCCATGCCCACTAACAAAGCCACACCTCCTAATAGTGCCACTCCCTGTGAGCTTATGGGGGCCGATTCCATTCACTATAGGTATGTACCTGCAATCTCAAATACTTGAAAGACTGAGGCAGGAGAATTTCAAGTTTGAGGACAGAGTGGGCAGCCTAGTGTGTCCTCAGTCCCCAATATATATCCATTCATAAATTAGTAAACTGTCCTATTCAAAAATCTTTATTCCCACACACCATATCAAATAAGAACAAAACCCAACTGGGTTGGCCTCAAGCTTGGACTCCCCTGCCTCAGTCTCCCTAGTGCTAGAATTACCATCATCTCCTACACCGCTGGTTATTTATAATTTCTAACCGCGAATCTGTATGTTGTTTTTATTCAGCGTTTTCCATGGATCTGCCTTCATTGCTTTCCTATGTCTGCCGATGTGGGGCGCTGTGAATGGACGCCACTAGGCTCCATCATTCACATGTCCTTTCTTATACGAGTTTTAATGCTGTAGCTTTGTTGTGCCTATGAATACCTATGGATATGTGGTAGGACAGAGCTGGGGCAATAGTTCAATCTATAAAGTGTTTGCGCTGCAAGCCTGAGGTCCTGAGTTCAATCCCCAGAACCCACATTTTAAAAGCCAGGTGTGATGGTGTTGTAAACCCAGGGATGCAGAGGGGCACTAGTCAGCTTAACCTACTCAGTGAACCCCAGATCTCAGTAAGACACCAGCTTTAGATAAAGAAGAAGAGAAAGTGCACTGCCCCGAGGAAGGACAGCAGAGATCTCTTTACTCTTGGTTGTGAAAATAGTCTTAGCTATCCACGGACTTAGCCCATATAAAATATAAAAGTAAAGTCAATAGACAAAGTGCTGCCAGGGTTCTTAACCCAGTATACTGGGCTCAGGTGTTAATTTGGGTGGAACCAACACCTTTCCAATGTTAAATGAACCCCATCTGTCCAAATAGCATGTCCATACTTACTCAGCCCTCCTTGTGTGCCCTTCAAGAGAGATGAAAGCTCTCTCCTTAAAGGTCAAACGAGGTTTTTATTGCCATAATCATAATCTCAGGGTGCATTTTCCTTGATTTTTTTTATCTTATTTTCTATTGCGTATAAAAAGTTCGCAGGGGGCTGGAGAGATGGCTCAGAGGTTAAGAGCATCGCCTGCTCTTCCAAAGGTCCTGAATTCAATTCCCAGCAACCACATGGTGGCTCACAACCATCTGTAATGGGGTCTGGTGCCCTCTTCTGGCCTGCAGGCATACAAACAGACAGAGAATTGTATGCATAATAAATTTAATAAATATTAAAATAAAAGAACCATCCATCCTTTGGTTTCTTTGCCCCCCCTTAAAAAAAAAAGTTCCCAGGACAACAACGTGTCCCTTCCTTCCTTCCTTCCTTCCTTCTTTCCTTCCTTCTTTTCTTTCTTCTTCTTTTTATTTTAATCCCACCCCTTTCTCAGTTTAGAAGTTCTGTTAACTCACTGATTCTTTGGGGTTTTCTGTGTAAGCATTTCGTTTCTCTGCCCGCTACAGGAAGGGAGCAGGAACTTGGGCGGAACCCCTGGAGGTTTCTTTCACCTGTTACCTGGGCCGGGCCAATAGTAGCGCGGGCCTGACCGTGAGCACCAATCCCGCTGCTGTCCCCCACGCCCCCACCCCCGCCACCACTCCTCACTCCCCGAGCCCAAGCCCTAGGGGAAAGGGAGCCGTGGCACTTGGGAAAACTTGACAAGATGGCCCAGCGCTGACTGGCTGGGCGCGCACGGTTCCCTGCAGCAGCAGCGCGGAGGCCCATGGCGGTGGCTGAGCTCTACGCGCAGGTAGGGGCGCGGGGACGCACCTGTGCACCTGCCCGGACGCGTGGAGGGCAGAGGCCGGGAGCAGCTGCGAGCTCTGCCGGGCGCCTTGCGGGTGGGCACACCCAATGGAGGGCCGCTGTCCCCACGTCGGGTGACTGTACCACCTGGACCCTTCCTCCTGCCACTGATGGAATCTGGGTCCCGCACTGGTCTGGAGCTTCGATCCAGCACGACAGGCTTCCGTAACCTTCCAGGCCTCCGGAGCCTGGAGGATTTCAGCAAGATTGGCCTTGCTTTCTAGAATGCTGGGTGCGTTTCCCTGGGCGGCGAAGTTCCTCGGGGGATTCTCCTGGAGCTGCCTGGTCTGAGCACACGGGTGCTGTCGGGCTCTCACTATCCCCTCTAAGGTGCTTAGCTCAGAGAGCACCTCCGACAGGCCTGGCGCTGAGCTCTGAGAGCACTCTGGGAAACTTCCAGGGCTTTAGAGCTTCACTCTCGGCCAGGAAAGCGTGTGAAAAAATTAAACAGCCACGAAACTGATCCTGCTACACTGTCGTAGGGGACATTTAGAGCCCTTAAAGACAGATAGAACTAGTATGGATTCTGTTGGAACACTTTCCCACACACATGAACTTAATTTAGCCGAGGGTAGGGGTGGGGCGGGGGTTATGGTTTGCTTTTGGGTTTGGGTTTTGTTGTTGAGACTGGGTCTCACTGGGTCTCCCCAGCTAGCCTGGAAATCACTATGTAGATCAGGTTGGCTTCAAACTCACCGAGTTTTGCCTGCCTCGGCCTCCAGAGTACTGAGATTAAAGGTGTGGCCTCCAGGCTCCACCCTGTTTTTGAGACAGGTGCTTGCTTTGTATCCCTGGCTGGAATGGTACCCTCTCTCTCTACAGCTCAGGCTGGCTTCACATGTGTCGGAGATCTGGCCTCAGCAACCCGAGCGCTAGTATTACAGACATATATATCCCACCACACCTATCTTTATACATTAAGTTTAAAAGGTGCTTTATGATTATAGTTCCCATGGGGGGGATTTTCTTCTACTTTGTTTAAGAAGTTACAAGCATACATCAGACAAAGAGGATATCCCTCTGATGCATTCAAACCATTGTCTTATAGTTTATGTCTCTTTCCACCCGTGCCCCAAACTGGGGACTGAACCCAGGGCCTTGTGCTTGCTGGGCGAGCGCTCCACTATAGAGTTAAATCCCTCATCTAGAAGATTTTACCAGATACAGTGTGAGCCACCAGGTCATCAACGATGTTTCTAAGTCGTCATGTTACTAACTATAAAAGAAAATTCTTCAGCAAACCCCCACCTTAATGGATATTTCTGCGGACAGATAGCTAGCTGATTATTGACCTGTTTTGAGGAACAATTTTTCTTGAAGCAAAAATACACAGGTGCACTTACCCCTATTACCAAGTGCCTGTAATCACAGCACTCAGTGGGCTGAGGCAGGAGGATTGCCTTGGGTTTGAGGATAGCCTGGACTACATAGTGAGTTCCAGGCAGCTAGAGCTAAATACCAAGGTTGTTTTTTTCCCCCAAAAAATAAGTGAGGACATGGGGGGGGGGGGTAGAGAAAGGATTGGAGTGTGGCGGGATAGGGCTTTCCCTGCAGACAGAAGCACTGTGCATGGGGGAGCAGAGAAAAACTGTTTTGTTTTATTCCGGAGCCATTGTTTTGCCTCCAAGGTATTTTCTGGTTCTCTGAAGGGAGAAACGTCAAGCAGGCGTTTGCTGAGACCTTGGGAGACCCAACTGAGGCAGAAGGGCCGCTCAACAAAGGTGGGGGCTTCATCAGGGGCCCAGCCTTTCAGGGATCCCGATGGATCTGCAGTCCTGGACATGAGGGGTGGAGACAGACAAGGAGGAACTGCCCGGGGAATATTTAGACAAGGGACACACCAAGGACGACATGACAGTGGCATCTGCGTGACTGAGAACAGGGTGTGTGTGGGCAGCATCAGAGCCATTAGGAGAAGGAAGTGTCTGTGAGAAGTCAGGAAGCACTTTTTTTTTAAACCAGCAAGGGTGTTGAAGCAGGGAGAGAACTCCAGGGGAGTAAGTGGGGGGCGCACAACCGGGATGTCTCTAGGGAATGGGCTTAGTCAGGGGCTGAGGTGCCCTCTCCCAGGAAACCAAGACACTGAAACCAAGACAGGAGCACCCCACTGCAAGAGGGCCAAGGCCAGGACGGAGGACTGCCTGCATTCCAAGAGAGAAGCAGCTGCTGGCTGCCAATGGAAGAACCATCACGGAGAAGGCAGGAGGGCTGGGCAGTACCAAGAAGAGAGGTTCCCAGAGGGAGAGGGGTTCCAGAGAGAGGCCATGGTGCAGGAGGTGTAAAATGACCCACATCCCACGGCAGCATGCCTGAGAAATATTCTAAGCAAGCAGTATTACTTGAAATCCCTTTGAGAAAAAACTGATCTGACGAATCCCTACTTATAACCTTCATGAAGCGTTTGTCACCTTAGATTCCCAACCCTATGTCAAGGACCTACCTCTGCAACTATGTGTCCTCTCTGCTGACCATTGGCTTGTAAAGACCAGGGTGCGGTGAACACACTCTAAATACAGGCTCTGTACACACATTCAGGAGTGGGTGTTTCTGTTTACAGCGACAGCCGTGGGCAGGATGGTTATTTTTATCTTGCGTGATAAAGTGGAATGTTTCTAAGTACCAGACATCATCCTTAGAACCTTCTCTCAATCTGAAATAGTCTGAAGAAAAAAACTATCTATGTGTTAAACCTTCAGACCCCATTCTGTGCGGAGCTCAGATCAAGGAAGTTTCCTTAGTTACACAGACCTAACAAGAGTCAGAACCTAATGCCTCTCTATGCTCTGACCTAGGCCCCACCCTTACCATCTCCAAGGAACCTGAGCTTTTTCCCATACAGAGGACTCCTGGGAAGTCCATGTTGTCTAGCTACCTGCCCACACATGCTAATTTGTCATATTGTTCTCTATAATAACTATATGGAACAAACCCCAATATCCATCAAGACAGAGAAAAGCTAGTCACAAAATCCCGCCCACACGATGAAGGAATTCATAGCAGCATGGAACGAAGAACGAGAGCCCAAAACCTATACATGCTGCAGCAGCAAACACAGTTTGTAAGCAAATGACTGAAGCCTGGGAGATTAGTTCTGCTGCCTCCAGAGACATCAGGGGAAGGTCCCGAGGAAGGTCCTCAGATGTCACTCCATAGGACCATGGTGTTGTCTTCCAGTGGACCCTTCTGAAGAAAGGGATTCTCACTTGGCTGAGGGGAAGGGCTGTGAGTGAGCGCAGTGCACAGAAGTGAGAGCAGCAGCCATTGTGCACACCGCAGTGAGGAGTGGGGATGCTGCAGCCCAGGATCGGAAGGTGGGGAGGTATGCTGGGGAAGGAGAGCGTGGCAAGGGCGCCACCACTGCTGAGAAAGGCGGTAGGACCAAGAGCTGTTCCAGAGCCTTCTCCAGCCAGTCCCTCCCCTGCTGACCTTCAGCATGTCCACCCTCATGGTGCTGTTGTCTTATACCAGCTGCTCAGCCAGGAGCCTGTGGGCTCTGAGATCCAACCTCTCATGCTGCTAGGTTTTGAGCAGAACTGGCCTATGCTTTCCCCAGAAAGACACAATCGTTTGGTTGTGTGCTTGTCTTGATTGTGTATGAAGAACTCACAGGAGAGATTGTGAACACCAGGGCAGGGCGGCTGTAGACACGTGAGGAGCTCATGAGTATTTTCACAGTCGACTGGAACCCAGGGAGCAAGGTCAGGAGAAGTACCTGAAACTCACAGTCCAGGTCCCTGTCTCACACATGGCCAATGCTCACGCTAGTGACATTCCCATTTGGCCGTTCTAACATCCTTCCTCTTCTCCTTCAGATTCACCCTCCATTGTCCGATCTGTGAGTAGTTCAAAAGGTTACAAATGAGAAAGGGCCAACAAGCCAAGTGCCGACTTTCATTCTTTTCTGGTACGGTGGACCTGCGAGGCATTCGAATTTTTCTTGAACAGTCATTTGTGAAGCAGGCCGCATGCTGTAGGGTCCCAAGCACAAAGGCAAGGTGACACTCGGATGCTGGCTGAGGAGGGGGGAGCTTTTGAAAGGCTTCAGTCAAACCTCTTGGAAGGGACCAAGGAAGGGGCCGCAACTAGGGACTCTGGGTGTTTGTCTGCTCACAGGTGTGCCTGGCTGGGGTTAGGGGTGGGAGAAATATCAGGACAGACAGGGAGTCAGGGAAGATCTGAGTGTTCTAGAAGGTGCTGGTGGTTCGTTGTGACTTCAGACATTGTAGACATGGTAGAGGAATGGGCTAGCAGAGTGGCTCCCCAGCTATTGGTCAAAATCTTGAGGACGACTTTCACTTTTTCTCTTGCTGTGATTGCTATGGATACTGATACTGACGAGGGTGTCTGTGTGCGCACAGCTGATGGTGGATGCTGGTGGTGGATGCTGATGGTTGTCCGTGGCTGGTGAGTGCTGGGCTGCTTAAACACTGGGCTTCAGAGCACCTAGGGAGTTTTGAGCTGGGACAGGCAGAGGTGCCACAGTTCTGGGTTCCAGCTGAAGAGCAAGAGTGCTCAGAGGGACAAGCAGTGGCAGCACTTGCTCTATGTGAGCTGCCAAGGATGTTGAGGTCTGGTATCTGAAGGTGCTGGAGATGCAATAAGATCGTGTGACTGAGACCGGGCTGTGGTGGTACACACCTTTAATCCCAACATTTGGGAGACAGAGGCAGGTGAATCTCTGTGAGACTGAGACCAGCCTGGTCTACAGAGTGAGTTTTAGGACAGCCAAAGTGACACAGAGAAACCCTGTCTCAAAACAAAACAAAACAAAACAAAACAAAAGGCCTTTACTGTGGTCTCAAAGATGCAGGTGCTGGGGCCATTGAGAAAGTAGCTGGGACTCTCCAAAAGCAGCTTGGCTTTTTAGTCTTCCCATTTCTCATTTAGTCTAGAAAGTCAGATTCACCCACCATTGTCCCACCTGTGAGTAGTCACATGGAGGGAAGGAGACTCCAGGGAGGGGCCTACAAGGAGAGAGAGGAGGAAGAGGAAGGAGGTATGACCTCACCTGTCTGGTTCAGGGCCCTGAGCATGGAGATTCCAGTCCAGGAAGGCATGGGAGGACCTGGCATATTCTTGAGCCCTATTGCTTCCTCGACCTCTCTGGTCCTAGTTTCTCTTCATTTTCGAGGCCCCTTGGTGAGAAAGCCCACCAGAGGCCCACAGGCAGCCTTTTGGCTCTCGTCCCCGCAGCAAGCTTGGCTGCCCATTCTAGGATGGAGCCCTCTGCCTCACAGGCCAGAAGCTCGCAGGAGTCATGTGAGAGCCGGTCACTCTGTTTGCACAGCTTGTGCGTATTTGTCCAAATGCTTCACTTCACTCCAGTGTGCTTTACAGTGTTGCCTTGTGGGTAGAGGAATGTGAGGAAGGAGGGGCAGTAGATGGTCCGTGGGACTGAGTAAACTATAGTGTTTGCTTAGCAGGCTTGGTTTCAGGCGCAGGATTCTAGGCCTCAGATAGTGTGTTGATAGAGATGCTAGGACCAGTGGGTATGGTTACCTGGGATACCAAGTTGCAGCAAAGAAGAGGAGGGTGGTCGTGTGCATTTTAATGCTGCCGCCACTGAGTGAGGTAGCTGGAATGAATCCAGAAGTCTCTAGGAGAGCGTGGGACAGTCAGATGCTTGTCAGGGTCACCCCCAGGGCCACACCCATTTAATTAGCCAGGCCCAGGCAGGAGTCGTAGGCCCTGCTGTTGGTCTTTTAAGGTTCTTTCTGGTGTGCTCTTGGGCTGTCTGGGTTTGAGTTGGAAAGTCAGTAATATGAAAGAATTGGCCAGCTCAAGTGATCACACGGCAGCTCCTCTAGAAGTTCGAGCCACAGGGCCCTCATCCTTCAGCAGGTCTCCCATCTGAACGCCCCAACTTTCTCCCACCTCCCACAGCATCTGAAGTAAACCATCTGGAACTCTGATTCTGGCAGACACTTGCAGTGGACCATTCAAGGATACTTACGGCTTGAGCTTTTATAATGGCCAATTCTTGATATGTTGGGGTATTGTACTTTAATAATTTGTGGTTCATTGCGTTATAAAAAGCATCTCTAAGAGCCAATCTGAGGTAGGAAATGTGCGGTCATGGTGACAAAGGTGTGTGGGGTGGGTGTGGGTATATCTAAGAGGTGTGCCCGTGTGTACACAAGGCTCCATTCAGGCTGGGTCATTGCCTGATGGTTTCTGGGGTAGTCCTCCATTCCCATATTCATTCATTCATTCTCTCTCTCTTTCTCCCACTCTCTCTCTACCTGTCTCCCTCCCTCTCTCCCCCCCTCTCCCTCTCTCTCTTCCCCCTCTTTTCCTCTCTCTTTCTCCCTCCCTCACTCTCTCCCTCTCTCCTCCCTCTCTCCCTCACTCACTCTCTCCCTGTCTCCTCCCACTCTCTCTCCCTCTCTCCCCCTCTCTCCCTCTCTCTCTCTTCCCCCCTCTTCCTCTCTCTTTCTCCCTCACTCTCTTCTCTCTCTCTCTCTCTCTCTCTCTCTCTCTCTCTCTCCCTCTCCCTCTCTCTCTCTCCCCCCCCCCTCTCCCCTCCTCGCATTGCATTCAGTTAACTGTTGGGGGTGCATGCCTGCCATGGTGCATATGTGCAAATCAGAAGAAAATTTCAGACTCGGTTCCCTCCTTTTATCACATGGATCCGGGGGATCAAACTCAGGTTGTTAGGTCTGGTGGCAAACACCTTTATCCGCTGAGCCATCTTACCAGCCCTGCTCTGTCTCTTCTTATAGGGGCACTATTCCTACAGTCCCATCAGATCAGGGCTCTCCCTTAGGACTTCATTTACCCTCTAAGGCTCCAGTCTTCAAACAGTCACATCAGGGACCAAGACTTTGATGCATGAATTCTGTATGTCACAGTTCAGTAATGCAGTAGGATCCGCTCAGCAGCTGAGATAAGTGCACCAGTAGCCTGCTGGGAAGAGAGCAAGCGGAATGGTTGGGCTTCTGCCTTTCCTGAAGTCGGAGTCCTTGGCTACTGTTATGTAAACCACTGGTATCTGAGCAATAGCCAAATGTGCTGGTCGTGCCTGTAATCCTTGCCCCAGAAGACTGAGGCAGGAGGATTATCAGTTTCAGGCCAGCCTGGGAAACATGCTGAGACCCTGTCTCGAAATAAGAACAGTCCTAGATATTGCTGCTGTAACAATCTTCCTTAGTATTTTACAAAGTTCATTTACTTGCTTGTTTTGTTTTAGGAACAAGGCCTCATGTATCCCAGGCTGGCCTTGATCTCACAATGTAGCCAGATGACCCTAAATTCCTCATCTTTCCCCCTCTTCACCTCCTGAGTGTTGTGATTACATGTGTGCACTACCATGTCTTGTTTATTCAGTACTGGGAATGGGACCCAGGCTTCGTTCATGCTAGGCAAGCACTCTACCACTGAGCCACATATCCAGCCCCCAAATGCTTTCCAGTGCATATACTTACTTAGCACCCCTGTGGAGTGGATTTTGTACCATTTTATGGGTAAAAAGAGGGGGTACAAGAAATTAAATAAGTAGTCTATTGGTAGATGACAAATTCCTCTGCCCGAGTCTCGTAGAAAGTTCCCAGCTTCAGCTAGGGAACTCTAAGATGTCGTCCCTGCCCCCCCCCCAAAGCTTTTAGTTTCATGGTGTATTTATAAAGCTCTGGAGTTCTGCCGCCTACAAAACCAGGTCGGCAAGCCTGGCTGTGCATCGTAGATACCCTAGAATTTATCTCCTCACAGCAAAAGAGGAGGTGAAAGTATTCTGAGAAGAAGGGGTGTGTGTGTGTGTGTGTGTGTGTATGTGTGTGCGTGTGTGTGCATGCACATGCTCACCGTATAGAGGTCAGAGGTCTTCCTGTCATTCCTTGGGAGCCATCACCTTGTTTATTGAGACAGGGTCTCACTGGAAGGAAGCGGAGCTCACTGATGGCAGACTGACCGACCTCAATTATAAACACCTCATCTGGCTTCTCGCAGGGGTGCTAGGGATTGACCAGGTCCATGTGCTACCATGGCAAGCACTTTACCTACGGACTATCCCCTAGCCCTGAATGTCTTCTAAATGTGGGGATTGATCCAGTTGACAGAATAAATGGGGATCTAATGGTTCCTGTTTGGGGTTCTCACATGTCGAGGTTAAACCTGTCTCATCCTGTGCAGTACAACAGGGTTTGGATCCCTGATCCTGAAGAAGTGTGGAAGTCGGCTGAAATTGCAAAGGACTACAGAGCTGGTGACCGAGTCCTCCGACTCCTGCTAGAGGATGGAACGGTGAGGGTCTCTTCTGCTCACAATACAGAATGACATACGCAGCTGTGACATGGGGACAGAGCCCAGAGGGACAGTGCAGGCAAAGGAGCATAAGACACACCAGCCCCACATCCAGGGAGGCCAGCTCGTGCTGAGGATCTCCTGATGTGTGTGTGCCCTCCTGCTGCCCTGCACCAGCCGCCCATCTAGAAGGGGCTCCGTGTCAGTCACAGATCTGCGTCTCTGCTGTGTTCCGAGTCCTCAGCGAGTTTACTGAAACCCATCAGCCATTTCAGTTCGTGGATCTCACTCAGTAGACACGGGGCAGGCAAGGGACTTGGAGGGAAGTAGTTTGACCCCAAGGCACAATCCAAGTGGCAAGAGGGAGCTAGATCTTGGGGAGAGGTCGGAAGTGTGGAGGAGAGTGGAGAGCTAGGAAGTCAGTCTAGGGTGCACAGATAGTGTAAGGGTCGGGAGGCTGTGCGGAGACAGAGCCTGCAATGGTGGGAATAAAGGCAGCTCAGACTTCAGCCAAGACTCGAGTGGGATGTGCTGCCGTGGAGTTACTGCCAGGGGCCACTCCAGTCTTTTGATGGTACAGCTACTGAAGATTTTGTATCGGCTTTAAGAAGTCACTCCTCTGGGTTCACAGCCAAGGCTGACTTGGTGCTTTTTTTTTTAAAGTTTAACTTTATTTCATGCTCATTGGTATAATGATGTCAGATTCTCTGGAACTGGAGCTACAGACAGCTGCAAGCTGCCATGTGGGGGCTGGGAATTGAACCCCGTCTTCTGGAGGAGCAGTCAGTACTCCTAACCACTGAGCCATCTCACCAGCCCCAACTTTGTGCTTTTAGACTCAAGTGTTAGATGTGGAGCTGGACCAACCATCTGTGCTCCATTGGATCAGGGGTGGTAATCTGGGATTTGCCTATAAACATTAAATGCTGGAATTTACAAAATATGCACAGAGACACCCTGTGCTCCTTCAGGCATCTGGTCCTGGAGAATAGGAATTTCCGGAGATCTCAGAAGTTGCAGAGATGGAAGGGTCATGCTCTGGGGTCAGGTGTACTGCTTGCTGAGTCTGAACCCCGTAATTTCCACACAGAGAAAAGGAGCTGACATCTATTGCTGCCTCAGGCCCTGAAGGCCATACTGTCCTTGGGATAAAAGAGCACAGTCAGGGTGCTGCCCAGGGACCGTCCCTGTGTGTGCATACGGATAAGAAAGCACAGCTGCAGGCCCTGAAGGCCAGGGACCATCCTTGTGTGCACACACAGATAAGAGAGCACAATCGGGCTGTGCTCTGCGGAGGCCCCACTCTCGGTGGCTCCCTGTAGCTCTTCTTGAGTGCCGCAAGGGCCTCTAAGTACCTCCGGCAGCTGACTGGGCATAAACAGGTGGCTGGGCCCAGGGAGGGAAGCCTTGGGACAGCAGCTGTCTGTGCTTTTAGCAGGCTCCAGGGCCCCTGGCCAGGGAGGAAGAGAGAATGGCAAGCAGCCAACGCCTCTTACCTTAACCCTTCTTTATACCTGAAGACAAAGATGGCATTGTGTAGAGAATGTCACCTCTGCCTCTACTTGACAATCTCCTGTTTTCTCCTCCCCCAGAAATAGATCCCTCCCCTCCCCCTGCATGTTACAGCTGATGTCAAAATGAGATTGTCACATTAAAACAGAAAAATCGAAGCATGGAAACTACAGACTCCACGTTAGAGTCTCTTGTTGATAGTGTTCTCAAACACAGCCTGGGATTAGGGCGTGTGCTGGCAGGGCAGACTACACGTAGACCTTGATGAGGGTCAACGGGATCTGGCCCAAGGACTCTTGTTTGGTGTCCTGAACTTCCCCTAGCTTCGCTCCTGGTGCAAAACTGACAAACACACAGGGTCAAGCCCAGTGGATGACGTGAGGTGCTGAGGGAGTTTGACTGCTTTCCCAGCCTGTCTTGTTCAGTGTTCACCTGGCCAGCCATGCCCTTCTCAGCAGGCGGGACTGAAGCATCTACAGAGCACCAGGGATGAAGGCCTAGCATTTACCAGGGCACAGCTGGTCCAGGACCAGGCATCAAGAGCAGAAGCTTGGGAATGGCCAGGCTCCCTCCAGGCCTTCCCCTCTCTGGCCTGAGCGTCCCCCAACAGTAAAACAGGAATGGAGGCATTGGGAGGCTTTTATTACTGGGGGGTCCAGTCTTTCACAGTCTGGATGCCTCTAGGGTCCCGACATCCCCTTCCTCTGCTCAGCAGATGCCTTGGGGAATTCGAGGTTTAGCTCCTACGAAAGAAGGGCCAGACTGAGGAGGTCATTCACCCACAGCTGAGGATGACAGGGATAGCCCTGGTACCGACTGCCCCATACAAGGCCTCCTTCAGACACTTCTCGTCCCCCAATGTGCCAACTGAGGAGACGTTTGGCAGCTTCAAAGCCACGAGGCACCTTAGCCTGGGCTTTCTCAGTGACAGCATCTTCCCCATTGTGCATTCCCACGGCCCCTATGGTGGACACAGGGTGGGGACCGCTGGATACCTGCTCATTGGCTTCTCATCCACCTTCATTACAGCCTCTTCAGCCCTGAGGACCCCTTCACAGAGGCGGGAAGTCAGATGAGGGGGGTGACTTGCCGCAAGACACACAGTCAGACTTGCCATAAGACACACAGTCAGACTTGCCGTTAGACACACAGTCAGACTTGCTCTAGACACACAGTCAGACTTGCTCTAGACACACAGTCAGACTTGCCGTAAGACACACAGTCAGACTTGCCGTAAGACACACAGTCAGACTTGCCGTAAGACACACAGTCAGACTTGCCGTAAGACACACAGTCAGACTTGCCGTAAGACACACAGTCAGACTTGCTCTAGACACACAGTCAGACTTGCTCTAGACACACAGTCAGACTTGCCGTAAGACACACAGTCAGACTTGCCGTAAGACACACAGTCAGACTTGCCGTAAGACACACAGTCAGACTTGCCATAAGACACACAGTCAGACTTGCCGTAAGACACACAGTCAGACTTGCCGTAAGACACACAGTCAGACTTGCCGTAAGACACACAGTCAGACTTGCTATAAGATACAGTCCTTGCTTTGGTCCCAGTTTTTCATTACCCAGAGTCAACTATGAGGGTTATCTGCTTTCTCCTCTACTAAACATTTCTAAGACAGGTGTGGTGACACTCACTTGTAATTCCAGCAGTGCTGAGGCAGGAGAATAGAGGGTTTGAGATCAGCTTGGATTACCTAGTGAGACCTTAACTGCTGAGCCACCTCTCCAGCTCCCACAACTTAAGAGCACCTGCTACTCTTACAGAGGACCCAGGTTGACAGCTCACAACCATTTGTAACTCCAGTTCCAGGGGACCCAACCCCCTCTTGTGACTTCTGCAGACATTGCATAAATGTCATGCATATACACACAAGCAGGCAAAACATTCACCCCAGCACCCTCCCCCCCACACACATAAAAGATCAATTAAAAGTAAAAATAAGCAAAGATTAAACCTTGTACCTTTTGCATAATGAGTTAACTAGAAAACCCCTAAGATAACTCCAGCTAGGAACTCCGAAACCAAACAGACTACTTAAGAGCAATACAGAGAATGCAGCCATCTGTGTAGCAAAACAGTGGGACGACTCCTGGGTGGAGGTGAAAAGCCTGCCGAGCTTGGGGATAGCTGGTTACCCAATAAAGAATTTCAGTTCAGCTTTAAGTTTACCATAAGAACCTACAACCAAAATGTAAGCTTACATTTTAGCCACAAGAGGGACAGCTCTTCAGGAATGGAAACAACCTTTTATTAGTGAATAAATATCAAAGCCCTCAGACCATTGTTGGCCTAAAAGCAGCCACCAATAAAGAAAGCATTAACACTACAACACCTAAATTCCACAAACTATAATAACCTCTTTAAAAGTTGTGGGGTGTTGTTTTGGTTTGGTTTTTGTTGCTTTAGTGTGAGAAACGCATCTGTGGGAGCTGGAAGGAGAAAGGAGACTGTCTAGTGGAAGCGCCCAAGGTCCTCCGTTTCACAGAGTTTAGATCTGTCTTTGTTCACAGGAGCTGGATTACCCGGTTGACCCGGGGTCACTGCCTCCGCTTAGGAACCCAGACATCCTTGTGGGTGAGAATGACCTCACAGCCCTCAGCTACCTCCACGAGCCAGCAGTGCTGCATAACCTCAGAATCCGCTTTGCAGAATCCAAGCTCATCTACACCTACAGCGGTAAGGAGTCTGAACTTGGCCGTCTGCTGAGTGTCCTGGGCGAGCTGGATGCCTTGTTTATGTAGAGTGTGTGTGAAAGAGGCATTTGTGTGGGGAGACTCTCTCATGGGAACGAAGATGGGCTATGATGAAAGCAAACACCATGGGCTTGTGTTTGAGTCTCTCACCAGATCCCACACATTTATTACTGGCCGGGACATTGTTGTTATTATTGCATTTATATTGGGAATTGCAAAAACACAGTTCATTTCCCATGTGTCACCCCATCCAGCCATCAGAACAGACCATAGATGAAGGTGACTTGTGAAATATTAGTTAAAGATATTTTACATTCTTTTATGCTGCGGAATATTTGTTTAATGATGCAAAGGTGTGTTACTTTGTCTGTCTAAAACACCTGATTGGTCTAATAAGAACTGAATGGTCAATAGCAAGGCAGAAGAGGCATAGGCAGGGCTGCCAGGCAGAGAGAATAAATAGGAGGAGAGGGAAGAAGAGGGAGGAGCGAGAACAGGAGGACCCCGGGGCCACACAGCTACACAGCCAGCCACAGAGTAAGAAGGAAAGAAAAGTATATAGAACAAAGAAAGGTAAAGCCCAGGGGCAAATTAAGAAAAGCTGGCTAGAAATAAGCCAAGCTAAGGCCAGGCATTTGTAATAATAAGTCTCTCTGTATATATTTGGGAGCTGGGTGGCAGGCCCCCAAAGAGCAAGAGTTAAAAAAAAAAATGAACTACAGTACTGTCAGGTGACCAAAATTCAGAGCATTCAGTGACTTGACCCAGGTCGAGCAAAGGCTTTAGTAAGTGGCAGGACGGGCCTTCAGGAAGGCATCCAGGGGGACAGTGTCTTTGTCTGTTTTCTTTTGCTGTAATAGAGTATCCGAGACTGGTTACCTACAGAAAGCAGAAGTTGGGCTCATGGCTCTGGAGGCTATAATGCCCAGGAGCATGGTTGCCAGCACCTATGAGCATCTGGTGAGGGTGTCCCAGTGTGAGACAGAGCAGGTGTTCATGCTCCAGCGTCTCGCCCATCGAGGCTGCTGTGGGTCCCCATCCTCGGGACCTCATGATGTTAATGATTCTCTGAAGACCATCTCCAGGTGCTACTCACACGGGAAGGGGGGTTAAGTTTCCGACCCACTGACTTCTGGGAGGACAGCAGCAGATGGGGCAGGACACCAAAAGCAAAAGCCCACCATCCTGACAATGTTTCATAACCTGTTTGTGTAAGCATCAAGAGACAGACATACAAAGAAGTGTATTCAAGCAGGGTCTCTCACCAAGGAGCAGATGGGGTAAACCCCGTGAGAGTCTGGTGACCGTGCCTCTTTCCTCAGGAATCATCTTGGTGGCCATGAATCCTTACAAGCAGCTGCCAATATATGGGGATGCCATCATCCATGCCTACAGTGGACAGAACATGGGTGACATGGACCCACACATCTTTGCTGTCGCAGAGGAGGCCTACAAGCAGATGGCCAGGTAGTGCGCTTCCAGGTTGGCCTTCCTCAGCTCTCCCAGAATCCCCTGCATTGGCTCATCCCTCATAGTGAGACTGTGAGGCTGGGGGTGGGGTGCTTTGCTGGCTAGATGCCTATAATGAACAGCAAGTGACAGTCACAGGGTGGCTGGCCTGTCTAGGGACTTTCTGGTTTATTCTTTGGTGGTAACATGTCCAGCCTCCCAGTTCCCCTGCAGCCTGTTTGGCCGGAGGAGGACTAACTGACTCTGCACTGTAAGGTGCTTACGGTTTTCGGTTTGGTTTTTATCTATTTAAGGAGGCAGAATTCATTGCCAGATAGGCACAGGTTCGAGCCACAGGCTTGGCTTTTAGCCTGATTTCGTCACTTTGCTTTTCACAACCCTGTAGAATTCTGATTTTGCTACTAAACATTTACATAAATCCTCCTGTAACAAGAACACCAGGTTCACATTTCCAGCACCATCTTCATACCCTTGGGACGGCCTGCCAGATTCCGCCTGGCCCCAGAGTGCTGTCTACCTCTGGGGGGTTAAAGGCAGAGCTGGGATTTGGGCCCAGATATTCTTGATTCCCATGACTGCCTTTGTGTGGTTATATTGCCCTTGACTACAGGATATTGGAGAAGAAAAATACCATCCTAACTTTGTTAAATCCTTTACAGAATTTTCACCCATAGTGATCTCCTTAGGTTTTGCCACACTCCTGCAAAGTCCATTGTTCTGCTGTCATTGCCCCCATTCAGCATTAGAAGCTGGGGTGTGGGCTCCACTGTATACCTTGTAATTCTAGGTATAGCAGCTGCATGGTGCTCATTCCTGGACCAGGCTCACTAGTAGGCTCATTATGACAAAGGAAGCCATGACATCAACGAGTCATGTTTCTCTCCCACAGGGAAGCCTGGTGGACCATCTAAGGCTAAATTTCACCTCTTTCAAATCATCAGAGACTGAATGATCCCCCACTCCCCTGTCCCTTGAGTGAGACCCTTAACAACAGGGCCCATCTAGTACCTGGCCATTTCTTCCTTATTCTAAGTCATATGGATCAAGAGGTGGGATTGTCCTCCAGGTGACAAGAGCCCCGCAGAGCAACACTGCTCATGGGGCATACACACATGCCCTGAGAAGGCTGGTAGACCCTTTCTCTCAGGCAGTAGCTCAGCCTCTAACAACGGGGTCATGTTCCCAGGAAGGAGGAAAGGATGGAAGTCTGTACTGCCCCAAGGTTGCTTCCAATCATAGCACACCCTGCCTCTGGAACTTTCTGACTGCCGAAGACCTCCCAGAAACCCCTGAAGTCCAGTCTCATGACCAACATCTGAGGTTACAGTCTGGCCATCAACAGAGTGAGGTCAAGGAAACTGCAGGGCCGTTCCAGGTTGCAGCTTGAATCTGTGTCACAGGAACAAATTAAGATAAAGCAGGTTCATGGTACACTTGGCTTGGTGCTGGACACAGCCCTCTGCCTTTCCTGAGAGACACAGGTCTGGCACCTTTCCAGAGCCTCCCCTCTCTTTTGAGATGAAGTGACAGGGACTCTAGTGTCACCACAGGGTGTGTGGTAGTGTGCCCCAGGTCAACGCCTGTGATGCATGAGTTGCTGTCTCATGCAACTGTAAAACGGATAATTATGCCTTTTGTGATGCGAAACTGAGAACACATGTCCCGAGTCCACCCAGTGTCTACCACAGAGGCAGTGCTAACACCATGCGGTGTTATACCACCATAGTCCTGTGGCTTGAAAGCTTAAGGTATTATTTTTAAAATATCTACATTATATAACAGTGTGTAGGATTATAGAACACATATGTCCCCAAATATATTTTGAATCATTGTTCTTAAAATAACGTCAGTGGGATGTGTAGGAATTGCTAACGGGGATTGAGAGAGCTGTCCTTAGAGCCCCTTGGAAAGCTAGTCTGAGCCTGGCTAATTTCGGGACAGCTCACTCTTCCTCATATAAACATGGCTCTCTGTACCTAAGCTTACGCTTTATAGAAGCAACGTGTTCTATACTGAGAACCGGATTTCCTCCTAGAAGGCTGAACTCCCAGTCCTCAGGGAAGTACAGAACCCCTGATGGATTCTAGGTAAACAGAACTTCACAGGTCCCAGGAAATCCATTCCCCGAGGCAGGAATGTGGCAATTGTGGCCCAAAGTGGGACAGCTTCTGGGAAATCTATCCCTAGTTTCCTGCTTCACACCATGGCTCCTCCCTTGGCTGATTTTGTCCTGACTTCTTTGGTGTTGTGGACCCCAGCCTTATCATTCAAGTGATTGCTGATCTTGGCCTTGGTCTTGGGGACCTCAAGACAAAGGGACAAGGGACATACCAGGAAACAGTGTGTGTTCTCTGTGACCACATATAAGAAAAAGGAAATTCATTAAATATTTAAATCTGTGAGACAGTTCCAGTTTGCCAGACCTTTTTCTAAATTAGGTAGGCAGACAGACAGACAGATAGGGCCTTTCATTTTGTTTTGATTTGTTTTTGTTGTTGTCTGTTTTCTTTTATTTGAGACAAGATCTCCTGTAGCCCAGGTTGGCCGCTAACACCCTATATAGCTGAAGATGACCTTGAACTTGAAATTCTCCTGCTTCTGCTTCCTCAGTACAGCACCCTGCCCTGGTTTATAGGGAGCTGAGGGCCAAACCCAGGGCTTCCTGCACGCTAGGCGAGCGCAGTCCTGGCCGAGCTCCTTCCCCACCCCCTACTCTCTTCTTTTTCAGAGACAGATCTTGCTGTGTTGCCCAGACTGGCCTTGAACTATACCGCCTTCTTAATAGAGAAAGATTAATGTTTCTCAGCATATCTCAGTGCATCTCTCGTGTGTTGGTTTTAGGAACAACAGAAACCAATCCATAATCGTGAGTGGGGAGTCGGGAGCTGGGAAGACTGTGTCTGCCCGCTATGCCATGAGGTACTTTGCCACGGTCAGTAAATCCAGCAGCAACGCCCACGTGGAGGACAAAGTCCTGGCGTCCAACCCCATTACTGAGGTGGGCACTGCACCACTGCAGGAGCTACTGGGGGTTGGAGGCTCGGGTAGGGGGTAGCTCTGTAGCGATAAATCCCTGCCTCTAAAGACCAAAGACGTGAGTGTGCAACGAGCAGAATACAGATTCTGTGGTAAGGTTGGAGGAGGTGAGGTGGAGTGGTGACTGCCACGGTGTGTTCTGCCTACAGCACTGGGCACTCTGTCAGCAGATCCAAATACCCAAGCGTGTGCTGACATCCCGGGGCACTCCACGGTCACATGGCGCTCTCAGTGCTCTCCAGTCAGCAGCATCCGTTCTCCCGAGCAGTTGTTATTCAGTCTAGAGTCTTGGGAGGGGACTGTTTGCGCTTTGGAAGTCTAAAGTGGGTCATAGAGTCCTGACCGCTTACACCTGGGCATATGCTAGCTACGATCGGACTCTGGCTCTTTTCTCCAGTGGGGCAAAGTCACACAGAGCACCCCAGGATGAGCAGACCACCCTGTGAGAGAAGAAAGAGCTAGATTGCACAGGAAGGAACCCCAAGACCAACGCTGTGTACCTTACAAAGTGAGAAGGGGATTGCAGAGAATGGCCCTGGCAGTGCAGCCTGTGACCCCCCCGCCCCGATTCCCACAGAGCCCTCTCCCCATCTTCCAAATCAGAACCTTCAGGGACTTCCACTGCCTGCTTTGTTTAAGCCATTGTGGAGCATTATCCAACATAATGGAAATAAGTAAGACCTGGTCTTTAAGATCAGGGCTCTGTGCTAACAGAAGCATGTCTTTCAATGAAAGAACCTTACCTGGGTGGGGGGAGGGGGCGGGGCCTGAACGAGCCTTAGGTGCACAGCTAGAGGCAAAGACTGGTGCATGGAGACATCGATCACCATCTATGACAGCAACAGGAAGGCAGACCAGAGGAAGGGTCATGTGACCTGCCTAGCGAATGACTGTAGAGCTACTTAAGGTTTGTACCTCCACCAGACTAGAAGCTCCATGAAGGTGGGACCACGTCAGCAAGACATACCTCTTGCTGACCAAGCCTGTGACTCACAGCAGGTACACAGCAGATGTATGAGTTCAGTCCTTGGATGCACATGGTAGAGAACGTTCTCTGGCTTCCACACATGTGTGTGCATGCGCCCACACTCATACACAAAGTAAATTTCCAAGGAATCATGTGGATGTGGGAGGAAACATTCAGTCCACAACAGCAATTAGTTCCCATATCGCAAGTAGAGGAAGACATGGAAAAGGAAGCTAACATTAATGGACATCTATGGAAAGTAGAAATGGATCGCAGAAATGGATCGCAGGACGGTGAAGCCCAGGCCCCTCCACAACCTGACCAGTCTCCGTGCTTGAGATAGCTTTGTCAGTGTACAGCACCCCTGTAATTAGAACCCCTTGTTCTAGGCGGTCGGAAATGCCAAGACTACCCGCAATGACAATAGCAGTCGGTTCGGGAAATACACAGAAATCAGCTTTGATGAGAGAAGTCAGATCATTGGTGCCAACATGAGAACATACCTCCTGGAGAAGTCCAGAGTTGTCTTTCAGGTAAGAATAAAAGTATTAAGTCCCCTGTGCCCAGCTGAAAACACTGCTTACGTGCACAGACTCAGACAACTAGCAAAGCGTGCGACCTGAAAACACGAGTTTGGCACCTTTGCCCTTTGGGTTCTTGATCTGTTCTTTTGTTTTCAAGACAGGGGTTCTCCATATAGCCCTAGCTGTCCCGGAACTTGCTCTGTAGAGCAGGCTGGCCTTAAACTCATAGAGATTCCCCTGCCTCTGCCTCCCGAGTGCTGAGAATTAAAGGAGTGTGCCACCACTGCCCGACTTGTTCTTTTTCTTAAAAGCAAATGTTGATACATTGACGGAATCTTGTGAGTTGTAGAATTGAGAATAAAGGTACTGGTTTTTAACTGGGGAAAAAAAAACTCTTAAAGTTCAAACAGCAAGAGTATCTTTCTCGAACACAAACACTGAAGCAGGCAGAGCTGCCAGCCTGGCTTTGCTGTTGGTGAGAGAGAGGATTAGAGCTGGTAAGAGGGGGCAGGGAGGAAGAAAGGCTTTTCTATGAGTAAAATGGGGGCTGACTGAGAAGCCATTGATAAAGGCACTGCAAGAAAGGCTTTCTATGAGTAAAATGGAGAAACTTCTTAAACACATTGGCCAGAGCAACAGGAAGCCTTGAGCAGCCCAATGGCATCTCAGAAGTTTCTGCTCATAAAAATCACACCGTTCCTTAGTGTGGGATATTTTCATTTAATCATGTTTTCCGGACCATCAGCTTGAAGATCATGCCCCCAGTTCTTACTCAGTGACAGCCAGCTGTGAGCTGGCCATAGGAAGCCGTGTCCATCCCCAGAGAATCAGCCGGCCAGTCTGGCATCTAGGGGCCTCAAGTGAAAACCCTGGCGTCAGTTAAGGGGTTGGTGCATTTGGGACCTTCCCTGACTTTTTTTTTTTTTGTCAGTTAAGGGGTTGGTGCATTTGGGACCTTCCCTGGCATTTTTTGTCAGTTAAGGGATTGGTGCATTTGGGACTTTCCCTGGCGTTTTTTGTCAGCGAAGGGGTTGGTGCATCTGGGACCTTTTCTCTCTCTTGCAGGCAGAAAATGAACGGAATTACCACATCTTTTATCAGCTCTGTGCATGTGCGCAGCAGCCGGAGTTTGAGCATCTTAAGCTAAGTATGTGGTGGGTGGCGGAGGAAAGGGTTCTTCTCTGAAGGCATTTAAATTCTTAGTTTATTAGCACACAATTTAAAAAAATCATTTTCTCTAAAATCATAGGGTGGGCTTTAGGGCTGAAATGAATGCACTAAGAAAATCAGTTGGGCCAGGCGGTGGTGGCACACGCCTTTAATCCCAGCACTCGGGGGGGGGGGGGGGGGGGGGGGGGGCGGCAGAGGAAGGCAGTCTCTGTGAGTTCAAGGCCAACCTGATCTTCCTAGTGAGTTCCAGAACAGCCAGGACTACACAAAAAAACCTGTCTCGAAAAACAAACAAAAAAAAAAAAGGAAGGAAGGAAGGAAGGAAGAAAGAAAGAAGAAAGAAAGAAAATGTGGCACTATACATTGATAGTCTCAACATTCAAAAAGCAGAGGCAGGACGATTACTACACGTTCAAGACTAACCTGGTCTACATAGCAATTTATAGGTTACCTAGGACTACATAATAAAATATTTCTCCACCCCCCCCCCAAAGGAAAGGAAGAATGAAAAGAGAAGGGGCTCAAAATATACATAATATTATTTTTTAATAATTTATTTTTATTTAATGTGCATTGGTGGTTTGCATGCATGCATGTCTGTTTGAGGCTGTCAGAAGCCTTGGAACTGGAGTTACAGACAGGTGTGAGCTGCCATATGGGTGCTGGGAATTGAATCTGGGTTCTCTGGAGGAGCAGCCAGTATATCTCAGTTGAGTGCCCACCGAGCATGCATGGAGCCCCAGGTCCATTCCCCAGCTTAGAGCAGACTGGTGTATATGTCTATAATCCCAGGAGAGGTGGGAGCAGGAGAGTTAGGGATTAAAACAAGGGCTTTACACTCAGTCCCGCTTTTATACCCCTGCTTTGCTGGAAATGCGGGACCCTGAATGAGGCCTTCATCTTCCTGATTCTCGGTTTCTGTTTTTTACAATAGCCTTGTAAAATGCTTGATAGTGCCCATTAACTATGAACTTCCTTTCTTGTTCCTTCCTTCTCCCCACTCCCATCTTTCTCCCTCTCTCGGACAGGATTTTATGATATAGCCCAGGCCAAACCTTGGACTTAGCTTTGGGAAGTGGAGGAAAGCCACCATGCCTGGCCTTTCCTTATTTCCGATAGCCATGTATGTCCAGAATTCTGAGTTGTGGGTAGAATTAATTGTCCTTTCTGTCCCAGGGAGCGCTGAAGAGTTCAACTACACAAGAATGGGAGGGAACACTGTCATTGAAGGTGTGAATGACAGAGCCGACATGGTGGAGACTCAGAAGACCTTCACACTACTGGGTAAGCAACATCATGCTGGCCGAGAAAGTGCACATGCTCGGGGCACGCAAGAACACGGCTGGGGAGCTGGAGAGACGGCTCAGTGGTTAAGAGTACTGGTTGCCCCTCCAGAAGACCCAGGGTTGCTTCCCAACACCCAATTGGCAGCTCACAACCACCTCTAACTCCAGTTCCAAGGAATGAGATTTGCCTTCTGAACTCTGAGGACACAAGGCACTCAAGAGTGAACTTCCGGGCTGGAGAGATGGCTCAACCATTAAAGGATAGGCTCACAACCAAAAATATAAGAGTGCCCTTCCATCCGTGGAGGCCAACACACACACATAAAATACAATTTCAGAATAAAGAACATGATCGGGGGACACTGGCTTGCTTCTATCCGCTGCCAGCCCTACACATAGGCCTAGAGTCATAGACACTGTTCCCAACATTGTAGAGAGAAGCGAAGAACATTAATCTGTCATCTGTTATGGCTGCTAATGGCCAGGGCCACCGCTGGATTGTGAGGTGTCGAAAGCCTCCGCCAGTGACTGGGATGGAATCTGCTGTTTCCAATAAGCTCGCTACTCAGGGCTGCTGCCTGCTGGTTGCTCTTTTCTCAAACTGCTAGGGCACTGCCTTGTCAAACATACAGATATAGATGGTGGCCACCATTTCTGTCATTCTGCAGCCCCTCCCTCCCTTTCCTGCAGAGATCCTTGCTCTGGCTGTTGTTGTGGCCCTTGGTCTCTGCAACAAGCCCACACTTCAGGCTCCAGGGACGGGACCTGGCACACTTACTCCTTGGTGTCTGATGCTGGAGTGACTTTGTCTCAGAAGATTCTGACTTACTGAGGTTTACAGTTCCTTCACTGGCCATGCTAGTGAGGCTGCACGTTTTTGTCTCTGAAAGGCCTGGTCAAAGAGATTTGGTTAAAGATGACAAAAAGCCAGCAGGGTGCTCCAGGCTCTGTCGTTTCCTCTGCTTTTCTCAGCCATTTATGGGTCATCAGCCACCTGCAGGTTTTCCAGGCTCATCTATCATTCAAATCCCAGACCCAGTGAGCAGAAATTCTCTGTATATTTATGGTCTGATATCATTCATCTTTGAAGCAGAGAAGTTTTGTATATTTTACTTTCTTTTTATTTATTCTTTGTGTCTTTCACATCATGCATCTTGGTCCTATTCATCTCCCTGTCCCTTCGTATCTGCCCTCTGCCCCTTCAGTCTCCCCTCAGAATAAAACAAAATAAAATTTAGGAGAATATAGAGAGGGGGAGCAGTGGTGGTGCACGACTTTAATCCCAGCAGAGGCAGGTGGATCTCTGTGAGTTCGAGGCCAGCCTATTCTACAGCTAGTTCCAGGACAGCCAGGACACACACACACACACACACACACACACACACACACACACACAAAAACCTGTCTCAAAAAAAAAAAAGGAAAAGAGAGAAAGAGAAAGAAAGGAAAAAATCTCTTTTTGGAAGCTGTAATGTGATGTAGTGAGTCAGACACACAGCATACACCTTAGTTCATAAATGTTTACTTGCAAGTGTTCATTGCAAAGAGTCATTGGTCTGGTTCGAGGCCTCTGGTCTCTGCATCACCATCAATACCGGGCCCTCATGGGGACTCCTCTTAGATTTCCTGTTGTTGCCCTGTGTCATGGAGATACTGGAGCTTTGGGTCTGCTCAACCTGCCCCTTCACAAGCTCCAGCAGATCAGAGATGGGGTGGATTTAGGATGGGCCAACTCATAGCCTCATTCTGCACCTGAGTAGCAAAGCAGAGAAGATTTGCTGGGTCTTGAGATTGTTTGGGAATCTGACCTCCTTGATGATCCAGACCCCCAGGTTTCTTCCACAGAAAGCTTAGGTGGCATCAGCTGCTCTTCTCTGACACTCAGGGCCTAGTGTTCTGCTGGGAGCAGGGACAGTGCTGGTCTCCATTCTGCTCTCTCCCCAGCATGGACCAGGGTCTTGGACCGTGGTGGGAGGGCCCCAGCCTCTCTCCATGCTCACAGATTGCCACAGACACGCATGGCTGCATCCTGACCAGCACAGCCCACTCTACAACTGGCAGCTAGACTCATGATCCTCCTAGCAGCTGGCTTGGTTTATTTTCGGCACCAGGAAATGAGCCAGTTCCCCCTATGTATATTCCACATGAATCAGTCAGGATCCCAGGGGTATTATATGGCAATGTCAAGACAGGACCAGAGAGGGAGAGTTCATGTCTAAAAGGACCAACACAGAGAATGCAAATGAGGTCTGGGAAGCCACCACGGACAGCAGGGACCTAGGAAGAGTGGCAGAACTGTTCCTTGAATCTACCTGTCCAGACTCAGTGTTGTTCTGTGAGCCTGGAAGGAGACTAAGGGAAACTCAGTGCCAGGCCAGGAACAGAAACCTCTGTGAGGTCACCCAGCCATGCACAGAGCATCCTCCACCAGGCTTTGCTTCTTTTCCCCCTCCTTTTCCTGCTCCTCTTCCTATCCTTCCTCCTCTTCCGTTATCTCCTTCTAAAGCTCTCCCTTAAGCAGGCCCAGCCAGAGACAAGAGCCCTTTGCCTTAATCCACAGTGATTGGTCCATGGGGACTGGGGGCAAATGGAATCCTTCCATTGTTTCACCTTAAGGAGGATTCTGGGAGTTCATGAGCAAAGACAAAAGAAAATCTTTAAAATTAAATGTATAAAATACACCAAAGTCTAGTCTCCTTGGAACCTGACTTAAACGGCTGCTTAGATAGGAGTTGGTTTTGTTTGCATTCCTGTTTTGTTCTGAGGTTTGTTGTCTTTCCTTGAGATGGGGTCTCTAGTAACCCAGTCTGGCCTCAGACTTGCTGTGCAGGATGGTCTTGAACTTCTAATCCTCCTGTCCCTACTCCCTGAATTACAGGACTGTTCCACTACACCTGGTCTATGTGATGCTGGGAATCAAGTCCAGGGCCCCCTGCATGCTAGGCAAAAACACTCTGCCAGCTGAAGTCTACCCTCAGCCACAGATAAACACTGAACTCTCCAGCAGCCCAGGAAAGAGGAAGCCCCACTGGCTACAGCATTCGAATATAGGGGAGGAACTGGGAACAGATTGTCTCTATCCCCGCTTCACACCCCTGCCCCATAACCAGCTCACTTCACACCCCTGCCCCATGACCAGCCCACTTCACACCCCTGCCTCATAACCAGCCCACTTCACACCCCTGCCCCATAACCAGCCCACTTCACACCCCTGTCCCATGACCAGCCCACTTCACACCCCTGCCCCATGACCAGCCCACTTCACACCCCTGCCCCATGACCAGCCCACTTCACACCCCTGCCCCATGACCAGCCCACTTCACACCCCTGTCCCATGACCAGCCCACTTCACACCCCTGCCCCATGACCAGCCCACTTCAAACCCCTGCCCCATGACCAGCCCACTTCACACCCCTGTCCCATGACCAGCCCACCTCACACCCCTGCCCTATGACAAACCTACTTCACACCCCTGTCCCATGACCAGCCCACTTCACACCCCTGTCCCAAGACCAGCCCACTTCACACCCCTGTCCCCATGACAAGCCCACTTCACACCCCTGTCCCATGACAAGCCCACTTCACACCCCTGTCTCAGCTCTTGGACCGGAACTGGAGTGTCTGGGAAGAATCCAGGTGCTGTATTGTGGGCATAGAAGAATGGCAGTGACCTGACAGGGGAAATGATTGCTTTCAGGATTCAAGGAAGATTTTCAGATGGATGTTTTTAAGATTCTCGCTGCCATCCTACATCTGGGTAATGTGCAGGTCACCACCGTGAGCAACGAGAGGTCTTCAGTCAATGTAAGAGTCATGTTTACTTTGCCCTTCCTGGGTGTGAAGGTCAGTGGCACAGCTCACGGTTCGTTTGCCTTCATGGATGAGCACCAGCCGTGGTCAGACCTGCTAGGCAGACTGGTTTAGCAGGAAGAAGGAAGAAAGCTTTCCGGGGTTTATCTTACTCCCTTGGCACAGTGCGTGCGTGTGTGTGTGTGTGTGTGTGTGTGTGTGTGTGCACATGCGTGTGTGTGTGTATGTGTGCGTGCACGCGTGTGTGTGCAACGTGTTCTTTTATTCCACAACCATCTATGAAGCCTACCGTGTGTCAGGATATAAGCTCTGTGAAACAGCATCAACCAAACAAGAAGCCCTGACCTCACGGGAGGGGTGATATGGAGAGAGTAGGGAAGCTACCCTAGGCTGAGGCTAGGCAATGGGTTTCCCTCCTCCTAAAGCCTCTCCCAGTCACTCGGTGACCAGATGATCCCGATGTACTTCTGTCCCTCCTTCACCTCTCACATACACTGTCCCTCCCTCCACCAGTGTCCAGACCTCACGGAGTTTTCCAGTCCTAAATGACTGGGATATTGGAAGAGCTGAATATAATGTGGTTATGGCTCCCAAAGAGCAAACATGGTTCCCACCCAACAAACATGGCCACGCTGAGCTCTGTCGCACCAGGTTTACCATGGAGGCAGGATCTTAGAGAAGAATTCTAAGACTTAAACAAACAAAGGGTTTATTTATTTTTATTTTATGTGTACGAGTGCTTTGCCTGCATGTGTGTCTGCACCCCATGCATGCGTGGTGCCCCAGGAGGCCAGTAGGGTGTCAGATCCCCTGGAACTAGAGTTGCAGACAGTTCTGAGTTGTCCTGTGGGTGTTGGGGCTCAGACTGGATTCCCTGGAAGAGTGACCAGTGCTCTTAACCACTGCACCTTCTCTCCAGCCCCAGTTAAGACTTTGGAAATGCTGAGTCTTATAACTATTGGTCCTGGCTTTTGTGTACATACATGCAACTCGTTTATCTCAGGAGCTTAGGATGTCACACAGACTCTCCTCCTAAGTCAGCAGGCTGCTGCCTCTGTGCCTCCCTTCCCCAGCTCTTCTGACTGACTCTTTTTACTTCAAGGGTTTGGTCCCTTCTTAGACAAGGGCTCTGCCAATCCCTTACCCAGAGATGAGGTCAGGCAAGGCCGGAAGGAAGTGTTGTGTTGGTGTGGTAGCAGTTGGAAGGATGTGGGCGAGGATCGAGGAGGAAGTAGCAGGACCGTTTGGGGCTTAGAATTTTTTTTTTCCACTTTCTGAGCATTTAAAGGGCAGTCTCTATGTGAGGTACTGCCCACTTTGGGAGGAAGGGTGGTGTTCAGTCACATGTAATCACATTCCCTGGCCAAGTGACAAGAGCTAGGGGCAGTGCATGCTGGCTAACAGTAAATAGCATCCCCTGGCCCCTGTCTGCAGGCCAGAAGGCCTCTCTCATGTCCAGACTCAAGAGAAAAAGTCATTTTGTGTATCAGGAGAGTCCCCCACAAGCCCTGGTGTCAGCTGAGACACCAGGTCCATCTGGTGAAAATGTCTAGGCACCTTCCAGGGCAGATCTCCTAGGGGAATCCTGGCCACATTAGGTGGGGTTGGGTTGGTGCACAACCCTCTGTGGACCAGAATGTGACTGGTCAGGGAGGGGACAGCTGTGTCTCTGCAGGTGAAGCAGCCAGGTCTACAGGCATCACCACAGCAGGGGGAGAGTCTGCACAGCCTCCTGCCCTATTCCTGGCTTGCTATCACTCACAAGGCATGGATATCTCACACAGCTCCTCTTCTCGCACAAGGGCCTTGGCTAAATGGGGCAGTGTTCACTTTGCATGGCTGGGTTGCTCTGATGGGGCTTGTGTTTGTGCCTTGAAGGAGGATGACAGTCACCTGAAGGTGTTCTGTGAGCTCTTGGGCCTGGAGACTGGCAAAGTGGCTCAGTGGCTATGCAATAGGAAAATCGTGACTGCCTCGGAGACGGTGGTAAAGCCCATGACCAGGCCTCAGGCCATCAATGCCAGGGACGCACTGGCCAAAAAGATCTACGCTCACCTGTTCGACTTCATCGTAGAGAGAATCAACCAGGCACTGCACTTCTCAGGCAAGCAGCACACTTTTATTGGTGTTTTGGACATTTATGGGTAAGATTCTCTTCTGTGTGTCTGCCTTTCCTCATTTAAATGTCAAATGCCCGTTATTTTTAGGTTGTTTCGTTCAACTTGTTTTGCATGATTTGAAGATGATTTTTTTTTTCTGTGTTGCCTGTAGAGATGATAAGTACAGATCTTGGGTCATGGTGTCCTTTCTGTAGAGTGCATTAAATAAATTACAAACAAGGGCTAGGGAGCTTTCTCAATGGATAAAATGCTTGCTGTACAAACATGCATTCGGATCCCAAGGCCCACGTAAAAGGCCAGGCTCAGTGGAGCCTGGGGAAGGCAGAGGAAGGCCAGCATAGCTGAACTGATGGGATAAAGGCCCTGTCTCAAAAAAAAAAAAAAAAGAGGCTGCGAGCTTAGAGGAAGATTCCTAATATCAACTTCTGCCTTCCCTGTGTGCACATGAATGAGTACATACATACACATACATGAGCACACATGTACAATAAACACTAAAGTAATAATGGCCAGAAAACCTCACTGGGCAATGATTCCTGTGAAAGTGGTTTCTCAAGCCACCTGGAAGCACCCCTATAATCAGAGACTTCGTCCTGCCTGGTCCCACAGCTGTTTCCACAATAACTTGAAGGCTTAATATTAATTATAAATGTTTGCCCAATGACTCAGGCTTATTATTAGCTAGCTCTTACATTTAAATTAACTCATTTATATTACTTTAAGTATTACTATGTGGCCCTGGCATTACTGGTCTGCTGGCATGTTGTTCCTTTGGTGGCTGGATGGCATCTCCCAGACTCTGCTCTTCTCCTGTATCTTTGCTTGAATTTCCTGCCTCGCTCTATTTTGCCTTGCCATAGTTCAAAGCATCTTTATTAATTAACCAATGAGAGCAACACATATTCACAGTGTACAGAAAGATATCCCATAGCATTTCCCCTTTTCTGTCTAATCAAAAAGGAAGATTTTAACTTTAACATAGTAAAATTACATATAACAAAACAGTTATCAAGCAAGAATTATAGTTACAATATTTAGTCTATTTGTATTTGGCAAAATTAAGGAAAATACTCTATCATCTATTTTATCTTTGTGAGTCTAAAGTTTGATATCAAATTTATCTTTTATTATAACTAAGGAAAACTATTATAACTATCTAGTCTTCAATGTCATAAAAGACTCCAAGAAGGAGATAATACTACCTGAGTAAATAGGAAGTGCAAGCAAGCAACTTCCAAAATTCTAGAAATGACAGAAGCAACTGACTGCCTGGACAGTCATTTAAAGTTCTTCTGTAATGTTGGGGCATCCATCTTCAGTCTACAGGCCTAGTGTATCTGGCAGATTTTTGTGAAACAAGAAATTTGAAGGACTCTCACATCTATATTGGCAGAGTTTGTCAGTCGCTTTCCTCAGTATCCTGCAGCATGTCTGGCTCTTTCTTTTGTGAAACAGGGAACTGCAGGACCATCTGGCCTTATTTTGGCAATGTTTAGCCATCATTTTCCTATGTGTCCTGCATGTCCAGTTTATACAGCATATTGTCAAGCAGTCCAAGCAAGTTTCTTGCCCAAATGGCCAGCCTTGCCACATTGAAGGCAAACTCCATAATGAGTTTCTTCGATTCCCATAATGAATTACTCTTTGAAGTAATTAGTGCTGCTAGGAGCAAACATGTCTCATTGTTGAGAAAAGCCTAAGTTCTTAAAACATTTTAAATTCCATATTATGTAGGCCTTTGAAGTGTTTGAAGATTACCTATCTGGTTGAAATAGATTTTTCTAGAGCTAAAAAAGAAAACTAACTATATGACTATAAGTTTGACTATTATAGGTGACAAACTATGAATCTGTATTTTAAATTATATATTATATTTTAAATGACCTGAATAAACATACCTTAAATAAGAGTAGAGATATACATAGAGTATAATAAAATTGACCTTAAATTTATTTCAATAAACCAAAATCCATACCAATGTAAAGTATTTTGAGATTAATAGTTGTTTTTTAGATTAAAGTAGATTCAATAATCTATCCCCCTTTTATCATAATAATCTATCCTTTCCCCCATAATTTCTATATCATATCCCCCTTTCTTCTTTAGAAAGGGATTGACTGTGACCAATAACAATTTATAACCAACCCCTCCTAAATGAAAATAAACATTTATAAAGTAATATTATGGGAATTTGGGTGTAGTTCTCTAGACTACTTTCTGTTGACTGGGGATGCTAATAATCTTATGGGGACTCTAAGAAAATTTGATATAATGGCCAAGTCCTGGGGAGACCAGTTATAATCTTGGTTGATAGATATTATCTGTCAAGGTTCTGGAGGTCACCCTTGATAAAATTTGGTCCATCTTAACCTGGAAACAAATTCTGGTTTTCTTGAACACCCTCTTGTTTTCTGTATAAACAAAAGCCAAACCACTTCTCCATAGCAATGCATCTTTTAAGTCCCATATCATAGATAAATTTTTAAACTTCTGTTTTAAAGTTAAGGCGTTTTTAAAATATTTAGTATTGTATATTTTATTAGTCTCTCTTTTAATCCCATGACTCTCGGTAGCTGTCTCTTGCCTATCAGCCAAAAAAAAAATTCAAAATCAACACAATAATTTATAGGATCCAGACTCTCTGTATATTTGCCATCTTTATGTGGCTTTTTTTAATATTATTTTTGTTGTCTCTTCAAAGACTTTATTTTATTTTTTAAAACTATTTATTTTGATAATTGCCTATACCCATTTTTTTTCTTTCTTAAGCCTATGCATATTTTAAAACACATTGGAACCTGTTTAGAAGTTTTAACATGTGGACTTCATTTACTGCATATCTTTTAGCTTTTTTTGACCATATGAGCAAAAGCTAAATCCACCACACTGCATGCTGCACAGCCCAGAGACACCTCTGTGTACCATGGTGAGAATCCGCCATGCTATCCTCAAGTCTACATGCCATGGCATCTCTGTACCACAGCCTGCAATAGAGGCACAACTAGAAAGCTGTTGTGGCTCTGTTTATGTGTTCTAGAATCCTTTTGTAAGCTTTCTTGGGCCCTATGGTAATTCGAGAGCCTCACATTGGTACACCATTTGTAATGGGAGTCTTTTCATCCTGCCCAGTCCCACAGTCATTTCCAAATAATCACTCAGAGGCTTAATATTAATTATAAATGTTTGACTGATGGCTCAGGCTTATTATTAGCTAGCTCTTACTTTTAAATTAACCCATTTCGATTTATCTAAGTATTTCCATATTGCCATGGTGTTACCAGTCTGCTGGCATGTAGCTATTTTGGTGACTGGATGGTGTCTCCTAGGCTCCACCTTCTTCTCCTGTATCTCTGCTTGGACTTCTCACTTGGCTCTATCCTGCCTTGTCAAAGGTCAAAGCAGCTTTAGTTATCAACCAATGAGAGCAACACATATTCACAGTGTACAGAAAGACCTACCACACCACACCCCCACTTTAGAGATGTAACAACCAAGGCTTGGAAAATTAAACTGTTCATGGTTAGGCCCTTTGGCAGGAGGGTGTGGTCTACTTCCATCCCCTACAGGCCAACAAGTTGCAGAGTCATGTATACTTCTGCAACACCTCTGGGAAATGCAGGTTAGGGCAGGCTGGCATCCTCCCAGTCTGCCTGGCCTCCTGTCTCCTGCCCTCACACACCTACATTCTTGTCCTTCTCTGGGTGATAAGATCTCTGGCTCACCCAACCCCTTCTTCAGTCACTCCACCCCTACTTCAATCACCCCACCCCCTTCTCCCGTTACTCCACCCCTACTGCAGTCGCCCCACCCCTCCTTCAAACAACACGATGTTTGGGTCACTTTGGAGTTTGGTCTCATCCTTCTCTCTGCGCCATCCTGCTTTTCTGAATCCTGGGTCCAGCTCCTTCCGAAAGTGCTTATAGGAAGCAGGGTGCGAACAGCTGCAGAGGGACCCAAGGAGCTTTCCCATTGCTAGAAAGCAGCTGGCTGCTCAGGTCCCAGTTTCTGCCACTCTCTCAGGACCACACCTGACTTCTTGGAGGAACACACTGGAAAATTGGTCCCATGAAAGGCATTGTGGTTTCCACCAACTGGGGGCTTTTCCCCACCCAAAGGGAAGGGCCTGGGCCTTCACACTCCTGCTGCTGCCCACAGAGAGAAAGAGTGGAGGGACAAGGGACAGTGCTCTGTCCTTGAACTTTCACCCAGGTAGAAAGCCAGCTGTTCCTATGCCTGTTACTAAGGGGAGTTACTGTTTAATGTAGATCTTCAGTGACTACTCACGGCTCACAGGCAAAACAAAGCAATAGTTTGAAAACACTAATACACTGCTGGGATAGGCTAGTAAATTATTTACCCTGTCACATCCCAAGAAACATATGAGTAACCAGACAAAAAAATTGAAGATAATTGGAAAGAATTAGTAGCCTGATTTAAAATTCTTACATTGAGGAAAGTAATTGTTGTATTCTCTTGAACTTGTCTTTAAAAATAACAGACGTTTTACTTTAGGAGTACATTTCTTCATTTTTATAAAGATTTATTTTCTTTTTATAATTATGCGTGTATGTGTATCTAGATGTAGGTTGGTGCATGTATGAGTGCTGATGGCCATAGAGTCCAGAAGGGGGTGTCAAATCCCTGGGCATGGAGCTAACAGGCCGTTCTGAGCCACCCAACATGGGTACTGGGGGCTGAACTCTGTTCCCCTGCAAGGACAGTCCATGGTGTTACCTGCGAAGCCATCTTCCTAACCCCTTATTTTATACTTTTATCTAACAAATGAGTTCTTGCAGGCACAGTGTAATGAAAGGTCCTTGCCTTCTGCGACCTCATTTTACCAGTGAAGGAGGTGAGGAAGGAGTCAGGGTGACTTCTGTGAGGAATAAAAGTGTGTGTGTGAGGGGCTGTCTGTGCAGAGATGTATCTGTGGTCTGTGTGTGTCTATGTGTGTGTGTGTGTCTGTCTGTCTGTCTGTGCTGTTATGCTTCTGTGTGTGTGTTTGTCTGTGTGTCTGTGCCATTATGTATCTGTGTGTCTATGTGTATCTGTGTGTCTGTGCAGTTATGTATCTGTGTGTCTGTGTATGTGTTTGTCTGTGTGTATATTTCTGTGTGTTCTGTGTGTCTGTGTGTGTCTCTGTGCATGTGTCTGTGTGTGTGTCTGTGTATGTCTGTGTGTGTCTGTGTATGCATCTGTGTGTGTCTGTGTATGTATCTGTCTGTGTCTGTGTGTGTGTCTGTGTATGTGTCTGTGTATGTGTCTGTGTGTCTGTGCAGTTATGTATCTGTGTATCTGTGTGTTTGTGTGTGTCTGTGTGTCTGTGCAGTTATGTATCTGTGTATCTGTGTGTGTGTGTTTGTCTGTGTGTATGTCTCTGTGTGTCTGTGTGTGTCGCAGAGGGCAAGGAGGGTGGAGGATAGGGACTCAAGCTGCCTTTTCAGCACCATTTGCTGCAGCCCCTTGTACTCTGACCCTCACGTGTAATAAGAAGTCACATTAATCCTCCCGCTGAGGCAGGGTGAGAGCAAAGGGAGGCAGGGCAGGCAAAGGCAGGCGTTATTTCAGGCTTCCTCCCAGCAGGGCGCTCACCTGGCCAGGGGGAGGACTTAGTGTACACCATAGCCAAGTGTCCGCTGCTGCAGCCTCTTGGGATCAGCTCAATGGCCTGGATTCTGGCGTGGCCACAGCTGACAAGAGCTAAGAGAGGCTGTTCCTTAAGACAATCCTGTCTATTACAGGACCTAAGGGGCTGGCTCACTGCTGGGCAGTAACCAGCCAGTCCCCCATCACTTCCTCCTGCCTGGCAGCTCCAAGCTCTTGAGTTTACAACTCCCAGGTAACCCTGGAAACAGCCATTAAAGCCTGAAAACAGTGCAGGGATGTGTGTGGCTTCCTGCTGGACTAGGTTGTTAAGTGACCTCAGAGTTTTGTTCCAGGAACTCTGAAAGCCAGCCTTGGGAAGGCAGGATTATCCTGCCTGTCCCCTGGATGGATGGTTAGAGAAGTGTCCTCCTACTGGAAGCTCAGGCGTCACTGCCTGAGTGATTTCCCATTCTGTAGAACAAGGTCCATAATGCTGACGTCCCTGGTGTATGGATTAGATGATATGTCAAATGTGACAGACTTGACAGGCCTACTACTGTGGTGCCTGGCTTGCGGAAGGTGAGTCATGTACAGTCAGATTCCTTCCAGGGAACAACCAGGGTGGGGAAAGAGTAGTCCGTCAACTGGCTGGCATTTTATTAGGGACCAGTGGCTTTGAAGTAGGTTAAACTTGCCGACAGCATAGCATCTTAAAGCTATCGTTAAACTGCTAAGTTTAACGTTCGGAATCTACTAAACTCTAATGAACATCTAGGTGCGGTGCCTGCTTTCATTTTAATTTGTTCAACCAACTGTGTTTCAGTTTTGAGACCTTTGATGTCAACAGCTTTGAACAGTTCTGCATCAATTACGCTAATGAAAAGCTGCAGCAGCAGTTTAACCTGGTAGGTAGCGCTTTGGCGTCCCGGGGCCAGCGAGGGGCAGTTCTGATGCATGCATGGGCAGCCAGAGAGATGAGTTATACAGGGAGTTCCTGTGCCACTTTGTGGCTGCATCTTGAAACTGCATCCCATCCATCCACCCTCAGCTTCTCTTTTTTGAGCCAGCTTGTGAAGTTTTCCTCCCCATCTGTCACCTGGTTCCTTCATCCTCCAAGAGGAACCTGAGCCGGGTCCCAGGGAAGCCTCCTCGACACCCTGGATGCTACTTTAGGATTTGCACACTGGCTGTGAAGCCAGTGTGCTCCACGGCTGCCTTGCCCTGGCTGAGCTGCTCTAGACTAAGGAGACTGGTTCTGTCCCCAGAGAGCCCCAGTGGCCCACAGCCACAGCAAAAAGGACTGTGTTGGTGGTGGAGACACATGGTGGTCCATGTTTTACTCCTGAAACACCAGGAGTGGTGAATCCACTCAGGCTGGTTTCCATGTGACTGGCAGACTCATGAGAGAGGCTCGATGACCCTATCCCTGGGAAGAGGCTGGCCCGTGTTCCAGGGTCTTCCTGACTACAAGTCAGATCTTCTCTGCGTCTCTCAGGCTTGATCCTGCCCTTCATATATGCTCTTTGATGATATTTAATTTCGATTTATCTTTGGGATCTGCAGCACGTCTTTAAACTCGAGCAAGAAGAGTACATGAAGGAAGACATCCCTTGGACTCTGATAGACTTCTATGACAATCAACCTGTTATCGACCTCATTGAAGCAAAAATGGGCATTTTGGAGTTGCTGGATGAAGAATGCTTGGTAACTTTCAAAGTAGCTGGCTTCATGCACACACCACACAGCAGGCTTCTTGGAGCCATATCTGTAAAGTCGGGACATCTTACCCATTCGGTCGGATGGTAACTCTGAGATACTAATATAGACCCAGAATCCTGGGGCCTAGGACCCCCCCCCCCCCGAACCCTTAGCTCATGCGTGTGCTTGAGTGTGAATGAAAATCAATAAAGACTTGATGCTCCTTGCATGGTGGAGAAGGTTATTGTAAACATGACAGAGAGAACCGCCAGTGGCATCTGGAAGGGTCCAGACTGAACTGGGCCATGGAGGAGAGGTGGGGGGTCAAGAGAGGAGAAAAGAAGAGAGAGTGGGGTGAAGAAGGAGCCAAGGACCGAGAGCCAGGGCACGCAACAAAAATGTCTGGGTTATATAGGAGAAAGCTACTGGGGGAAGGGCAATGAAGCTCAGGAGCTGGAGAGGTTGAGGGTAACGGGCAGGGTCTACCATCCAGGATGACCCTGTCACAGGTACTAGTGAGTAGGACTAAGGGAGACTGGCAGCCAGAGTCCGCTTTGACATGATAAATAAACATCTCAGTTGCCATTTGTCCTGAGTTCAAGACCTACCAGGGTCTCACACACAATCCGTAGGGCAACACCCAGCAAGCAGGCGTCTTTGAAGCCAGTGTCCAGACCGGGCAGGCAGTGACTGACTCCACCCTGTGCTAACTGCTAACAACAGTGACAAAGCTTCCTTCTTCCTGGTTCTCGGGAGTCACTGGGAGAGGGAGCCAAAAGTCAACACCATCTGATTCCAGAGAATCTCTAGGAGTTGTCTTGTTATTTTCCCCCTTGGGGAGGAGCAACCTAAAGGTTGGTCAGCCCAGCGTGTGCCCCAAGAACAGATAATCCCTAGGAGAGTGTGAACGGAGCTTACTTATGACACTTGAGCAGCCATTTCTCCCCAAAGATTTATTAACGTAAAAATAGTGATGCAATATGCTGGTCCAAAAGAAACGGCTAACGGTGGTGCCTGTCAACGTGCCAATCTGTGCCTGGCCTCCAGGCTCCCTCAGTACCTGTGGCTCCTCACAGCTGTCTCCTCCTGTCCTCTGCCCTAAACTTCTTCAGCTCATGTGTTGCCCTTCCCCTCAGCTTCTCGTTCCCACATAACCCTGCCATTTTGCCACACCCTCTTTTGGCCCCCTTACTTGGTCTTCTCCTCTCTCCCCTCTCTCTCTCCTCTCTCTCTCTTTCTCTCTTCTCTCTCCTCTCAGCTCTCTCTCTCTCTCTCTCTCTCTCTCTCTCTCTCTCTCTCTCTCCTCTCATGACCCAGTTCAGTCTGCTGACTATGTTCAGTCGACTCTCTCTCCCTGCTCTGGATTCCTTCAGATGCCTCTGGCTGTACTGTCCCTCAGATCTACCATTAAAAACCCTCACCTCAACCGTATCTTGGATCCCTCATGTTGTCACTTTTTTTTTTTTAATTTTTTAAGACAGGATTTCTCCGTAGCTTTTGGTGCCTGTCCTGGAACTAGCTCTTGTAGACCAGGCTGGCCTTGAACTCACAGAGATCTGCCTGCCTCTGCCTCCCGAGTGCTGGGATTAAAGGCGTGCGCCACCACCGCCCGGCGGTGGTTCCTTCCTGGAATACTTGGTTTCATGACTCTTCCTGAACATTTTCCCCAGTACTGTGCACCAACTCTTGCATGCATCCCGCCGGTGTTCTGGAATGTTCTAGGGTATAGAGGCCAAGGTAGACTCTGAGCATTTGTAAGTACTGGAGTGTTTCCTAATGTGACCTAGAAGTCACTGAGACACAATGGGGGATTGAATTCACTCTGTGTGGGTTGAATTTACCCAGTAGTGTTTAAATGCCAGCATTAAAAACAGGTTTTTCAAGGAGCTTAGCTGAATCTTGGTTCTGGGAGGCAGGAAAACCAAAACCTATTTTCCTTGAGATGGGGTAGGGAAGACACACACCTGGTGCTGCCTTTCCTGTCACTCAGAGTGGAGTCAGGCCTGAGCTGTGAGGGTTCTGTGAGAAGAAGGATAAAATACTGCCGATTCAGCATCACACCCTAAGTCATGCCATGCCCGTTTCCCATCTAAAGGGACACTGGCATAGCCATTGAAATATTGCGATAAATATTTCATATATTACCACGATTGTTATCTGTCCATAATAAAAGATAGATATCTATAAAGATTAAGGTCAAAGGCAGATGAATACTTAGAGCTGCTCAGAGGAAGAAGGGCCTCTGCCTTGGAGGGGCTCCCTGAGGCAGCAGAAAGCCCCCTCCCATCCGCCTCTTTCCTCCCGCTAGCCATTTTCATCTCGTTTCTTTACTAGAATTTGTCTTTGCCTTCTCTTCCAGTTGCCTCATGGAACTGATGAAAACTGGCTTCAAAAGCTGTACAACAATTTTGTCAACAAGAACTCTTTATTCGAAAAGCCTAGAATGTCAAACACATCCTTCATCATCCAGCACTTCGCTGACAAGGTACAGAGACCAGTATGCCGCGTCCAGGACAGGACTTCTCTGGTGTGGCTGGATTCCACTGAGGGGAACTGGGGAGATAAGTTAGTAAGGTGCTCGCCCTACAAGTTCAACCTCCTCCTGAACCCTTTGTCTAAGAGGAAGGAAGGAAGGAAGGAAGGAAGGAAGGAAGGAAGGAAGAAATCAGTCATCATGTGACACATAGTTGTAATTCCATCATCCCTGGGGAATTAGGGACAGATTGATCTCTGGGGCTCGGGGCATCTGGCAGAGTCCATAGCAGAGAGTGAAAGGAACAGACAGGACACGGCCTGGGATAACATCAAGAGAAGGGAGAATAGCAGAAGAGAGCAGTGGAGATAGCAAGAGAGCAAGAGACGGGATAGCAGAGAATAGCTGGGGGAGGGAAGCCGCAAGCTGGAGCAGGAGCAGGCCTGGGGGTGTGGGATGAAGGGGGAAGGGTCAGGATGCTAGCATGTGATTACAAGTACTTGTGAGTAAAGACCGAAGGAGCCTGGAGGCTAACGTGAGCTTTGACATGCTGACAGCTGCCATAGATCAGTAGGGCCATGTGTCCCTTCTGCCAGAAGCAAGGGAAATTGCTCCTTTTAGGGGACAGAACATGTTTCACAAATTCCTGAGGAATGCTGACTTTCGTCTAACCACTAGAAATCCTTCTATAGTCCATACTGAGCTCATTTCTGGATATATGCGCTGCCTGAGACCTTACAAAACACACACACACACACACAAAGGGGGCCTGGAGTGTAACTCAATGCTACAGCATATGCTGGCCTCTGGGGTGACCGGCCTCTCTCTCCACAGGTGGAGTACCAGTGTGAAGGCTTCCTGGAGAAGAACAGAGACACTGTTTATGACATGCTGGTTGAAATCCTCAGAGCAAGCAAGGTCGGCAGGGACCCCAGAGGAGTCGCTGATTCGAGAAGGGGTGGGATTGGAGAGAGAGGGACTGCTGGGTCACAACCGCTTACAGCTGGTTTTTATCTCATTTTTTTTTTCAAGGCTGAATATACACATACCGCTTTTTATGTGTTTTAGAGCTGAGGTAAAGTCCATTTTTATCAGGGCCCGGGGCCAGCCCAGACCTAAATAATTTCTCATACCAGAGTGGAGGTGTGGGAATAATTGAGGCACAATTCACACGGCAATAACAGGAGGGAGTCTCAAGGTTCATTCAAAACCTGAAGATCACCCGCATTTATTATCCAAACAGCTTTTATATCAAAAGGTAAACTGAGGGGGAAGTTCATTAGCATTCTGTTTCCTAGGTAGCAGGGAATGACTTAGGTCATGTCCACAACTATGCCTGCTCTGTCATGTAGACTGAAAAACACTTCTTCCCTAGGTGACCTCCTAAATTACAATAGAAGGAGCAGAATGACATTAGCATGTCCTGACCACTTACTATGGATGGCATCAGGTTGTCTCACTGTCAAAGGCTAGGTGACCACCTTCTGTGTGGAAGGTGCAAATTGTGCCTTGCCAGGTGGCTCAGAATTTTGACTGCCATACCATGTAGGGATATGACCTGTATTAATTCGGCCTCTACACATTTTGTATCTGAAAGCATTGTAGATTGTATACATGTGGTCATCATGCAGATGACAGGAGGAAAACAGCAAACACAGCGGCTTGGGAAAGCACACCTCACATTTGACTCCTTCATTTACACAAAGGGATGGGGAAGGCCCCGTTCTCACTTTTGGGTACAGGACAGTGAATGTGCCTGATGAACAAGTCTTTCCAGGGGCTTCCATAGTCTAGAGGAAGCCAAATCCCTTAGCACAAAAACAAGCAGTGTGAGGTACCCACAGCATTTAAAGAAAACCAAAACAAGGAACTATCAGTCAGTAAAATGCCTGCATCACAAGCATGAGGACTTAGGTTTGATCCCCAGCACTCGGGAGGCAGACAGGCAGATCTCTGGAGCTAGCTGACCAGCCAGAATAGCCAAGTTGGTATTCCCGGTTCAGAGAGAGATCTTGTCCCAAAATATAAGCTGAAGGATGACTGAAGAATGCACCCAACATCACACACACACACACACACACACACACACACACACACACACACACAGAGCAAAAGAAAGAAAATCAAACTAAGTGTGGGGATGGCAGAAGGAAGTGTGGCCCGGGGCAGTAGATCCTCAAATCCATTGCTCTGTGTGATGAACACTATCTCCATATGCGGCCATTTCTTCCCACTCAAACATTTCCTCATAAAACCTTGAGTAGAAGGTATTTTGTAGATAGGCCTTTGATTTCTAATAATATGATCTATATTTATTTCCCTCTTCTAGAAGATCCAATCTACTGTTTAAAATGCTCGAGGCTCTTGACAGTTTCCTAAATGAGCCCAGGCACTTGCGCTGGTGATCATAAACAAATGCTAGCTGGGGACGGCCACACTCACCAGAGTGTCTCCCAGAAGAGCATTCAGTGTTGGCACGGACCGCATCTTGTGACAGAATTAGTCTTAATTTGCGGGTTATTTACTCAGCCCCACGCTTACCCCAGGTCTTGTCTAGAAGAAGCCTTGCAGATACGCAGTGGCTCTTTCTCCCGAGCTAACAGGTGGGGACGCAGAGCAGACTGTGGGCTCCTCAAAAGAGGAGCAAATAGAGAGGAGAGAACAGAGGCAGGACAAAGGCCAGCCTGGGCTATACATTAATAACAAGGTCTAGGTCAGTCTGGGCTATGTAGTTAGACCCTGCCTCAAAACATAAAAGGGTCTGAGAAGCTAACTCAGTAAGTGCTTGCCATACAATAATGAGAACCTGAGTCTGAGCCCCAGAACCCATGTACGAACAGCCGGGGACAGGGTACACACATGTATGTAACCCCAGCGGAGATGGAAATGCGTTTTCTGGTCTTCCCATATCACAATTTGGGTAAGCTCCAAGCCTAAGGTTGTCCTTTGGCTTCCGTACGCATGTCTATCCTTGCATATATGCACCTTCACGCACATAAACACACAATATACAAGAACACATCTACATATAAACATGGATGTAGGAGTGTGGGTTCAGCATTGTAAGCAGGGTGTGGCTGGAAGACACTATCATAGCCTTGATTCTGGGGTAAGGTTTGGGTCTGCAAGAAGGGTGAATGGGCTGAGAAAAGAGTCTAGCCGAGCCAAGGAGCTCAGTAGGGAGAGTAGATGTCTCTTCCGTCAGCTGGAACAATGTGTGCATGCCGACACTTGCACAGCTGTCCCTCTCTCTCAGTCCCAGGAAACAAGCCATGGGTGTCACCAGCAAGGAGGCTCTGCCTAGGGGCAATGGAGCTTTGGCTGTGGAGGTAGCTGGGGCTATCACTCTGGACCCTCTCATTTAGAGGGCCGGTATGATTGTGAATTTGGTCAGTGCTGGTGAGGACTGTTAGTCAACAGTTGGGGACATTAAATCCCTCTCTGTTCCTTACAGTTTCACCTCTGCGCCACCTTTTTCCAAGAAACCCCTGTTGCGTCTTCTCCCTTTGGGGCAATGATCACAGTTAAATCTGCAAAGCAGGTCATCAAGCCAAACAGCAAGCACTTCCGGACCACAGTAGGGAGCAAGGTACACGGGAGCGGGAATGAGGTGGGAGCTGGTTGCCAGTAGGCCCAGACTCTGGGGAGTCAGACACCTGTGGGACCCATAGTCCAGGTCTGGCCACCGACACCAGGCTTCTTCCAATCCATCTGTTAAAGTCCCAACTCCAATTTAAACGCATCCCAGCTCCCTTCCCGACCTGTGCATGGTCATAAGGTTCATTAGTTCTCTGCTGCAGGGAACCTGGTCAGGGTGTATTGGGGGGAAGGTAGTGTACCCAGGTACTCACAGAAGCCAAAACAGGATGTTAGGCCCCGTGGAATTAGAGTTATAGGCATCTGTGAACCACCCAATGGGACTGCTGGGAACCAAACTCGGGTCCTCCAATAGAGCCTCAAGTACTCTTAACTCCGGCCCTAAAATGACCTCTCACTGATCAGCTTCATTTGTCTTGATCTGAGTATTAAATCATCCCAGAGCGACCTCTGACCTCTGGTCCTGCTTTCTAGTTCCGCAGCTCTCTGTCCTTGCTCATGGAGACCCTCAATGCCACCACACCCCACTATGTCCGGTGCATCAAGCCAAATGATTGCAAGTTGCCCTTTGAGTAAGTATTTTTGTCAAGCCCTGCAAAAGCGGCATCCTACCATAACCAATGGCAGCTTAAGGAAGGAAGAGTTCATATGAGCTAAGGGTTCCCCAGGGAGACTCCCCCCCCCAACGGTGAAGGAGGCATGGCAGCAGGCAGCCAGAGCAAGAAGATGAGATATCGTGGCTCTGTTCACACGCAGGGGAGCAGAGAGAGCAACTGGAAATGGGCCAAGGCTATAAACTTTCTAAGTACTCCCCCACCTACGAGCTCCCTCCAGCAAAGCTCCCGCTCGTAAAGATTCCACAACCTTCCCAATCAGGCTACAGCAGGGGACCAAGTGTTCAAAGACCTGAGCCTGTGGCAGCCTTTTCACACTCAAATGACCGTGATTTTGGAATTTGCTGAGATCCCTCATGAACTTTACACTGTTTCTGAGTTCTTTAATGATTCAAACAGTGTTGCCTTTTATATATGTGCTAGCGGGACTTCTCTGGTTAAACCACCTTCAACTCCAGGGCTGAGCAAAGGGGCTGAGTTTGAAATCATTGTCTCGTCAGACACCGGGACCCATGCCCCTCTACTTATATAAGGGGGCATCTGTGCATGTGAAGGAGTGGGGTGAGGGTCAGAGGCACCCTGATATGTAGCATGAGACATCAGATGTGTTCTTAGGAGTCCTGGAGTAAAAGCCCCTAACCAATGACTGTAGATCAGGAAGTCCTTTTTGCCTACTGGAGCTAAAAGAGGGGCCCTTAGAGTGGGCTGTCAGTGGAGGTGCTAAGAGCATCCGCGGGTCCGACAGTGTTAGCCCTATGTCCTAAGTAAGCCACTGTAGGGTGTTTTGTAAAGGGCATTCCTCCATTCAATGCATGCGTCTCTTTTTACCTGGTTGTCACTGAAGTTCAATTCAGGCGTTTTCTCCCACAAGGTGGGGCCTCTCTTTTCCCCCGACCTCCCACAGTCAGAGCTCCTTCCCACACCTACCTACACCCCCAGCTTCTAGACTGTTTCATATCAAGGCTGTTCCAGAACATTCTGTAGATATTTCTGTAGATCTGCAGTGTTGCTGGCACTCTGTGGGTGAGTTGAGGGTGAAGGGGCAACCGGTTTGGACCCTGCTGTCCTGAAGTCCAGGCCTGCCAGCCGACGTGTTCTGGGATGATCAGTGGCTGGAAGGCCTGAACCCATCGTAAAATTGCTTCAAGGTTTGACTCCAAACGAATCGTCCAGCAGCTGCGAGCCTGTGGCGTTTTAGAAACAATTCGCATCAGCGCCCAGAGCTACCCTTCCAGGTAGGTTGTTGTAAGCAAGAGCACAGTGAAGCCATCAAACGGGACCACATCACTGGTAGAAAGATTACTGGGGGAATCAAACTGGTGTATGTGTGCGTGTGTGAGTGTGTGCGTGTGTGAGTGTGTGCGTGTGTGTGTGTGTGTGTGTGTGTGTGTGTGTAGAACAAGACAGTGGGAAAAGTCCTGTCAATTTTATGGCGGCAGGTAGAGGAGAGGTACAGGGGAGGTGGGTGTGGTGGGTATAGCCTAGGGTTAGCATGGGTCTAGCCTGAGGATTAGGGTGGGGACTTTGACCTGTGACAGACTTTTTTGGGTTAAACAGGACCTGGATGCCCTTTGCCAGAGTTGGTTGTCTGTAGAGAACAGATAAAGAAAGCAATGGCTTTTTCCTGACAAACAGAAACCTGCTTCACAAGATTTCTGAGGAAAGCTGTTTAGGTTTTTGTTTACTCAATAGCAGCTTTTCTGTTTACCCAATCAGAGTCTAGGCTGAGCTGGCCTAGGCTGTCATCTGAATGACACCCTAAGACACTGTCAGAGGCCCTGCATTTTTGGGGGGTGCACTTTGGGCCTACCAGTTACCCTCATTCAGGTGTTTGCTGAGAACAGAGTAGCAGTATTGCATTTTGTCAGGTGCATCGTCCTGGAGGAAGGCCGGGGAGAAATCCTCCTCTTTCGTCACTGTGACAGAATGCCCCAGGAGACAAGGGAGGCAGGGTTATTTTGGCTTGTGGTTTCAGAGGTTTTGGTCTGTGGCCATTTGCCTTTGTTGTTTCTGGGCACAGCATCATGGCAAGGGGCACATGTGGACCACAGTGGCTCACCTCACTGTAGACAGGAGGCAGAGAGAGGGACAAGAGGAGGTCAGGGACAAAGCTGTGCCCAGAGTGAGTTACTTCCTCCAAATTAGTCCCATGTCCTTTCTGGTTTCCATGCCCTCCAGTAGACTTCGTCTGTGGGTTAATCCATTATTTGGGCCAGAACTCTCAGGATCTCTTTCGAGAGTCTCACCTCCAAACAATGTGATAAGGACCTAGTCTTCCACACCCGAGCCTTTGGGAAACATGTAATGTTTGAACTGTGGCAAAGGTGCTGTGGGTATCTCAGAAGCACCCAGGACCCCATCTCAGGTGCTGGCGATGGTCCCAGTTGCCTCGTCAGGACAGGAGCTGAGGAGGGCCGGAGGGCCGGATGGCCAGAGGGTTGGTTGAATCCGTACATGTAGAAGGTGCACATGCTGGGAGCTTTTGGCATTGACACAGGGAGGGTCACCAGAGCAGGCTCTACCACCTTCCCCGTGGTGGGGGGGGGGACACAGTCCACTGCATGAAGAGCCTCCTCCATGGTACACCTGCCCAGTTCTCTCTCTAATTTTGCAGGTGGACATACATCGAGTTCTACAGCCGCTACGGCATCCTTATGACCCAGCAGGAGCTGTCCCTCGGCGATAAGAAGGAGGTGTGCAAGATAGCTTTACACAGGTTCATCCAGGTCGGTCTTGCCTGCTGGGATCTCGGGCTCATTCCAACAGCGTGCCTCTCAAATGTGTCCCTTCACATACTAGTAAGACAGCAGCGGCCATGCTCATCATGGCAAGATCCCCTAGGAGCGGACATTGGGGATCCAAACACTGGGTTTCACTGCCATCTCCCTCTGCCTCATCTCTCATGATCCAATATCGTTCTCCGTGGACCTGGGTCACAGGACGTGGTCAGATGAGGCAGTAACCAAGCAGAGTATTAGTGTCACTCAGTGTGACCTGAGGTTATTGCTGAGGTGATGAGTTACGGTGGAAAAGAGATGGCAGGCCACGACAGCCAGGAAATGGGATAGGCCATGAACCCAAAGCCAAGACAGAAAACAATATGCACCTCAAAGCAGAAGTTTCTAGATTGTGAGTCAGGCTTTTCTGCCTTGTGCCAAAGCTATATATACCAATGGTTTGAAAATCTTTGGACTCTCTCAGTGTCAAATATCTTTCCTCTCTTCCAGGATTCTAACCAGTACCAGTTTGGTAGAACCAAAATTTTTTTCAGAGCGGGACAAGTGGCTTATTTAGAGAAACTCCGCTTGGATAAACTGAGGCAGAGTTGTATTGTGATTCAAAAGCATGTGAGGGGCTGGCTGCAGAGGAGGAAGTTCCTGCGAGAGAGACAAGCTGCCCTGACAATCCAGCAGTATTTCCGGGGTCAGCAAACAGTGAGGTAAGTGGATAAGGAAGGTTGGCACTGGGTCATACCAATTACTTCCAGGTCAACAGTGGGGCATGCTGGATCCATAGAGAGCAGCTAGACCATAGGGCGGTTGCTGCTGATGTGCCCAGGAGGAGAGGCAGCTGAGGACAGGAACCTTTCTCTTGCTCCTTGGACACAGGTATGGGTGGGGGGTCCCCACCAGTGACCATGAGCCTGGATAGAAGAAGGACCTGACCTGTGTGCTATCTCTTCCCAGGCAGGATGACTGTTCTTTTTCATATGATCTAATATAGAGATTATCTCATAGTTGTTTTACTTACATTTCTTGGCCATTCCCAAATCCTCCTCCATGGGCTTATATGTTCTGAAGGGAAGAGCCTGTGTTCACCTCCAGACCTTTAGGCTGATGTTAGCAAACTTTCCTGTAAAGAGCCAGTTAGTAACTATTTGAGACTTTAACCGTTCATAACTGTTAGGAAAAAAAAATCTTAAGACAGGTGGCTCTGCTGACACAAAGAAATCCAATTAGGTCAGATCAAACCAAATTAAAATGCCCATCATTTTATTAAATACGGTGCTCTCGGGCAGCCAAGTGCACGGTGGCGAGACAGGAAAGCAGGGAGCACGTGCAAACCTGGAACCGCGTGTTTCTCCTCTGGGAGCCCACTTAAATACCCTGTGGGAGTAGCATGCTGGGATTTGGAGTCCAGACTAATGCAACTCCCAGAGCAGGGGCCTGGGATGGGTGCCAGGGGCTGGGGCTACACTCCAGACTTAATAATGACCTCTGAGGCAACTCCTGCTGTCATAGCCTGAAAGCAGACACATGCATGAGTCTATTATCCGTTGCTGTAAGAAAGGGCCCGAGGCTTGATACTTTAAGGGTTGTTCAGCTTATAATTTTGGAGTACAAATTGTTTTGGCCTCTGATAATGGCCTCCATTTCTGTGACACAGTGTGACAGAGAAAGTAGGCAGAAAGAGCCACGTGGGAAAGGGGCCAAGTTCATGGAGCTCCCTCTGTATAAACCCACTCTATTAAGTGTGGTGCTGTGTCCCCATAATCCCAGCACTCAGGACACTGAGTCAGGAGAACACTGTGGGTTTGAGGCCAGACTCGGCTGCGTTATGAGAACAAGGCCATTCAAGATTTTATAGCAACACCCTGTCTCTCCATAAATAAGGGCTGGAGAGAGATGGTATTTCCTGCAGAGAATAACAATTAAGTTATCCATATGGTATATCCAAGCACCATATGGGAACAGCTGGGCATGGGCACACACCTGTGCATCTGTATCACACAGAAACAAAATAAATTCTAAAATAAAGGGATGAAAACCTACTCCCCTTAGCTCTGACTCATAGTGAGCCATTCAGAGGCCCCTACCTTCTGCCAGGCCACCCCACTCTGGCGGGACTCACTAAAGGGCAGCTACGCCTACAGCAGCTGCTGTCGTCAATGTGTGTAGAGCAGCCGCAGGTGTGTCCATGAGGCTTGATGGTCTCAGCAGATGTGACCCTTTGCTCGTAGTCTGCCAACTCCAGATCGGCAACTCCCAACCCAGCTCTTCATGAATGGATGCATGAGCAAGTGGGGTTTCAGGACACTGTCATCCTCATAGTCTGGATGTGGGCTGTGCACATGTATACGTGTGTGCCTGTGGATTAACTGGCTTGAGGAGATCCCACGTGGCTCCTCCATGACCGAGTGACCCACACTGAGATCAGGGTAGGCACAGGCAGGCCTGAAGTTGCATCAGAATAAACCATAGAGACATACCTGAGCCTCCCCTCACTGAAAGGTGCTGCCCATACTTGTGATTCACGGTGAAGGGTGAAGCTCTGGCCACCCACTCACACTGCCATCTCTTCACCCAAGGAAGGCCATCACTGCCACCGCTTTGAAGGAGGCCTGGGCAGCCATCATCCTCCAGAAGCATTGCCGAGGATACCTGGTCCGCAACCTGTACCAGCTGATCCGCGTGGCCACCATCACCATCCAGGCCTACACCCGCGGCTTCCTGGCCAGGAGGCAGTACCGGAAGGTACGGAGTAGACTCAGGCAGCTGTTCCTCACCGTGCCTTCCTCAGTGCAGGGGTTCTAGGTAGAGAGGCATCCACATTGCCCTGAGTGGTTACCTGAGGGGTTGCTTCAGAAGTCTGGGATGAAGGGGTTAGTGGGTCAGTGATGGGAGACTCCTGCCCTGCACTGTGGATGTCCTGGGCTGACTCTTCAGGTAATGATGGACCTGGAGAAAGAGAAACAGGAGTTCTGGCTGACATCTTACAAGGTTCTTTCTCCAGTTGCTACAGGAACACAAGGCTGTGATCCTTCAGAAGTACGCACGGGCATGGCTGGCCCGGCGTAGATTCCAGAACATCCGCAGGTTTGTGCTCAACATTCAACTGACTTACAGGGTCCAGCGTTTGCAGAAGAAGCTGGAGGATCAGGTAAGTGTGTGTGTGCATGTGTGTATGAGTGTGCACATGTGTGTATGCATGTGCATGTTCATGTGTGTAAATGTACATGTGTGTGCATGTTTGATTACTCTCTGCCTTATTCTTTTTGAAGCAAGGGCTGTCAGTCAAACCCAGAGCTTGCCCACATGGCCAGTGGTACTTACTAGCCAATTTTCTTTGGGAATCTCCTGTTTCTACCTTCTAAGACTAGAGTCACAAGCAAGTCCCCGTGATGGCCTGACATTATTTTTACGGATTCTGGGAACCCAAACTCTAGCACTTTAACTTTGGAGGCAAGCATTTTAATCTTGGGGCCACCTCCCCAGCCCTCTACCGCTGCCTGTCTGTTCTGACCCGTGGAGTGCACCATCTGTGTTGCCCACCCCATGGTCTCCAGAGATACCCAAATTCCCTCTTTAGAAGTCGTTTTTTATCAAATAGTCCTACCTCAGGTCAATGGATGAAAGCACAGCATATGATTTTTGAGGTAAACACAACTTAGCCTCTAGTGTTAAAATTATTGCGGAGTCCCACAAGCAGATGGACCGCCCATGACATGCGTCACCAGCTCAGAAAGACTCCACCTCGCTCAGTTCTTTGGGAAGAGGCTAACAAATGTCACTTGTGGGAAATGCGACTGTGGTAGATAGATGCCACGGTGCTGCGTGAGGCATGAATGCAGCGGCTGCTTCGCTCTGAACAAACCCCTGACGTCTGAGTCTTTCTTCAGAGCAGAGAGAACCATGGACTGGTGGAGAAACTGACCAGCCTGGCCGCTCTGCGGGCTGGTGACCTGGAAAAGATTCAGAAGCTGGAAGCAGAGCTGGAACGAGCGGCCACCCACCGACACAGCTATGAAGAGAAGGGCAGGAGATACAGGGACACAGTGGAGGAGGTCAGAAGGGTCCTGCGTGGGGAGTCCACACTCCCGTCTCTGCAGAGGAGGCAAATGTTGCTCATGCCATAATAAAGCAGGGACTTCACAGCCCTGACAGAGGGAGCCCAGGGGCCTGGACTCTGGGGGGAATCGTGTGCTTAGGGAAGGGACCAGCTGCTCTCCCTGTCCTTTACAAGTGGACACAAGGCCCAAGGGACACTGCTGACTGCTTCCTTCTTCCCTCCGCTCTGTTGCTTGTCCACCTGCATGGGCCCTGGAGGCACCTGTCTCTGACCTGCGCTGCAGAACCTGGGAAAGAGTTTATCTCTGTGGTCGAGTGAGAAATCCCAACATCTTGGATTCATATCTTGACTTTGCTACTGGCTAAAGTACAGCTTGGCCAAGTCACCGATCCTCTGAACTTTAGCTTCCTTGCATTTAAAATAGAAATGACAGAGGGGGGCTAGAAAAAAAATTTAAGGGTAAAGTTTTCCAGGGAAATAATTTAGTCAGTGCCCGCCGTGGGCCCCACACAGGCATGAGCAGATGAATCTAGCATATTCTGCGTCTCTTCCATTACCGTCCATTCTCCTGTGCCTTCCAAAGGCTTGAAGTTCCCACATTCGTAGCCATGGGCACCCTGGGGGTTTCCCTTTGCCCTTTCTGTGACCTAGTACTTGGGGTGCCCACAATGCTGCTGCTGCCCTTTCTGGCTCTGCCTGTCATGGCCATCACCATCACTGGGTCTACACTTACAGCCCTGCAGGCCTCTCTCATCAAGAGAAGCTGAAGTAACAGATTCTGCCCTGCTCCCCTCCCTTCTACACCACAGCAGTATGAACACAGGAAGCCAGTGTGTGTTGTGACCTAAGCAGCTATTACCACAGTTAACTAAGAAGCTGCCCCGGGTACTCAGAGCTCAGGAGAGGCCTGAGACAGTCCTTGGACTTGGGCTTATCTCGCAGGTGTCAGCCGTCAGTCATGGCTGGGGAGGTGGGTGGGACCGGTGTCTGATTTGAAGTCCCCTTGGGCCCCTGATTCTGTGGCCGATGCGGTTGTTACTCTGGCCTAAGCTGAGCAAGCGCATATGATTGAAGAGCACAGGGCTCGTCACAAGGGCCGGTGGCAGAGACTTCACCAAGGTCTCCTCATGTCCCTTCCTTTCACTAGAGGTTGTCGAAGCTGCAGAAGCACAGTGCAGAGCTGGAGTTGCAGAAAGAGCAAGCAGAGCTGACGCTGCAAGAGAAGACCGAGGAGCTGAAAGGTAGCCAGCACTGGGCGTCACTCAGCAGTGTGGGCGTAGCCAGGCCTCCGCTCTGTCCTCGGCCATCACACATCAAGGGGATAAGTGCATTTAGAAGGTGCTCACCTCACCCGTCTGCGCCTCATAGTCAGCAGCCCTAAGGTTTGCCCAAGGACAAGAATGAGAGTGTGTGGTGTGTTGTATGCATGTGCGTACTGTGTTGTGTGTGTGTGTGTGAGAGTGTATGTGAGCGTGTATGTGTGTGTGTGTGTGTGAGTATATGAGAATTTGTGTATGCATGGGAGCATGTAAGAGTATGAATGGGTGAGAGTATAATAGTGTGCAGAAGAATGTGTGTGCAATAGTGTGTGTGCAAGCTTGTGAGAGAGTGCATGTGCAATAGTGTGTGTGCAAGCTTGTGAGAGAGTGCATGTGCAATAGTGTGTGTGCAAGCTTGTGAGAGAGTGCGTGTGCAATAGTGTGTGTGCAAGCTTGTGAGAGAGTGCGTGTGCAATAGTGTGTGTGCAAGCTTGTGAGAGAGTGCGTGTGCAATAGTGTGTGTGCAAGCTTGTGAGAGAGTGCGTGTGCAATAGTTTTGTTGAAGTTAGCTTGAGTCGGGAAAGAACCAGGCTAGCTAAAAGATAAAACAATTATATTTTTATTTATTATAAGGGGAAAACTCACGAAACAGGAGCAAGAAGTCCAAGCTGAGCTGTGCTGCGAGGGAACCACACAGAGAGAGGGCACCTGGGCCGCACACGCCCTTTTTCTCCGGGTCCCAGAAAGCCACACCCTAACTTGGTCCCACCTCTTAAAGATAATTGGTTGGCAAAGATTCCCCATCAGAGTTTGTGGGTGTTGATCAGTGTGTAAGTGTGTGGAGTATGTATGCATTTACAGTGTACTGCTCTGTATGAGTGTGAGGAAGTGTGAGAATAGGAACATGTGTAAGTGTATAAGAGTGTGTAGTAGTGTATGAATGTAAGTGTGGGGACACAAGTGTGGTGAGAGTGAGTGTGGACAAATATGAGTGTGTGTGTTTAAGAGTATCCATGAATGTATGAGTGTATATACAGAGTGTGAGTGGGTGTGTGTGTGTAAGAGTGTGCATTTAAAAGAGTATTCATGAGTGTGTGTATGGAGATGTATGGGTAAGCATGTATTTAAGAGCGTCTGTGAACATATGAGTGTATATAAGTGTAAGCACCTTGTGAGTGGCCTAAGGGACCTTGCACACATTCTGCCCAGCCTGTGGACTAAAGGGCACCAGGCCTAGGGTATGAGGCAGCTGGGGTTCCAGCAAGAAGGCACGCCCTGATTGTGGCCCGGGCCTTGGAGCCCACTGAGTCAGTGAGGAGCAGAGAGGTCGAGAAGTCACCTGGAGCCTGAGCAGGGAGGGGCTCACCCCCCTACACCCCACCCCCTGCACACTTTTTATTACACTGTTTCAAAGGTTTTCTAACTGAAGGTTGCCACAGGAATATTGAAGTTCTAAGAAGTGTAGCGAGGTGGGGGGGGGGGGATTGCCTGTTTGGTACCAGCGGCACATTTGGATGGATACTTTTAACAGAACTGTTGTTTCCCAGCCCCCTCCACTACGTATCTACTTATGAGGGTGCACGTGTCTCCTTGAGTCCCAGCTGAATGAACCCTCCACGGTGATTGGGAAGTGGGAGATAATTCAGACGTTGTCTTGGTGGATTTGTTTCAAAGAGTGTTCTCTGTCCACAGAACAAATGGACAAGCTCACGAGGCAGCTGTTTGATGACGTGCAAAAAGAGGAACAGCAAAGACTGTAAGAGACCCTGGCCTCAAAGTCAGCACCCGCTCACTCAGCTAGCCTCCCTTTCCCTGTCTTTTTCCTTTTCTCTCCCGCACTCCTCTCCCCCTTCCTTCCTTCCTTCCTTCTTCTTCTTCTTCTTCCTTCCTTCCTTCCTTCCTTCCTTCCTTCCTTCCTTCCTTCCTTCCTGGCATGGTCTCGTGTATCACTAGCTGGCCTCAAACCTCCTCCATTAGCCAAGGACCCTCCTGCCTCTCCCTCTCCAGTGCTGGGATTACAACTGTGCACCACCACTGCTGGTTTCTGCATTGCAGGGAATGGAACCTAGGGCCGCGTGCTTACCAGGCAAGCCCTCCACCCGCGGCTACATCCCCATCTGCTCTCTATTTTCTGTTTTGCTTCTCAGCTTGTAACTAGCATAATCCAGATCCAGGTATGCAGGGTGTGAATTTTTTTTTTTGAACAAGTGGGGATTTTAGTCTTGAGGGCCCAATTCTATAATATACAGCCTCAAATGATACCCATGGTCCAGGGTTGTTCATACTCTTCCTGATGATGGACCCTCACTAGTCCCCATGACCTTGGGTTGGACCAGCCCTCTTCCTGTCTCAGTTATAAACCATCTGCTAATTCCCAGAGATTCCAGTCTGGAACCCCCCTTCTCTGATGGAGTCAGAAGTTTCTAGATCTAAGTGGGGGGGGGGGCATGATGGAATGATGGGAAGATGTGGAATATTCTTGTCGTGTTCCTTGGGAGACAAAGTCTCAGGGAAGCCTGGGATGAGGTTCTACTTTGCCGTGCAGTTCGCCGAAAACCATGGCCTCAGTAAAGGAGGTGGGTAAGGAGACTCCCAAAGGCTGAAGAGCCAGCTGCACAGCTGAGCACCCTGCTGTCTGCCTGGGCGAGGCTGTGCTGGCCCCTAAAGTGAGCAGCGCTCTTAGCCCTCCTTGCAGCTCCATTTGGTCCCTGGTCATCTGCCTGCGCATGCTTGGCCCTGTCCCAGCCCTTAGAGGCACAAACCATGACAGACCCAGCAGGTTCAGGCTGCAGGTCTGAGGTTCATTGTACCTCAGGCTCCAGGGTTTTCTTTTTTGTTTGTTTTCTGGTCTCTTGAGAATACTATAGTGGATTGGGTTTTTTTTTGGGGGGGGTTACAAATTTTAAAGATTTGTTAATATCTACAAAAGGAGATAAAACAAAAATCTTTGTGGAGCCACAAAGACTTCCTCAGAGTCTTTTCCTTGGTGCTAACACAGCAAGTTGGTCAAGAGTGTGGCTTGACATCCCAGCAGTAGGAAGCTCCTGGTGGGAGGCTCTGGATGCGAGGTTTCGCAGCATCCCAGCAGCTTAAGGGCTGCAGGAAGTTAACAGAGCTCTTGGAGCTGCCTTAGCTCTCACTGGACCCTGTGGACTAGACAAAGTTAGTCTAGGTCACATGTCTCCTTTCTGTTGTTTTTCTTAGTTCGTCGTCACCTGTTGAATTCAGTGATCCTTTTACAAGGAATTGGGTTTCCACACACTTTGGGGCACCTGGCTTTGCTGAAATATATTCTAAAATTCTTAAAATGGGCTGGACATATGGATCAATAGTTAAGAGTGCTTGCTGAACAACCAGAGTTTGAAGCCCAGCACTCATATAGGCTGGGTGTCCCAAGACACCTACATTTCCAACTCTTTGAGGGGCATGATGCCCTCTTCTGACCTCCATGTGCAAAGGTGCAAACATCAGGGTACACATGTGTGCATGCAATCACAGACATGCAGACACCTGCTTACACACACACACACACACACACACACACACACACACACACGTAAAATAAATCATTTTCAAATTTCTCAGAAACCAAGACCCCTGAATACAGAGGTGGCCTGTATTATGGCCTCTGCTTTTGTTCCTTAGCTGAGAAGCTTGTGGCCAGAATGGTTTTGCTTTCAAAATTTTCCATTGACACAGACTTCACCAAGAGAGTACCCCTCCTTTCATAGTCCCAAATCCTAAATAATTTCGGAGGTGGAAACCTTTCATTAGCACACTGGTGGTGCAGTTTCGGATTTTAGCATTTCTCGTTCAGTTTTGGGAATTTGGGATGCTCAGCCGTATTTGTTGAGGATTAAATAAGACCCCTGGGGAGTCCTGGGAAAGGACTAGAACTTGGCAGAATATGTCAGGTCTTTGCTGAAGGATGGGCACCCCATTCAGAGGACAGCGTGGAACCCAGGGATGACTTTGAGATCACAGCGCCCCAGCACCCAGTGTGACTTGAAGTCCAGCCTCTCTGTCTTGTGCTCCCTGTGATCTTGAGAGAGTTTCTCATACCAGGAGCTCTAAAGCATTGGTTACAGACTATGAGAACAGGATACATGCTAAAACACAGGACCGTGGGCTACTGCAAGGGTGGCATAGGTCTCGACAAGCCTGTCTCCTCCTTTGGCATGGAGGTGTCTCCTCTCTATATTTTCAGAGTACTGTATATTTTGTTCAAAGACTATAAAAACAAATCTAAGTTTATCTTTTCTTCTTTTGCTGTCTAGACTTCTTGAAAAAAGTTTTGAGCTGAAAACGCAGGCCTATGAGAAACAGATAGCGTCTCTGAGAGAAGAAATTAAAGCCCTCAAGGATGAGAGGATGCAGCTCCATCATCAGCTGGAGGAGGGCCGGCTCACCTCTGACAGCCTGAAAGGGGAGGTGGCTCTTCTGACCAAGCAAGCAAAGGTAGGGTGTGCTGGCTTTTAGGTCCTCTGGTGATGCCCTTGATCTGCACAGAGATAGCGGAAAGGTCTCAGATTCGGGGTTCAGTTTGGGGACAGCTCAGGTGGGCTGTCCTTTTTGGTAAGATATTTATTAATATCATTATCGGCATGGTAGGGATTTTGAAGAGAGCCCAGATGAAGCATTGTGTATATGAGGGGGCCTTCGTATGGATTCAGGCAGAATGAGGAGGTTCCTTGCTCTGTGTCTGATATAGCCAGTACTATATGCTGGTAGTCAGGTTATCCTGGATTCCTGGGTGGCAGGGGCAGCAGCAAGGATCCAGTCCTTTAGCTAAGTAAGGTGTGGCCATCCTACAGGAGGTGCTTAGATGCTTGGGAGCATCCTTTGGGGAAGTGAGAATCAGAGTCACAGCGGGCTGCTTGCTTTTCAGAGCAGCTGAGAGGATGAAATAGAAAAGGGCAGGTGCAGGTTGAGTGTGGCCCTAGCAGCTGCTAGCCCAGCCAGAGCATCTCTGTGTTCCCAAGACATCAAACAGCAGGCGTAGCCCTACAGACTGACGGCACACAACACCCCAATGCTCTGTTCCCCCAAGTCCAAGTCCCAGACACTGCGCTGTCTGAAACTGTATTTCATGTTTCTCACAGCTTCTAACACGGCTAGGTTGTAATTATACAGTTATTTAAACAGATTGACTAAAAGAATACTTCCAATTTAAATTATATATTCCGGAAAACCCTTATCACTTATCATTTTATCAATTTAAGAATACCTGTACTAAAGTAAAATTGTTATAATCTTCCACTTTATCAGAAAATTCACGAGTGATGGTCCATACCTGGAGAAGCTGCCCAGTCAATAGAATTCAGGTGTAGTGCACACTCCTGTAATCCCAGCACTGGGGAGATGGAGGCAGGAGAGCCAGGAGGAAGCTCAAGTTCTCCTCAGCAGCACAGGGAGCTAGAGGCCAGAGTAGACGATGAGGCCCTGTCTCCAGAAATTCATTCCAGATCACTGAATACAGTTAATGATGAAGTATTATACATTTTAAATTGTTAAGAGAATAAATTTCAACATTCTCAACTGCAAAAATGGCAGGTTTTTGAGAGAGTTGTGTGTTTGTTATCTTGACTTGATTTTCCACATTGTATTCATAAATCATAACCTTACTTTGTCACCCACAAATATATGTGATTATACTTTGTCAATCTATAATAAAAGTTTAAAAAATGAAATTTACAAGTAGAGCAGGAAAAATCACATAGAAAAATATTTTCATTGTTTAAGCAAGCGTTAAAATACCAGAGCTGGGTTGGAGAGATGGCTCAGAGGGTAAGGGCTCTGGCTGCTCTTCCAGAGGTCCCAAGTTCAGTTCCCAGCAGCCACCTAGTGGCTCACAACCATCTATAATGAGATATGATGCCCTCTTCTGGTATGCAGGCAGAATACTGTATATATAACAAATAAATCTTTAAAAAGTTTTGAAAAAAAATAAATAAAATACCAGCGTTATCTATATTTTACAAAATATATAAATATTCATAGAAATTTAATAAAAAGTTCTTGAGAAAAATAAATTTTAAAAGAACAATAAGTAAGGTGTGAGCTGTGCATGGACAATGAGTCCTTACTAGAAATCGTAATCGTATGCATCCCTACAGACTTGAGGATTTGTTTATCTTGAAACGAGTTCTCAATATGTCACCCTGGCTGTCCGTGAACGCAGGATGCTGCTGCCTCAGCCTCCCAGGTGCTAGTGGTAGCATCCATCTGATCCTTCAGTGCATGCATTGTTTTAGAATGCAGACCTCTGGCAGATGCAGAGTGCAGGAGGAGCAACCTTGCTTTCCAGGGAATGGACCTAGAGCCATGCCCGGCTGCAGCCTGTTCTCAAATGCAAAGCATTTCATTGTGAAGTCAGAAAGCTGTTGAGCTTCTACTAATCACGTAAAACACATGTTAGAAAGCTCTGTGGACAGCCGTGTGTGCTCTGTAAGAGCTTCCCCCGTCAGAACTGTCGGTCTGCGTTGCCTCTGGGTTTCCCAGGAAAACTGTCCGCCTTTTCTATAAGCACCCTGTGCTAACCAGTGCTCTCCTGGCTCCCTTGTCAACTGGCCTCCTGTTGTTGCGATGTGGGGGACTTGGGGAGACTGGATCACATGATCATATTCCTTTGACTTGTCCATTCCAGGAAGTCGATTCTGTGTCTCTTGCGTGTCATACCAACTGGCTAATCCCTTTTTAAAAAAATGATTTATTAATTTTTATTTTATGTGCATTGGTGTTCTTGCCTGAGAGGTATTGGATCCCCTGGAACTGGAGTTACAGACAGTTGTGAGCTGCCATGTGGGGGCTGAGAATTAAACTCAGGTCCTTTGGAAGAGTGGCCAGTGCTCTTGACCTCTGAGCCATCTCTCCAGGTTAACCTTAAATTGGAAGAATTGTGAGCCTGCACTTGGAGTGAGATGCCAGTAGATGTCACTCCGTTCTGATGCCTCTTACTGTCTGGCTTACAAAGACCTTGGCCATCACTGACAAGCTCTGTGTGTCTGAAGATTGCAAGTGAATGCAAACATTACCTGAAATGTGCCAAGAATAGCGAAGGGAGCCAAGGCTTCAGACTGGACGATCGCGGCTTCCAGGCACATGATCCGGAACATGTCGTCACATGATCCGGAACATGTCGTTAAGCCTTCAATTCAGGGTAGATTATCATTTTTCTACCCTATGGGGGCTCAGCTTTTACTCACCTCAAGGACAGTTAGGACCATTAGGAGTCTATGTTTGATCCCCTTCCTCTGTGCAGTCAGGAGTCTCAATACTCAGGACCAGAGTATTCTAGGAGGGCTTTTCACCTCTGCTATCCCTGAGAATGTTTCTATCTAATATTAATAAAAATATTAATAATAATAAATAAATAAATAAATAAATACAAACAAAAACAAACAGTAACAAGACACAGCCCATGGTCTTCCTTGAGCTGAGCCTGTAGTGTGAACAGCAGTGTGCAACCTTTTGACCCGCAGAAATGCTTGTGGGAAACTCTCCCCGAGAGGCCCTCCCAGGGTGCCTAACCTCCACAGTTGCTCCCCCTCTCAGCCTAGCTGAAGAGGAAAGCTTCCTTGGAAGGAAGTCAGCTTTGTCTTCCCCCACCCCCACCTCTTCAGGCTTACTGTTCAGGTTCTAGTACCTGGTCTATCTTAGCTTGCCCCTCACCCACCTCATGGCAAATTTGTAAATCTTTTCTTCCTTTGCAATGGGGAAGCTAATTTCTGCCCCCAAGTCGATGTGGAAACAGTAGCATTTTGAGCAGTTGAGCTGCTTCAGGGCAAGCTCTGAGGCTGTGAGAGCAGGGTACAATTTCAGCTAGGAAATGGCATGGCGGCCGCTGGCTCCATGTGCTCTGTGACAAGTCTGTGTCCTTGTCTGATGGAAAGTGTAACGGCTGTTTTCTCTGCCCTTGGCTTGTTCATGGCTCTGATTTAGACCATCTCTGAGTTTGAGAAGGAGATAGAGCTGCTGCAGGCACAGAAGATAGATGTGGAAAAACACGTGCAGTCACAGAAACGGGAGATGAGAGGTACCAGGGCCGTGGGCTGGTTAGTGGGTAGGTAAGAAGTACTGGGGCGTGGGCTGGTTTGTGGGTAGATAAGAAGTACTGGGGCGTGGGCTGGTTAGTGGGTAGGTAAGAAGTACTGGGTCGTGGGCTGGTTAGTGGGTAGATAAGAAGTACTGGGGCATGGGCTGGTTAGTGGGTAGATAAGAAGTACTGGGGCGTGGGCTGGTTTGTGGGTAGGTAAGAAGTACTGGGTCGTGGGCTGGTTAGTGGGTAGATAAGAAGTACTGGGGCATGGGCTGGTTAGTGGGTAGATAAGAAGTACTGGGGCGTGGGCTGGTTAGTGGGTAGGTAAGAAGTACTGGGTCGTGGGCTGGTTAGTGGGTAGGTAAGAAGTCCTGGGGACGTGGGCTGGTTAGTTGGTAGGTAAGAGGTACAAGAGTATGGACTGGTTAGTGGGTTGGTGAGAGGTACTGGCTCATGGGCTGGCTAGTGGATAGTCTGGACACCTTGCTAGTTGGATACCCAAGACAGTGGTTAGTGTGTTCATAGCCAGCTATTTGGTTATTCAGCTGCAGATTGTAGGAAACCATTCTGGAGAGACACCAGGGAAGAAAGCTATGCTCGACTTTGATTTATGCTGCTCTCACTTTCCTTCCAGATCGGATGTCAGAGGTCACCAAACAGCTTCTGGAGAGCTATGACATAGAAGATGTTAGAAGCAGGTATCAGTCTTACGTCTTCAGACATTTACAAGCATTTACACTGAGTGAAGTGGTAGCGTCTAAGTTTGATCCCTACAACCTATGCTTTTCTTTAAAAAAAAAGGGGGGGGGAGCTAAGCATGGCTTTACATGCTTGTAACCAACCACTGGGGCAGCAGAGACAGAGGATCAGTGGGCTTACTGACCAGATAGTCTAGTTCAATCAGTGAGTGCCAGGTCAGTGAAAAACCCTGCCTAAAAAAAAAATAAAACTGGGGTTGGGAGTTGGAGGGGCTGATGGATGACTCAGTGGTTAAGAGTGCTTGCTGCTCCTGCAGAGGACCAGGGATCAGTTCCTAGTACCAGTGGAAACTCCAGCTCCATGGGGGATGTGATGTCCTCTTCTGGTCTCTACCAGCTTCTGAACACACACATACACACATGCACACATACACACAATCTTTTAGAAAGCAAGGTGAACCGTACTGTAGGAATGACACACACAAACTGTAACCCGTGAGTAGGAGACTGGACATTTGTGCCTTCTTTGTTTTATTTCCCAGGCTCTCTGTGGAGGATCTGGAGCACTTAAATGAGGATGGAGAACTTTGGTTTGCCTATGAAGGACTCAAAAAGGCAACTCGGTGAGGTGTTTGTTCCCTTGGGTTTTTTTTTGTTTTGTTTTGTTTTCTAGTTTTGGTTTTGGTTTTTGGTTTGTTTGTTTGTTTTTCCAGAGACAGTACAATGTTAGGAAGTTCATCTTACCTATATTTGACATGTGAAGTAAATTCTTATGGTAAAATTATCTAATAGCCCCTAGAAAGACTTCTCTGAGAATTCAGCCATTTGCCTAGTAAGAGGACACCTAGTGAGAAAACCTGTAACTTGTTTCCTCAAAACTGGTTACAGGGTTGGGGGATGTAACTCTGTTAGTGGAGTGCTTGCCTGGCCTGCATAAAACTCTGGTTTCCAGCCAGGCAGTGGTGGTGCACACCTTTAATCCCAGCACTTGGGAGGCAGAGGCAGGTGGATCTCTATGAGTCTGAGACCAGCCTGGTCTACAGAGAGAGTTCCAGGACAGTCTCCAAAGCTACACAAAGAAACCTTGTCTCAACCCCCCTTTTCCCTCCCAAAAAAACTCTGTTTCCATCCCTTGCACTGAATAAATGGGGTTTGATGGGCTCATCTGTAACCCCAGCACTTGAAAATCAAGAAGATGGAGAACTCCAAGGTTATCATTAACTACCAAAGATGTTTGGGACTGGCCTGGGCTAGAGACCCTATCTCAAAAAACAAAATCTGTACTGGAGAGATGGGTCAGCAGTTAAGAACATTGACTGCTCTTGCCAAGGGCCCAGGTCCACCAGATTCCCAGCAACCACATGGTAGCTCACAACTGTCTGTAACTCTAGCCCCAAGGGATCTGATGCTCTCTTCTCTCCACAGGCAATGCATACACATGGTATACATGTATACATACATGCAGGCAAGCGCACATAAAGTAAAAGTGTGTGAATGCTTTAAAAGTAAAAGCAAAACATAGTTACATTATATAAGCAGCTACTGTACTGTGGTTGGACTGAGGAAGTTTCTGCGCTTCTTTAAATTAATAAACTTCATTGTCTTGTAGAAGTTTTAGGTCCACAGCAAACTGAGCTGAAAATAGATTTCTCACTGGGCATGATGGTACACACCTTTAATCTCAGCATTAGGGAGACAGAGGTGGTTGGATCTCTGTGAGTTCAAGGCCAGTCTGATCTAGATATGGAGTTTCAGGATACCCAGAGCTACATAGAGGGACCCAAAAGAGAGAGAGCATGAGAGAGAGAAAGAGAAAGAACAGAGGAGTCCTCATTTATACCTCCACTGTCATGTGTGGACTTCCTACTGCCACCAGCTCCTATGACAGCCTGGTGGCACAGCAGGGTCCCCCTCACGTTGTACACTCAGGGAACCCTCACAAGTATATAGCATACATCATCACAACTGTATCACACAGACCAGAGGTTTCAAACTATTTACTGTAAAACCATAACCGAATCACTTCTAAAATGAAATGCCTTTGTCATAAACTGCATGTTAACCACACACACTGTTTTCTAACAGTGGCCAGGCTCCTTTGGTTTCGACTCCTAATTCCCTCCCTGTTTCTGTGAATGCATTGTCAGCATTAGTCCTGAAAGGGAAATGCTGACCCTAGATTTCTCAACTATAGCACGATGTCGCCTCTGTGGTTGGCCCAGCAATGTGGAGACCATGGGCTCATTCCTCTCCCCTTCTTTTAACAGTGTTCTGGAAAGCCATTTCCAGTCTCAGAAGGATTGCTATGAAAAAGAGATTGAAGGTCTGAACTTCAAAGTAGTGCACCTGAGCCAAGAGATCAACCACCTGCAGAAACTGTTCCGAGAAGAGACAGGCATCAATGAAAGTATCCGTCATGAAGTCACCAGGCTGACATCAGAAAACATGGTAGGCCTTGCCATAGGTCTACAGGCTCTCTCTCTCTCTCTTTCACACACACACACAGAGAGAGAAAGAGAGAGAGAGAGAGAGAGAGAGAGAGAGAGAGAGAGAGAGAGAGAATGCTTTCAAGATACAGAAACACATGGTGCTTTTAAGATAGGTTTGTATGTTTGGGCTTCGGCGGCCTGGGTGTCTGTATAAACTTAGAGAACAGACAAACTGTTTGTACCTGGCTGCAGGTGAAGGGATGGACATAAGGCACACACCAAAGGAGAGGGGCTTATGGAGAGCCCTGGACAATTCCAGCTATAGGATGTTCTGTTCCAGGTTGAGATGGTATTGCTAGGCATGGGTACAGTTCAGCACAGGGCAATCTTCCCTTCTCACAGTGACAGTCGTGTGAGAACTGCGCTCTCTGAGCATGCTGGGATTTTTGGAGACCACTGTGTATGTCTTTAGAGGAAAGGGGAGGGGATAGAATGTCAGCAAATCCAGTGCCTCAGCTGATCTTTTACACAGCTGTGTGTTCTACAAGCTGAACGGGAGACGGATGAATGTTCGTTTTGGAGAGTTAAGGTCCAGACTCAAACACTGACTGTTATAATAGTTGCTAACTGTTCTCTGAAGATGATCCCAGACTTCAAGCAGCAGATTTCAGAGCTGGAGAGGCAGAAGCAGGATCTTGAGTCGCGCCTGAAGGAGCAGACCGAGAAGATGGAAGGTAACGGAACCATCCTGGTCCTACTCTTAGAGACACTGGCATCCAGGAAATTCATGGGAAGCCGGCATTGGGGGCATTAAGCTGTGGTCTCCAGGGCCAGGCAGGTAGCACAGGGGTAAAAGGATGGCTTCCTGGAGGGCAAGAAAGTGTGGTATTAAAGGGGCTGCTTCCTTTAAGTTCCATGGGCGTCTGGCACAGTGGGAATGTAGCCCCTGGTTCTGCTATCACTATTTTTAAAGAGAATCTAGAAATCTAGATGTTTATATCAAATGTCCTTCTTAAATAATGCTTTACAAAGCAAGCAAACAAACTAAATCTTGTTCAGACCAAACAAAACCTAATCATCTCTGATTAGATATGGATTAGAGCCTCTGGGAAAATAATGGCAACCCCGAATTAGATCTCAGTGGCTTGGCTGACCATAGCAGTGACAGGCTTCTCATGATAGGAAAACCAGAAGAGTCGTTCAATCACCTAAGTCGAGCCAGAGACGGGGAAGGAGTGTGGAGCAAGTGAGTGTTCTGGTGGGAACTGGGGACGAAGGGCAAGTTATCTGGTGGGAACTGGGGGTGCAGGGCAAGTTATCTGGTGGGAACTGGGGGTGCAGGACAAGTGAGTGTTCTGGTGGGAACTGGGGGTGCAGGACAAGTGAGTGTTCTGGTGGGAACTGGGGGCGCAGGGCAAGTTATCTGGTGGGAACTGGGGGTACAGGGCAAGTTATCTGGTGGGAACTGGGGGTGCAGGACAAGTTATCTGGTGGGAACTGGGGGTGCAGGACAAGTGAGTGTTCTGGTGGGAACTGGGGGTGCAGGACAAGTGAGTGTTCTGGTGGGAACTGGGGGTGCAGAGCAAGTTATCTGGTGGGAACTGGGGGCACAGGGCAAGTTATCTGGTGGGAACTGGGGGTGCAGGGCAAGTTATCTGGTGGGAACTGGGGGCGCAGGGCAAGTTATCTGGTGGGAACTGGGGGTGCAGGACAAGTAAATTTTCTGGTGGGAACTGGGGGTGCAGGACAAGTAAATTTTCTGGTGGGAACTGGGGGCGCAGGGCAAGTGAGTGTTCTGGTGGGAACTAGGGGTGCAGGGCAAGTGAGTGTTCTGGTGGGAACTGGCGGGAGCACCTTCATCTGCGCAGTCATCAACACTAGGGTGGTCACACGATGCCCAGAGCATCTTGTCCCTTCCTCAGGGCAGTGGAAATCAAAGGAAATGAGGGGCCCATAGATAAGATCCAAGAACTGCAGGAGGCCAGCGAGTTCCTGGAGAAGCAACCAGAAGCTGAAGAGGAAGCCAAGCATATTCTCCAACAAGAGGCCTCTCAGCTGTCTTTGGAAAACAGGGTAAGGGGTACGGAAGGTTGGCTCTGTGTGGCAGTGTTGCTGAGCAGGGAACTAAGTGTTCCGCCTGTCGAATAAGGATAACAGCTATAGACGGAAAGGCCTTCTGTGAGGGCACTCTGGGTCCTTATCTAAAGACTGGTGGTTGTGTAATGATAAAACTCAGCGGTGGAGCGCGTGGCGTCCGCAGCACTGCACAGTCCGGACTTGGTAGTGAGCGCATGTAATCCCAGGAGCATCAGGAGCTAAAGGTCGGCCTTGAAGAGGGTTTGAGAACAGCCTGCCATAGACGAGACCCAGTCATAACGGAAAGGGGAAAATAACAGGTAGTCACTTTCAGAAGAACTGGAAGGCTCTCTGCCCTTTGTGAGAGATGTTTCTGGGCAACTAGGACCCTCCTAGTGTTTAAGCCAAACAGCCTCTTCACCCAGAAGAGGAAAGGGAAAGCCGGGGCCAAACCTCAGAAGTCTCTCTGGCGCCCTCTTCTGACGTTCAAAGAGCTCATTTCCCCAGCTCTAATTTTCAGTCTGTATTGGACATTAATTTATTGGTGGGTCCTTCAACAGCAATCATTAATCAAGAAAATTCTCCACAGGCCAACTTGGTGGGGGCATTGTCTGAATTGAGGTTCGCTCCTCCCAGTGACTCTAGATCATGGTACATTAGCAAAAAACTAAACTAACTAGGACTGTGTGTGTGTGTGTGTGTGTGTGTGTGTGTGTGTGAACACAACATGCAGAATCCACCGTGTGGTATTGGGGATTGAGCTCAGAGCATCAGGTGTGAGCCAGCCCAGATGTAGTGTTCACTAGGGGAGCCTTGAAAATATCAGGAACTGGATAATCTGGAAAGCAGCTGCTGTGCAAATCATGTGTGCGAGTGAATTTTATGCAATGTGAACTACAGATCCGTAAAGACATTAACAAAATCAAAGTCAAAGGAGATGCTTCTGAGAAAATTCCTTGTTTCTCTGGGTTTCTGAAGGATCTTGAGGAAGAGTTAGACATGAAGGACAGAGTCATTAAAAAGCTACAGGATCAAGTCAAGACTTTAACCAAGACAATTGAAAAAGGTAGGAGGGGTATGGCCTTATTCTTTGCAGCTTTCGGGGAAGGCACTGTGTTCTGAAGTATGTGATCATGACCATGTTCAAAGTACGCAGAGCCTAAGGGAATGATGCTCAACTGCTCAGGTTTAGGGCCTTGGGCTAGGCTAAAGAGCCTTTAAGGGTATAAAGAAGCTCATTGTACCAGACAGCAAGAACACTCCTGTTGTTTCAAGGAACCCCCTAAAACAAATACGTTATCCCCTTCCTCTGTTTGCTCCTCATTGTCAAGATGAAATTGTGAGTATCCAATTAATCATTTTGAAGGCCGTGGAGAGGAACAGAGAAGACAGACATGACATCCTGACCTCAGCTGAGTGGCAATTGCAGCCTGTCCCCAGGAGGCCCGAGGGAAGGACCACTACCTTTCTTCCCTTAGCTTTGGAGCCCATGTCCATGCCAGTATTCCCCTCTTGCCACGTTCTTCATACTTTCCTTTTTCACGGTCCTCTCTGTCCCATCTTTGCTCGCACAGGCTGTACCTACAGCCACCTTTCTTTTGCTGTGCTCATTCTTTTGAAGACCTCCTTTATTCTTATACTATACTTTTATCTTAAATTTGCAATATCTTCAGGCGCTTTCCTCCTTAGTAATAGATGTTTTGTTTTTGTTTTCAAGACAGGGTTTCTCTGTGTAGTCCTGGCTGTCCTGGAACTCTCTATGTAGACCAGGTTGGCTCCAAACTCAGAGATCCACCTGCCACTGCCTCCCAAGTGCTGGGACTAAAGGTGTGCGCCACCACTGCCCAGCCAGTAAGAGATGTTATGTGCTAATCTGCCTCATGGAAACAAGGGACAGGTCTAGATGTCCTGTCCTTTATGTCGCTACTATTAGAATTTGTAGGTGGATGGATGGGTGGAAGGGTGGATGGGTGGATGGGTGGATGGATGGATGGGTAGATGGGTAGGTGGGTAGATGGGTGGATGGATGGGTGGATGGATGGATGGATGGATGGATGGGTGGATGGATGGATGGATGAATGGATAGATGGATAGATGATGGGTGGATGGATGGATGGATGGGTAGATGGATGGATGGATGGATGGGTGGATGGATGGATGGGTGGATGGGTGGATGGATGGGTGGATGTATTTATCAATGGAGGATGGATGATGATAGATAAAAAGGAGTAGATGAATAAAATAATGAGCTACATTCTCTATATAATGTCTACCAAACCTCATACCTAATCGTCACTTCTTTTCTTAAGTCCTAGATCCATTTTGTCTCTCTCACTACTTCCTTTCAGCTCAACACATCTAAGTCAGGACTCCTTTTGCCTATATCAGTTACCCATTATGATGTAACACATTACCCCAACTTAGCAGACTAACATTGTTACCCTTAAGTATGTGGTTATTTCTCACAGGAGCCATAGAAGACTGCAGCCCCACCCCTGTGGTCAAGATGTGTGTCTCAGCATTTTGTTTCCTGAGTCTTGTACCTTCCCTGTAGATATTATCAGGGCAATGTCTTGGGTTTCTCTCCCTCCCCGCCATACTGGAGATGAAAGAGGCACTCACTGAGATTCATTCAAGTACATCTTTGTCTTTTCAGCAGTGGCCATACTCACAGACAGAGATCACTATAAGGAGAAGTCTGAAGCATCCAACAGCCCCAGCAATAGCTGCAAGCTGTAGCGGTTCATGACCAGGATAGACTTGGACAGTATCCTCACTATGAACCGGAGAGTGTGACTTTCGTGTATGTAGCTGACAATTTGCCTTTGTCTGCAGCCAATGAAGTGCACCTGCCCTCAGGACCCAAGGAGTACCTTGGAATGCTGGAATACAAGAAAGAAGATGAGGCCAAGATCATTCAAAACCTCATTCTTGGTAGTCAAAACCATATCTCTGGGTCATGCTTTCTCTTTGAGAACTTGAATATATCAGTCAGTTTCAAAGTCCTGGACGAGGGCTCTTCTTTATCTCTCTCTTCCTTCATGCTTTCCCCCCTAGCTTGAAGCTTCCCAGCTTCAGTGCTGACCAGGTAGTCCTTGGTTGAGGGAAAGGGCTATGCACTGTGAACTACAGCACCGTATCGCTAGCTTCCGCCTACTCTAGAAGCTGGTGTCAAGCTCCAGGGTTCACTGTCAGTGTCCTCTGGGGAACCAAAACAGTCCTCAGCTGAGAACCACTGTCCCAACCGCCTCCCAAGTCTAATCATAGGGTCAGAATGGAAGACACAACTCCTGGGCCTGGGTCTGGTGGGGCAAATGTGTAATCCAAGCACTTAGGGGCAGAAAGGCAGAAATACTGTGAGACCCAGACCAGCCTGAACTACATAGGAAACCCCATCATACAAAGCCAAGTTCAGTGGTGGGACACTCGTGTTGCATGTCCAAGGACTGAGTTACAGGGAATTGTTGGCTGTCCAGTGTGGGTACTGGGAGTTAAACTCTGCTCTTCTGAAAAAGAAGTGTATGCTCTTGGCTGCAATGCCATCTCTCCATCTTCCCCAAGACCTTTCAAGAAAAAGATGCTGCCTTGATTCCTCTGCTTTGCAATGACCACACACACACACACACACACACACACACACACACACACACAGAGAGAGAGAGAGAGAGAGAGAGAGAGAGAGAGAGAGACTGAGAGAGAGAGACTGAGAGAGAGAGAGCAAGCATCATCAGGCTGTTGATTGCTTTCCAATCACTGCTAACAAAATGCCTGCTGGAAACAACTGGAAGAAAGATTTACCTTGGCATGGCGGGCCCGCTGAGTTCATGGTAGTAAGAGAGTGTGGGGTGAAACCTACTCACAGTACAGCAGCGGGAAACAGACAATGGCAGGGATCAGGGGCCTTCTTTGATGGCCCACCCTTAATGACCTAGTTTTACAGGCTAGGTAACAGCCTCCCCAGATAGCACCACTAGTTGGGAAACAAGTGTTCAAAGCATAAACTTTTAAGATTCAAACCTTAACACAGCCCTACCTGTGTTAACGCCAAGGGACGTCTTCTCTGTAGTTGCCTTAACTCGGCCACTGGAAGCTCCTGTTTTCCTGTCATAAGCTTCCCTGCAAGGCTTTTCTCTTCATCCCTGCTCTGCCTCTCTGACATCTCTCTCTTTAAAAGACTAATCATTTATTTAATGTGTATGAGTGTCTACTTGCATGCATGTATGTATGTATGTGCACCATGAACATTCTTGGTGTTCATGGATAGCAGAAAAGGACATCAGCTCCTGTGGACAGGAGTTAATAGATGGTTGTGAGCCACCACATGAATGCTGGGAGCTGAACCGGATCCTCTGCAAGAGCATCCAGTGCTCTTAACCTCTGAGCCTCTCTCCAGTCCCTCACCTCTGATCTCTCTCTCTCTCTCTCTCTCTCTCTCTCTCTCTCTCTTGTTTTTGTTTTTCAAGACAGGGTTTCTCTGTATAGCTTTGGAGCCTGTCCTGGCATTCACTCTGTAGACCAGGCTGACCTTGAACTCACAGAGATCTGCCTGCCTCTACCTTCTGAGTGCTGGGGTTAAAGGCGTGCACCACCCTCTCTGACATCTCTTACCCTGAGACTAGCTTGATAGCTTGTCTCCTCTGCTGTACTGCTGGCCACTAGTGTCTCCATTGGAGACAGCTTCCTGTGACTTGAGATGGCTCCCATCCTTACCAAAGCGATTGGGGTGAGGTGCCTGGGTTGGGTTCCTTTCTTATGCTGGAGTTCCAATATTTAGAGCCTCCTTGCCAGTGAAAATTACAAATTCTTTCTCCCATCTGGCCTCTTAACAGAGAACAAGCCCTTTACCAATGAGGTGTGGGGTGAGCCAGTGGCCCCTCATGTACTTTCGCTAAGTAAAAGTTGGAGTTTCTCAGATTGAGAGAAGAGACACTATGCTCTCAGGCTCTACCCAAGCACAGAAAGGCCAGGAACCCCACCCCATCCCCTCCTATCATGGGAGGAGTGCTCACCAGCAGCTGGGAGCCACCCCCTCCCACCAGCAGCTGAGAGCAGGTTTCTTTCCCCTACAGACCTGAAGCCCCGAGGTGTGGTAGTGAACATGATTCCCGGGCTGCCAGCTCACATCCTGTTCATGTGTGTGCGGTATGCAGACTCCCTGAATGATGCCGACATGCTCAAGTCCCTTATGAACAATGCCATTAACGGCATCAAGCACGTGGTTAAGGTAAGAGCCGCCTTTGGTGCTGGATCTCGGCATAGTGTCCGATTTGGGAAGGGCTCTGGGAAGTGACCCAGTCTTTGTCTACCCTTGGCCTCTAAGGAAAGACAAATGGCAGAGGTTCTGCCAGTGAGCCTCAAAGACTCTTGGAGAAGCTACAATCTGGTAGCCACCAGCCTCACCCTTCCATCCCCTCTGGTGTATGAGATCTGTGCTCCCAGCCTCACCCCTCCATCCCCTCATGAGTGATGAATCTGTGCTCCCAGCCTCACCCCTCCATCTTCTCATGAGTGATGAATCTGTGCTCCCAGCCTCACCCCTCCATCTTCTCATGAGTGATGAATCTGTGCTCCCAGCCTCACCCCTCCATCCCCTCATGAGTGATGAATCTGTGCTCTCAGCCTCACCCCTCCATCCCCTCATAAGTGATGAATCTGTGCTCCCAGCCTCACCCCTCCATCTTCTCATGAGTGATGAATCTGTGCTCCCAGCCTCACCCCTCCATCTTCTCATGAGTGATGAATCTGTGCTCCCAGCCTCACCCCTCCATCTTCTCATGAGTGATGAATCTGTGCTCCCAGCCTCACCCCTCCATCTTCTCATGAGTGATGAATCTGTGCTCCCAGCCTCACCCCTCCATCTTCTCATGAGTGATGAATCTGTGCTCCCAGCCTCACCCCTCCATCTTCTCATGAGTGATGAATCTGTTCTCCCAGCCTCACCCCTCCGTCTCCTCATGTGTGAGGGATCTGTGCGCCCAACCTCACCCCTCTGTCCCCTCATGAGTGAGGGATCTGTGCCGCACTAGTGTAGCAGTAAGGAAATGGGAAACTGAAAGATTATCCATCTCTTCCAGTGACAAGCATATGAGTCTCCTTCCTAAAACATTATTATTGGCACTGGAGAGATGGCTCAGTGGTTAAGAGCATTGAGGGCTCTTGCAGAGGACCTGAGTTTGATTCCCAGACCCCAAATGGTAGCTATGGTAGCTACAATCCTCCATAACTCCATTTCCAGGGGATCCAATGCCCTCTTTTGACCTCCATGCGCATGGTGCATAGACACACATGCAAATAAAGCACCCATATACATAAAATAAAATTCTAAATGAAAACCTGTTGTCGCTGTTTTTCCTGGTCTAGAAAAGAAGGAGCAGCTGTTCATTAGGTCAGTGACTTTGTAAGGTGCCCCTCCCCCACTCCCGTGCAGTGTGTTGAAGAAGATGGAGTGCGTTCCTGTGCTCCTAGCCTTACTGCCATGATTCATCTGGGCTGAAGGGTGGCTCTGTTCATCCTGCTAGATGTCCCCCCCTAGCTGTGCTCATCAGAACGGTTGTCCGGTCTATGGGTAGGGACCCACATGTGTGTGGCACACAGATGATGGGAGGTTACAGCTAAGCTTGTTTTTAATGTTTGTTTTTGAATTTTTTTTTTTTGAGACAGGGCTCTACTATGTAGCCCAGACTGACCTCATTCTTGGAGATCTACAAGCCTCAGCCTCCCGAGTGCTGGGGTTAAAGGTGTGTGCCTCCGTGCCTTCATTGTCTTCTCTTGTCTAAGGAGCATCTGGAGGATCTGGAGATGCTGTCCTTCTGGCTATCCAACACGTGCCACTTCCTCAACTGCCTGAAGCAGTACAGTGGGGAGGAGGTAAGGACGCGCGTCGGTCCTGCTGATGGCCTCCCGGGACCACCTCACAATCTGGCTCAGGGAGGCCTGCATTGGGAACTCCCTACTCCACTCAGCCTCTGTGCCAGCTAGCTTGCCGGCCTCCTCTTCACCCAGGAGGCTAGTTCGTGTATCACCTGTATGTGCATGGGTGCACTCCGGAGAGTTCAGACCTTGGCTTCAGTGTGAAGCATTGCTTTCCTCGGTTTTCCAGTCAATAGAGGGTGTGATGGTGGTGTTTCCTCCTGATGGGGCCTTGCTGTGGATTTCAGCATGATGACCCAGAATAGAACCTCTGATTTATTTTGCTAACTGTTCTCTCTAGAGGACTCTGATCATTCTCCTATGATCCCTAAGTCGATGACCTCTGCACCCCAACTCTGCTTCCAGGAAGTGATGTCATGAAGGTGTTCTTCAAGCTTCACTGGGCATTTTTCACTGAACTAGAACACAAAGTGGCATTTGGGCTGTTGTTCTCCACATGCAGAGGCCAGAGCAGGACACCGAGTGTCTTTCTCTGTAGCTCTCCGCTTCAGGGGCAGTGCCGTGATGACAGCTGCCACTGACTGAGATTATACAGTAAATTGCTATTTTTTTTGTCATATAAAATAAACTTGAAGAACTCATTTAAAAGCAGACCTTCAGCTTCAAGCTGTAAAAGCTACCCTAAGTGTTGACTATAGCATCCTTAGGAGGGGCAGTATTTCCGTTTCCGTCAGTGTCTACAATGCTCTCATGTTTATGCTCAAATTGCTTGCAGGAATTCATGAAGTATAACAGCCCACAGCAGAATAAGAACTGCTTGAACAATTTTGATCTTACAGAATACAGACAGATTCTGAGTGATGTGGCTATTCGGATTTATTATCAGTTCATCATCGTGATGGAGAACAACATCCAGCCCATAATAGGTAAGAAGAGAATGAATGGCCAAGAGGTACTTACAGCAATATAGAAGCTCTTTGTTTGCTTTGGGACAGAGTCTCCCATAACCCAGGCTGGTCTTGAGCTTGATATGTAATGAAAGTTAAGGCAGGTCTTGAATTCATAATTCTTCTGCCTGTATCTCCTGAGTGCTGGGATTACAGGTATGTGCCACCGTGCCTGGTTTTGCTTAGTACTGAGAATAAAACCAAGACTTCATGCATATTAGGCAAACATTGTATCAAGTGAGCTACAATCCCAGCCCAAGAGACTCTTTAAAATAGAAATTCTGTGTGTGGTGTATATGATTATGAGTAACATAGCTTGGAAAACTAAGAAATGTAATCACCATGTGTCTACCTTTTAATTCTTAGCTTGTTTAAAGTGACTCCGTGTATAGTAGCACACAGTTGCCCATTTTCTTTGGGTAAGGATCCCTTTTCCTGAGGGGAACCCTGTGGAGAACTTACACTATTTATTTGATGTGCTGCTTTAGGTTCTGAGGTCCTCGGGTCCCACTCACATTTGTATGTGCTTTACTCAGCTTTCTAAAATGTAAATACTTCAGGCTTTGGTGGTTCCAGGCTCTGAGCTACTTACTGATCTTTTCCTGTGGGGACCACTGTTTCAAGCCTTCAAGAGATGCTCCTGCCATTCTGTAAGACACGGCTCATGCCCCGGCTTACTATGGTATCCCAATATACTCAGTTTTTTTTAATATTAGTACTTTTTGGTTTGTTTGTTTATTTCTATGCCAAAAGCAACATAAGGACAAGTTTATTTTGGCACACAGTTTAAGAGAACACAGTCCACCAAGGCAAAGGTGGTCCTTGGCTGGACCATGAGACAACTGGCTGTATTGCATCTACAGTGAGGAAATAAAGAGAGATGATAACAGGGCCTCAGGTGACTTTCTCCCTTTTATTTTGGTTCAGGATCCCAGAGTATGATGCCACTGACTACTCTTAGGATGGGTTTTCTCACCTCCATTTACCTAATTCTAGAAAATCCCTCACAGACAGGCCCAGGAGTTTGTCTCCTAAATCTCATCGAGCTGACAGCCAAAATTAACCACTGTGCTCTATCACAACCATAGCCATTGACTATAAATAACAGACAATGAGGTTGAGGATGTGCACCCTCACGTGATCCCTATGTAAAGAGCCTTCCACCCTTCCCGCAGTGCCAGGAATGCTGGAGTATGAGAGCTTGCAGGGCATTTCCGGTCTGAAGCCCACCGGTTTCCGGAAGCGCTCCTCCAGTATCGATGACACAGACGCCTACACCATGACATCCGTCCTGCAGCAGCTGAGCTACTTCTACACCACCATGTGTCAGAATGGCCTGGACCCCGAGCTCGTGAGGCAGGTGGTGAAGCAGCTATTCTACCTGATCGGGGCGGTGACCCTCAACAGCCTCCTCCTGAGGAAGGACATGTGCTCCTGCAGGAAAGGGATGCAGATCAGGTAAAGTCCCATGCCGCACCTCCCGAAGGATGCAAATCAGGTACAACCTCCTGGAGAGGCCAGCTGGAAGGAATGCTCCCAAAGGCCAGTTCATTGGTGCTGGACCCTCACTGCTGTCCCCTGGACATGTGCAAGGCCCCTGAGCCTCCTGAGTGTTGGTTGGCTTGCTGGTGGCTCCACACCAACCCTCTCATACTCTACCACCAGCTTGATGCTCTGGCCTGTGAGAATGGCACTTGTGTTGTAGATTCTGATTTTCCAAGGTTATTCCACCAGTCACCTGCTCGGTGACTACCCCAGTCAGGTAGAGAGCCTGGCGCCATGTTGAGAGGCTCACAAGCAGGTGGTAAGGGGATGCTCAGGGATAAATGAGACGGAGGACAAATAGATTCACTGAGGAAACAAGAGAGAAGAGTGTTGAGTGACGAGGTTGAGAAAGAGGAACATTCAAACGGGAGATGTTTGAAGAAGATTCAAACTAAAGCAAAGGCGTGGTCTGTATCCGGATCTGCCTGGAGTAAGCAGCAGCCATCTGTTTGGCAGAACCCTGTAGGACTGCCATGGAGAGGCGGGTCAGATCTGGACCAGGAGTGTCCCAAATGCACTGAAAGCATTTGGAGTTTGTCTTGAAGACAGAACACAGTTTTAAGGATCATAGATCCTACCTTAAATTGAGGCGCCATGGAGCCTGTGATTAGGAAACACACAGCGCAGGAGAGATGTTTAAGATATGTATGTGTGTTGAGGTGATTGACACCTGTGTGCTGTGAGGGACTGGGGAGGTGACCACAGGTGGGTGCTGTGTCCTGCAAAGAATCCATCATGTCTTCTTAGCACTCATGAAAGTTGGAGTTGGATTTCCCATAAACCACATGGACACAATCCCATGGTGCCATATTGTAATTTTTAGATACAAAGGGGTACTCAAAGGGACCGGCCTTTGTAGATATTTTACTCTTCGTTGAGAAAGGGGAAAAGCTCTTACCATGTTTCACATAGGTAGATGGCTGTGAGCCTGAACAAGCTTCTACCGAAAGACAAGGCAGAGGGGCTGGGAATGTGGCTGAGCTGGTTGAGTGGTGGCCTAGCATATACAAAGCCCCAGGTTCCTTTCCAGCACCGCATAAACCTTGTGCACACCTGTGACTCTACACTTGCTGGTCGCCTTTCAGTTGCTTTAGTTTAATTCCATTGCGGTCATAGATCAGGCTTTGTTGGTTAAATGCCTAGGAACAGGAATTTGAATGATGATTCCTGGGGACTAAGGGAATGGCTTACAGCACTAGAGATCCGGGTGAAGTGGTCCTCTTGTCATTATGTAACGTCCTGGTTATCCTTTCCCAGTAATTTTCTTTTCTTTGAAGTCTTCTTTAAAATGATTTATATTATTTATTTGATTAGTATTTTCATAGAATATCTTTTTCTATCCATTTCTTTTAACATGCCTATATCATATTTGAGGTTTCTTGTAGTTAGCACACGCAAATGTTTTGGTGTTTGTAAGACTTGGTTTTTAAATTATATCTATGGGGTAAGCGTATGTACCTGTGAGTGCAGTACTCACAGAAGCCAGAAGAGGGCATCAGATTCCTCTAGAGTAGTGTTTCTCAACATGTGGGTCTCGACCCTTTGAGTCACATATCAGATATCCTGCATATCAGATATTTACATTATGATTCATGACCATAGAAAAATCACAGTTACAAAGTACCTTTATGTTGGGGTCACCGCAACATGAGGAACTGCATTAAATGTCGTAGCGTTAGAACAGTCGAGAACGGCTGCTCTAGAGCTGGAGTTACAGGCAATTGTGAGCTGCCTGGTGTTGTAGTAATAGGAGCGGCGGGGCTGCGTCCCCAGCACCCCGGCTGCCCACATGGCTAGCTTATGCTCCGAAATAACAACACACAAACTGTATTCGTTTAAACACTGCTTGGCCCTTTAGCTCTAGCCCTTACAGGCTAATTCTCACATCCCGATCAACCCATCTCTAATAATCTGTGAGCACCGGTCTTACCGGGAAAGATTCAGCATGTCTAACCTGGCAGCCTGCTTCATCGCGTGCGTCTGCCCGGGAGAGCGGAGCATGGCATCTCTCCTGAGGCATCTGCTCCCAAGAGGAGAGCTGTGGAATCTGAGCTCACTTCCTCTTCCTCCCAGCGTTCTGTTCTGTTTACTCCTCCCACCTATCTTCTAACCAATGAGGGCCAAGCAGTTTCTTTTTATTTAACCAATGACCTTCCTCCATCATGGTGTGGATGCTGGAAACCAAACATGGATTTTTCTGTAGAAGTGGTGATCACTCTTAACTGCTGAGCTGTTTCTCCAGCCCTGGTCATGTTTTCTTTTTTAATCCAGTCTGACCCTGTGTGCTCCTTAATTGAGAAATTTAGACTACCTTAATTTAATGTAATTCATGATATATTTAGTTCTATCTGCCGTGTTATTTTCTTCCTTACAATTTATTTTTATTGTTTTTTTTTAAATTACATGTATGTGTGTGTGTCTGTGTTGAGGTACATATATGAAAGTGTAGTGCCCACAGAGATCAGAGGCAATGATGTCCCCAGAGTTGGAGTTACAGATTGTTGTGAGCCTCCCAATATTCTGGGAACTCCCACCATGCATGGGGTCCTCTGCAAGAGCAGACTCCTTGGGCCATCTCTCTGGCCCCTGCCGTATTCTTTTCTTCCTGCCCCTCCTGGGTTTTGTTCCTCTCATTTCCTTTTTCTGCCTTTTTGGTGTCCTTAGAATATTCTGGTATCTTTGTAATTTATTAATTGTTTTGTAGTGGTTGCTCTGGGCACCAAAGTGTACATACTTATATTTTTAACAACCTAAATATTTAACTCTGAATGGAGTCAACGTCACCATGCCAAGCGGTGTGTTCAGCATCTTCCCACCACACAGGGCTCTCGACATTGTCACATTATGTCATGGCTGTCATACAGATGATGGTGGCGATCTGGAAAGCCATCTCCCAGTGCATCCCCTCCTGTTATAAGTGAGACCGCTGGACTTGGCTGCTGAGCATGCATACAGTGAGCTTGGCAGCCTCTAGGACATGCTGAGGGATTTAACCCTCTGTCCTCAAGTGTCTGCTGGCTTTCTCCAGGTGCAACATCAGCTACTTAGAAGAATGGCTTAAAGATAAGAACTTGCAGAACAGTTCAGCCAAGGAGACGCTGGAGCCCCTCTCTCAGGCAGCCTGGCTGCTCCAGGTCAAGAAGACCACAGACAGCGATGCCAAGGAGATCTCAGAGTGCTGCACCTGCCTGTCCGCTGTGCAGGTGAGTGGGTGGGCTACTCCGGCTTCTCTCTGGACCTCGAAGGAGAGATTCTGAGGCATTTCCCACCATAGCTGGCTGTGTAGCACCTGACCCTAAGTCACTTCTCCTCTTTTACCTGCTAACTATTTGGTGGGTAGTGATTGCAGGCCTCACGGCATAAATGTGTGTTTGCTCTTTCCTTGTGCACTAGTTCGAGTGGGAGCTGGGAGCCTGGAAGGGGAGAGTCCCTCGCTGCCATCTGACTGTGGTTGGTCTCTGTGCACTCTCTATTCTGCTTGTGTTGTTTCCTATTCTCTTGGAATAGACAGCACATGGCTCCAGAGACAAATTATAGTCTACAAGAACCGCCTGTGCCTCTTGAGGGTTCCTAACTGTCCAGAACTGTTTGCTCTTTTCCTCGGTCTGATTCCATGTTCTGTCATGTTCACAGATCATAAAGATCCTTAATTCATACACACCTATAGATGACTTCGAGAAAAGAGTCGCTCCATCCTTTGTTCGCAAAGTGCAGGTGAGCTTCTTATGGGCGCCCAGGTTAACCTGACCCTGTTACACTCTGTAAGACACTGATATTCGAGTAAAATGATGTGGTCCAGTATTAAAACGTGGTTGTCAAGCACGTGGAACCTCAGCTGGTGGCTTTTTACTCATTCCCATCCTGATGAGAAGGGAATGGAAACATAAACCAGGACCCCGGTGCTGTGACCGTTAGCGCCTCTTAACGAAAAGATCATTGTGTGTGTGTGTGTGTGTGTGTGTGTGTGTGTACAAATATGCCACAGCGTGTGTGCATGCATCCCACGATGTGTGAATAGAGATGAGAGGACAAATTAAAGGCGTCCATTATCTTCATCCGTCTGTGGGTTCCTGGGGTTGAACTCAGGTTGTCAGGCTTGGCAGCAAGTACCTTTAGCCCTGGCGCCACTCACCTATCAGCTTGTTTTGAGAAGTAGTGCCAATGAGCAGAGCCCGGTGGAAACAGACCTGCGGACCCATTTTTCTATGACCATCCCCAAAGTTTCCCCTGGTGAACTGGGGGGATCTTGAGGATCCTGTAAACCCTTTCAGGAGTCTGCAAAACCCTTGCTTTTTTCGGAGCTGTGCCTATAGGAGGCAGAGTTTCTTCATACTTCATCCAGACCTACGTGGTCACTGAATACAGAAGCAGGCATCACACCAGCTCACTGAATACGGAAGCAGGCATCACACCAGCTCACACCAGCTCACTGAATACAGAAGCAGGCATCTCACCAGCTCACACCAGCTCACTGAATACAGAAGCAGGCATCTCACCAGCTCACACCAGCTCACTGAATACAGAAGCAGGCATCTCACCAGCTCACACCAGCTCACTGAATACAGAAGCAGGTGTTACACACTCGTCTCACACCAGCTCACTGAATACAGAAGCAGGCATCTCACCAGCTCACACCAGCTCACTGAATACAGAAGCAGGTGTTACACACTCGTCTCACACCAGCTCACTGAATACAGAAGCAGGCATCTCACCAGCTCACACCAGCTCACTGAATACAGAAGCAGGTGTTACACACTCGTCTCACACCAGCTCAAGACCACAGAACAGCAAACTTCCCGCTTCTCACTGTGGGTTGTTTTGTTTTGTTTTGTTTTTTATTCTGAAATTTTAACTGTGTTTCAACAAAACTGCTATGTTCAATTTAATGGACTTATTAATATTAAATGCTATTTTAATTGCTACTGTGGTAAACATCACTAGTTATACCCACATATACAAGCCCTTTGGAGTCCTCATGGTTATCAAGAGTGTAGCAGAAGGCTAGAGTGCTGGATCAGCAGTCACAAGCACTTGCTGCTCTTACAAAGGACACAAGTTCAGTTCCCAGCACCCATGTCATGAGGCTCATAATTGCCTGGAACTCCAGTTCCAGGGAATCTGATGCCCCCTTTTGGCCTCTGTGGGTACTGCACACATGGGGCATACACACATAGACACATATATACTCATATCAACTTTTAATTTTTAAAAATGCATTTATTTGTTTGCCTCAAGTCAGGGTTTCTCTGTGTAGCCCTGGCTGTCTCACTCTGTAGACCAAGCTGCCCTCGAACTCACAGAGACCCACCCGCCTCTGGCTAAAGGCATGGGCCACTGCTCCTAGAAATTTTAAAAATTTAAAGAGTAGAAAGCAATCCTGACACCAAAGAACTTTTCAAATAGTAAAGATGTAAATGAATTTTAAAAAAATGTAAAACTTGAGATCCAGTGACGTCTGAGCTTAGAATTAAACCTTGGTATGTACATAAATACAGAAGAATAAAATGGACCAGGCAAATGGCTCAGCACGCAAAGGTGCTTGCTGCCAAGGTGCTTGATCCCAAACCTTTATGGTAGGAGAGAACAGACTTCCTTTCCCAAGTTGTTCTCTAATCAAGACACACACACACACACACACACACATGCAAATAAGTGTAAATTTTAAAAAAGACTAAGAATAGTTCCAGTCAGCCTGTCCTGTGAGGAATGGCTTTTAGAGTGTAACAATGAGAGACTTCCTGGAAGCTGGCTGGACAGGAGACCCTAATAGGCTTGTCTCCCTGGAGCGGTGCACTCAACCACCCGGGGTTGCCTTCTCTTCTGATGGCTTGAGCTCTCTCGAGGAGGCAGAGCTATTGAATTTCCCGGGCTCTTGACCTCCGAGTAGTGGTGAACCAGAATACACTCATTCTGACTCCCTCCCCTTGGTTCTGACCTCAGGCTCTTCTGAATAACCGGGGTGACTCTTCCCAACTGATGCTGGACACCAAGTATCTTTTTCAAGTCACGTTTCCTTTCACGGCTTCTCCGCACGCCCTGGAGATGACCCAGATCCCCAGCAGTTTCAAGCTCGGCTTTCTCCGGAGACTGTAGCAGGAGAAGAGATGGACACAGGTCCCCTGGAGCCCGGAAATGGACTGCAGTTTAAGGAGGAAAGCCCACACCTCACCTGTCTTTGGAGATGTCATGCAGTCGACTGGGCTGGGAAAGGCTCTTGCTTCTGATCTCGGTGGCTATTGCTACAACTTCTGAAGACTCAGTTTTGTTCCCAATGCCTTTGTTTACTCCACTTTGTGGCGGGGACCTACCCCCACCTGCATATACAGGAGTGAAATCTGGGGGCTCCCCAGGTTTCTAAGGTTCCCATGAAGTCAAGAGATATGTTTGAAGCCACAGGCGAGTTCCATGCCTACACCTTCCAGGAAAGAATCACCCTTGGCCACTGGAACAAAGTCTTCTTGCCCCATCGCTACTGGCAGGAAGGGCTCGTTAGCTCTTCTTACTAAAGACACCCCTGGATTAGAAAACTCTTCACTTTTGACGATCTAATGTTTAAGAGAGCATTCGGTCTGAGAGATGGGCATGGTAGCACACACCTATAATCCTGGCACTCAGGAGGATGAGACAGGAGGATAACCTCGAGTTCAGTGTCAGCCTGGGCTACAAACTAAGAACCCATCTCAGAAGAAAAGAAGAGCATTTCATGTATATATCTATTTAAAACAAATTTACTAGCAAGGCTTACTTTTATACCATTAATGATCTTTTCTAAAGAATTTTTTTAAAAATGTACCAACCAACATTGAGGGTTGTGGTTTCAAGACAGGGTTTTTCTGTATACCATCCCTGGCTGTCCAGGAACTCGCTCTGTAGACCAGGCTGGCCTTGAACTCACTGAGATCCACTGCCTCTGCTTCCCAAGTGCTGGGATGAAAGGCCTGTGTCAGTAGCTGTATGCTCACCGTCCTGCCAACATAATTTTTATAATCTCATTTAATTTTTTTTAAATACAATTACTTCTTTTAAAACTAGATTTAGTTGTGGGGTCAGAGCTCTGTGATAGAGCAGTTGGCCCTGGGTTTGACCCCGGTACCGCACACACACCTAAACACACATTCATTCACACACAAGCATACACATGCAACTTGTGGGTTCTTTTCTTTAACTAATCGGTTTTCTAATATGCTTTTTAAATATCTTCATGAAAGAAGCTGAAGATTTGGGCAGGCTAATTTGAGAAATCTAATTTTCCATTGTTTCGTTTGAACCAGCTACTCTTTCCCCCAAACTATTTCCCTTCCCTTCAGAATGCAGCCCTTTGATGGGCACCCCTGGCCCATAGCCAAGACCCAACGCTTCTATGCACCCCAAGCCACCTGACCGCCCTTTCGTCTGATGGTCTCGGGCAGCGACTGCGACACCACAGAATGCATGGTCATCTCTGGGTGATTATGAAGCAGAGCCACCGACAAACGTGTGCCATCCTACTGATGTGCGGTACCCGGACAATGAAAATAGAACTTGATAATGCTTTAATAAAGTAAATTATCAAGCAAATCTCATGCAGTTATTTCCACCACTGTGAATTACATATCTTCTTACTGCACAGTTCTGTGTCCTTCCTTTAAACAGGAAGATATTAGGATCCTACAAGTCACAGTGTGCCACCTGACGTCAGTAAACACAGGGCGGGATATGTCATGAGTGCTGGCTGTGTCTGGGATTCCCTAGCTATCAAATGAGGGGAAGCAGGATGGAGTTGCTGGGTTTCTGCTCCTCTCGCATGACCTTAGTGCCCACTCCTGTCCCTCTCTGCCCCATGAGGAGTCAAGCTCACGTTCTTGCTCTCAGCCTCGGGCTTTCTGTCCACTCTAGCATTACCTGGGTTCTACACCAGAAACCTTGGCCACGCTTTCTGCTGATCTACGAGTTCCTGGAGGACTAGACCCCATCTCATTCTACATTTTATCTGTATGCCAGGGTGCTGGGAGACAACTGAATTGGCAAGGTCCCGTGGAGATGGCAAGGGTTTGAGTGTAGAAGTCAGTTTGGAGAGCTTGTTTGAGGACAAGACTTGGGGATGTTGGTAAGTTTTTGCACAGAGGAGAAAGAGGACGTGTTTACCCCATGGCCTTGATCACTGTGAAGGCAGGAAAGAAGGCCAGTGCTCAAAGATGATCTCAACACAAAAGGTAGGAGCTGTCAGGCTTACTCCATGGAGCAGAGGTAGATACACAAGATCAAATGAATTCAATTCTGTCTCCTGCAGGGAGCAGAGAAATGGGCCCAGGAAGGAATTTAGCGGAGTTAAGAGGGATCCAAAACAGGTGGAGTGGCAGAGGGTTCTCCAGGTGAGTGTATGCTAGTGAGTGGCCCATGAGTGTGAGTGTATGCTAGTAAGTGGCCCATGAGTGTGAGTTTATGCTAGTGAGTGGCCCATAGTGAACCTGAGTATGCAGATGGGGAGGAGCAGTCCCTGAGCTGCAATGTCGGATAAAGAGATTAGGTGACCAGTAGCTCAAACCTTCACAGTGCCTCAGTAACCTCCCCACTTTCTGCCAACCGTCCCAGGCGATCCTTGCTCTGTAAGGTACGTACTCATTCACCTTGGGGGACTTGGGTTTTGTATTACACAGCAATGTCTGGACTCCAAGGTCACAGGAATTTCTCTGTGGAGGGTGCCCAGTCAGGAGGGTTTGTGTTCCGGTTACTCTGTATATGTCTATTCTAAGTTTTTTACAACCTTCATGACTTTATTTCAAAATCATAAAGAGATTTTAAAAGGCAGATTAGTGTTGGCATCAGTAACAAATTAAGCAACTTTAAAATAATCTAATTGGTTTTCAAAATTGGTCCAGCTGCAGTAGTGTAACAACCAAAGCCGTCGAGTGCAGTTGATGGAACAGATAGGGCACCACACAGGTCTATGAGATACACCTGCTCCTGCCTTAGCCCCCGTTTATTATATTCTGTTGCTTGAATCCAGTCCGCTCCTGGCGAACATCGGATTCTTCAGCTTGGGGCTATTTGTGAGCAAAGCTGTTATGACAGTCTTACTTTTTCTTAGGAAATAAGTACGCATTTCTGTTGAATATATACCCAGGAGTAGAATTGCTGGGTCTCACATGCACACGCATGCACAAACACACAGACACACAGACACACACACACACACACACACACGTTTGTTTACCATCAAGAGGTCCCACCAGCCAGTTCTCTAAAGTAGTTGTATTGCCCTCGCTGGCAACGAAAGCAAGTTCCTACATCCTTGCCCACACTTTGTATATCAGGGGTTTTGTTTTAGATTTATTTTTAATTAGGCATCTGCCCAATGGTGGGGAAATAGTGCAGTTGCCTGCAGAGACCAGAAGAGGACGTTAGATCCCCTGGGGCAGGAGTTGCAGCATTGGTTCCCTATATGGGTGTTGAGAACAGGACTTAAGTCCTCTGGAAGAGCAGCAAGCACTCTTAACTACCGAGTCTTCTTTCCAGCCCCAGTGTATCAATTTTTTGGATTTTAGGTATTCTAACCCAATCAGCAAGATGGCTCAGCAGGTAAAGACACAAGCAAACCAAACCTGAGAACCAGGGTTTGATATTCAGGACCCACATGGTAAAAGGAGGAAACTGACTACCTAAAGTTGTCCTTTGACCTCTACACACACTAAATATAGTAAATTTTAGGACTTCTCATGTGTAACGAGTAGTGCTACATTGTGGCTTTAGTCTGTGTCTTTAACGACTCTGTATGACACCTTTCTGAGCCCTCCTGACTAGCCTGATTCGAGCAGTACCTCTACAAATACCTTGCACGTTTTAAAAAGGCTTGCCTGTCTTTTCATGTGTGTGCAAGGATGTGCATGCTGTCTTCACTGTAATTTAACTCCAAGCAACCCGATTCCCCCAATCCCACAGTCTCTGAGCTATCAAAGGCTTTCTCACTTCACCACCGCTTCCATCACCCACAGATGGACTTCTGACGGTCTGTGTGTCTTAGACTCTCATGCAATGGTCCCTGTGGACTTCTTGTCTAGCTCCTTTCACACCGAGATGTTTCCAGGGTCTCCTTTATTACTGCCAATGACTGTCTCTGGAACATACTGTATTTTCTTTTCTTTTCTTTTTTTTTTTTTAGGGGGGGGGGGGGTTCGAGACAGGGTTTCTCTGTAGCTTTAGAGCCTGTCCTGGAACTAGCTCTTATAGACAAGGCTGGTCTCAAACTCACAGAGATCCGCCTGCCTCTGCCTCCCAAGTGCTGGGATTAAAGGCGTGTGCCACCACAGCCTGGCCATACCATGTTTTCTATGCCTCTTCTTCCCTTGGTGGACATTTGAATTCTTTGCATTATTTACCTAAAAATAATGCTACTTCAAACATGCATATATGTTTTCAATGCAGAGGACTTTTTGTTCTGCTTTTTTTTTTTTTTGGTAGTGCTGGGGATTGAACTCTGGGTCTTGCACACACCAGGCAAGCACTCTACCAATGGAGTTACACCCCCAGCCTACCCTCCCAATTTGTTTCTGATATTTACTTTTTATTTTGTGTGCGCATGTGTAGACATGAGCATGCCACACATGTGGAGGACAGGACGACTTTTGGGAGTCAGTTCTCTCCTTCTACCTAGTGGGTTCTGGGAATCAAACTCAGGCTGTCAAGCCTGGCGCCTCCACCCACCTGTTAAGTCATTTTGCCAGCTCTTGCACACCCCGATTGTTTAAACTGCTTATGCTTAGGAAGACCCTGCAAGAGAATGGGAAGTGTGAACGGGCCCAGGACCTGCCATTACAGGATGGAGATGTGGTTCTTTTCATGTCCTTCTGTTCCCAATTATTTATAATGAACATTATAAACAATGCCTCTGACTTGGATTTAGACTAAGTAATCCCAGAACCACTCCCCACTCCCACCTATTCCTATATGACTTTTGTCCCTAGAGATGCTCTCAGCCTTCAGTCCTTGAGAGTCACTTCCCCTTAGAACATAATCTCTTCCTCTGGGTCATCTTCCCATGGTAGTTCTCTCCCCGACCTACTTCTGGGTGAGCAAATCCCAGGATGATGTTCTTAAGTGACTTTGTTTCCTAATGCTATTACCTGACGTCTCAGCTTGACCTTGAGACCGGCAGGAGCCCCTGCAGGGCTGGGAAGTAGGAGACATTCTCCAAGCCCCAAGCACTCGTGTGTGTGTGTGTGTGTGTGTGTGTGTGTGTGTGTGTGTTCATGGGTGTGCATGTGTGTTCATGGGTACATGTATATATGCATATATGTGGACATCCTTAGGCATCCTTCCTCAGAAACCATCTATCTGTTTTTGAAATAGGATCTCTCTCCGGCCTTCGACTAGGCTGGCTGGACAGTGAGCACCAGAGATCTGTCTGTCTCTGCCTCCCCAGCTCTGAGGTCACAAGCGTGTGTTAGCACACTGGCTCTGAGGTCACAAGCATGTGTTACCACATTGGCTCTGAGTCACAAGCATGTGTATACCACCACACTGGCTCTGAGTCACAAGCATGTGTTACCACATTGGCTCTGAGGTCACAAGCATGTGTATACCACCACACTGGCTCTGAGGTCACAAGCGTGTGTATACCACACTGGCTCTTGTTTGGATTCTGGGGATGAGAGTGAAATCTTCATGCTCACACAGGAAGCACTCAGTGGCAGAGCCATCATCCCAGGCCCCTTCTGCTTTCTATGACTCACCCTTTGTGACAAACCTCGGTGCTTGACTTTGGTGAGCCACGCTACAATTCAGGCTCAGCCTCTCTCTCTGACTGAAACCACTCTGTTCGCTTGACTACCACAGGATGTCTGCCTTCCTGGGAAGAGGCAGTGGGCGATGTCAGCTAAGCCCGCTTGTAGCTGTCAGTATCTTGTCCCTTGTGGTCTCTGTCCCTAAGGGTTTGCCTTCTACCCCCTTGTCGCCCCACTTTCAGGTTGTGTTTGCCATACTTTTGCCCAACTCCACAGTTCGTGGTTTCCCTCTCTGACCCTGTGGTGACTCTGTATGGCACTCTCCCTCCCAAATATCTCCAGTGTCACCGCCACCCAAAACACAGCTCTCTCAAACTCCCCTTTGTTGGCATGTTCAGTCCAGTGTTCCCATAATACACTCATGGTTAATTTCTTTGACTCTGAAGGTGGGGCTCTCTTTGGTACAGCTATCGATCTGCAGGACTGAGCTGTGACCCTTCCCTGTGACCTCCCAGTCCTCCATCTCCACAACCTCCCAAAGGAAATGGAGGCCTGACCCTAGCCATCTCCCCTTCCAGCCCAGTTCCTCCTCATCCCTATTCTCTGTCCAAGGCCACCCTGGCATCTCAGTTAGTCTCCATGTCTGGCCACAGCCCCCTCTGGCTCTTCTCTTCCCTTCCAAGGATGTCTCTGCTCCTGCCAGTGCTGCCACCCTCAGGTCAGAATGGTCTTGAAAGTCTCACAACTTCCTGCCTTGAGCCGAGTTCCTTCATGTACTGTCTCTTCTGAGTCCTGTGCCAACCCTACAAAGGTTGGTTTAAAGATGTTTATTTGATATATCAGTG